GACGCGCAGTACTTTTGTTGGGTTTCGAGAAAAGAGCACTCATGAATAATTGAGGTTTACCTGAAGGTTTCCTGTTCTTTTGAAGGGTTGACGTCCCGGAAGACTGAGATCGGTACGAGAATTCAATGTTGATCGTCACCGCTTCATCTGATATTTGAATGTGAGGTCTCGTTCCGAGAAAAACGAACACTAGGAATACCTGCGGATCTTTCGGCGCTGTGAGTGGAAGCTGCTCTCGTCTTTGGTTTCGATCGATGCGAAGCTGAGAGCTCAGAAATCACAGCGAAACTTGTCAAGCAAAAAACTTACGAGTTCTGGATAAAGGCAAGTAGCGAGTGGTTCGATTGACCGGTCGGTACGACGATCGATGAAGGGGATGCATTTGATGCAACAAATTAAAAAGTGGCAAAGTTTTGGAGATTCGGTCACTATGAACATATGGTAGCAATAAGAGGGAGGACGTGGGCTAAAACATCAGCGGACACAAGATTTACGACAATCACAAGGCAGTGCCGGCTGTGATAGGAAGAAAAAATCAGAGAGGGGATAGTGAAGCAGAAAATGCATTGCGCCATGAGAGGTGCAAACCGTGTGTTCAAAAACCGAAATGTCACACCCTAGAAAGTTTTGCTCATCATTATATGCACATATGATAGCCAACAATGACTATGTTTTCTCCCTTCTTATCAGTTTTCAGTCAATACGCCCTCTAACATATTTTTGCCTCTGAAATCGGAAACCTTCCTTTTTCTTATTCCTAATTGCGATTCAGATTCCCCATCTTCCTTTCTTTCTTTCTCTCTCAATTCCAAAGTTTTTTCGCCGAGATATCTCTCCTTTTACTCATGCCGAGCTAACTCAATTTGGGTGTTTCCCGGGCGTAGTATGGCCAGCCAGCAAGATTTCGAAATCGCCAACACTTTTGAGCCGATTCTTTTTGCATCTGGCCATCACTTTTCTGTTGTTTCCTCTGAAAAAGAGCACCGGAAGAGAAGATATCATCGTTTGTTTTGTCTGCCTACCCGATCATTGTTCGCAAAACAAGACCTGCGGTGCGAATCGTGCAAGTTCATGCGGATGTTCGGTAGCAGTGATGTGCAAAACGATAAAACAAACACTAACCAAAAATACGGTTTTCTGTGTGTGGCGTTCCTCTGTTTGCCGCCCTTTCCCTCGGCTTTTCACTTGTCTGACCATTCCTACATTAGGCATTATACGTGGCTGAACTTTGACCAACACTTCTTTTGTCATGTTGTTTTCTCACCGTATGTTCCAACTTTTACAGCTCGCTGTTTTTTGTTGACGGACATGGAAATGGAAATGCGCGTGTCGTGTCTTGAAAATGCATCAAATTGGCGATGAGAATAGCCCCGAAATAAGCGGAATTGTTGTCTTTTGTTTTCATTCCCTTGATCGGTTTCTTGCGAAATTATTGTGCTTTCCGTTCTTTAATTTTCATCATTTTTATTGAATATGTGAAAAGAAATGAATATTTTTGCCTCCCTCAAAAGTTGTGGGTATTATATGCTTTGCAAATCAAAGGAGGTTGAAGCGCCAAAAAGAGCTCAGACATCATTTTTTTCCGTTTCCTTGACCAGTCTGCGCTCTTCTTCTTCTTTGGAATTGAGAAACGGAAAGAAACAAACCATCTCTTTCTCTCTCATCCTTTCCATTTTTTGAGCAGCTAAATCCAAAATCTAAGACCAAAATCAGATAATAATTCGCCCTCAATATTCTCACTTTTTCAAAAACTTTTCCTTTTCGTACCCGAAAAATAAGACGGACGGACGGGCGGAAACTTTCAATGAAGGTCATACGCGTTTTTTCCGCCTGTCGCGAAAAGATGAATTCATCCGGAATAAATGAGAATTCATAGACTTTTCCCGCCTCAGCTTTTCTTGCCGAGACTAACTTGAGACTCGCGTTCCCTTCTACACGGAATGCGTGAAGTATTCATGAATTCATTGCTTCGCGGCGATCTGTGATCCCCTCGGGCCCATATTTCATCCGTATGCAGTTGTCATCACAGTATCAGCCCTTCCAAAGTGAAATCTTACTTCCAGTTTAGTTGTTAATTCTCACATGCATTTGTAACCATGTTTTGTTTGTTCCCTCTGACCTCCTCCTTTAGTTTTCCTCTATTTACTCTTCTTCTTCTTGCAATGAAAGTTTCGATTCGTAATTATGAAACTTCTTCCCTTCCTATTCGCTTTTCTTCCATTTTCCTAAAGATCTAATCTTGATTTTGCACGCCGTTTGCTCGCTATTGAGCTCCGAACCCATTGTTAATTGCTCATCAAAGCCCTCTTTGCAAATTGAATTTCAACTAGCGACAAGCAGTGTTCAGACTTTCCTTTTCTTTTCTTTCTCAGATTGGAGCAGAGCATCAAACATTGAAAATCTCTTTTATTTTCCTTCCCAAGACTCAGATCACACCTATTCAAATGTATTTGCGTGGCAGATGATTCACTTGGCTGAATGCCATCGGTGCCCAACTCCTTTTGTGAGCCACGGCCGTGCTCTTTTGTGTGTCGGTGTGTCCCAACAACCGTCATTTCCAACTCCCTTAAGCTCCTCTCCTTTTTCTTCTCTTCCCGCTGCAATCCTTCATTCCCATCCTCGTTGTTTTTGGGGTTTTCACCGATGGGATCGAAACCGAACAGCAGCACTGCCGGCGCTTTTCCACCGCCAGCCCTGGGTGGAAATGTTTGTGCAAATCGCGAAACAATCGCTTTTCCGGGCGCCCCCCCCCCCTCTTTTGCCGCTCGTTTGCCGCTCCGCGAGCAGCCGAATCGGGTCTGGGCCCGGCGGCGGAAACATGCAACCATGCATTTTTGACATCGGATTGTTGTTTGTACCTATTGTGCCATCAGCTCATTGCCGTTTTGCGGCCGCCGTTTTTCTGTCCGCCTACTCAGTTTCGCGGCAACCAAAAACTATCCGTCTTGTTGCCGACAATGTGATATTTTGATTTATTCCGTAAATTTTCTCGCCGCACTGATAATAACGGAAAGGGTGGGATGGTTCACACTCGGACAATCTGGACAAGGTCGTGTTGCAAAGTACTCATCCAAAGGAATGATCTTAGCAAGTATAACTTTTTCAAAAGTTTTTAAAGTTCAAATAAAAAGTAATTACTTCCAGCACTCCTCATCTTTTCCTCCTATTATTCTTCCGTTTCTTTCACTATCGTCATCTGTTTGGCGTGTTACTCGTCAAAAAAGTCATTAACAGAAAAACTCATCAGGCGAACTAATAAGGTATTCAGCTTAGCTGAGAACAAGTCACTCGTCTGATATTCCCTCTTTTTTTCGGTCGACGACAAATAAGCCACAAATCTTTTCGATTTGATATATTTCTTTGCTTTTCTGTCTTGAAGAAGCTGCCTAATCCTTTCTTTCCATCACAAAACATTGATTTTAACTTGTCATGTTCATATTTTGTGAGAACAATTCTAATCTGTTCTAACTTTTCAGAGATCCATAATGCATTCGCATTCGTTTTTTCTTTTTTCTCTCTCATGTGCATCACGAGCACATTAGTTCGGACTGCTCATGCGGTCCGGTCCGGCTATAAAAACTCAAATTAATTCTGATGGAACTGAGGGCCACCCTAACGCTTCTCTTCTTCTTCTTCTTTCCTTTTTTCTCTGAAATATTGCGAAATATTTGTCTCAAGTTCCAGCTCCTTAAACGTTTTCATTTGAATTTCCGCTTCTCGGTCCCATCCAAATAGGCTTGCTCTTTGGCCCGTTTCCCTCTCTGCCGCGTTTCTTTTCAGAGTGAAAACCTCTCGTGCTTTTCGGGTTTTCCCCCTAAAGAGTGCTCCTTCTTTTTGCCGTCGCGCCCCTTAATTATTCGTCCGTTTCACTCTCTCAGTCTCTCTCTCTCTCTCTTTCCCTCCGACTCATCAGTGGTCCCAAGGAGAATGATACTGGCCCGGCCTGCCTTCTAATAAATATTTGTATAGTGGACTGCGTGGTCCTCTCTTCTGCCCCTCCCGCATCAGATGTTGTTTTGGCATTGCCCCTGAGCACGTCTTCTACATTCCGACAGGAAAGAGCAACGTTCATTCATTCATTCTGGTTCGCCTTCTTCTTCTTCTTCTTCTTCTGTCCCCAAGAACCCTTTCCTCGACACTTGATCTCCATCTTTTCTTTTTTTTTCGTTTTTCACGTCATTTCATTTAAACTGTGGCTTCTGTTTACTCTATTTTCCCACCCATCAAAAATGCTTAAGCGATTTTGTTTTGCCATTCTTTCTCAAATTTCACACCAAAATGTATCTAGAAGCAACATGGTCCTCATTCCACGTTTCTCCATCTCATCCATCTTACGAAGTAGTATTATTTGACCCACATCCGTCCGGGCCAAGTGCATTTACATATAATTGACTAGGAGCTAAGACAAGCCAGAAGAAAATTCTTCCGACGGGCGGAAGAATTTCGCCACCACCGAATTATTATTCTAGGAATCCAATCAAATCGGCCCCTTCCGTTTGCTTTTTTTGCGTCCATTCATCAGGCCAATAACTCTGCGGAGGGCTGTACAAGTTCACATCAATTTCCGATTCATCCGTCGCTTAGTTATCGGTATTCTGTTCTGGACACGCTCGTCGTCGGAAATTAGTTCGCAAAGGTCAGACATGATCCACGCGCTCACGGAAAACAACCCATAGCGGTTGATTCCAAGTCTTCCAGGCCGTGTGTCCTACTGTGCGCTCCAGAATTCCTTTCTTCAACCAAATGATGAATTAATCCAATCAGTCACGCGCAAAAACAAAAAAATATTCAAAGTGAGTTGAGAGTCTTTCCCCTTTTCTCTTTTCTTTAACTCAATCGAATTTCAATTCTAAAAAGATCATGTAATTCAATGTGCGTACTTTTTTGAGAACAAAAGAACCCGTCTCCTCCGCCTGATATTCAATACTCTGCAATCAAAGCACATAACTTCACATTTCCAGTTTCAGAGGGTGGAGGGCATCACGAATCGAGTGTTTGAAATGCAGGCGGCACCGTCCTGCTACGGTAGCATGGTGGCCAGCACCTCCGAAGAAGCGACAACATCTTCCATCTCAAGAGGACCAATGACCATGTGAGTTCATCCAATCTTCCGCCACCATCTCTGCCATTTCCGACTTTGGGGGGTCCCGACCAAATCTGTTTATGCTCACAAGATGATCTGATGCACGTTTCGACCAGCTCAAAATACACACAAACAAACCCAACCACCGCGAGAGAATCAGTCATGTTTTTCAAATTCGCCCACATCTCCAGGGACATTACTTGCCCATCAGTTTGAGCAAAGTTCGGTGCGAGAAAAAAAGCGCGAATTGTTATTTGCAACTCGAGAACTTGTACTCCAGTCTATCGGTCAATTCTCTGGTGAAAAAATGGCTAGTACATTCGTCTTATTCTCCAGTGACTTTGACTCTTGCAAGAACCGGGACCGCCTCAACTTTTTTCTCGCCTGCTTCGGCCCCGTTTTATTACAACGCCTCGTATTTATTTGCACAAACGTGATCCGAAAAAGGGGAGAATTGAGCCTGAAAACGAGAAACGCGAGGAGCGAAAGAGATGGATTTTGGGGTTTGGTAGTCTTTCCACACATTGAACTCTCTCGTATCGTCTTTCAATCCGCCATGAAACCTTGTATTCTCTAAAAGTCGCTTTGCAATTCGGTAGGAACGGGCTACGGTACACTTTTTATGTGCTCTAGGACAAAAAAACGCAAAAAGTTCAAGCGGAAGTTCGTTTCCCAGACTACGGAAATTGTGTTCGGACAAGAAACAAAGTCATTCTTCAACCCCTCTCTTCTTTCACGATTTCCACTTCAACTTTACGTTTGCCTGACGAACATCCTTTAGTGAAAAACCTCATGAATAAATCCGAAACATGTTCATAATCGATTCCGTCACCTGCTGAAGCACCTCTGCCAAACAAGTAATTACCAACTCTTGTGTCCTTTCCTTTCTTCACTTGTTCGGAAAGTAAGAAGCAAAAGCACTTCGTTTGGTTGAGGAAGCTGAGAAAACCGTTTCGGAAACTGGGAAGACTACCTGTTCTAAGCCTGATGTATTCAACCAACTGTCTTTGCAAAAAATCTGACACTTACCAATTTCAGGTCTGTCTCAAGAACTAACAGTCAGTTTATTGAAGCTCCCGCCTTTTTCTATGACATGGATACCGACCTCAAAGAACTGAAGGTGAGTTTTAATGAACGCGAATCGGGAAAGTATAATATCTGACAGACCGCACTGAAAGATGTGGATCTACTCAACGACTCTGGCTACCGATCAGTTATAGAACGATCGAGTCATCCATTTGCGACCAGTCTGGTATTCCACGAAGACAACGGTTTCGATTTGGAAGACGACGCCGCTGACGAGCATTGGGGTTAGTAGTTGCTTTCACTATTATTGCGCAATGCCGAACGGATGATGATGAGTGAGGAAAGAGGAAAGAAGACGGGCTTGATCGGGTGACCAGTCGTCCGCTCCCAAATGGGTTATGGACAAACTAGGCGCAAATGTACAGTATTGCGGGATTCCGCCGCGTGCCTAACTTTTAATAGTGCCGGTATTATACAACTAGCCGGGCCGGGGACTACCGCGCGGGTAAAGTTTGACGCAAGCAGTCACTGCTACTTTCGGTTCTACTTCATTCTTACTTCACTTTGGACTCTGGTTTATGGTTTATGGTACCCTCAATATTAGCCTGGAGAAATTGGCGAAAACAAGGTTCCACTTTTACATTTAGATGCCACATATAACAGATTCACTTCCAATTGATGAATGTTTGTGTTTTGCAGATGGATATCTCACTGTTGGTGGTGATCGTATCAAAATACGTGACATGTCGGACATTCTAGCCACACGATACGCCTTCATTTCTGGTGAGTGCACACGCGGACGTGTTGAGAGCCCGAAAGGGTTATAAAATGTGGCGAGAAACGCTAGTAAAATGGAAAATAGTGGAGCCGCTGAATTTTTATATGTGCAGGCTGTTCCACGACTCATACATTTGCAATATCGCATCCACCAAAAACGCGTTTTTCTCGTTTCAGGAGCACGCACATCAGAAGGATTGACAATTGTCACATTTCCGGATTCAAGATCGACACTTCCCTTTGAAGACTACTCTCTTTTAGTCAAATATCTTCTACAAGTTCCTCCGTAAGAGATATCTCTCTGTGCAACTCGAACTAAAGTTTTTCGTATTTTAGTCTGGAGGACAGCCATAAGGGTTTTGTGGTTATCATCGATCGCCGAAGTGACAAGTGGTCAGCCGTGCGGACCCTACTACTTCAGATCTCAGTAAGTGTTTTTGTAAGAACAAAGTCGTTCGTTCTGCTTGTTTTGGAAAGAAACATTCGAATCGATTTATCTCACCATTTCTTCGACTATTTTCATTGCCGAAACCAACCCCCCCCCCTCATCAAGTGTGTCCACTTTCTCAAATCTGTTGACATAATCGCACTTGATTTCGCATTTTTTCGTGCTTTTCGGTTTCACTTTTGTGTTTACGTGAGACGCGTGGAATGTCAACGGCATGCGCAATTTGCGAAATCGAAGGAGGGGGCACATATCATACAGACCGGATATCTGCTCCTGTGCACACGCTTTGCCGTGTTTACCATGCGCAAAATTTGATGGGTTGTATCGCTTTACTTTTGCCACTCGCTTGACCAACTGCTGCTTCTTTTTTGCCTCAACTCTTTTGTTGTTTTTCAATGTGCACACTCGTGCAAAGAGGACCATAATGAGCGTGGTCTCGGCTAGTACTTCCGGTGTTTTGAAACCGGAGAGTCGTTGAAATCCACTTCATTTTCAAGACATCCGTACATTTCTCGAAAATTCTTTCCTTCCACTTATTTTATCGCCGCAACGTGCTTCTATTGCTCCATTTTATGCATGACAAGAGCACCATTAATTTTTTGTATTTTCCTCGGCAAACTTTATGCAGCTCACCCAGTTTTCACCCGATTACTACCATCAAACTGTCATTTATTCATTCGCGCCAACTAGTGCCGTCTCACAAACTCAAATTCAATTTCGATGCGTGTGCCCCGAATAAAAAGTATCTCTGCTCGGCAACGTTGCCAATCCTAACTTAATTAGAGCATGAGACTGCAGCTTAGCTCTGAAGACGTAAATAAATTGAAAGGGAGTGCAAAAACTCGATTTCCCTTCCGTCTTTTTCTGTTTTTCTGGTTGTAAAAAAACGCTTTGTGCCTTTTCACAGATGTGATGCCATTTCTTCTCCATGTGATCTCAATTTTCAGTCATTCTTCCCCGGCAAAGTTTGTGTGACGTTCGTCATCAAGCCCGAAGGCGTTCTCCAGCGAGCCCTCGAAGTTGGTTATCGTGGCGCTGCAGACACCTGCTCATTCAAGGTTTGTTATCTCCCTTTTTGAGAAATTAATAACACGACAGACATGATTTGATTTTGCATAGTCATAGTCATACACATACACACAATTATAGTGGTTTATATGCGAAGCGCATCGGAATGGAAATTATAGGCATGCAATGTTAATTGGCGACTTTGGGTAGCCAACCCTCTTTTGCGAAAAAAAGAAATAGGCCTATGAAGTGTGGGTGTGTGTGTATGATGTGTATGATCTTTTTTGAATAGAACTAGGGCAAGAGATGGTCCGATAGGAAATTGAAGCTTGAAGCCTATGGCTTACGAGATTACTCATTTTCGGAAGAGACGGCAGGGGGGCCATCAAGCTATTATTGGGCAGAAACCGAATCCGATTAGAGACGCGATTCCCATTTCCGAGACGAGAAAAAGAGGCTGAAAGCTGGTTTTACAGGTGATCCAACTCGAGTCGTCGGCCGAACTTCGCAAGTACATCCACAGCGAGCACCTCACGATGGACGTCGGCGGCCTTATCAAGTATAACCACTTGGAGTGGGTGCAGCACCGAATGGTTAGTTTCCCGTGACATTGAGTACCTTCTGCGCATCTTTCCTTTGTGAGAAAGGGCGGTGAAATAGGGAAACAACGAAGAAGAAGCCAAGCGGCAGGTGAGGTGCGAATAGGTGCGGCCAGCCAGGTGACCAGTCCTCAATCGGCGTATGCCATTCGCTTCCCCTTCTCTCTCTTCCCAATCTACCTCTCATAAGGGCCTCTGCCGTGTTCGGTGCACAATGAGCTCATACGCACACATGCATTCGCATTAATTCTCTGCGTTCACTCATATTCACTCCCCACCTTCCGCCCTTTTCTTCTTCCACTCTCAATTCGAGTGTTCTGGTATTTACGTCGTCTTCAGTCGTCAGCCACGATTTACGCGCACCCCGACTTGTACGTACAACTCTGTACCTCCAGTCCATTTTGGTTGTGTGTGTGTGTGTTTCCTGCCAAATTGCACTCGTGCAGCTGGGTGGCCGGGTCGGCTCATCTCGCGTCCCTCATTCGGCCGCAAAATCAGTTGACCATAGCAACTGGGCTGGGCACTGCTCTCTGAGCTGGTCCCCTATTTCCTTATTTTCTATACTTATTCAAAAAATGTTGCGAACGTTCCAAGGATACTGGAGCTCGTACTCCACTCTTATAAATGAAAAGGACTACTCTGAGGTGAGTGCTCCCAAGAAAAACCAATTTCGCCTATAGATTGCGAAAAAAAAAGGAAAAGATGCATTTTCAATTGGCACGTCTTTTTCTCCTACAATCCAATTCATTATTTTCAGGACATTGAGCGAATGAAGGCGTCGGCAACTGCTATCGCAGCTTCCCTCACCGAATTCGGAAAAACGCTCCGAGAAACAGAAATTCCGAACGATGCGGACAGCACCGCACGCATACTGGAGCTTCAGACCGCAGAAAAAATGGCCATTAAAGTAAGTTCTTTCCCTCTCTTTTCACTTTTCCATACTTAGCCGCCTTTTGACATTTTCTTCCGTTTCCTTAATGGGATTTGCGGGGTTGCAGATGAAGAACACAGCTGTTCTTCTTCTTGTTCTTCTTCCGCAACGAACACCTGTGGAAGGGGTCTCAAGAAGGAGAAAAAACCGGGAGACCCCGAGCAGCATTTGAATTGTTTATTCATCTTATTAGATAATATTTTGGAAAACGGATCGTCTTTGTCTGTTTGTTCCGACGATTAGAGCCTCAAAATAGTGATTGTCGGGTATTCATGGAATTCGAATTTGCAGGAGGAATTCAAAATTGCCGTCCGCAAAGGGTTCACCTTGCTCAAATCTGTCCGACAGCTGGACAAGAAACCGACACCCGAACAACTATCGCCGACAAGGCTCCATAATGTGACGGCAATTGAGCGGATGTTGGTTCAATTGGGTACGTACTACTGAACGTTTAGTGGATCGTTAAATTTACTGAAAGCGAAAAGCAAAAAGCTTATTTTCAGAAGAGACCGAACGAAGTTTCGATTCGTTCTGGACTAAACATGAACGTCGGCTACGGTATTGTCTGGAATTGCGACAGTTTGAGGACAGTTTCAGAAAGGTTCGTCTATGATTTGCATGCAAAACTATGTGTCAAGGTCAAGTAGTCTTCATAAAATAGTACATTTCAACACACAATAGGTTTTCGGCTGAATATATTTTTTGTAGTCCTCTCATGTCTTCCGGTTGTTTTCTATTCTGACACAACGCACTATGTAGTAGTAGTAGAAAGCGTAAAAAGCAACAAATCGCCATTCTGTGTCTCATTTATCATTGGAAACGCAAAAGACAAGCGTCTTCTTTTCCTACTCCATTTTACATCTTCTTTTTTGTTAGCCCCTGCCTCTACTAACCTCGATAACGTTCTTTATTGTCATATCTATAGAATTGCTTGCTTTCAACACGCGCGTAGGTTAATGTACTGTAGTGAAGGAATGACCTCCTCGTCCTCCTACTCATTTTTATCTTCCATTTCCATCACCATGATGGCCATTCATTGCGGGTCACCCAAGTTTTTCGTCCGTTCCTCATTCCCTCTCCGCTTTTCAACTCTCTCACTCCGAATTTCTAGTTTCCTCCCTTTTTTCTTCTGATTTTCGATCAATTTCGTCCTTCATGCCGGAGATCCTTTGTCAGCGAACTAGTTTTTTTTTGTTGCGAATATGCGTGTAGGTGTGATGATAACGGGGCGAAAGATGAAGCATCTCTCGCATTGATAACATAGTTATCACCTTGTTAACATCAGGTGGTCAACAAGAAACAAAGAATGAGGTTGGGTTGACCTTCATTCTAACATGTCCCCACCCCCCTATCTCCGCAAGCTTTTCCTTCTGCCCAACTTGTTTTTGTGAACTTTGTTACAAATTCCGAAGAAACTAACTCCTATCCCTTCTCCTCCTGCCGGCAGCCATCATCATAACATGTAGATATCAACAACGTGAGAAAAGCGTCAAACCTGATAAATGTTCGGTGCCCTCTATCTTCTCAATTTTTTCCGAGGCCGCATCTTCATCCTCTTCTTGACTACTTTTTATCAATCTCAATCTTTATCAAGTTTTTTGTCCCCTGGTACATTCGTTGAGTTGTTCAATGATTGATGTTCGGACGACCAGCCTCTCCGACACCTATTTTAATGACTTGTGACGCCTGGACGCTACCCTATCCCCCCGTCTCTCCCTTCTTTTCACATTAATTTTGAGGCAGAAAATTTTCGGCCACTTAGATGAGAGTGAAAAAAGTTAGCCGGCTTCTTATTCTCTTCACGTCTCAGAAATTATTGAAGTCACATCATTTTCGCATTGATTCTTCGTTCTCAAAATAATATGGCAAAGTTTGCTCAGTCAAATATTGTGCATAAACGTAGATGCATTTTGCATGCTCCAAAAGTAGCCACTACTATGTACAACTCGGAAAAAACAGGAAGGTGTCAAATTTCGCAAATCCACTGACCCTCGGCTCACTTCACACGTTTCTTGTACGGCTGCGGCTAGTCTGGTGTGTTTTGCGTAAATATAAACAAGCCGATTGTCTTCAGTCTATGCATTCAAAACTTCCGTTCCATACTTCTCTTCTCAAACGGCGCCTTTACAACTGATTAGAAGTGATTAGAAGTCAGCTGAATGGCATTTCTAGTTCCTGTTCCTTCCAGTCATCCGTCATGTTTCCTTCATTTCTGTCTGATTATTTCCCCCTCTCTTACTTATTTTGTAGATATTCATCGTCATTAGGTTATGTAGTGTTCTCGGCGAGATAAAAACCAAAACCAAAAGACTGCTACTCAATGAGTCTATGATGCATGCCTAATTGTTTTATAAAGCGCGCCATGTCGAGTGTATAATAATTTTTCTTTTTCCAGCTACAAGCCGCATTTGCACGCCACATGCTGTATTTGGAGGAGCATCGAGAGGTCGGCAATTGCACCGAAAAGGCTTTGCAGCTTGCCGAACAACACAGACAATACGCCGAAGGAGCCATGGTGAGTGAGATCCTCTCGGCCACTTGATCCTTTCATTGAGCAGCCAGCTATTTTTAAGATTCGTCTATAGTTTGGCGCTTTTATTTACCTGATCAAGACTCTGGGTAATCAAAGATCTTCACTGGTTGATAGACAGATAAAACCCCCTTTTTCTCACCCTTGATATCTTTTTCTCTTACTTTTTTCCCATCCTTGACTTACGGGGAAATCTCTTTGCGCAGAGCTTCCATTTACCGAAATGACCCGACCTGATGACGAAAATCGTTGTGTTTATGTATACTCGAAACCTCTCAAGCGCATCTTTTTTATCTGTTTGGGTAAAGAAAAGAGAACACAGTCCAAGGACTAGTCGCGGGGAATATCCTAAAAACACAATGTTGTCTTCTTTGCAGGAAGAAGTCGAAGCCTCACGGAACCTCAAAAAAGCCGGAGAGGATCTCATCAACTCGAACGAGGCTGAGGTAAACAACACTACAAAATGACACTTTTTGAGCGGCTCGACTTGTTCACAACATTTGAGTACTACTACCTCCCGTTTTTCTTTTCAGCTTTCCGGAAGTTTGGAGCCAAAGTGTGAGGAACTCGAAAGAATGGCCGCGGCTTTGACGTCTGCATTGGAAAGAAGGGGAGATTGTCTGAAAAGAAGTGCCACGATGCATGATCAAATTGCACAGGTTCATTCCAACTTTCTGTACTGGTAGAAAGTTGAATATTCAGGCGAACTCTTGGTGCAGTCGGGGAGCCGATCTTCTGACAACTGGAATGACAGATTTTACCAACCCAAACCCGGCGACTTCACTCATGGCACTTGACTCGTTCATTGAAGAAGGAAACAACCTGAATGTAAACGCAACTATCTTTCCTGAAAATAATAAAAGTTCAGATTGAGTTCCTCAAAGACACAACTTCCCCAATGAACCAACTAATTCTTCTCACCACCATCGAAACTTCGACGCTTCTACAGCTGGTAAGAGTTTACGGGAGAGGCGTGCCACAGAACTTTTCCCCTTCTCCTCTCGCTCCGATAATTTTCGCTTTTCCGGGGTCTTTTTTTCTGCCGTGCGACTTAATGGAAAATGCGGCTTAGTCAGTGATAGGTGGCCGTGTGCCCCTGAGATGATCCGGAAGTATCAGTAGAAAAAGAGCAAACAAGTGGAGCAGCTTGCCGGTTCGCCAACCGATCATCCTGCCGTTCTTCCCTGCCCAATCACACTCGTTTCCTCCGGCTCCTTCTCGATTTTCGTGAGAAGAAGTTTGATAAGCAACCCTCAAGTTTTATGAGCTGTTTCGTGTGAGGAACATGTGAGACAGCTGCGAAAGCGACCATTTTCTGATATTATTCACTGCTGTTTCCTATCGAATACACCGCTTTCTGCTGCTCTCCGAGAAAGATTCGTGTGTGTGTGGGAATCATAAAACGAAATGATATTCGCAGATGTTCTGGTGCGTTCTCCGTTTTACATTTATGACCCAGCAAGGGCGAAAAATGCATCTTCGTGCCCAGGTGGCCATTTTCACTTTGCTGTCAGGGAAACCGACCCCTTTCATGACCTCATTCTGAGCTTCGGAGCACCATACCAATTTCCTTTCGGCCGGTGACTATCGTGCCCCAAAAGAGGCTCAGGATAACGATTTCCTGCAATTTATCCGATTGGCCCGTCGCCCTTTAGTCCACTCCATTGAACCTTCTCTCAAATTCATTACTCTTTGTTCGATGCCGACACGCGGCGCGGGTAACCCGAATAATTCAGTGTGAGAGTCGGAAAGCTTGACTCAAGTCATAAACCATTTCGGCATCATTTTTAGCTGCTTCGCCGACAAACCAGGGCGTCAATGCGGTTATGCTAATTCAATCAAATTTCCGAAACGAAATGCAATCCGTTCCCCAGACAATAAACCCATCCGCCAACATTGTTTTCTTTTCCTTGCCGCAGCAAAAAAGGAAAGGAGAAGAAGACAATATTTGATATAAGTTTTGCTTCTTCTTTGTCTTGCCCGCACAAATTGCAGATGGGTAAACTGAGATGCGAACGCCACTCTTGAAAGTTCAAATAATTACTTTTCGCCTCACAATCTCAAGAAGTTTATTTTATTAGAACCAAAGTGTGGAGTGATCTGGTTGCAAACTAGACCATCCCTGATGATTTCTCAGGAGACGAATAAGGAAATCACTTCTGTCGAATTGGCGGACCTTGTATGATCGTGTTCTATCATGCATGCAAATGAGGAAAAGAAGAAATGTTCGCGTTTGAAACGAAATCATCTCCTTCTTCTTCTTCTTTCTCACTCGTCGTGTACAGCGATCTTATTGTTGTTCGCAAAAAGTTGCGATCTGGGAATGACTCCTTTCGCGATACGATTTGAACATTCCGAAACATGATACCCCGTGTACAGTAGTAGGAAATGAACAGAAGCGGAAAATTGAAGAGTAACCCGAATGAATTCAACCAGTCAACCATGCTCGGATGCACAAAATCTAGATATCGCTTTTTTCAGATCGAAGAGCGCATCAACGATATTCGCAAGATGTCACTGGCGAAACGTGACCAGCTGACCAAGCTGCATCTACAGAAGCCGCCACCGGTGCAAGTTGTCACCCCGGAGAAGAAGAACAAGAAAAATAGTAAAACGGAGGTGAGCATTCATCATCACAGGAGACACGCCGACGGTGCCGGCACAAGCACAAGACACCTTGTGATTCATGCGCGGCCGGACGGTGCCGGCCTCCTACCGAAATTTTCTGTGTCCGGGTGGTTTCAGATTTTTATCTCAGGAAAGGGTCTAACTAGACGTACTTTCGACACCCGCCAAATATCACGAAAAACTACAGAGTTGTTTGGGACCAAAACTTTAGTTTTGTGTGTCGCTTACCACTGTTCATTTTCAAATTGAAATGGGAATGACGTCACGTGAATCGGGGAGAAACAGCTGGTTGCTTTGAAGGTTGCGCAGCGGGGGAAACACAGTTATCCGGTATAAGAAAGTTGCTTCTGCTACGGATCGCTTTCATTTCGCATTTCATTTTGTCCTTCAAGGGCTTTTGGTCAACAACTTTTTTGCCAAACCTAACCACTTTAGCCGGAGGGCAAAAAATAGAGCACTCACGTTACACTATATATATATTTATTTATTTTCAAATTCCCACGCTCAAGATTTTGGCGTCAAGCGTTGAGCCCAGAGTCAACTTGGGAGACTCAAAGGAGAGGATATATATTATCTTCCATTATTTGAACAAATTACACACGCGAGAAGCTGCTCCGCGCGACATCGGAAACTCGCCAGGGCACTGCGACCTCCCTCCCAGCTCGTCACCATGATATGCTCCTATCGTTGTTCTCACGCGAACACTCGAAAAACACTCCATGCGATGTCCGTCCGTCCGGCCCGTCCGCACCCATCCCTCCCACACGCCGAGTACTTCTATACCATCAGAATTTGCCATCTCATCACCTTCTTCTTGCCCTTCGTCAACACGTTCTTCTCCTCGGCTTTTTTGAACGGAAAGTCGCGATACAAATTGAAATGATCGCAGGAACCGATGCCGACCGATAGATGTTCCTTTTCTTTTCCTATCAAGTTTTTGAGGGCACCCAATCTAACTAGTTCCGTTTGAACACTCTAGTTTTCGAATTATTGTTACAGTCTCTGCCGGATGTGACAAACCTCATTTGAAAGTCAATTTTAATTTAATTTGGGGGCGGTTTTTAAATGATGCTCAATGGTTTATCAATGCCCATTCCGACCCTCATCATTAGATTTGAAATCACTCCTATTGTCCTCCCTAACTGCTCCGTGCTGACCCGTCCTCGAGGCACCAATAATAATAATGTGCAAAGTGCAATCACTAGGACGGATGCGTCTTTTGTGCAGAAGAGAACTGCACATCTGGAAGCACTTTTGACCGCTCAATCGCGGGGGAGCGACAGAATGAAAAACTCAAGTCGAAATTTGCGTAGGAGAGAAACAAAAGCGATTGGGTTGCCCATCTGTCTCAACCCCCATCTGTATTCAATTTGTTATCAAAATTTTTCGAATTTGAACCCCTGAATTTAAAGGGGAGAAAGCGGTACCACGAGGACAATTTCGCGAAATTCATATTAATAACTGAGTAGAGTAGGTGATGATTATCATGGCGTGTGCTATGCATATATCTTGTCTATGAATCCGAAAAGAGGACCCTGTTCGCTCTATTCGCTTTCCATTAGTCTATTTCTAATTAGAAAGCGCTTCAATTTTTTTTCAATTTATCAACTACATAATTAAAACGGAACGCTCGCATCAACTGCCTTTTCTAGTCTCTTCCAGCCGCGCCAGTTCGTTTTATTTTAGATTGTTGTTGTTGCTGCTGCTGCTGCTGCTTTTTCGTATTTCTTCAGCCGTCTTCTTCTCGCAACCGCCTTTAATTTTGTTCCGCTCTGAAAGAAGGGGGGAAATGGGAGCAGTAAGGTGCCTGCTCCATAATTATCCTTCCGTTCTTTTTTGGTGACCTCCTAAAAGTGAGAAGCCCATTCAGTGTCAATCTGTATCAACTTCTGCGCGCAAGAGGTTCACTTCAGATGCCCTCGGATGAACGCGGTTTACTGCCAGATGAGTTATATAAACAGATCGAATGTCCTTCCGCTGCCCTATCGAATCATCATCACTCCTTGTACGGTCAACCGTTCGCCTGTTTACCCATGCGCTGTGATGGGCCCTCTTCTTCAAAAAACAGCAACGTACACGCTGACGCAAATCCGCACAGCAAAGGTGGCTCGGAACTGTCTGCCCGCCACTGCCACCCACCAAAGTATGGTGTGATCGTCTGCGTCTCGCCGCCTCGCGCACTCTCTCGCGCGGCCTGTTGCGCGCGTTCGGCCCTTGCCTAGCGGCCTCCCTCTCTGCTCCGCCCTCCTCACACCATTCTTCATTTTTGCGTCCTGTCTCTGCCAACTGCATCGTATATCTCCGTTTCGTGATTTCGCTTCTGATGTTATCACCTCCTTATTGTTCTCTTCCATCAGCAAATCTGGAGCAACGAACAGCCTTCATGAAGCGCACTCTTCCGAGATTCTTGTCGTTTCGGCGCTCCAAGCGCAGGCTCATCACATCGGTGTCCGCGCCGCTCATTGTGATGAACTATAATGAAAATCAGTACGAGGTGAGTATTCATAAAATATCCTTGTAATCGAGGGGAAATCTGGCGGATATCTAGCACAAAATCGCGCGTAAATCGAGTTTATCGAACTTTTTTCGGATGCGCCGACATGAATAGCTAGATTGAAGACGCAAATTTGTCCCCAAAAAAGAAGCTCGCATCCATCCTTTCATTTTTCCTCCTCCTTCTCTCCGAATTCCAATTTCCGGCCTCAGCAAAGACTCTTTATGCATCCGTGAGGTTAATCCCATTTCTCATTACTTTTTGTTGACGACCTCTCTATTTACTCTTTATCAAAATCTGCTACATCGCTTTCTCTCTCTCTCTCGCTTCCTCTTTTCTCCGTAAGAAAAAGAAAGACGAAAAAGTGTTGACATTTTGGCGGAAAAAGTTTAATGAGCGGCAGCACAAACAGTTATGCTAGATGCTAGAACTGGTTCGGGTTCATGATCTAACCTGCCAGCGTGGAAAAGGGGGGAGGGGGTAATCATATCGTAATCTGACACCCATCGTTCCGCTCCGCCGCGAGTTTTGTTTGAGATAACAGGCCGCACAAGTTGGGACCGCGCGATCATCGTACAAAAAGGGTTGCCGACGTTCGTAGCCAATTCAGTCGGTTTGCCTAGAAACGATAAGGGGCTTGTTTGGTGGTGTTGATGAGATGCGTGCGTGAACATCGAAACGAGAAAGAGAGGGAGATAGAGGAAAAACGGACAGTACAATCGTTTTGCAGTAGCCATCCATCCCGATTGTTAGCTCTGCTAGTGGTTTAGCACCCAGTTGGACATCTCAACATCTCCTCCTCCCTCTATTGTTTGTTTCTAGAAACAGTGTCCCATCCCGAGTCTGCTCATCATCGCCTCTTTTGTTTGTTTGCAAAGCAACAGTCATTACACTGTTTTGGCATAATCAAACAGTGTAATCAATCGTTTTGAACGCAAAGGAGGAAGGAAGGGCAGAGTTGACTACTTTCTGTGGTTAGGAAGGGGACAAACTGATTTTATCGCTCTCGTTGAGGGTAATTGATGAAGAAGACTGAGAATGGGGGTTAATATATCAGGGGATATCAGTAGTGATTAGAAAGTTGTGATGTTTTTGAGAGATACGGCCTTTGCAAATACCCGGGGGAAGAGTGAGATTGACCCTTGGTCGTATATTCTTTTTCGTCCCTTGCGTGTTTCTTTCTGCTGCTGGTGCCAACGATTTGCGTAGCTCATCTCGAGTGGCCGTGCCACACACGTACGTACAATATGCGACAAGCACGCTAACCAAGCAACCACTCGGGGCAGCTAGCCAGTCCTTTTGCTGTTTAGTGCATCTTTTCTTTTCGTCCCATGAAACATCGGTCCAAGTTATGAAAATGAGGGAGAAAGACGGAAGCAAGAATCCATACGGCGCCTTTCGCAAATGGCCCGAAACGTTTTCATTTCCCATTGTTGAACCACTTTCCATTTCGCGCTTTGATAGGCTATCTGGTGAGAGTGTGTCGTCTCCTTTGACGGCCAGTTGTAAACGTTTCGAAACCGACTTAGGTAACAGGCGGCTATAAAAACATACTTAGACCCCCCAAACAATCCGTCATTTGGGCGACGCTGAAGATATAGAGGAAGTGGCAGGCCGGGTACTGAACACGTTTTGTTTGAAATATATGTGATGGACGATGAAGCCGTTCAGTTGTGGCAACGATAAAAATCGGTCCACAAACACGATAGTGTTTGTTTTAGTACACACAACTTTGAAACTTTTTGCCATTGGAATCGAAATAATAAAAAAGGATTGAGGCTTCGTTCGTCGCGGGACTAGCCAGCCAAGTCAAACTCTGACTAATTGCGGGGTATGTGACCATCTTGGAGTGGCTTGACATCACGGAGAAAAATATAGGTGCACATACACACACGCTGCTGTCAGCGCCATGTTAATTACACTCACATCCGAATATGTCCTTTCGATTTCAAGGTCCCTTTCGTCCCATCTTGGCGCTTTCGCTCGTCAACGAAAGGTTGCGCGTAAGACCCCCAAATGAGCATTTCGGTAGCAAAGAGGGAAAGGGAAAAGGGAAAAGAACACTGGGAAGGATCGCCAGCAGCAGATTTGGGTGTTGCGCTAATTGTTTGCGTTTAGAATTGGTGCTGCTTTTCGTGAAGGCAGGGCATTGACGTTTTTTTGAGCAAAGGCAAAGTTTGAACAGTTATTCTCCCTTGTTCTTTTCCCACCACCCGCCTTCCCATCAGCTCCATGTCCCTTCCACTACTTCAGAAGAAATATGGCTATTGGGGCTCTTTTCTCTCCAAATACTGCTTCTTGTGGACTCTAGTCAAGAAGCGGAGGGAAAAGACGAAGCTGAAGAGAAAGGTACCAGTTGCTGTTTTGACAGACATCTCGCGTTCAATCTCAACACCCAATCAAATAATTGTCACTCAGCGCTGCATGACAGATCCATTAAATAGATAACGCACCAAATTGCAAACACTGTGTGCTATTGTTGCAGTCGCCATAATGAGCCGAGTCCGGCGGCGGATGCTCGAAATGTGTTAAAAGGGCCCCTGGGACCAGTATGGCGCACTTCATTTGCGCGATTATTAGCCATCATTTGCAAACCCCGGGCGGCTTTGAAGTACACCAGATGTCGGGAACAAAAAGGGACACTCACATGGCCCCGAACTTCGATTTGAATCACAGTCTAAGGTTTTTCAGCACGATGTCAAAGACATGCCAAGCTGCTCGGGAGAAACGACTCCGGCCGGAATGCTCAGTCCAAGACGGGAAACCAGAGAAGTAACGAACGCGTTTGATGAGATGATTGCGACTGAGATCAGTTATGTTGCCGACCTGAAGGAGATCATCATTCACTACTTGGAGCCGTTTGAGGCCTCCGAGAATCAGAGCAGTCTTCCAGAGTCTCTTCGCGGAAAACCAGAGTGCCTATTCGGTTAGTTAATGAAAAATAATTACAATAATGAGCGAATTCTTACAGGAAATGTGCGTGAACTCTACAAATTCCATCATCGGGTCGTTCTGGAAGACTTGGTCGGTGCACAAACAACCACCGAAATGTGCCGCGTGCTCATGCAACATCGCAATCAGTAAGCCACGTCTTTATGTTCTCTATACAATCAGTGAATGTTTCAGAATCTACCTCACGTACCGCACCTATTGTCAGATTCACGGATCCAATCAGAAAGTGCGCGATTCGGTCAAGAACCACCCGTTCTTCAGAGACTGCCAGAAAAAAGCGAGCCACAACATGGACATGAGCTCGTACCTTCTCAAACCGATCCAACGTATCATGAAATACCAGCTCCTTCTGGCCAATATCATGGAGGATTGCCCAGCCGATGTGAAGGATGAGGTATCAATGACTCGCGACAGCATGGTCGAGCTGCTCAATCAGATTGACGCTTCCATGCAGCAACTTCACATTTCCGGATATAATGTAACAAATTCTCATCCGACAGGAACTGAGTTAATCTTTTCAGGGCGACTTGAAGTCTCTCGGACTGCTCCGTCTCCAGACCGAGTGTGATGTCTTCACGTACAACAGAAAGAAGAAGGCCAAGTTGTCCCGTGCCCAGAAGCGCTTCCTGTTCTTCTTCGATGGAGCCGTCATGTTTTGTAAGAAACGTGTCAGCAATCCGGGAACAACTTTGAACTCCGAGCCAGAGTACTTCGAGCACAAGTTCTGCATTCCGGTCAGTAAACCCCAAAGATGAGCACATCATCATGAAAGCATTTCAGATTCTGTCACTCGGCTACGATTTGTCGTCTCGCACTGGCGCAAGCAGGTTTGAAGTATGGGACGAGGCGAAGACTGATGCTTATGTGATCGAGACCGTCGACCAGGCTGCCCGCACCAAATGGATTCAGCGACTTGGCAAGAACGAACCGTCGTCGCAGGAAACGTGGCTCGAGAATCGTCAACGTCCGAAGAGCTGGGCGAGCACTGTCTCCAACGAAAGCTCGTGCTCATCAAGCACTCGCGAATCGGACAGTACCGACAGTACCATGGATACAAACGGGAACACGCAAACTACTCAAATAGACGCGCCCTACTCGCCAACTTTGGATCAAACGCTCGAGTTGTCGGTGGGTAAAGAAAACTATCAAACTGACTTGAAATATGGATAATTTTCAGATGGACACCACGACTCCGCTGAGAGCACCTGAGGTCAACAACGAAGTTGAGTTGGTCGACAGTTGCTGAAACTCCTGAAATACCCTGAAATACAGATATCCGAGCATGCTGTAAAATAGCCGATATTCTTGAAAACAATCATTTATAACTTCTCTCATAGCAGTATTACGGTTCCTGTGAATGCTGCAATTTCCTCCTATGTATCCTCCCAGTTTATAATTGTCCCTCTCCCAGTACACTTCACTCATTTACGCCCTCTCCCATGGTCCGCGGGTTTCTCCAAACCTTTAGATAGACAGTTTATATGTAACGGTAACGTCCCGATTCACTGCAGGATCTATGAGCACCACTTCTCCTTTTCTGCGTATAACACTCAAAATAGCGCCTCCACTCCCGGTTATCAGGCCGGTTGTGAATCTGTACGTGTTTTGCCAGTAGCTCCCTTTTCCCCTCCCCTCACCCAACAGCTTTTCTCTAAGTATTCACTAACTCCTCATCAAAACTCATGTATCTATGTCTTTGTAATTTAGTTGTTCCAATAAACTTTATTTTCGGTCAAGTCTGATTTCAGAATTCAACAAGAACATAACTTTTTAACCTTTTTTTTCTTGAATACAGAACAGGATCAGAAAAGGATAGTAGGATCCATCAAAATTTTCGAAAAACAATTCAAGTTTCATGTGACGCTTACTGTTGGATGCGAATCGATCCGATGTGTTATTCTATGAGTGGAACAGATTTCGAAATTTCAACTGAAAGCTCGGAGTGTCGTACAAATGTTACGTTGTTCTCATATTTCCCAATCCGCCTGCCGGAAACCTTCTGTTTCTCATGGGATACGGTCCTCTCTTCAAAATATGAATCATGTATTGTCGCTGATGTTTCCATTGAAAGAGAAACCCCCAATTCTTATTTTCTCAAAATCTGTTTTGTGATTTCATCTTATCAATTGCAGGTATGATCGTTCTTTTTCACCTTATCAGCCTCAAATTGATCGTTCTTCATTCGTTCAACGTGTATAGTTGAATGACATTTTCAAAAGAAATTGCTACAAAACTAAATTTTTATAGTGCGTCAAAAGCGGAAATGACAGTTGATTATGTACTATACTAGTCAGTGTATTAATAATTGCATTGTTAGTAATAGAAGGGTAATTCAAATGTAATTATTGTCCCGTTGCCCTCTTATTTGGAGTCATCCTTCCCCTTTTGTTCATTTCCGGCCCACAAAATGTGTACCCGTGACGTTAGTGACTACTCGGACCCCCCAAGTCGCGTGAGTACGCAAAGGGAATGTATGCACAAGCTGTAGCCCTAGAAGACAAACTAAAGATGAATAACCTGAGTTCACTTATTATGCATCCAAATTAGACATGCAATGTAAAATTTTTATTGTCATTCTAGGTTCTAGTTTCCTTACGCTTCATGACCATTAAAACAAGAAACAGCCCAACCTCGTTAGTCGTCTCCAGCATCAGTAATTCTAATTCAATTCCGGAAAGAAGGACTCTGGAGATACAAAAAATCCTTTCCTACTTAATCCTTGGATCCAAATCCTCTTGCAGTGTTTTGACGAGCCATCTTCCTTCCGAACCGACTCTCTCCGCTCTGTTCCGCCCTCCCTCTCGTTTCTCGCCCTCTCTTCATCGTCCGCGGAACCCTAACCCATTGGCCTCTCCCATATTACACCCGCCGCGTTTCCTGCACTACTACTTTTCGCTACTTTCTCGTTCTTCCTGAGGAATACCAGGTCATTGAAGTAATTGTGATAAGAAGATCTCAAGGACATTCCGTTCATATCCGCTCATCTTACTCGCCGCTTTTTTCGCCGTCAATCTAGAGACAAATCAGTCAATTGTGATCGAGCGTTTAGTGTGTGTTCAACCGATTGGTTTCTGAGAAGAATCTATTATTCGATTTCCCCCACAATAGCCTTTCTTCCAAACAAAGCCATCGCCTATTCGTTTCCACTCGCATGATTCTCACGTGCGTCTAGTTTCGCTATTCCACTTGGTGTTTTCACTTTCCCGACAGCTCATGTGATCTATTCCGTATACGCAACTTTCTCTCTTTCTCTTCCCCTTCTCCTCTGTGAATAAAATATCCGTTTGCTCGTTTTAAAAGTGTACACTTTCAGGTGTTTTTACGTTTCATCGACAAGATTAGTAGCCATGGATATGATGGGCTCGCTGCGGAAACGTAAGCCGACTGACGAAGGCATGTGATTCTTTTGAGTTGGTTAATCCGATCCGTCACACTTTTTAGAGGCACGTGAGACTCTTCAAAAGTTTCTGATAGCAAAAAAGCGGGCGAAGATGGAAAAGATCGCAAGGGCGCATAGCAACATGAACAAGCACAATCTGTCCCATTCGAGAATGGGACCTCTTCACTTGGACATGCCAGATATTCACCTGAACCCGAGTGAAATGAATATGAGAATGCAATCGTACAGTCAAATGCACCAGTACCGGCAGAACCAACAAGAAGAGGAGTCCCCGCAGTCCCAGCAGCCCGAGCAGGAATCGCCTTATCGCAACTTGTATCTCCTTCAGAACGTGTTGGACGAGGAGAATGAACCCAGAAAACTGTTCACATTGTATGACATAAAAGACGATGAGAAAACGAAGAGCGCATTGGATGTGAGTGTGACAAGTGACGAATGGGTTTCTATAAGGCACCATGCAATTTAGGCGCGCCATCGCCTACGATACACCAACATTCACGCGCTGATTCGTCCGGAAGAAAAGGTTTTCAAAACGGAAAATGTTTGTAAAAGTAAAGGGCCATTTCTTGCAGTTGTTCTTGATCACCGCTTGTGATCATTTCCAGGCCGATTATGACGAGCTCATAGAATATGTGGTAGCAATCGGTCAAATGGTAAAATAGCACTTCAATGCCTTTTGTTTATTGTCATATTCTAGCGTAATAAGCAAATAATTGTCGAGCACCACTATTACAAAGTGTTTATGCACACTTTGAAAATGTTCTACTACACTGAAAAGGGATGGCGATTCAATGTTGACTTTGACGAGTTCTTCAGCGGATTCCTTCGCAAGTTCAGAGACCCGATCGTCAATAAAATGAGAGATACGTACAACAAAGGTGCAATTATATAATTACACAATTCTAGTCCGACATTCAATTTTTCAGTCAAAACCGCCCATGATGCTGCCAAGAAAGTCAATGTTTCTATTGAAATTGGTACGGCTCCGCAGTGATTTTTTTCAGAATATTGATTTCCTACTGTTTCTTATTTTAGAGAACTCCATCGCTAGCATTTTCCATTTTTTTGCTTTTCATTTCACATAATGTGGCATAACAGCTGAATATTAACCATACACGCTTTTTTGAATTAGATGTACATATTATATTCTTCATTTAGACAACTGTGGGAGATGTACAAAAACTTTTACTTTTAAACAACGTTTTACCAACTTACAAATAAAGCTTGAACAGAACAAAAATAACAGATTACCACAAAAAGAAAAAAAAAGCCGAAAGAATTCAAACATCGAGAGGAGTATGGTCGGCGTTGGAGAAATAACGGCCTGCCTGAAACTGAAGGAGCATCGTTGCTTCGGCTTCAGCACTCGAGATGTTCTTGCAGGAAATGAAACGCATTATGATGCTGGAGATGTAGAATCCCCAGTTGTTCAGGAAATATTGATACATCTGAACGAAGTGTGGCGCGCGCTGCTCGTCAGACTGAAAATAAACAATTTATGTCATAAAAATACGTTTTCTGCTCTATACCTTGCTCCAGAAAGATAGTTTCTCAAGAATGAAAGACCTAGTGACTTGTAGAGATTCTTCGGGATTCATTTTGATACTCAATTTTTCGGGAATGGCTGCCTCCACTTGTTTCGACAAAGTCTCGATCTGCTTCAACCTCTGCTTCTTGACTGCAATATACATGGGTTTGGGCATACTTGCAAAATTCCAGTCCAGTGCTCAAACCGGAAATTCAAATAATTCATGACCTTCAGCATAGTCAAAAACTGATGAGCAGAAGCTAAGCAAACTAACCTTCTTTCTCATGAACCAGATTTGCAAATATTCCATTCTTCAAAGTTGCCTCGTACTTGTTCACTTTTTTCATCAGCTCGGCCTCCTCACTTCCCACGGGATACTCCTTGATGCCCTGTTTGGTCAGCTCAACAAACTTCTCGAGTTCTTCGTTGGTCAGTGGAAGCTCGCGGAGTTCTGTTTTCGGACCATTTTCTCCAGCGACAGACGGGACAGCTATGCCGTTTGCCTTGTTTTGAAGAGCTAGAAGAGCTTCAGCCGCGAGTCTCGCTTGACGATCCATTAGTTCTTTTTCTTCTTGACTTTTCCGAGCAATATCGGCTGCTTCAACAGCCTTTTTAGCTGCTTTCTTGGCCCTTTTCTTCATTCCATGCGACATTGGTTCGTTACTGTTGAAGATAACTGCAGTCGGCGTCACCTTCGTGTTCAGCGGAATCTCCATTGTTTTTGCCCGCGAATATTGATACCTCGCCGGTGTTGAACCGTTTCTACTGGTTAAGTTCATGAGGGTTGCCACTTGGGCCGCATTAACGTTGTTGATTGCCTTCTTCACTTGCTCGGCGGCTTTCAAGATTCCCTCCGAGAGCACAATATTGTTTGTAACACCCACAACGGAATTGTCTTCCTGGTCCTCGGCGGATTGAATACCTTCTACTCTGGTCACCAGACTCCGCAGATAGGCAATGCTCTTCTGTGCCGGCTCATAGTCAGCACTAAAATAAAGTTATATTTTTTTTAAACAAATGTTGTCTCGAATAACGTACCTTTTGGGTGCTGAAGTTTGTTCATTGCTGAGAGAATAATCCTTTTCCTCAGAAATCTTGAGCTCAGTTTTCTCGATCTGAGTTTCAGAAACCTGAAATCAATGAATAAAGCGATTTTCTGATTAAATTTCATCCTCACGTCGTCAATGACAATTTCTGGAATTCCCACTTGTTCGGCAGTAGGACATTTAGTGACAGGCGATTGTGATCCCGAAGACCCGTCTGTCGTGGAATTCTCCATACTCTCGGCTCCCAAATCTGCTCTGAAAACAAATTATGAAATCGTGATATTAGGGCAAAGTGCGAGATAGTTCGAAACCCCAAAAGTTCACATCAAAAACAAAAAGAAACGCACGTAGACGACGTCGAGCAAACATCGGTGGCCTTTGACAAATCGCTGATGACTCTTGTGGCCAGAAGTTTTTCCACCGCTTCTTTTTCCTTAAGTTTTGGGTAGAGCACACGTTCTTCGTACTCATGAAGAGCATGTTTGCAGTTGGACAGCAGCATCAAGAAAAGAGTGTGTCGATGTGCGTCTCTCACGCTTTTGTAGGTTTTCCAGCCGTAGATGACCGTTTCCAAATATTGTATGCGCATTTGAATTCGATCATCACACACTTCTAAACACATCGAAAGATTTGAATGTCGAACAAAACAATAGTGGAATACCTTCAAGCTCTTTGAGTGGCATGCTGTTCATTATCTCCAGCAGCGATTGTTCAACTTTCATTTCGATTTTGATTGTCATGGCTGCAAAAACGACGGATGAACATAAAGCATGTAAATCAGAAAGAGCGCCGAGAAATGTCTTGTATTTTGTGAGAAGGGAAAACACGCACACACAAAAACAAGCGAGCAGCAGACAGAAAAGGAAAAAGAGTCGATGCACGCCGGCTTCAAACGAATACAGCCTCGCTTCATCATTCCGAAAGCAGAGACTCTGTAAGAGAGAAGGAGAGGAAGAGGGAGAGAGTGTGCGGGGACCCTTCTCTGTGTTTATGCTTCTGCCCGGAGCAAGTGAGCACGAGACACAGCCCATTCCCGAATGCGTATTCGTATTCGTAAATGGGCTTCATGTGAAGAGGTAGCATGCTCTCGCCGTAAGGCCCCCAGGGGCTCGGATAATTATAACGATGGAGACGACAGAGAAAACCAGAAAGAAAGGCTTTACTACCAACCTCAAAACGGCCAATGAAAAATGGAAAATGAAAGAAGAGGAGACCGGCACAGGGATCGGCTGGTCGACACCTGTCATCAGCGCCCGCACCAACACCAAATCAGTACCAAGCAGGTGTTGATCGTTATGTCTGCTTCATTTCCAATCTGGACAGATGGCGATAGGCTCGTTACCATCCGAATTCGAGTTGAGAAGGACCCTGACTGACTACCGTTTGTTAAGTTGTCTTTCTAATTGTCACTGTGGAATAAGTGAACAAAGAGCAATTAAAACGGCGACAGTTTTTTGAACACAGCGCAAAGTAAAAAAAGGAAAAGTGCTTTATGAGCAATAATAAAAAATGTAGAAATGAAATCGGAAGATTCTAGCAACGACTCCAGTGAAGCGCCATAGCCAGAAATATTCGTTATATGTCAGTAAATTACGTAATCGGGCTCAGAAATTAAATTATTCGGAAATGTGTGGATTGATGTGCATGGGCAAGACGATTTTCGGGTGGTCTGTAAAATTCACAATCAAGTTACATTCCGATTTCATCAATAACTCACCAGAATTACTCAATTGGGTCAATTTCTTGCTCGGCGAGACGGAGTTCACGGAGTCTATAGAGATGATCCAAGTCGAACTCTTCTCCAAGTTGGAACGGAAGCGGCACGCGCTCCTGCACACGCTGGATGATGTTTCTCTCCACTTCCAGTGGGTCCTCTCGTTCCTCATCCGAATCGATTCCCGATGAGTCGTCGTGAAGAAGACCGCGCTGTCTGATGTACCTGAACATCTAAATTATAAAAACTTTCAGGTGTGTCAACTAACTCCGCTTCGAAATCGTCGAGTCGCTCGTTCATCGCGTCCATCATTTCGCGTAAATCGTTTTCATGCGCTTCGAGAGCTCCCTGGATCAGCGCCGGAACTGAGAATTATCAGAATTAACTTTTACTGGAACTGGAATTGAAAAACTTACCGATTTGTCCTTCGGCGTTTCTGGCTCTGTCAAGCCAGTGCCATCTTCTCGGTTGGGGTCTGACGAAGCCCAACTCTTGCTCGAGACGAGCGATGTCGGCCGATAACGGTCTCGATGGCGGATCCTCACCGTTTTCCTCCCTCGCTCGTCTCAAAACGATTTCCTGATTGCTTTCGTCCGGAGATTCCGGTCTCGGACCGAGCTCTACATCGCTACTCTCTCCTGGCTCCTCAGCAGACATGATGCTCTGAAATGATGTGTCAAATGAGCATTAAAAAAAATTAAGATAGAAGATAAGCAACGGATGCATGCACTGCAAACATTTTGAAGCGAAAACCGATAAATCAATAAGACACACCGAACTTTTATTTTAAAGAGAACACCGAATAGCAGCTGGAAAAGAGTCACTGAAATGAATAAGTAGAAGGAAAAGGAATGAATTCAATTAGATTTACAAAGAGAAGAAGTGTTGGCTATAAAATCAATCTCAAAATGTTTACGATCAAAATGGTAGCTGCTTTGTGTTATTCATCGTACAATAGAGGAAGGTTAAAAGAAGCGATTGTAGTCTTGTCGCTAATTGGGAAGACGGAGAAGAAGTATCTCAATTGTCAATGGTCTGTACATCGACATCCATGGTTTGCATGGTTCTCTTCGCAGCAGGTGCGTTTGCCAGTTCGGCAGGCGCCTTTCTCTTCATGGGTTCGCTTGACGAATCACTAAAAACGATGCATTGGCGCCAGTGAACAGATGTTGATAGGTTTATCATAGGAAAGGTGCAACGTACCCGTTTAAATTTCCTGTCTGTTTCTCGGTAAGCACCTGATTCTCAGTGATTTTTTGGGTCACTTTTGCTCTGAAATTGAGTTAGATTACTTTTGTTTTGAACATGGATAACTCACGGTTCTGTGGCGTCGGCCGGAGCTTCGGTGCTGGTGCCGGTGGGCGAAGGATCCCAATACATGAAAGGGTAAGTGTAGTCCAGATCGAAATCGCTGTCATCCGAGGACGAGTCGGAGTCGGTTCTAAAATCATGACATGACAATCATAAAGGCACCAGTTCTCACTTCTCCATCCGTTCTTGTCTCAAACGGGCCAGATTCTGCTCCATCGAATTTCGCATTGAATTTGCACGAAGACGGGTGAACTCCATGTCGGCTTGGTCGATCCGACGAGCGATTTCATCTGTGCGATGGCTTCCGGAATCACGCAGAAGGGCACGGACAGTTGTGAAACTTTCTGAAATGAAAAATATCACATGGCAACATGCCAGTTATTGATTGACCTGTCAAGTAATGCATCATGTTCTCGAGATCCTGAGGATGGTCATGCGTGTGAGGTGAATGCCAGTCCATACCTGAAAGAGAAAAAGTAAAGTAAAATTCAAACAAGGAATGGAATGGAGCGCCAAAATTGTGATTCGATTGATAATTGTTCGAAATGATAAGGAAACTTGATGCCAATTGAGTGTGTTAGCCTCAAGTGCGTGCTATGCCAGCATTCACGGCAAAAACTTGAAAAGAACAAGCCAAAAAAGGGCAGAAACCAAGATAACAAACCAGAACTCTACATCGACAAACGTGCCTTGTCTGTCGAAAGATGCGCCAGCAAGACGCGTTTGCGCCGTTAGCCGACGAGTTACTCACTGGCCGGTTCAAGTCCCGTACACGGGTCCCATGGAAATACAAGAGTCTCAAGTTTCGGACGATTTTTACAAGGGTTCCAAGAAATTGTCGCAATATTACAGGGGTCCCAATGAAAAGTCAACACAGGGGTCCCAATTATTCTTATTTTGATAATTTAATGTTCATTCAATAAAACGGTGACGACTTATTTATCAGCTAATCCGATCAATATAAATCACGAGCGCTTCAACACACAAAAAGTATTTATCCGTAAAACTAGAGCACGGGTTCAAAAATCTTTGCCATCAAGAAAGTAATCTTCGTGGAAGAGATTCAAAAGAAGTTCTTCGAGTTCGTCAAAGTTGGAGCAGCTGTTGTTATGGTAGTTGAGGCACGCACAGATTTGAGCTGTTTTCGAGTTCAACTTCTCCAGGAGATAGATGTACATGTAGGAGAACTGCATAAAATTCTTCGGACGCATCTGAATATTTTGTTTGAGACAATTGCAAACCGTGATAACTGACTTTAAGGTAATAGTCTCTACGTTTAGTGCAGAACGCAATCGAAAGACGGAGACAAGTGATTTCGTCCATCTGATTCTTTGCTTCATAACCAGACACGTACTCCACCATTTTCAAAGTATGTTCTGATCTGAAGTCGAGTTCTCCTGAAAGTGGTTTGTTTTCCCTGTCAAAGCATCTCGTTTTGATGCTATCTCACGTTGCTCCATTTCATCGAAGTCTCGATATACTATTGCAGCTTTCCGAATTTGTCCAATCTGTTTCTTGGACAGCGATTCGCCAGCCATTTTGATTGCCGCTTGAACTGCACGCTCTATCTGTTCCTCACGCTTCTTTTTTGTTTTCTTATCTATTTCTTCAGGCTCTTGAGGAAAGTATTTCGATCTGAAAAAGAGCATAAAGCATGGACATCAGAGAAAATGATAATACCTGGCTACAGTTCTCCATCTATTCGTTTTGGGCCAGATATCCTGCATGAGTTCATTGGAAATAGTCTCGAGACATGGCCCAGGAGTTACATTCACTGCCGACAGAAACTTCCGCGTCTCCGCCTCGGCAATCTTTCGCACCGTCACCGCTTCAGTCTCTTTCAGAACAGTGTTTGCACGGGAGATGAAGTCAGCAAGCACTCCATTGTCCATATTCACTGGCTCTCCAGCTTCCATTTTGTCTCGAATGTGTTTTTCTTCAATAGAAATGTCGTTGGCCAGTCTACGAAGATCCATTTTCAAATGGTTCGACTCTGGACTCATGTACGTATCCGCCAACATCATCGGCTCTTTGAAGCCGTCATCGTCTTTTCTGAAAATGAAATTGTTTCCCTCAGTTGCTTTTTCAGACTTACGGCAAAGGTTTACTGTTGACTATTGGTTCAATAAAGTATTCTTTTTCGGCCGACGCATCTCTAAAGTCTATTTTATTATTAGATGGGGATATGGGGACTAACGCTGAAATTTTCCTCTGATTGGTTTCCGGAGCAGAAAGAGAATCGTCAACAGTCTCTGAAAAAAAAACACTTTTTCACAAATTTTTATTTCTCTGTTCCTCCGTCCCCACTTTTTCATTGCTCTGCGCTCCCCGGTCATAAAAGTCGTTTAACAGATAATAACACTAACTTTCTTCTTTTTCTTTGTTAGCATCACCCAACAGGTCTTCAAGCGCAATGTCAAAGTCCTGTGGCTCACTGCTTTCGTTTTCCGTCTCAGCGACTTCATAAGCCTCATTATGGCCGTGGCCATCTCCGTTTTCTTCCGACTTCTCATCTGTTGTTTCAGGGGTGTTATTACTTTTCCTGAACGAAACAAAAATTGACGAATTGTTTGTTTCCTAAATAAATTTCACTTTTCAGATTGCTGTTGCATTTCAGGTTTCTTCTTCTTCTTCTTCTTCTGTTTGTTCTTATTTTGCTGCTTGAGAGGAGCAACTTCTTGCTGTCTTCAATTCAATTTTGAAGTGTTGAGAGTCAGAAAAGAAGATTAACTCACTTGTTTTCATCGACAATCTGATTTCCGTTCTCCTCTTGTACTATTTTCGGTTCATCATTGGCTTCACTGCGTGTCAGTTTCTTCGTAATCAAATCTATCACTTCTTTCTTCTCTTCTCCCAAAAAGTTGTGTTCTTCAAACCACCGAATCTCTTGCCTACTGCAGTTCGAGAACAGATTGAAGAGATGTCTGATGTTCTCTTCGCTCAACTCGACGCTCTTCCACCCCGATACCATCTTTAAGGCCAAATTATGATAAGATCATCTCAAATACACTTACTTTTTCATGATCCGATGCGATGCTATTAATCTGGCCGGAGACGAACTCTTCAAAAACAGATTTTTGAGGACAATGAAATAGTGTTCAAACCTTTCATCGATGAAATGCTTATGGGTTCGCTCATGATACGACTAGATTTGATTTTCTGAAACATTTGAGTATAGTTTCAGTAGGGAGTCCTTAAAAAAGTGGTCAAAAAAAGGCCGTCAGCACACACGCAATAAACAGAGAAATGGGAACAAGGCACATTGGCTAATTCATGGAAGAAGTGCAGAAGGTCCTTTTTTTGATCGTAAGCAGCGTCGAGTGAGAAGTTTTATGAACACGGCATGACAATTCTTTACAGCGAATGGAAGATCGGCCGGCCACGTCTCGGCCGAAACGTTCTTGTGTAAACGAAACAAAACTAAGCGACGAAGGGAAGGGAACATTTTGATGCACTGTGAAGTCTCAGCCTTCTTCTTCTTCTCCCTCTTTTTTGTTCGCATTCTCCCACGATGAGACGGCGAGAGAAATCGATAGAATGCATTCGAGAGGCCACGCCAAAACCAAAACGGGAGGCAAAGTGTGGGAAAAGAAAACGGAAAGCTCGAGGTGCTCCTGCCTTATTTCTGGTCCATTTCCGCGCGCGCGCTCGCGCATCCGTCTGATTGGATTTTCGGCAGATAATTCGGAATTGAGATTGAGAAGGGAAGAAAGCGTTAATGATGAGGGTGTGGTGAAAAATCGCGGTCCGTGAAGATGAAGGAAGTAGGCCACCTGATAAGTGAAAAAAATTTATTGGATTCCGACAAAAAAAACGGGGACATTAGAAGTGCGGTAGGTAGCGGTAAACGAACACTGGGAGAAAAGGTCATTTCGCGTCGCGGATATTTCATGATAACGATCACGGAAGAACGATTCGTTTGTAGGCCTCTAGCCTTTCACTACATCGCCCATCACACGTTCTGTACAGAGATATTGCGCGACGTGTGCGGGGTATTATTGAAGCACAGCAAAACACACACACACAAATCCTCGTGAATCTGAAATGCGATGAGTAGCAAGCATTAATATAATCCCCCATCGGGAAACGGCTTCAAGAAGAGAAATGTTTGAGTTTCACCAAAAATTTATTGCAAGTGAAGTGAAAAATAAACAATAACAGATCTGTAATCGTTCTACCGGAAGTTGGGTTTTTCGGGTTTCCGGCTTGTTGTCCTATCTTTTCTGACTTTGTAATTTTTGTTTTTAACCAAACCTCAAAGTGAACATTATCAAACTAAATATGTAGTGTCACGTTCCAAAATTGCAACAATATCTGAACAGTATTTTATATAAAAATCGAACTTTCGCGTGACACAATTTGTGTTCTCACTGATGCCGATGGCCTTGAACTGCGTTACACGCGGAATTGTTTCCAACGTTGATTCGACAAGCATTCATTTTTCCGCTTTGGTTCGCAAATTTTCGATAACATCTATTTATCTGCATACATTTTCATGAACATCCGCAGGAAAAGTGTTCCAAAACACAGTTCGTCATTAGCATTTTTATCGTAAAATTGAATTGAGCTGATATGGGGAGCGGATGTTTTCCATTTCAACCGGCCCAATAAAATACCTGCCCAACTCTTCTTTCTTGTTTTATCAGTTGTTGTATTTCACAACAGAAATTATACAAGTGTGTGTTTGTTAGTTACCGACGTGAATCACTTGTCCCTCCGTCACTACTTCTCCCGCTGACGTCGTTGTCTGTGATTCTTTTTATCTACGAGCGTTCTCCAAGGTAACGCGAGCCCAACACCGTTGTCCCTTATATGTTGCGACTTCAGAAGAGAAGGTGTGTACACGCCCATATCACCCGACGGCGGCTTTCCGTTTCCGCGCGCAGGGCTGCCCCGTTGTTGTTATGGGCGACCAGACACACGATGATAATGCTCCCGACATGCGCTTTGAGCACTTTCACATTTTGATTAACAGCCCGCATTTCCATCTCCGTTCATCAGATTGTTTGATTCCTTTTTATTCTCTCCTTTTTCCTCTTTGAGCCCAAACAATTTCCGGTGATTTCGAGACGTGCAATATCGGAAATTGTTGTAAAGATCACAAGCACTTTCCGGTCAGAACTAGATACATTTGTTCGGATAGTGAAATATCTGATTCATCCGGATGATTATGTCTTCTGTCTTCTCAAAAGCCGCTTTCTAGACACTATAATTTTGGTCAGAAGTCTCGAAAGATTCTGGCGAAATCAGTAATCTTCCATCAGAATTCAACACCACATTTCATAACTTGTCACCTTGTTATGTTAGCCCGCCAAACTACGATTTCTCCGCTCGCACACAGTCACAAATCCCGTTATCACGAGCCTGATATGATTTTCCGAGAGTCGGTCTCCACAACAGCAGATGTTTTATCGTCGCGGTACACGTAAATCAGGCGGACACAAAACTCAATAAAAGGCCCGAGGTGTCAACCTAGACGCACGCTCTTATCCGTCAAGTTCCCACGAATTTGTGGCGAAAAGAGGAAGAAAGAGGCAGTAAAGAGGTGTTGAGGGGGCACACACTCGACCGACGGACGCTTTAAGATGACCAATTAGCATTTCTCGAGCAATCCAGTTCTACGTGCTCAATATCGCTTTTCGGTTTCCTTGTTTTCTCCTCTTTTCCTCTTCTTCTCCTTCTTTCTTGCTCTTCTTTTCTCACTTTCGCATTCACATTCACATTTATTCATCCGGTGTTTTTCAGCCACTCCGTCTTTTCATCATGGTTCAAGGTTGTGGTAACAAGTGCGTCAAGTACTTTTTCTGGATTATCAACTTCCTATTCTTTGTAAGTTTGAGCGATTATATAAATCCTTCATAGTTGTGTTGCTTAGGTTCTCGGAGGTATAATCGTTGGAATCTCGATATGGATGCTTGTGGACAAAAACTCACTTTCGACGGTCGCAAGCTCGGTGAAAGTGGACTTGACTCAACTAGTCAGTCAAATCAATGTGGATCAGGTATTAGAAATGCGAGCCTTTCCTCCAAAAAAGAGTCATAATACTAGATTAACATGTTCCTCTATGTCGCCATTGCAATCGGAGGAGCCCTCCTAATCCTCGGATTCTTCGGCTGCTGCGGCAGTTGCTGTGAGAGTGTCTGTGCCATTTCCATCTATTTCCTTCTCGTTCTCATTCTATTCGTCATCGAAATCGTCGCTATCGTTTTGTACTTTGTCAACAAAACCAATGTAAGCTAATGATTTCTCGTAGATGAACGACCAATCAGGTGCCTTTCAGCTCCAACAAGCTTTTGTCAGCCTCTGGCGTGACGAGCTCGTCTCCAAGTACAATTCTCAACAACAAATCCGTCAAGTTCTTGACCAATTCCAAACTACCGTAAGTTTCGCGAGATCAGACACATGCGCATGACTTTTCTGTTTTCGTGTTTTTGTGATATCTCAAGACTTCTGACTAGGTGGCAGTCAAATCAATTACAAATTTCAGCTGCAATGCTGTGGAGCCTCCGGATGCAGCGACTACGTGATGTACGGCGCCTTCCCCTCGTCCTGCTCATGTGCCACTATTCAGCAGGTGAAAATAAACGACTTGGCCGTTAGAAATTATAAATTTAACGAGCACTGTTGGGTGTCACGCAAACGAGGCCAATTTTCAGCAAGGATGTGCTTCTCTCATCTGGAGTGCTGTCGAGAACAATCTCATCTACGTGGCTTTTGTCGGAATCATCGTCCTGTTCGTCGAACTTCTCGCCATGATCTTCTCCTGCATCATCATCAGCGCCGTCCGGGAGAAACGCTCGACAGCCTAAGCTGGCTGAATCATCTCATTTCTCATCTCATTTAACCACAAAGTGTGACGAATCCCTGTTATTTATACTTCTATTCAGATTAAAATTCAACCAAACATTTACTCTTATTACTCTGGAAAAAAACGTTTGAATACATCTCTCCCATCACATAATATTCTTCGCGAAAATGCCAAATAACATTTTAACCAAAAGAAGATTTTTATGTTGATTATGAATTACTGATTGTTTTTGGAGTTAAGATGACATAAATGATGGCTTGAAACAGATGATTTATTGTATTTTGCAGTCGCTCTCGTCCGCCACTTCCTCGTGATTGCTCTTCTCTCCATGACGACGCATTTTCAGCGAAAGATGCTTCGTTCGACTGGAAACATAAGCCAAACTAGATGAGGTCAAGCCCTTCATTCCACAAACCGGATAATGCTCGAGCTGCGGGAAACTTTCGGCTCATCGGACAGCTTCCTCTCGACTTGTTCTTTGTCGCGCCGCGGTGATTTCATCTGAATAAGTGCATCACGTGTGAGAATATTCGCACTGACGTTGTCAGACTAGGAAAACACATACGCGCAACGACAGGTTTCGCTTCAAATCGCCGATGTGCAATGGGACGGAGAGCACGGGATGCGAGACCTGCTTATCTAGTTGCGGCTGCTCGCGGGTCGATTGAGAGCCGTTCGCTGGCGAGTCCGACTTCTTTTCGTTCTGAATCGACACTAATCACCATCATCAGGACCCGGGATAAACCTCCATGATTGCTTTGCGCGTATCTCGTTTTGATGAAGACTTGGCGCGCACCGTAGCCGACCTACGGATCGAAGGACTGCTGCGGGTCTCCTCGTCCTCAGCCACGTCATCCAGGCGACCACCTCCTGCCTGGACAACTAGGGTTAATCTGGAGTTCATTAGGAGTCCTTGTTCACCTTGCAACGTGGGAACCCGGAGAGCTCGAGCAGAGTACGAAAGACATCAGTAATTCTGATGTTGTCCTTCGCAGACACCTCGATGTAACGAACATCCGACGACAAACGATTAGTGAAGGCCTTCGCAGTCTCTTCGTAAATCTTTAGCACAAAATGTTCATCTTTTGCTCCCCTGGCAAAACAAACCTTCTTGTTTTCAACGTCACACTTGTTTCCCACCACAACGATTGGCAACTCGTTCAAATCACTACGTCTCGAGCAAATCTCTTGCCATATATCCGACATCTGGAATTACATCCGATTATGAAATTATGGCATATTAGCCCCCGCAAGACCACTAAAATGGAAAACTGAGAAGAGGACGTCTTCTTTTTTAATACGGATACTGTAGGTTGGACACTACTTGCCTCCTTGAAACTCGTGACATCGTCCACCGAGAAAACAAGAAGGAATGCGGACGCAGAAGCGATTGAGAGACGTCTCATGTCAGGAAAGTTGAAGTTCGTGTCGAGAATGTCCAGTGGCAGTGGAACACCCTGAAAACTCTGTTTAAAACCTGACGAAAGTTAATTAGATACTCTCGTTTACAAATTTACAAAACATCCTACGAGCAGATTTTCTGTTTGCTCAAGAATCAGTTACACTACGCTGGTTTCGATTCCACTGACTTTGAGCAAAGTTTAATGAATTAACTACAAAATATATTGTAAATGAAAAGTGCAAAACATTCTACTAAACCTCTTAGCTTTGCCAATTCTCTTGAACGTACCTGAATTCGGAATTCTCTCGAATGCAAGTCCTCGATGGTCTCCTTGTACTTGTTGGAGAACTCGTTGTAGAGATAACGTCGGATAATGTTAGTCTTGCCCACTTTGGCCGAACCGAGAACGACCAGACGGTACCGTTCCTCGCACATTTCGTCTTCGGTCTTCGGCTGCAAACATTTCAACATGGCGGCGGGGACCACGAATGAACAAATAGAAAAGCAGGATGGAAGAGACTTCCACAATGAACGAAACGTTTTCTCCATGGTCCAAATACCCTCTCCATGGTTATTTTATGTCCGGTGACCAAGAAAATAAGCAATAAAATGAGAATTTCCTCAAACCGACGAATTATAAACAACTTCCTTTGTTTCAGAGAAATTTTGCTTTCCAATCAAGTACTCAAAGAAAGGAAGGAACGAAAAAAAGAAGAAAGCTCATTATCAAGGTCTCTCGGTCTGAAGAGCACAAATGTTCAATCATTGCGAACGTTTCCCCCAGGGACTGATGGTCGACCGGAGAGTATCACTCTTTAATTTCATCTACTAGACCTTTCGTTTAGTTTTGTTTCGCTTTTCAATTTCCGTTTGCTCGGGCTCAAAGTTAAAATGAAAATGCGGGCGGGTGGAGGTTTCCGACTTATCGCATGAAAAAGAATATAGCGTTGATGAAGTCTAGACCCGAAGAATTGTCCCTCTTCTCGATTCTTTTTCTCACGCCTGCTGTTCCTTGTGCGTAAACCTACGGTTGTTGATGGCGGATTCGACGAAGAATGCGCAGCCATTTCAGTAGTCCGGATGAGAAATCACAGGGTGGCAGCGATGAATATTAATTGAGCGGGTTCGGGTGAGCGAACAACGGAGTTGGAAGACGAAGAAGGAGAATAGAAATGGAGCCGGAGGGCTCCGTCACACTTATTTGCAGGAAAACGTGACTTCTCCTTTTTCTCCTCTCTTGGAAGATACTGATAGAGAGAATATGAGGATGATAGACTATGAGCCGTGCTAGGAAAAACGGAGGCAAAACACTCTTTTCTCTCTCACCGGAATTATATCTTTTTATCCTCGCTTTTCTTCTTCTCACTTCTTCTTTTCCTTCTCCTTCATCGTCTTCATCTTCATTCTGGCCGTGCTCAAAGTGGGAGGAGTAGTTAGTGGTTGATGGATTAAAACCCCCGGCCGTAATCTGCATATTACATTGCGCTAACATTTCCGCACACCTCGTCTTTCCTAATAAGTGTGTTTTTGAAGAGGACCGGGCTCGTCCGACTCGTCCCAGGCACCCCCATACGTCTCCAATAAGATAAATGGCAGGACATCCATAATCCTTCTTTTTTGAAAGATGTGGACAGAGTGGATGAGGTGGTGAGAAGATGCATAGGTGCACCCGAACTCATTTGGAGTCCACGAGTTTTCGAATAACAGGGGAAACAAAGGAACGGACGGATGAAATCATCCACAACCAAAAAAAAACTGGAAGAAAAAAGCCAGCACAGGCTAGATTAGAACTTGATGAGCATTGAAGCAAGAAGAGCGGCCGGCCAAACCCCACATTTGTGCCGTTTGACACCATAAAATTGGAGATATGCGAAAGAAAAAAACGACAAGATAGTCTTGTTTTTTGTGGTTGGTCCAAACTTTGTTTCAAGATTGAAAACAACTAGATTTTCAGCAGTTTCAAAACAGAAAAAACGAGCTGGTGTCACTCATTCAAAGATGTAATGCATTTGAGAGCGCCATTCAACTCTACACAGTCCAAAGTTGGCACGAACTCTGTTTCACATCAGATCTTGAATTCTAGAGGAATGCGTTTCTGCGGAATGAGAAAAGAAGAAAGAAGATGCTGCTCGGGGGATTGAGGGATGATAGGACACAAACTTGAAAGAGAATTGAATATTACATCCATTAAATAATCTCCCGATCTGGCTTCATTGGAATTATAAACATCCAATGTGGGAAAATAATGGGTATGGACGTTTCCCATCCATTCCATTTTCCTATTTCTTTTTCTGGAATGTGTGATATTTTTCATTATTAGGCTTCCATCGCGGATTGTGTTGATTGTTAGGGAAGCGAAAGGAAACGTGTGGATGGCGACTGTGTGAAGCTCTTTTTGGGCGGCAGAAAAAAAGCGGCTCAATGTCTCTATCACTAGCTAATACGGGCTGCGAAATCCAGGATTATCACGAGGCTTTGTACTTTGCGCACTGCATACGAAAGCGATAAGAGAGCGAAAAGCCTCGAGACAACACATTCTCAGATATTACGGATGCAATTGTTGTGGGAGACTTTGTCCTACGGGAGTGTCAGAGCATAGAAAATGAATAACTGTCACTATTTTCACTACCGTAGTCATTTAGTTAGAACAAAGCCCCAAATGGAGCTTATGAAGATAAAATATGGTGAAAAAGGAAAACAGATATTGAGGATGAAATGAAAAAGCAACTGGATGTCCATTCTCTCCTCAATTATGAACCCAACCGCCTCCCGCAAATTCATAAATTATTCAATGCACAAAGGAGTGCGTGCTCGTGCTGGTGCCCCGCTTCGGATATGAGTGAAAGCGTCAGGGGGGTCGAAGAAGAAGAAGAAGAAGACAAAGGTTAGAGCCGACGAAATCCTTTGATGTGTTGGCTTCTTGTGTTTTTTCCCGTCTTCGGGCTGTCACACCACAAGACGCCGGAATATTATTGTGGTCTCTCTCTTTTTTTCGCCAGAATCAAGAGTTAGGTGAAGCCGGTCGTGTAAATAGGAAAACAAATTGGATTACTCCGAAATTGAATTTTTTGGGGCCGCAAATTAATCATTGCAATTGAATTAGATGTATTCTTCACGTCCGTTTAGCATGAGTAATAATGACTGTCGTCGTCGCTGGAAAGCATGCGGAGCAGGTGAAAACCGCGCGTGATTATCCTCTATTAGGGAGTTCGTTTGGTGACAAATCATTCCCGCAGCTTTCCCGTAGATTTGTTTATTCCGAGGACAACAAAAATGGTCACAACGAAAATGAAAAAAAAACCACAAGCCAGTAAGCTAGAGACATCAATTATAGTGAAAACTATCGAACACTCGGGGGTTCACTACTTCTCTCCATTGTCCAAAAAGGGAATGAATTGGGAACATATTGTGAATGAACTAAAATGATGTTACACAGACACGTTGATGTTCTTCAAAAGGGAACTAAAGGTTGAAAAGAAACGATGAAACGATGAAACGCAAATTGAGTAGTATTCAAAAAGAGTACATTATGTGTGTTAAAGCGAGGAAATTTGAAATAGAAAAGAAGAAAGCCGGGGGAGGGGGGATAATTCGGATGCCTAGATCAACGGGTTCAAGCAGTGTTATCAACGAAAGCTGGAGCCGGCGTGACCACGTCCTGGTGGGGCTCCAAAGTGATGTCGCCGACGTTCGAAGAATCGTCGCTGCCCGACTTGGTGCGCTCACGCTTCGCTGCCTGAAACACTCGTTATCTGCGAGATGAACTTTCCGTGCAGATACAAACCTCGCCATCGCTGCCGCTGCTGCCGGTCTGATCCTCATCTTCTTCTTCCTCGTGACAGAATGTTTCCTGGTCGTTCAGCGTCTTTCTGTTCCATCCTCGCACTTGCTGTCCGACGCTTTCCTGACGGTCCAAAGTGTTCGAGCGAGATCTCAGGGTGGAAGCGTGGTCGACAGTCAGTTCGTGCGGCATGCACTTCATTGGAGCACGGAAATAGTAGAACGATGGGTAATGGACCAGGTTGTAGCACGAAGAAGCGTAGACGTCAGCATATCTGAAATGGGATTGGTCTTTGCACTTGCTTCCCTTTTTTAGAACAAAATCTTTCAGCGAAAGATGATTTGATTCAGATATCCTAAAGGGGATTTCCGCTCACCTCTCAACTTGAGCAGCGAAGAAAGTGGTTCTGCCTCCGGTTCTGAACAAACTTCCCAAACATCCGTACTCCTCGTCCATTTGATTAGTCAGTTTCTGCAAGAGTTGATGTGATTTGATAAAAAGAACATGCACTCACTCTAATCTTATCAACAATATCCTTGACAACGGGCTTGTGACGAGAAGCTCCGTCCAAATGCTTGTAGATATCGGCTAGAGTGCTCTCCATACCGCCCATCTCATCGAACAACGGCTTGCTGTCGGTCCAGACGGTCAGCTCATTCACAAGTTCCGGGACGACAAGAAAAGTTCTCCATCCGCGAGACTTCTTCGAGCGGAGCACGTCTCCGAAGATGTGGTCTCCCACATAGAGAACTTCCTTTCCACGGCACTTCATCATCTTCTGGAAGGCATCGCAGGAACCTCCAGAGTAGACGACCCCCTCTCGCAGAGGTCCGGTGTGGATTCCCAATTTGTAGGATCCAGTGTTAGTGTTGACCTCTCTGAAGACGGTTCCCTCGGCAAACCATCTCGGCTTGCACGAGTCGACAACAATGATGTGGAAGTACTGTCTCCACTCGTCGCCGAGAATGAACTTCATCATCACATTAGTGTACGACCAGTCACTGTTCGTCAGCAGGAAAGTCTTCTTTCCGTGCTCTCTCAGCTGGTTCAAAAAGCGAGAAGCACGCTCGTCGCGGAGCACATACTTCTCCGGATCGGCCATCACTTGCTGCTTCATCGAGCTCTGAACAAATCTTTCGTCTCATTCCCCAGGGTGCTCTCAGTCTCACCTCGACGTGAACCCAATCGATCACTCTTCTCAAGTCCTGGAAAATCGACTTGTATGACATCATCACCTCGCCACCCTTCACTCCGGTCTTATCAGCAAGTCTGGAAAGAGGTGATTGAACGATTCGTCCTTGCAATTTCACTCACTGAGAGTAGTCTGCATGCTTGTCGAAGAAGTCGATGAGCTGACAGATAAGATGCGTCTCGGGCAGGTTGAACAACGTGTTGAGCACATAGACGCGCGAATCCGAAAGCGGCAGGTACTTGTTCGGGTACATCTCCTCGATTTCATGACTGAAAATAAAGCATGTAATTTTGTTTTTGTGTGATTGTTTTGCGTTTGCGTTCACGCACTTTTTCAGGAAGCGAAGTCCGTGAATTCCACCGAGAATGTTTCCAAACCCGTCCACTTTGAGCAAGTTTCCGTATTGAAACTCGAACCACAAACCTGAAAGAAGAAGAGCGTATTACAAGGTGATTACTCTCTATCAACACCATCATTACATGAAGATTATCTGTTCTTTTCACCCCACTAAACGTTTCTAATGCCAGGCGATTACAAGGTCGTCTTTTTCGCGCTTTCACATGAACATTACTACCGAAAGTGACGAAATTCTAAGATTTAGAATATCTGTCAACGACAACATGGGCTGATCGTCGAAAACAAATGGGAACGACTGATTTATGATGGTGCGCGTCGTGTTCAATGTTCGCAGAATGATGGGAAACTTCTCTTCGTCCAATCAGAATACAAAAAGTTGAGGACATACTCGTCATAATGTGTGGTGTCATTCATTTTTAATTGGCAGCAGTGTGGTTAAGGAATTCGGCTGCACGTGGCCGATACCGTACTCACCTCGGACTGGAAAGATCGGATCGTATTTGAAGTTCTTGATCTCCTCCGGGTATCCAGTGTCAACCAAACGCTGAATGGCCATATTGAATGCCAGGAACTCCATATCCGGGGTCTTGTACTCTGAAATGGAATGTTCGTTCACTTCATGGTACTGAACTGGGTTCACTTACGAATTAGAGTGTAGTCCATGTCGAATCCGAAGTGAGTGATCTTCTCCAGACGGAGAGAACGGTTGACGAACACTCTGAAAGGATACGTTTTAGTGAGTGCGGATTGCATTTCTGCAAAAGCCACTAATTGTTGCTATGCCAGAGCTACACCAATCCGTCTAATAATACCTTTCGTCGACATTTGAAGACCAGCTAACCATCTTTTCTCACTTTGCAGAAGAAGTTCAGTCAGTTCGCACGCGGCCAGAAATAAATACGTTTTTTTTTTAGGAAAAGAGCAACAAAAACCGATAAAGTGCAGAGTGAGAGTCAAGTAGATAAAGCAACATTGGTGAAAAGTACCCTTGGCTCCATACCGAAAAGAAGATAAGAAATGATAACGGCGGGGGTGACACCTGAGGTTCACGATTGGATTCCTTCTTTATGTGAAAGTGGGCAGAGACGAGAACAAAAGCCATAAAATGGTTATCGTTTCACATTATTTTCCAGGTTATAATTAAAGCGAGTCACAGAAAGAAGCTGCATGTTGGAAGCGAAGGCTGTGATCCCGCCTGCTTGAAACGGAGGACAGGAAAGTGACTGGCAGAGGAGGCGATGATTAAAAACCCTCTACGGCCTTGGTGGATGCGCGAAAAGTGATGGAAAAATTGCAGATGCACTTTTTATATGGGCACGATTTTGATAGTCAAATGTCAAGGAAGACAACCTTGAATTCTCATTCAAGTGAGACTAATCCGAAAATATTTTCCAACAACTATCATCATTTTACGCACTGTTTTACGCTTGGCGGAGCAATGTTCGAGTAAGAAACGAAAGGGAGAGAATGCATAAATACGGGGAGGTAACAAGTTCGTGCTGTTTTGTGGAGAGCATGTCCCGTTTTCGCTCTCATGCTCCTGTGAGCATACTTGCTCTCTTAAGTTCTTCTTCTTCCCTGTCTTGGTCTTTTTTTCATCAATTCTCAAGAGAAGTCGGCAGCCGTTCTCCGAGCAAAATGACACACTTTTTGGGGAACGAAATGGAACGGAAAAAGCATAATTTCGCAACACAAGAACTAATAAGTTGGCTCGCTCACCTCTCCGAAGGGTTTCTCTTGTAGAACGAACGGTCCGTTGACATGATGATTCAATCCTGCAAACAAAATGATTATGGCAGAAAGCGACACGTGGCGCACAATTGAGAAACATGCGACAAAAAAGGAACACACATGGAAAAACAATTTCTTTGCCGCACCACCCGTGTTGGAGAATTTATAAAGAAGAGAGCAGCAAAAACAAAAGGGAGGGGCTGGTGATCGAGAAGATTTGTTATTTAATGCCACGTCGCGCTAGTTTTATAGGCGCGCGAAAAGTCATAAGAACTTTCTAATCACATGTTGTTGTGACACTATTTTGATTAGCGAAAGTGAGGAAACATTCTAGAAAAAGACGACGTCTCCTCATCATCCATAATCACATTGATTTGGGGAATCTTCTCGCGCGTCACTTTGCTTCTAAAAGGGACGGGACGGGCAAGCGCATAAAGTGTTTGACGTCAGCTTCTACTGCTTCTACGAGCAAGGAACACTGAGTGACGGCGGCCAGTTCTTTTCCAAATGAACAACGAGGAAGAGTCTTCACGCATTTAAAAATCAATACGGCTTGTTGGTACATAAATGAAAAGCACATTGGTTCTCGAAATATCACAGCCAGCCGAACCCAACTGAACAAACGTTGGTTCGAAGAACGATCAGCGCCGGGCACAAAAAATGAGTCACGCGTCGGATCTGCTGCTATATTTACCTGACCGCTCGATGGATTCGCATTTTATTTTTTGACGAAATGTTTCGATATCAATCGCAGGCGCACGCTTCTTTTCGTTTTCTCAAGACAGAATCTGCATGAAGTGCAATAAAACGACAGCACAAAGGAGGGCAGGAGAACAAAAGATAATACACTGGCAAAAGATAAGAAGCGGTTTGCTGGAGACGACGAGAAAGGAAGGGTGGTTCAACTGGCAAGTGCGACGGAATGACAATGGTTCAGCAGCGAGTGCCGCCTCACGTTCACCCTGACCACCGAGTGCGCCAAATCGTACGACAAAGTGCACAATGGTCCCTGCGGATTACACTGCGGAGCTGCTGCAGCGAAACGAAATGAACTCTCATCGGAGAAGCGAAAAAAAAAGCGGAAAGAGGAATGTGTTACACTTGAGGAACCAGCTGCGTCGACTAAAATAAAAAAACCGATTTAATAGGAGTGTAACAGGAACAACGTCAGTCAAAAAAAAAAAGAAACTGACAGAGGTTTTGTAAAAGAAAACTTAACGGAAAGATTGAAATGCGATAGTGTGCGCAAGTGACGAGGCAAAAAACAAACTGTGGGGGGGCAAAATCTGTTAATCTTGGCAACGAGACAGCAGTCCCTTGGTACATAAACTTGGCGCCAACCGAACTGCCGCTATTTATAAACGGATCAAAAATTGCAATATTATTAAACTGATTATTGCTATTTATTGAAAAGCAAAATGAAAGTTTGTCGAATGAAGAAAGAAATGAGAAAACTTTAATAAACAAGGAAGAAAATGAAGAAGGTCGTTTCAAGAAAAAAGTCACAACATTGATGAAATATATCACGAGACAGCAATAAAAAACACTAAACGTACAAGTATGACTATTCAAATGTGAGTTTTTGACTTAGAATGAAATCCCAGTATAAACAAAGAATGAAGACACAAATTTGATACAAAAAGAACAAAGTACAGTGTGGAAACGGAGCAATTTGATACAAGAACAAAGTAGATTTAAGTGAAAAGAAAGACACTAGCGGATAAATCATCGGTTTCGTATCAATTATTGTACACGCAAAACGGGTGGGGGTTGAGGGGACGTGGTGCTTTCAAAAGTTTTCGAGCCTGATGGAAAACTGACATGATTCGCGGATATCTCAGATATTTTGGTATTTAAATTTACATAATATTAAGGAAGGTTTAAGACATTCCTATGCAAAAACACTAAAAATTTAAAACTAAAACCTAGGTTTGATGATTTCAAAACATGCTCATCATGCTCATGACGAATTCCTGTTACTCAGCTGTCAGAAATAACTCATTTTCATGTGGAACAGGTGGAATATTGAGAATGTATAATACTGGACAAAGTTGGCAAACACCCACAATTTTTGCAGTTGGGACACGTCTTGCTTTCAAAATCAATGAAGTAGAATTTCGCTAAATTGGACAACACACAAAACTGGTATCGTAAAACTTGAAACTTCAGAATAAAGGATCGGTTTCTAGACGTTAGAAATAACTAGTATTGGGGGTAAAAAGGGACAAAAACAAGACGGTTCTCATTCGGAGGTCCAGTTTGGATCGATCATGCGCAGTCGACAAATCAACTGATCACATAAGATTTCCGATGTTGGCGAGTCGTTGTTGATGATTGCAAACTCCACGTGTGATTTGTGCTCCGGCGGTAGGACTGCCACACCGATCTCGACTCCAGAGGGAAGGGAAAGTCGTCGCATTTCTGTGACTGCAAAGAACAATGTGAGAGGTTCACACATGCAAAGGAAACACTGAAAATGAACTGCGGAAGCGGAAACTGACCTTGTTCTTCGTACATCATTTCGTGAGATTCCGAGAATGGAATTTTCAGAATGTTTAGACTTGACTTGAGCTCTTCAACAACTTCAGCAAATGGCAACGTGCACACAATGCTCTGAAGGTAACATTTATGAGTTGTGCACTGAGACTGACAATTATTACTTTCACTCTGTCATCCATACTTCTGGCAGTTTGTTCAGGAGTTGACATTCCGGAAAAAGAAGTTGATGAGAATCCGATTGCAGTCGCTGGCCGCTGTCCAAACACCACTTCTTGCGCCTGAAACATTCCATTATCGGGAAACACATCGTTAGAAAGGCCATTACATTTTTCTGGAATATGCTAACAGGATCAAATGAGGAGGCTGAAGGGGCGATGTTGTGTTGCCGGTTGTACTCATCAGTTATGGAAATCTGAGGGCACGCCAGAGAACTGCCTTCGTTTGTTATTCTGAAACATAACTTGTGAGATCAGTAATTGAAAGGTCAACTCACTGTGACTGAGCACATCCATGAGAAAGTCCCTTGAACTCTTTGTGTAATCTCGCAATGTCGTTATTGGTTTGCAAGGCTTGTTTGAACAGTTTCTCCAGATGAGTCTGTTGCTGGGCGGACAAAGACGGAGACGCCCAACTACTCCGCCGTTCCGCAGGTGGCGCCTTGGCGTACGGTGTTCTCTGATACCTCGGAATCGGATTCTGGATACCTCCGCCCAACTGGTTGCCCAGACAATGTACAGTATTTCGTTTTCCTCCGTATTTGGCAAGATACGATCTACCCTCTTCTTCTACAGTTGGGAATGACATGGGATTGGCTGAGAGGTTCGCGAGGTGTTGTTGGAAATCGAGATTGTTCGGCAAAAGAGTCTCACCCGCGGATGCTCTTCGTTCACCTAGAATTGAACAAATATTATCTATATTCTAAGTTTTCCACAAACTTTTTGGAACTGGTAACATCTTCGAGTAATCCGCAATTGGGATCGTGGCAAGGGCTGGATGCAAGGATGGCAACGGAAACTCAGCGGCCTGTCCTTCGGGCATTGGCGCGAATCCGAGTGGAGGGTTCATGGTGAAGTTGTTGAGAAGAAGATTTGGAGGTGGGAACTGTCCCATCATGTTTGGTGATAATAGTTGTTCACTTGCACACAATGTATGTCGTCTGAACAGAGGAACCATTGAAACGTGACGAGAGAAAAGTTTGTTTACCTGTTTTCAAATCTATTTCCAAACACTTCCAGACCATGTGGTAGGCCAAATTGTTTTTCATGATTATGCTCTTGTATTGAGCTCAATGGTGAATCGTCGCACAGATCAGAGTTCGACGAGTCATCAGAATCCTAAACATTTTGTGTATGTCGCGTTTCATAAACATTTAGTATTACGCAATCTGGACTTGATAAATTGAGTTGGGCCAATTGGTGAGCAGAAATCGTGGGCGTAAGAGGTTGTTCATCGACATTTGCCTTGCCGCTGAGTATAGATCCCCTTGATCCTCGTCGTGGATATTCTTCACCAGCCCCTAGAACATACACATCCAATCTTGAAAGGAACATTCAACAAAACCTTCTGTTCCCTTTTTGACTTTCCCCGCCAAAAGTTCGTAGGTCGCATAAATGGAGCTTTCAAAGTCTCTTCCAAGAACCGCCTGAAATAGAAAAAGTGTTTTATCTTTGATCGTTTATGCATTCTTCTTCGTTTGTCTGCCTAGTCCCATTTTTTGCAAAAAAGTCCTTTGGCATTGTGTGTTATTTTTACATTGGTGGTTTGGTATTCAATTCCAAAGCACAGTGCAAAACGCGAAAAACGCTTGATAATGCATTGATTGTCTGGCGCGAAACACGCTGATAGGCTCGTTCACACGAATTCGATGTCAGCGCTGATAGTCATTTCCAAGCGGAAACGAAAAGTTTTCAATGCGGCCGTCATCAACAACTTTGTCAACTTTAATGAAATGCAGACAAGCGTTTTTTGGAAAGTCATCAGAGCATGAAAACTTCCAGAGCAGAACGGACGTCTCCTATCCTTTTCAGATGAACACTCTTCCGGAACCGATACTCACATCAATAATCTGCTCTTCGGACCATTTCCCGTGCTGCTGCATAAACATCATAATTGTCGGATTGAGCTTTGAGGACTGATGCCTGATATCAATCGAACTGGATGGGATCGCTTCGAGCAGTTGGGCCGTATTGCCTTTGCGTTGTCCGTCCCGAATGTACATCCATCGATGCTGTAGAACATTCTGAATTGTGAATCGCTTTGAAGGGTTCAACACGAGCATTTTCCGAATAAAATCCGCGCACTCTGCAAAGAGACGCGTCGTTCTTTCCTTTTCCTTCCTCTAATGAGCGTACCAACAGAAACCCAATACGGAATTTTAACGACGCCGGAGAGAACGGATCTCTTGAGTTTGTTCACTGAATCACTCGGGAAAGGGAATCCTCCTGTCACGAGAATGTACAACAACACCCCCATAGACCAGATATCAGCTTTCATGCCATCATACGAGTTACCTTAATAATATATTTGAAATGTGACCAGAATGGTTCAGGGTAAAACCTAATAACAATTCCGGTGCGGCATATGGTGGCGAGCCACACCAAGTATTTAGAAGCTGATCTTCTGTTTGAAAATTCGAAAACCCGAAATCTGAAGAATTTCGCGATTCTGACACTTGCACCACTTGTGGAAGACGAACCAATTATCTTGATATCCGAATTCTTGCCTAATAAAATGTTTTCCGCTTTCAAATCTCGATGGACAATTCCTTGAGAATGAAGATAGGAAACTGCGGACGCAGTCTCAGAAAACCATTTCCGGGCAACATCTTCCGCGACACGTCCTTTTTCTATCAACCGCTCTGCAATGATTCAGCTGAAAAATGTTTTCAAAAAAGGTACCTACCATAAAGTTCTCCACAACTACAGTACTCGCTCACAATATACAGCATATTTTCAAACCTCATAATCTGAAAGTTTTTTATAGCTTATCAAAAGTTGGTGGAGAAGTAAATGTACCTCATAACTTTTAACAATATGGGGATGGTCAATTGTTTTCACTATTTTAACTTCTCGTTCCAGTTTGACCAGGTTCTCCTTGTCCAGTTTCGACACATCAATGCTCTTTATGGCGACCTGTTGAAAAAGAGTGGCTAGATTAATCAAAGTTTTCCCTGGAAGAGGTCAACACAAGTACGCAGTTATCAATGAACATTTGATGAGATTAGAAGATGTTCATTCTTTCTCCTACGTCGATAATCACGAGTTTTATGACGAAAAAGTACATTGACTTCATCACGAACCTTGGTCTTGGCGATCTTGTGCCGTGCTATCCGAACTGTGGCAAAATTACCTTTGCCAATCGCGCGACCGACATCATATAGACCTATCTGAAATGAATTGTCTGGCATGAGTAGAGAAGAGCAGACAGTCCCCCCCCACTGCAAACCGCGCATAACATTTCCATTGTTGATTATATTAGCAATGTTTGTTTTACGAATGAATTGTTCGGGCGCCATGCTCTCAACCCCATATGCGCCTGGCGGGGGCGTTGGCGCGCGTGCGAGAAGGAATCCAATTATAATCGACCCCGCTATTTTTGACTCATCTCATCATCACCCCCTTGTCGGGCCGCGTCAGCCATAAAAGTCTGTTTTCAATACAAGTTTGTCAAACTTTGATCATGCAAACAACCCTACTATCACTTTGAATTATATCAACAGTTGGGGTGGTATTGTGTAATATGTTATTTTCGCCACTACCTTTCTCATATCACTACCAAACTGCACTGTAGACAAAGAAAAAAATTTGGACTGGCAACCGACAAATTCAGCGAGGACGGGGTAAAAAACGAAAAGAGTTGGCTCTTTCTCTCTTGCTGGTGGATAAAATTGAAGAGAAAAGATGGCTTTAGCGACTTGTGCATGTTGAATTTTGTTGATGTATGCGTGTATGTATGTGTCAAGAAATTAATCGCGTTGTCCGTGCTCATTTAATGAGATCGCTAAGATCTTCGAGTTGGGAAGGAAATGCAGCAGAAAGAGCAACTCGTGGCATTGACAGAATTCTAACACAAATTTTCAATGCAACAAGTAGGTACATAATCGCATCGGAAATGCGAAGAAGAAGAAGAAGAAGAAATTGACAGAATCATGGAGTTTTTGCGCGTGCTAATCGCAAAAACGTTTGATCGACAAGGCGTGAATAATCGCAAAAACTTAAAACCACAGTGTCAAGGTAAGAAATTATAAAGAGAGGTGTTTTTTAATCGATCCCTGAACCAAATGGTATTTTATATTTTCACATTGCTTGTTCATTGGATCATCACGTGATTGGACGTTCATGAATTATTGAAAACTCCTTCTTATTGTGTGGGGAACAGCAGCACACTCGCAGAGTTCTGTCGTTAAACTCCTGGCGCCTGCTGATTTATTGCCCACGGTCGGAGGATGCGTGGGAACGAATAGCACATTAAACAATGGGAACGAGGCGACTGCGCGGGAACAAATGGTCAATCGAGAGAAGCTATCAAACGTTCGCTCGTCTCATTATGGGAGAATTAATGGGGGAATTAATGGGAACCCGAGTACTCTACTGAAAGTACGTCAGTTTTTCTCACTGGGGGCCCATCAAAAGATGATAAGATAGAGGAACACCCACCTGTTCAAGGCCCATACGCCGCCGTGGCGCAGCCATTGCAGAGTTGGTGTGGCGCCTGAATGCGACAAGATAGTGTCGTAAGTTAAAACAGAGAGTGCATAGAGTTTTACCACCAGACGCACATATACATACATACACACTCACCCACTCACTCACTAACGCTCATTGCCGCTCGGTCTCTCACGCACACACGAAATACACTCACTAACGCTCACCGCCAAGGCGCTCGCACACACATGCTTTCTTTCTCTGTCTCGATTCCCTCCCCACCCACCCTCTCACACTTAGGCCCACGGCCCCCGGTCGGGCCGCACATACACACAGGCATACACACAGGCAAACCGACCACTGTCTCTTTTTCTTGATAGCCTCTCCAACACGCCCGGGTCCCCGACGAGAACTCTCGCTTCTTCGCGATCTCTCACCCAGACTCGCACAATGCATGGCGAGCGCGGTCGCGTCGCGTGTGCTGTTTCTTCATGGGCTTCTTCTCACTTACCTATACGGTCCACCAAGTCACGAAGCATACCGTGCAATATCTGAATGAAACACAAACATGTCATCGAATTAGTACATATGTTCCGCGACGGCCTTGGATATGAGTGCGTAAGACAATATGTTTCACAGAAGAATTATTTTAGTTTCCCTGCCACCGAATAGTTTTTCCCGGACAAGTGATAACAATGGAATCCGGGGAATTTGAAGTGTTCTTCATTGCGATTCGAAAAATACTGCGACAATCATATACTGGTTCGATACAATCACATGAAATCATTATGATACAGAGGAGATAATATATATGGTGATAACATGCTTTGAAAAGAATAAAAATCATGAGATTTTGAACTTTTAAGGAAACTTGGAATGGAAAAGAATCGAGGGAAAATTAAAGCTTTTAGGTGGCACACAAAGGGTTTTTCTCATAAAATGAGATTCAGAGGCATGGAAGAGAGGAGGTAAACAGAGAAAATTGGAAACAAGGAGATGCATTGGTCAGAATGCAGTCAGAAATCAAGAGTGAGAAAGAAGAGAGACACTGACAATGCTTTATATTCCTCTTTGTGCGCGAGTATTCGATAAACTCTGAAGTGACGTGAATCTAATAAATTGTCTTGATCGATTTGAGCCATCCACTAAATGTTCCAATGAGAAAATACTATGTATCCGCCGTGGTCCCAGTACACGTGCTGCGCAAGATCGTAGTATTCAATGAAGCGGCTTTCCCGGCAAATTGCGCAAATGTGCGCATGCATATCCAACGTGTGCTTCTGAAATTAGTTCAAATAGATTAGAAATAGTGACATAACATGTTATAATCTGATCTTAATTCAATTGTCACAATGATCTGCTCTTACGTCTTGTTTTCATATTCCCTTAATCCGACAAAAACACTTTCGCATGCGATCATCCTTTCGGAGATTGAAAAGAGTGTTGGTGGCACCAGGGGAAACTCACTTCCATAGCAACGTAACGGTAGGCGCTGAAACGGCACGACTTGCAGGAGAACTTCTTGGTTCCGGTGTGCACTCTCTCATGAATGGTCACCTGAAATTATAAATACCTGTTAGAATAAGTTTTTAGCCAGTAACTCACTTCGGTTTTATTGGTGAAAATGAGACCACAGAAATAACATGGGAACTGCTGAACGTCCTCGTGCACCATTCTCCTGTGATTTTTATATTCGGAATACGTGGGAAAGTATATAGCGCATTTGAAGCAACGAATTCCTAGTTCTTTGGCACTTGCACCATGAAACTTGCGCCGGTGACCGATAAGTTTATTTTTTGACCCTAGGTTCTTTCCTGGCGTGCATTCAAAGCAGACGTGTGTCTAAAACAACATGAGTTGAAACTGAAATGAAACGAAATAGCGCTCACAAATTTGCAGTTGTGTGTGCTCAATTCTTCGATGCTGTCGAGACATTTGAAGCATTTGAAGCATTGCACAAACTCTGACGCCTCTTGATGCCAGTCATTTAAATGATGTTTCAGTTCCAATTCGTTATGGAAAGGGGTGATGCAAAACGGACACTGCGACGATAATTTGTTCTCTGTGTCATCTCCCAAGCGGATGGCACCGGTACTATCAAAATGGGGAGCAATACCATGCGTGTTCTCCCCAGGGAGAGGGATTCTGCAAATGTACATTCAATAATGTTTTTGTTTTCGGTAACTTACAGCCATGGAGATTCGGAAACGAGAGCATTCAGTTCTTCGCAAATAAAGTTTCCGTCTAACTGTGACTTTTCGAATTGCCGTTTTGCTTCTTCTCTCATTTTCAGATTCTCGATTTCTTCTGTCTCTTTGCTGAGATAGTTCTCGTACTGAATGGGATGTTTGTCCCGCAAATGCCGTTCGTAGATGTTCTTTTCTCCAAATCGATTTTTGCATTTGGTGCATCGAATCATCTTTTCCCTCATCTTCTTTCGAGCAACTCGAACATCCAACGGATAGTCTTCGGGTTTTTTGATTCCATCTTTTTCAGCACATTCCTCAATGACCGCAAGAGCGTGTTTCAGATCAGATGGCGGGAATTTCGAGTGATGTCTGTACACGTATCCAAGCTCATCGTACACAATTTCCTCTTTTTCGACTGGTTTGATTTCTCCACGAAGTTGCTTCAAAAGCTCTCCAACACCTTGCAATCTGGCTCGCTCCTTATAGTCATACGCGCTTGGTTCTGAACAACATTATAGGCGCAGAGAGGATGAGATCATTACCGTAAGTAGCATAACTGTCCTCGCTCTCACACAATCGCTCATATTCTTCTTGAATTTCACTCTCGTAATCGTTGTCTTCATTCGAAAGTCTGAAAAATATTGTTGAGAGAAAATAACTTCAACTAATTATGTTGCAAAAACAATTTCACAACGTTTTTATACTACAGGACCAGAAACTCCACACCCTAGACTATTCCGAAGAAATTGGCAAACAATTCAAGTTCGAACAAGAAATTCAGAACTAACACGCAAGACGCACGCTTCTCAAACTAAACAAACCGCAACGATTAGGTCATTGTCGGATCGAGGTTGAGTCATCAGAAGAAAGGAGTCGCGCTTTCCTTAAGAAAACGTGGAAACCAGGGCTGGGCAATAGGCTTTTCGTTGGCCGATCCTTGACCTGGACTTTTGAAAAACTTGAAATATTCCGATCGGATCCAAACTTTGCAGGATTGTTGAACTTGGATTGAGGGCCATTGGGACCAAGTTTCAGCTCTATCAGATCGTGGGGTCCCGAGATATGTGGATCATTGGCCGATTTTTTCCAAAAAGCCCGAGCTTCCGGCCAATTTCGGCCGATGATCCACCTATCTCGAGACCAGATGATCCGATAGGGCTGAAACGTGGTCCCAGTATGCTTCAACCCATGTCCAAGAAGCCTGCAAAGTTTGGGTCCGATCGAAATATTGCAAGTAGTTCAAAGGTCCAGGTCAAGGGCCGAGCAACGAAAAGCCCGTGCCATCCAATTGCCCAGCACTGGTGGAAAAAAGAGAAAAGAATAGAACTAAATGGAATTTGAAAAGCGACCTGTGCTTGAAAATACTGAAAAAGAAACATCGAAACTGCGTGAAGAGTGCTCAAGATAGACATAGGTAGCCGAAATTTGTGCCGGATCAAAAAAGTTGAAAATACACTGAGTTGCAAGTTTATAAGGCCACCCCCATTCGGCGCGGCAACGAGACGCTCAAAAATATTTCCGACCCGGCGACTTCAAAATCGGATTCAGGGCACAAAGTTACGTATGTTTGGTGATTTTCGCAATGATACCTTGAAAACTGTCCGAACTACCTCGATAAAACTAAAAATCGGCTTTTTGCAACCGTTGCAAGTTTATAAGGCCACCCCAGGGGATAGGGGTTTTCGCTGGTCTGGGCAACCCCTATGAGCACAAAATAAGTTATACATATCTAAAAAGACGTTTTAAAGCTGTTTTTGTCATTCAGACGGTTTAGGTTTTTTCGTAAGACATCATGCCACATGGAACTTTCCCGAGGATTCCGAAAAACTCTTAACACAGCCATTCAAAATGGCTGGATGGTCGAACCAAGGGACCAGTTGTCATCTAAAGTGCTTCAAATACATTTTGTGATCAGTCCAGCCTAAAAGAACATCTTAGAAAAACCGGAAACGGGTTTCTTATGCCAAAAGGTTCCTCATCCGTGCCGTTTCAACAGCGGAGAAGTCCTGCTACGGCATGGAACAGGAGCTGGACCGTGGACTTAGAAAGTGTATGGTTTGGGAAACTGTTGAGGAGAGCCCTAACAATGTTTCTGAGACTATGTGGCCCTCTACGTGCATTACTCATTGCCACAAGTCACATCGCATCGAATGCGCCCGTGGCAACATGTCGGCCAATAAGGGATCGGCTGTTATGATCGGTTTTGATTGTCCAGAAACATGTTTTCCGGTGAAATCATGCCTTCTGCTGAAAATATGGTCAATTTGAATGGTCTGGAGGAATGGAAGTGATACTGGCACGACATCCGCACTGACCGCTTCGTCTTCTCAAAGAGAACCTTTGGAGAACGAAGCCTTATGGTTTTGAACGCTTTCTCCTCGATTGGATATTTACAAAATGCATTCAGATGAACTTGTTGCACTGATCTGATGTCCTCTAGAATCATCTGAGACCATCTCATAGTTTATTTTGTCTTAATCAATGTCGTTATTTGAGTTTGGCGACAGGGATGGCGAACATTTTGGCACAAACATTCAGTCTCAATGTCGGCCCGGTCTTCCAAAAATGCTTTTTTGTGTTTCGACTAGTCACGAAATGGATTTGAATCACTTTAGACAACAACTGAACCCTCGGTAAGGCCATCCAACCGTTTTGAATGGCTGTGTTAAGACTATTTTAGAATCCGTAGGGAAAGTGCCCCGTGGCATGTCTTCCGAAAAGATGTAAACCGCCAGAATGACAAAAACAGTTTTAAAACGTCTTTTTAGAGGTGTATAACTTTATTTGCGCTCATAGGTATCAACCGGACTAGCGAAAAGCCCGATCCCTTGGGGTGGACTTATAAACTTGCAACGCACTTATACACCCTAATTTTTTTGGGAAAACTCTGATATTTTACACCCCAAATATCGATAAGTGAAGAGACCGACTTTCGGAACTGCGGAGGCCCAATTGAGACCCCCAATACGTACGTCGTTTCATCTGTCTCAACCGATTCCGCGTTGACTGGTTCCTGCTCTCCACGGAGTTGCTTGAGAAGCTCTCCAACGCCGCTCCACTTGCGTTGATCATCAAGTTCAACTACTTTTTTCGTTGGCTCTGAAATCATTATGAGCGTGATAAACAAGTGCATCATTACCATAATTCGCAGAAATTTGCCCATCTTTCCACATCCAATCAAATAGTGCTTGAATGTCTGATTCATAATCGTTTTTGTTCAAAGACGAGGACGTCATATCAATTTTCCTGTAATGTATAGTTGAAAAAAAATTAAAATAGCAAACTTGTAGTCCCAGTTAACTGAAGAATATATTTAAAATTTTGATTCTTACTCTGTGTGCCCTTTTCTATTAATACCAAAAGTTCAGAACACTATATTGGATGAATACCTTAATTATAGAAACATTTACGAAACACAATGCCGAAATTTTCGAAAATTTTGAATGCGGCCGGGCCTGACCGGTAATGCATTTGACAAATTTGATTAATAAATATAGGTCGCAAAGATGTTCTACGCCTTTTCGACTGACATTGTTGAATTCGCTGAGAAAAACCGACTTTCCTGCGTGCAAAATTAAAAAATGTTTTGCCAAATACCTTAACACGCGCCGAATTTCACAAGTATGACACATGTGTTTATTTCGATCGATAATGCATTATTTCGCAACTCACCTTTTGCAATACTCTCTAGACGACTCGTCGCCAGAATCCTCTTCATTACGGGGCTCGCTATGATTCATTGTTGACGGCTGAGAGTTAAGAGTCATGAGTTAATTAACAAATCAGGGTCGGAAAAATTGTTTCCAGAACCCGAAAAAAATCCGAGAAGGCCACATGGAACATTACAAGTTTTTTGAGTAACGGGACGTTTTTTGGGACCAGGGAAACCAGTTGAAAGCAAAATAAATACCTCTTGCCCAATCGAACAGTCTGTCGGCCGGTCGGCGCTAAGCGGAAAACGATGTCGTTTTGCTCTGTCGAAAAATCGTTTGTTGCTGGAACGGGCAATGAAATACGATATTAAACGATCAGAATTGATTGAAAATTCTCATTTTTTCATTTGGTTTTTGATCATAACGAGGCAAATTTCACAGGCGAAGAAGCTACGAGAATTCACAATGAAACATATTGATCGGTAACGGGTGGTAAAAAAACAGTTTATACACGTTCGAGGCAATAGCTGCGAGTCATGGCCGGAAGAGAGTGCACTCGGCCATGGGAACGCGACAGTCAGGACGCCGGTCGGAGGGAGGAGGGTGCACGTGTTTTTAGAATTGGGTTGTGCAATGCATTGCATGGTAAAAACGTTCATTACAGGTTCATATGGGATCAGAGCACCACGTAAAAAGCAAGTGGCGGTTAAAACAGAAAATGAGAATTATGATATCAGTTCTTGGCGACGATCCAAGTTCCACCTCCATAAGGAAGAAGCGACGCCGAAACCTGAAGAGCAACCAAAATTAGATCTGGGGTGACACCATCGTTATTTACCCGTGGGTCTTGTTTGATGCGTATGTTCATGTTTCGAATGACCCTGTCATCATTAGTCATGTGATCAATTGAAGACATAACTCCACCGCCGTTCAGTGCCTTAAGAGATGCATTTAGCTAGTGAATGAAGACTTCGAAAAACCTGGTTTATAATCAAAAGGCCTCCACTTCGGAGCAGCCTGATTGCATGCTCGTAGTCATCCAAATAGTTTTCCCTCTTGAAATCATCCAAGAAAACAAAGTCGAACGTGTTCGGTTCGTTGGTAGCTAGCCTTGGCAATGACTTTTCAATGCTCTCAGAAGTTCTCATTTGAATTCTCGACATTTGAGTGGCGGTCAGTTTACGCGCGTGCTTTTGCCCGACTTTATCCCAGAAGACGGCGTAAGCAGGGTGCTCGAGTGCCACTACGATGCCCCGTGAATCAACTCTCTCTGCGATTCCGAGAAGACCGAGGCCCGTGAATACACCTATAATTAGCAATGCTCACGTGTCTAATCATGCTGACAAACCGATGACAAGGCATCGAGAAGGTCTGTAGAGAGACATTAAAGTCTGAACGAGTTGAACGACTTCCGGTGTCACAGAACTATGCCAAGAAATATGTTGGGGAAGAACTGACGCGGTTTGAGTGTCCTGAAATGTACGTGCTACGTTTTTCTTCAAAGCTTGTCGTACCCTGAGAAGATCTTGAATAGAGTCATCAATCATTGTGGAATGACTGTAACAGTACTGGAAAAGTGGATCCGAAGTTTCAAAGCTCTTCAGTTTTATCGAACACCTCCGGTCGGGAACTGAAATTTATTAATTCACAAAATGAGTTTCATCTTTGTGAACTTTACCGCATGTGTCATATTTACTGACTTGGGGAGTTGATGTTACCGCAATCTTTTCGTTAATTGGAGGGCGCGTGAACTTTTTCGCCTTAAATAACAAATCATTCGTAAAAGTTTTGATGATATCATACTTTTATAATAAACGGGATGCCAGCAGTCGAGCTATAAACAATTTGTGATTCACTCGGAGGGGTTGGGAAGGACATGGGAGGCGTGTAAGGCTCTTCTGTCGTCGGAGGATCTGTCGGAATTGTCATGGGTGTAGTCCAAACAATAGAGGTCGTGTATTCCGGAGTAACCGAGGGAGTCACCTTTTTCCAGATGTTATTCCGAATAATAGAGGATGGCCTGATAATTTCTTCGGTAGAACTGAAAAAGTAACTTTGAAATTTGATCATTTCAATGTCTTTATTACCTTGGCTCGGTGGTTGTTGTGGCCGGCCTGGTTGTCGTAGGCCAGATCTGGTAGGTTGGTCGCGTGAAAATCTTTGGCAGTTCCGTCGGAGCTGTCGTGAAAGGCTTTGGAGTTGTAGTACTGGTACTAGTAGTTGCAGTGGTAGGAGCAGGCGTTGGTGCAGAAGTGGACGTAGTTGTTGTGGAAGGCGTTGTGGTAGTAGTCGGAGTAGTTGTGGATGTAGTTGTTGGAACAGGGCTCGTTGTGATGGGAATGTTCGGAGAAAACGTGGCAAATCGAACTCTTTCAGTGGTAGTAGTGAACCGAATTATGTCTGAATAAAGAAATGTGTACAACAATTTTGGAGCGCTATATTCTAGTTACCATCTTCAGTTGTTTCTAATGACTCAGTGGTTGTTATCGGTGGTTTTGTCGTTTTCACAAACTTCACAATCAATGGCTCCGTAGTGGTTGTAAATCTGAACTTTGGTTTTGGATCATAGGTTGTGGTTGTCGGTTCCGGTGCGGGAGTGCTTGTGAAGAAGAGAGGTGTAGTGTACGGAAGAGTGAACACTTTTGGCACTGGTTTTGGAGTTGGAAGCGTTGTCGTTTCCGGTTTGTCAACAGGAATTATTTTCGGTCGAAATCTTTTTGGGGTCTTGGGAGAAGCTGAAACGGTCCGATTGAAAGAAGGTTCAAATAAGTCATGCCACCTGCTGTTGTCGTGGTTAGATTGAATATTTCTCTCAAATTAGATGCCAGTTTAATTTTGTCCTCGTTCCCGAAAGATGAAGTCAGAAAATGACCGAGCCCATTGAAAAATTCCTTTCCTGAACCTAACCAAATCAAAATTAGTTTTTATTGCTCTTGATACCGAATTCCAGAAATGAATATGCTGAATCTGGCTCATTGAAATCCATTTTCTCGTGAAAAGCTGTCTGTTTGAGAGTTTCGAACATAGAACCGAGATTTGCCTGAATCAAAGAACGATAAAAGCAGACACACAATAGATACTCACAAATGGAAGCCATATGAACCCATCAACTGAGTTGACTATTACAATAGTTAAGACGAAGGAAGTTGCGGTCCGCATTGTTAGTGCTTATGACCGGGGATGAACTAGCGGACTGTGCGCTGCGACTCGTTCAATCGGAGAGCTTGTCAAAAAATCCTCCCTCATCATCATCGTGTCTTCCCCGTTTTGACAGCTCGTCGCCCGCCGTGACATGCAAAGAAAAACGGAAATGTGTTCGGTACGAGTGACCCGTGTCCACACACACACACCTTGCGAAAAGCAAACGGTTCTCGGATCGGATACGATCGCCAAGATGAAAAATGTGTGAGGTTGTTGGGATGATGCAAAGGGATCGCATTACAGTTTCTTGCACTTTTCATGTGTAAACAGGTTGTTTTCTTTGCATCGGATCTTCCTTACTCTCCGACAGTCTACTCGATCCTTGATGTAAGACAAAAAATGCCAGAGCGAACAAAAAATGGGCAAAAGGAGACAATCAGTGTGAAACCTGTTTGGAGAGATTAGAAAACTTCCGCTTCAAATTAATAATTGCAAGCTTGTGTTTATAATCGTGGAAATAATGTTTATAGAATTGACGTCACGAATCATTCATTCCATCGGAATCAGGCTGTCAACTTTCCAAGTTCATCTTTGATTACTTCACTTGTTTTACAGACCATCAATAGTAATTTGTCACTGATAGGTGTCAGCCATCATCTATCCCTTCACATTCTTCTCTGGCGCCCGCTAATATCCAATGAAGGACGGAAATTAGAGGAAATAAACAGTGTTGTGGGCCGTCGAGAAACAAATTTTTAAGGGGGTCGGTGGTCGCAGAGAGAAAAGAAAAGCGCCACGCCCGTCGGCCGCCGTCGTCGTAGTCGTCGTCGTCGTCGTCGTCGTTTGTCGTGAATCAGCCAAACTCCCACCCATTTTTCGGTTTTGGGCGGCACGCAGACACGCGCGCATCCACTCCCGAACGACCGACTTATTTTTGTGGGAAAAAGGCGATATATCCATCACTGTTTGTGGCGCACCAAAACAATCAGTGCACAATCGCTACTCCGGCGATGAATTATGATCGTCGCTTCTCGCCAGGAGCCAACCCCGACTATTCCAACCGAGCCGTGAACTATCGCGATTCGAGGTCACAGCAGATCACTCCTCGCGGTGGTGTGGAAGCCCGGGCACAGGCTTACGGTAGAGAGTACCCACCGCTCCGGTCGAGGTCTCAGACAAATGTTGACCAAGACTACGGTGATCGTTTCTCGCAGCCAGCTCCATTCTATGATAACCGAACACTTGATGCCAAGTCCAGGTGAGTGCGAATTTTAAATTATTTTCCATCTCAAACTCCTTCGTTCAGAAGTAAATCACTAGACACTCGAGAGTTCCGCGGTAATGATGGATACTATCGGGATGACTATCAACCGGAAGGTGTCGTGATTCCAATTCGCCGTGACATTGGCCGTGGACCACAGTACGATTATCGTTCTTCTCCTCAAACGCGACTGAGAGAAGTGGAGCCGTATGGCTATGATGATCGTCGTCCACCAGTTGGCCAAGAAGTTCATATTCCGTACAACCGCGACAGCAGGGATCCAACGAGCAGAGACTTTGCACCGAGACGCTCCTTTGACGGAAAGCAGGGCGACAGTCCGAAGTCGTACTCTTCCAAGTTCAAGGATAACCGTCGTGCGATCGAGTATGAGAGAGGAGGGTTTGGAGATGAGTTCGAAAGAGAAGAGTACGGTGCCATTCAACCATATCGAGGACCTGTCGGAGGACCCATCGGAGGAGTTGCTGCAAGCGGAGGTGGCGGGGGAGGTGGATACCGGTCCAGCAGTCATCACAGATCCCACCACGAATCCTACGGCGGAGGCCATGAATCAGCGTACGGTGGCGGTGCTTCTCGCGCTATCACTCAACAGCCACAAGTGTTCCATCCGGATGTGAGACCAGTTCGGCCGATTCAACACCACAGAGTGCAGTGCTGTTGTTTCAAGTTTGTTTGGCCTCCATGGAGCTATGAACAAGCCCCTCCACCTCAACCAATCTATAGAAATATCTAAGAAAATGATTGAACTGAACCTTGACAATATCCGATCGAACATTCTAGGTTTAAACTCTTATTTTCTTCTGTATTCTGCCCCTTCCCCTTTTAAAACATTGTCTCGAATTTCTCAAGTTCACTGACGCTGCCAATCCTTTTTCCGCCCTCATTCATGTGTTTTGAATTGTGGATCACACATCCGATTCTATCGAAATAAAGTAACCAGAAATGATGTCCCAATTAATCAGGCTGGGGGTCATGATACCGTTTGATAGCGGCAAATTGTTGACGCCGCTCTCTTCTTCTCCTAATTCCAATGGCCTTGTTTTCGTCTGCACGCAATCGATTCAGGGTTATCCCATTGACGTCTCTCAAATCAAGTTGTTACGGGTTTACCGTGCAAATAAAATTAGAAAAGGGAAATAGAGAGGTAGAAAGAGAAAGGAGAAAAAGACGTGTGCCGACGTTTCGAACTTTAATAAAAGGGCATAGTTAAACAGAAATACAATATAAATGCGATTATTTGAAAATTAATAAGTCAAGCAAATACGAACAAATTGGATTGAAATCTACTTCAACATCCTATTATTGAGCAATTTTTTCTTAATTATGCAATTAATATGACAAATGTTTGATATTTAAATGAACAAAAATCAATAATCTACAAGTGATAAGTAGCTTCGCGTGTTTTGTGCTGGGGACTTGCGTCGGCTTCGTAATCATACAGGTAATCGAACTGGCTCAGTGCATTACGGACGTCTTCTCCTGAAAAAACCATCACAATCAAATTACATTCGTATCAATTGTACCGTTAATGCTAGGACTCCTCAGTTTTGCTCGACTGTTGCTTCTCGATTCATTCGGAGTGTACTCATATCTGAAATAAACCGAATTTTCTACAGACCACGGAATTAGTTCTCACTTGGAAGTCTTGCTAAGTCGTCTTGGTCCCGCGCCAACGCCGCCACTTTCAATGTTTATAGGCACGTACACAACTTGTCCATTCTCATTACTGTACGCGACAGGCATATCGAAATCTTGTTGGTTACCAGACATTGAATTTTGGATTTCAAGCGGAGACAATGGCCGACTTGCACCTTCGTGATTTCCAGCCGTAGCATAAAGTGGAGCCGAAACTGGACGGTTTAGAGTTGAAGACTGAAATTTGATTATAGTTGTTATCGAGATAATTGAGAAAAACACTGACCGCCACTTCTCTCGGTTCTGGAGATGTTATTTTCTTTGAGTATACCGAACTGACAACTGGTTGTTGTGGAAACAAATAGGAGAAACCAGCGTGAGGGTGTTGGGCTTCCACGATTGGAGGATCAGCAAAACGAGCACGAGGAGATAAGGCACTGGATAACCTTCTGGATGGTCTGTCCTCTGTGTCTTGTTTGATGATGGGGGACACTGGAGTCGGGGAGACTGTTCTGAATGGAGTTCTTGACGCGGAAGAGGGAGGACGGGCGGACACTGGACGGAGGAGACTTCCTGCATCGTCGTCGCGGATAGCCAAGTCATGAACACTGAATCGAACAGACGTTATTGTCAAAATTTTGAAACACAAACCTTCTAGATAGTGTTTTTACTTGTTGAATTGGATGATAATGGACTTGTTCCTTTTGGCTTGCGTTTGCAAACCTCTTCAACCCACGTGGAACCATTTCAGGGGAATCGTTTTCAAACTCTTCTCTACTGAAAATGAATTTTTTAAAAAGTGGTCTAAGTAGAAACCAACTTCTCTCTGAACACCATTGCACTTTCACTCTTAGCTCGTCTCATAGCTCCAAAAGGCTCACGTCTTTCAGTTGCATAGCCCATTCGGGTCGGTGGGATAGGGGAAGAAGGTTCTGAAAGCCAACGCTGTTTGAAGCTACACGGTTGTTCATGTTCTCACCGGCATAAGAGCCATGCGATAGCGTTTGTGATCTCCTATCGTAGGTCAGACGGGGACCGCCACCTCCCTCAAAGTAGTAGTTGCTGCCTGCCGCTCGGCCACCCGAACCGGCACCTTGCTTACGGAATCGTTGTCTTTCGACGTTCTTTGCCACGGAAGTTATGGGCTACAATGAATCGTTTTCACAGCTGGATCTCTTTGTTCACTCACCATCATTTTTGTAGTAGGGGTAATTCGACGACTTCTCTCCGAAATACTGCTGCCATCAACCTCGGAAGTACCGTATATGTGGTTGTGCTCAACGCTTGCAGATGATCCGCCGACGTACTGATTTAGAGCTTTCCAGGCTGTTAGTTCATCCATAAGTGTGTCGATTCCACCGTAAGATGAATTCGGATATCCAATTAACTGAAAAAAACGACCAAATTATGAGTTAACATGGATTCCTAGTAATCTCAATTACTTTTTCGACATAGTCCGGAGTATATTGAGCCAGAGAGACTTCCGATTTGACAAGAGCTCTATGTACAGGAGTGGGTGCACTTGCAATCAACTTGTTGAACAAACGAGCAACAAGTATCTGAACCAAAACGTGTTTCTCTTCCTCTCCTTCTTCTATTCAATCATTTCGCTCTACCTGTATGTGCAACTTTTTAGTATGTAGTCCATGTTTCAATTGAGCCACAAATATAGAGAACCTCAAGTAATCTCTGTTTCTAGCCGCCAGAACTGTCAGTGCTCTCAGCAGAATCACAAATCCCTGGGGTTGATCGAGAAGAAGCAGAAGGATCTGTAAAGTGAAATAATATGCTAATTTGACAAGAATAACAATAAAAACCTCCAACGAGTAGCATTTGGAGTCCAGCTGTGGCGAATGAATAGAATACATAATGGCATCCAATCCGGTTGACGTCTCGAGAAATGACTTCCATGACGATTCCTGTACGTTCAATTGTTACACAAATGGCAATATCAATTACAGATTACTGATTACTTACAGATTTCTCGAGCAAAAGTTTAATGCTTTCAATACAATCTGCTTCTGCAACTGCAGCTTTCCTCTTCCGATTCGCATTTGTGGAGTTTCTGTTGAGCAGATAGGATATTTTGGAGCCCGATCCTTCGACACTGTTCACAATTCCCTGCAGCACAATCACAACTTTGCTCAAAAGTTCGATTCCGTTGATCGGCTTCGACACAAATTCATGCGAGAAATGTTGCGCCCTGGAAACAAAAAGATTCCATTGGCATGTCGCAACGTCAGACAGGAGCAAATATTGTGGCTTAGTTAGCTATCACTGCGTGGTGCACTGTCTCTAGAACCGGTCACAGTGTTATGTTTACGACTTTTGCAAAGTTAAACACATAATGGACCGAGGTCTTCACAAAACTAACAGATGTTGAAATTGAGAATCTCAGGGAGAGACTTATAAAATATGGGGAGAGAGATTGATATAAAACTTATTCTTTGATAAATTCAGATAAACTAACTTTATAGAATCGGCTAAGATTTGGTCCTTCAGAGAGAGTAGTACAAATCCAGCATCGGATAATGAGATTCCGCTCCCTGAAACGCGATCGCCTTAATTTCCTTTACAATTTCCGCTATATACAGTGTGTATTTACCTGAGGGAGTCGAATCAGGATTCTGAATAAACCTCCTTAGTTGGTCGGCCAGTACACGTGGCGAGTTGACATTGCGATCCATTATGCGTGACTCTCGATCTTTTTCCTCAGAAACATGGAGCGAGCCCAAATGTGTCGAGTCAAGTCGAAGAGAAAGAGGAAGGGAAGGCTAAGTGGTGGTTAGCAATCAGGCGAGGTTTGTAGTGAATGCTGCTGCGGGCGCAATGTGTGTGCCAGTCAAAAGCAAACAGTACGTCCGATGAAGGCTTGAAGACTCGCTGCGGCTGCTGCAGGCGTCCTACCGGTGAGCGGAAAGAAGTCGAGAGTTTGCCAAGAAACACTGCGACACATCGTGAACGCAAACGAGAGGGTAAACACTATGCGAGAGGGTTAAGCAACTTACTGACAGTCAGATCGGTGCTAACAACCGGTAATGAGATGTTCGCCGATTTTGCATCCCTATTTTTTTGGTTTTCTTTTCATTATCTTATCCAAAGTATACTCTTTAAGAAAAAAATCTTTATTGTTTCAACTGTACAGTTGTTTTTCTTTTCCAAATGAACTGAAGACGGATATGACAAACAAAATGAATTAGGAAACTGAGGTGTGGTATATTCGAGTATCGATTATCTTAAACTTGGTTTTAATTCATTTGTTGCTGGCAAACTGAACAAAAGGATGGCTTTAAAGTGAGAAAACGAACAGGAGCACCAAAATGAATTGGCCTTTTTCAAGCATACTCGATAAACTAGCAGTGTTACTGAAGGCAGTACAAAGGCGAAAGATAGGGTGGAAAATGCCAGCGGGAAGAATCTGGGGAAAGGGAAGCTAAACTCAGAATGATGAGACAGGAATTAAGTAAGGGAACTGTGACAACTGTGACAACACGGCAATAGAGTCTGATTGGCAAGTGGCAACAAAAAAAAACAGAATATACTCATTGAAAATAGAATTTGGTGTTTTAACTGAAAAACTTAAAAAGATTTGGTGAGAATATTCGTTGTAGACCTCGTTGTTGTGTGATTGGGTACTATAAAATGTTTGGGGGGAGATTATGTGAGAGCAGCTTGCTTCTTGTCATGAGAAGAAGTGTTTAGCGTCCGTAGGTCATGTATCCGTAGTAACCAGCAGTGTTGTACTGGTTGTAGTATGGGTATGTTCCGTATCCTGAAATTGTTCAATTGGGAGAAAGTCTGGAAAAGAGTCAAGTACCGGCATAGGTGTTGTAGTTGTTGTACGTTGGCACGATGGTTCCCTTGTCATAGTAGTTTGGCATGAGGTACGCACCATGCTTCGCTGACAAGGCCATCTCTTCCTCTTTCTGCAAAATATTCCATTCATCCCAGTTCAAACCGTTTTCCTTCATCTTCAAAGACCCATTCCGCCATGGTGACCTAATTTCCTACGAATTAACGAATATCTAGTGTCAGGCGTGGTTCACTAACTATTCTGTTGATCTTAATTGATGATACAACCGTAATTGTGAAAAACAACAAACAAGCAGAGAAAGAAATGGAGAAGAGATGTTCTTTGATAACCACCTACAAGTATTTGTCATTAATCCCTGTGCTTCCCCCGTATCTCCGAAACTTTTCATGGCATTTCCTGTTACAAAATTGAAAGTTTAAAGTTTCCGCACTAGAGATTGTGAAGGATTCGGACTTGTTTTCCTTTCATGCAAAACACGCGCAAATGTTTTGAAATTCGTAATAATCCGGGCAGTTATAAGCGAAAACGGATTGTTGTCGCCTCCCCGCGCACTCAAGGACAACTGTTTGACACCGGCAGAATCCGAACGCATTCCATTGAAGACGGAAGATATTTATCCGGAAGATAAGGCCTCCGACAGACTGACATATGCCAGTACCCCTTACCTTCACTGCCGAATAGGCGAAGAACATACAGGCACTTCCGATGACGGTGAAGCCGATTCCGATCCAGGAGATGATGTACGACCATCCGTAGTTGTGGCGGGAAGTCAATTTTAAGACCTGAAAAAAAATATTTTTCAAAGTGTCCCCTGGGAATTTCTAGAGTAGCAGCTGATTATTTTCCGGACTGTCCCTCTCTCTCTCTCTCTCTCTCTCTCTCTTTCTTTCTTTTTCCAATGTCCCAGCACTTGATAGAAGTGTCGAGGGCAACAAGAGAGAGAAAGTCCATCCTGCTTTGTCAACATCGGAAAACTCAAGTGACTCGACGGTCTTCGTGTCTTCGCTGGCATGCCTACGTAATTTTCCGCGTTTCTTGTGTCGTCATTTCGAAAAGATTGAGAACATGGAAATTATTGCGCTGATTTCAAGTGTTTTGTAAGAAAAAAGTGTTGTGGAAGCGGGCATTGAACCTCACGGTGGGAGTTTTGAAGACTTACTGGTTCCCAAGACTTGTAGTACGGCTCAACGTCCAAAGTGTGTCTCTCACTGTACGCCACGTAGTGCCACAACACCATGGCAAAAGACATGAAGAGACCTGCAAATGAGCGGTTGCGATCTGGATGTGTCAGATATTCTTTTACCGGCCAAAATGAGAAGAACTCCAGTGATCATGATGAATCTCTTCGATCTGTTCCAGCATCCAATGAGTCCAACGATAAAGCTCAACACGACGAAAACAATACCTGAACAAATCAAATGTGCATTAATGTCAATATTTGTAGAACTCGGATCGTGACACCTTATTGTACTCTATTGTACAGGTAATGCTGATATATATGTACTACTCAAAGCCAAGCGAGTCGTATAATCGCTAGTAAATTATTCAAACATCTTATTGTTATGCATCTAGCGAGAAACACTACGGATGATCGTTTACTCAATGGTAATTGTACGTACCGGCGAGATAGGCGATAATAGTTCCCTTGGCAGCATAATGACGCCACGTCTCACTGTTCGAGAAGTGCTCTTTCTTTGCGTCTTGGACCATGAACTCATTGCTCCAGATGCATGGCGAACCCATTTTGTTGAAGCTTCCGATATCTGAAACGAATTCCAAATTCCAAATTCCCAATTGTTTCCTGGTCTTTTCGCTGCGTCTTCTCATTTTCGTGACACCTTGTCGACAATCAATTTTATTGGTTTTGACCTTGGTTGTTTTCTAGTAACTAACTAGTAAAAGAGTCACACAAAGGCACTTCATTCACTTGTTTTTGGTTCTGCTGAGGCCGGAACATTAGGTTAATACCAGTAAGAAGATTAGCACTTTCTTCAAATTTTTTGCCGTTTAAGAGGAGAAGAATGGGCCAAAGTTTAGCGCATGACGGCGCATAAGACCTTCGAAAAGCTAAACATGCCAAACCTTGTGGAACGGTATCAGGGAAGCAGAGGTTGAAAAGTCCAAAGTTGCGGGAGAAGTAGAGAATGTTGTGGCCGAACGCATTTTGCAGACGTAAACTCAACTCAGGCTCCCTCTTGAAAGCGTTGATGATCTCCCTACGGTTCACCTGGAATAAGAGTGTCGTAAAACATAAGAGGTCCTAAACGATGTCCTTCTTCCCTTCAATCATTTAGCGGCGCATGAATCATCTCTCCCTTCTAATACGGCGAGGCGCAATTTAATGCAGTTCAGCCATCTCAAAGTCAAGTCGGCAAGACAGAGGAAAAAACTCAAAAGACATCTTGTATATCCTGGCGGTAGCAGCCATTTTATTGTTACTTGCCCTATTCCTTTTCTTCGGGCCGCGCATATCTGACCTTGTCCTTCTTCAAAATGCCTTTGCCCTCGCTCACCCTCGCCGTCCTTAATGGGGAATAAGAAAGCGAGCATGAGCGGACGGGTCCGCAAAGGTTTACTGCCCACGATGGCAATATACCTCGCCGCTCCATCCTCAACTATCTTTCGCGGGGCCCCGATGAGCCGGTTTCCTTTTGAAGCCTCTCAAGCACCGGTGTTGTCAACAAATATAGTATGGGATGGATAGATAGTGGAGGCAGATGCGAACAGGACAAAAATCGGGGAGGCGAAGTGGACGGGGGAGTGAAGAAGAGCTCTTTTTTGTTTTTGTCTGAAGTGTGAACCGATTTCTGATGTAACCGCGTTTGTTGAGAAGCGAAAGTTTGGTGGATGTTTGTCGAAATGAAAACGGACACACAAGAAATGGGCGAAAAAGATGTTGAATTCCAATTAAAGACGAAACGACGAAAATGATTGAAAGTTACAGAACAGGAATTGAGGAAGGATTGAAGAAATATGGACAACTGTCAATCACGATTGTTGTATGAAAATGTCGAAATCGACAACAATGTGGCAATTTTCTTTTTTCAAACGGAAAGCCAACAGACTTTTAAGCCTCGTCTAGAATTTGTTTTTTAAGCGCTAAGGAAGTATTGAAAATAATACTAATGACTGAAAAAAATAACTGAAAAAAACCAACCTGAACTTCCGTCCAGTTGTCGGTGGAGACTGCGAAGCACACGAGTCCCAGTCCGATCAGGGAAAAAACGGAAGCTAGTGAGAGAAACAACGGTGACGAAAGCATTAAGGACCCTGGAAGAAGGAAGATACTGATAAGTTTTGGATGAGAATGCAGGCCATCGGTATAGGAGGTCTACTCAAGCGAACAACACCCACACGCACAGTCCACAGCGCGCGGAAGGATGGGGCGGGGTCAGCGGCGCTCACTCTTACCGCTCACACACCTCGCACACACTCACAATATCGGACCGTACGCGGCCGGCCAGGCAGCCGATCGCATTCTTCTTGCCCCACCGGTGGCTGTACGCACGGATGCCTAAAACATACAAGGTCATCAGATATGACCCCTCGCCTCCTTGCATCCATCCCTCCTTCATCCCCTCCCCCTCTCGCCTCCTCTTTTAACGAGTCGGCTTGACGATAACCTGGGTTACTGCAATTTATCTCTAATATATCTCCGGCAGTTCCCGCCTTCAGATCCGGACGGATCTGTTGATGACATGACCTTCTAAGCGTGATGGATGGCTCGGATAGTGAACAAAACCGCAAGTGTTGCAATATACGGTCTCGCGAGAAAAAGAAAAAGGGATCAGGTGCAGGGCGTGGTTCAGGAAAAGAAAATGGAAATGGAAATGATCTCGAGGAACCTAACGAACCATTGCCAGGCAATTGTTAAAGGAAAAAAGCAAAGAAACGAAACGTTTTCTCGAGAAAAATTCACAAGAGCGATGTTATTGTCCTAATAAAGATGGAATTCGCTTGAATAGTGGTTTACCGAACAACACTTTTGACCCCCCACCCCTTCCCTATTTGAGAACTGGTTCAGTGTGAAGTAGAGTGGAATACGCAACGGAAACGAATCCATAAAATGGGTCTAAGACGTAAAACAGTGTTTTTTCTGAGAAGCGAAGGGCAATGTGAGGTCAGCCGGGACGGTTCACCATAAACGTATGGCAGGTGGTGTCCAGCCGATGTCCCTCAACCGCCGAGTTGGTTTCAATGCGAATTTTCACACAAAAAAGAACAAACAACAAAGTCAGATGCATTATTCCCACTTGATGGGTCGAGGACGTACTTTTTGGTGCGAAACCTTTTTTCTCCACTTCACTTCAAAGCGAAATTCGACGAACGGCTGATTGTTTCAGATATTATCACCGCGTGATACACTTTTTATTCCCCTAATCATAATTATTATTATCACTAAAAGTGATTATATCGTTCGGTCATCCATAAAACCCAAGGCTGTTCTTTCTGTTCGTGGCCGAACACCGGTCATCTGTTCGTCCATTGGGCAATCCTAGTCCACCAAGTACGCGTTCATTTGAATGTCGATGAGTTGTGCAACAAAGGTGGTGGGAAACAATTGATTTCCCATGACACTTCCACAACTACCATCTTTTGTTGTATTGTGCTCTTCGAATGTCGGTCGGCCATGACTAATTCCTGTCCCTGGTTCGTGCCAACGGTGCATTTTGAACGTTTTCAATTTCAAATCATAACAATTCAATTTGATTCATCACTCTCACGGTGTCCATGTCAGTGGCATTTAAATGAAATCTGATTCGAAGGGACTATAGTTCAGCACTGACGTCACTTTTTTATGAAAGAGTTCTGATGAGTTGGACCATTGGACAACACTGTCGCGTTGCGTTGCGTCGTGACGCGTCGCGTGCGCACACCTCCATCTTGCCGTCATTTGCACCCTCTTCGATTGCAAACCAAACCAATCCCTGTTTCTTAGCGGATTTATGCAAATTTCAATGACTTTCCGTTGTGTAACTCGCTTCTCACATGTTTTCCACTAAAGTTATTCTCATTTTACGATCGGTTTCGCCGGCCAAGTTCAAATTGGTGCACTTGAAAGAAAGCTTGCGCAACGTCATTTGCCGCCTGCTCTTTCTTTTCCGTCTTCTTCTTAGTCAGATACGCTTTGAGATCACCAATGAGTGTCGTGTGTAATTGACGACCATTGGGAGAAGACCGGCCCGAGGGCTCGGTCCGTTTTTCGAAACGCCTTACATCTGGTGGTCTACCCGACGGACGGAGGGGACACACACACCATCGCCTCCCCCCATTCACCCCTCCTCTGACTACGCCACTCATACGCACACACAGACCGAATGGGCTGCGAGCGTGGGGCAGCCGGGGCAGAGGACGATGCATAATGTGTTAGAGGTTATTTTCTTTTCGGGTCCCCTTTTCTTCCACTCGTTCATTGATCGCGGCTGGATCGTTTACTTGCGGTCGTGCGCGTTGGCGGCGTTTGCGCGACCCAACTCGGCTCGTTTTATCTCCCATTTCATTCGATTGCAACCCTCTTCCGACATGCCGTTCTCATTGTGCATTCTCTTTCAAAATTGCGATTTTCCAGGCAGACCATGTCGTATCCCGACGGAAGAAAGTTGCCGAAAGACACGAGAAGTTGCGTCGGAGGATTTCGCTATGAAGGACACAAGAAGCAACTTCGGCCTCGATATGCACAATCGGATATTGGAGAGCCGTTCATTCCAAAGTTCTCCGCCATCGCCAGCGAGGTAAGCTAGTTGAGTTTGGAGCAGCGGAAAGTGAAAAAGTGAAAAACGCGAGTCAATGACGTAACATTCATCAAAAATGTCTAGCTCTCCGAGCCGAATCTTATCTCTCAATTTCACCAGAAAGTTAGATAAATTCAAATACACTCCAAAATGCCTCCCTCCTCCCCTCAAAAACACTGTGATGTATCTTATCTCTGGCAACATAGTTGTTTCCTCTGTTCCTCTGTGTTTTACATACATTTTGTAGGGTCAAAAGATTGCTCCTCCGAACGACGACTGGGCTGACAATACGACTGTACTGACTGGAATGACGACGGATTCGTTTCAAATGGACGAAAAAGTGATTTATACGCCTCCGATTGGCCGTGTTGTCGGGAGAAGGTAATTTATTCGCTTTACGACGGCAGCTCCCCCTCGAAAACAATCTTTTCTCCGTTTCAGATGCTCTCGCTTCGTGTGGCTTTTTGTCTCCTCACTCCTCTGCATTATATCGGTGGTGAGCGCTCCGATCATGTGTTCATTGCCAATTATCGCTCCGCATTTCGGCTTCAGTATGCCGGCAATTCAATGTGACGTGAGTACTCGGAACGAATTGAAGCGAATATGAAAAATGATGGATTATAGGTCGATTGCGAAGGACTCTTGTTCTTGATGGCAATTAAAACGGTCTTCCTGATGATTGCAATTTGCGTCTTGTACTGGAGGAAAGCGATGGCCGACATGCCAAGACTCTACTTTGTCCGAGCTGCTCTCACGTTCCTCGTCATGTTCATTCTGTTCGCATTCTGGCTCTTCTACATTGTCCGCATCATGTTTGAGAGATATGACAACTACAAGTACATTGTAAGTTTCATCGGAAAAGGTCTGAGTTTATGATTTTTGTTCTCATGCAGGTTTCGTACTCGACTTCTCTTCTGGATGCTCTACTCTGGACGCACTATCTATCCGTCGTGCTCCTTGAACTCCGCCGTCTCCGCTCTCAGTTCATTGTGACTATTGTCCGTGATCCTGATGGTGAAATGCATACGTTGAACATTGGAGCCGGCTCCATTCAAGAGGCTGCCGCTGAGATCCTCCGATTCTACACCACCCGATTCTCCTCTTTCAACATCCATCTCGACAATGCCCGTCAATCCGCTGTTGCCAAGCAATCTGGAATGCAAGGAGGCACTGCTGGATTCAAGATGTACAACATCGAGCAGTTTGGAGGACAGGATACGGTCAGTGAAATCAACACTCGTGCCTTGATGGAGGCCGCTGCTCGCAGAAGAATTGGAGGATACACAGAAGTGATGCAAGAGGAGCTTGACTTTGAGAAGCGTCTGAAGAAGAGAAAGTACCGTCTGATTGCCGCCGCTGAAGACGCGTTCTCCCATGTTCAAAACACTGCGGAGGTTGGACAGAAGAGCGGAATTAACAATCAAATGGACTCGCTCACTGCGGCTCAGAACGTGTTCACGTGGATCGTTAGACCGCTCACCAAATTCTTGAAGACCACTCGTTTGCAGTCGAGACATCCATCCGGAGAAGTTACTAGACACATTGAAAGGTAATCACACTGAAAAGTTGTAAACGGTTCCAGAACAATATAATTTCCAGATGCTTGACTCTGAAACTCTCGCACAGGACGTTCCTCCAACGGTTCTTCAGTGACCGAATCCCTCAACAGGAAGTGGTGACCGAGTCGAAATGGTCGGTGATTTGCGAAGATTCGGTGTCTTCCGCAGTCCACCACGGCACGTACATCGTCTTGAAATCGCACAACTCGGTAAAAAACACGGATCTTTTCATTTTCTTTAGCGTTACTTTTCAGGACATCGACTGCGGAGTCCAACTCGTCTGCTCAGTGTCCAGCATTCCGTTTTTCAATCTGACGGAGCAAACCAAATCGGGAAACGAGAAGTTTGCGTTGAAGATCAGCAACGAGTCGGCGGTCTAAGCGGGACGGGAATCGAACGTACGGAACTGTCATAGAAACTGTCGTCTTGTTTCCCGTTCTTCCCTATACAATTGTGTTCTTTTCTGGTCTCAACGTCTGTTTTTTGGATATTGTCCCCTTTGAATTCGGTCAAAGACTGTCATTTCCCTTTCATCCATCCCATTCTTTTTTCTGTGGTCTTTTCTCTTTAATTCGCTTTCTACACACCCTGATGTTACTGTGTACGGGTACACATCTCAACTGAGACGATAATGGCTGACATTTGACATCTCTATCGCACCGCGTCACTTATTTCGAGTACTTTTCCCCATAATTTGACCTATTGTCTTTGTTCTCCTAATCTTGTTCCTAATTTAATCAAACCATCTGACTGATGTTGTATTATATTTCCAATGTTTTCGTGTAATTTGGAAAAAATAGAATGTGATTATTTATTGATGATGGGATATCATGAGGAGTTGAAGAGCGATGAAAAAGGGGAATGTTGAGATCTGTGGAGTAGCATGGGGTTGAGAGTGACTTAGCATGTTTGTAGATGTACATCAGGATATACCCGTAACACATCACTGGAGAACATGTCAAATCGAGAGTACACTTTGGAAAAAGGTGGATAGATTTAGAAGGAGAGTCTTGGGAAGATGAGACTTCGCTTCTTCCTGCCGAATCTGCTGCTTGTGATCCGTTGACTGTTGAAGAACGTGGAAATTCGGTCGTTGATGGTCGGATCCATGTCATACACGATTCCATTCTCATCCATGAACTGGTTGGGCGAGAAATTGTCGTTGATTTGCTTTTGCTGAAAAAGAGAAGATTGATCATCAGGTTCTGGGACGATACTATGCTACATACCCAATCGTCTTCTCCGCGCAAATGAGAAATTGGACGGAAATCAGTGTTTTGCATTCCTATCCGACGACGCGTCAGCTTTTCCGATCTGTAGGCGTCAAGCAGACTCATTGAAGAAACGACGGCAACAATAAGATTAAAGAATATGATTTGGCGGAGTAGTTGTGACATCATGGCACGGTGACTGATTTTTGAAAGTTGACACTTCAAAAACTGGACAATTGGAAATGGACCAATTAAGGAAGTGTGGAGAGAGAGGAGGAGGAGATGATAATAGTTTACAACTGACAGATGCGCCGGTTTAAATAGAAGATATGATAAAAGAGGATGAAAGAAAAACGCAAAAAACGAGAGACACTTGAAGAGGGGAAGGTGATGATTTCCTTTTTCCACGCTGTATCAGAAAGGGTGGTATCATACTGTCAGACGAGGAGGACAGGCGAGATAACAGAGAAATAAAGATGTTTAAACTTTGGGCTTTGTCATCTCTCCGAAACCCAACGCGATACGCTTCCGACCACTCGATTCAAAACATGATGCAAACCGTAATTTCTCGAGAATTTCAACAGCATCTGGAAGTGAATTCAAAAACCTGATTCTGATGTGACGGACCGTAATGTTTTTGACACAAATTTTGAAGAACACAACAACAGTTTCAGCGCAAAATCTTCATTGCAAAAACAGACGATTGACGAAAGACGTTAGACCAGTTGAAATATTCTTTTTTTAGATAACTTTGACCTATCAATGAACAAATCATGATGTTTTCTTGGTTGATTTCTTAAGTAACACTAAAGCGAGCACTCCAAAGCTGACAACAGCCACTGCTGTCACGCCGATCAAATACAGAGCACAGTAGAAATCACATTCCGGAGGTCCCCAAGACTGTCTGTTCATCGAGCCGTTGGTATCCCCGATGGCTCTGAACTGGTGGGCATCTGACGCGACTTGCTGTAACACCATCCATGTGCAATCCTCCGGAGCGCCTGACAGTGTATCACATTTCCAACATTCTGGTGTCAACGCGCATCGTTCAACCCTGAAATGCACACTTTGGGACAACGTCACACCCGCCCGTGTTATTGCGTTGGCTAGTGTTCAAAAAATCAAAAGATTGACGATGACTTTTGAAGAGAAGAGAAGAAAAAAAGTGTTCAATGACTGTGTCCTCTAACGTTACAGTTCTTAAGATCATACGCCAAAGGTAGATGCAAGAATTGTGGTCTCGGGATTTGTTCACTTCAACGAGTCACACAGAAACTGATTGTTCTTTGAGCTGCATCTCACCAGTTGATCAAATTTCTAGCCTCATTTTTCAGTAGCGCAGCGATCGGGAACTGTGATATCATTGAATTGGAGGGGAAGTATGGACGACAGCCTGTAATGGATTGTTTCATTTAGTGATCGCACAGAGAACGAGCGGTTTCTACCAGAGGATGTGACTTTTCTGCGTTTATCATGTGAAATGTACGTGATCGAAGGCTTCGACGACCTTCTGAACGGTCCCGCTTGCATCAGCTTCGCATTCACAATTTCCAAGTCGTGACTCAGCCAGAGGACGTTTCGATGATCGGAGAGGATTTCCTGTAATCAAGAACGTGCCCAACGGCCATGTGTGAACAACGTTTTCGGTCTCTAGTACACTTGTGACGTGTGTTCTCCCCGACTAGCACTGTAGATCACAATGATATCGACGTCAGGGATCAGCGCTCCTAGTAAATAAGCGGTCTTGAACCGTAATGATCTGTGTTGATGCGACGGTTCGAAAAGTTTTTGTCAGCGAAACGACGTATCTTGTTCGGACGAATCACACTATCCTGATTTATGCTAGTTTCTTTCTACCATTTGATCTACAATATCATTTGATCAACGGGATCCAACTTTTACTCGCTTCGCCCCAAAAAGGGCCGAGGATCAATAAGGTCTAGGAATGTAAGTATGAGAAGATCTATGAAATAAAGAAAACGTGTTGTGATTTACGCAGTACTTAAAACTCAAGATCTTAAGATTATCCCGTTCGATTTCAATTTCCGACAATGGGTATGTTAGTTCTATCTTTTTTGTTATAACGATTACCTGAAGGTAAAACGGTGTATACACATTGTTGATAACTTTCCCAGACACTTGACTCTTCATATTCACAACTTCCACATTCCGGATACTAATCAGTTGATGTGCCAGCGCCGTCTGAAACTCGATGTTTGATCTGCTAATGAAATACTTTGTTCTTTCGATAACATTTTGATATTGTGTTTTTCTCTGTTCACAAGATCCTTCTTGATAACAAGTCCCAATTTTCTCCCGCAGATCTCTCATGTATCATATGAGATTGCCCGTCAGAATTTCGTTTCAACGAAATTAACTAACTGGGTTTGCCGGTTTCTTTAACAAAGAATGACCTCGACTTGCTAGAGTCGAGGGACGTGGGAATTCAGACAAACCCCATTTTCCCGGTCGAAGATAATCAGTTTCGTTGTCGGAAAGTTCCGATGGATCGAAGCGATGAGCACGAGGAGCCGACTGACGTCATGAAGGGTGGCAGACAGTCCAAACACGAGATCGTCGGACCTGAAATAAATTATGATGAATGGATGTTATTTTAGACTTGAATCATCGTGACTAGATTACATTTTCTAAAGATCGCGCAACATGGTGCGATTGTTGTCTTTTTGCGACCGTATGTAAAACGAGATCATTCTTCATATAGTTTGAGGTTCACATGTTACGATTACGTCCGCACGTGGCTACAGATATGAAAAGTCTGGTTTTCGAAAATATTTTGTGTCAAGTGACCGGAAAAGATGATAGACCAAACAGTTACGTTTTGCAGTTCTCCTCTGGGTACGAAGTTTTGCAAACCAAAGTGGCTAGTTAGCAAAAGGGAGCGAAATAATTGGGAAAAATCTTATAATTGCAGAAATTAAAGTATTTTCAGTGACGACGGGCCGATCAAAGCGTTTTAGAGTGTTTCACAAAGCGCTATGGTCAGTTGTCGTGCAGAGAAACGGACGAAACGGAGGGAGCAGGTGCCCGGTCTTTCAACGACTCATCAGGTTTTAATTGTTGAATCAATTGTCACGTCATTTTATTCCATTTTGATATATTTTATCGTCTTGCGTCTACATTTTCACATTTTAGTCCTTCGAACTAACCTTTTCTCTTCTTCTTTTTCCGGGAGCTCCGTTTTGAATTGATGGCATGTTGCGAAACACTTGCCACAGAGAGCTGAGTCATCGACATTTGGATAACAATTCCTTGTTTTGCCTCCAGCACAGCTGCATTCCGCATTCAGTTGCGAAACATTCAACCAGTAGGGATTACCATAGGCTTTTAGTTGCACGTAGTCTATAACTTCTTCGTACCAAACCTGCGAAATACATGTTATCCCTTTTAGCATTGAAAATGAAATGAAAACTCACCGTAATACAAGTGATGAAGAAACCGAGACACACAACTTTGATGAAGAGGGACTCCATGAACAACAGCTTCTAGTCAAAAGGCCTCGAAAGCTTAAGAAGAAAGAGGGGAATGACCACAGGGGTCCTCCGTTCTTGCAAAAATCAATGTGCTATGACGCTGACGATGAGCATATTCGTTTGAGAAGCGGAGACGCAGAGCACACGTTCATCCGGCTATTCAAACGAGAGAAGAAGAAGGAGGAGAAGAAGATCCGAACGAAATATTTCTCACAGCCGGTCATCATGCCAATCCGTCGGTTTATCCATCCATCATTCCTCATTCTTCCAGTGGCATTGAGGCGTATGCCGTCCATTCCTTTCCGACCAATTTATCACTCTTTTTAGTGCCAGGGTGTCCAATCCCTCCAAGTTCTCCGCATTTTCCGCATTTTCTGCCCAAACACCACAAAAAACTTTTCCATTTCTTTGTCCTTTTCTCTTTGTTTCATGATTCTCAAAACAAAAAAGCCCCCAAGAGCATGACAATTTTCAATTTCCGAATGAATCATTCGGCAACACGGAATATATGAGGCATAAAAAGAAACATTGATATCACGATTTTTTCTGTGAAATATTTTCGGAGTGATTCAGAAAGACCAAAAATCGGCAAGAATTTTTTTTTTGAATTTTGAGAAAGAGAACAGAAAGAAGAATAAGAAGAAGAAGATGGGGTGAGCTCCCACACGCAAGTAACAGGTGGCGGATAACCTTCCTCTCTTCATGGGAGGTCAGTATTCTCAGCAGTCCTCTCCGGTTTTCCTTATCGCTCCATATATTTCACCTCGAATCGTACGGCTAGTGCGCGATCGGCTGGCCGGTCACCGTTGCGCGTTGCTGCACACACCTATTTGAACAAGCACACACACACACACACACACACACATACACAAAACCTCGCTCTAGCCGAGCAGAGCAATTTCTCTGCGCACTATTCGCTCCTCGTTCTGTTTTTGCGGTCACATAGGAACGTCCACGAACGACTGGCCTCCCAGAGGCCCGCGTACTCTCTCTGCTTCACCGCCTGTCCCTCTCGCTTATCCGATGTCTCTAGATCTCCCACGGCCAAACAAGGAAAACCCTCTAGTTCCCCCCTGGGCCACCACCAGGTTGGCTCGCCCTTTTTGGCCGCACAGTCGATTATTTCCATGTTTGCCTATATTTTAACTGTCCCTTTCCGTCTTTAGGATCGTGTAATCGAGACCCTTTTTTCACACCATTGTCTCCTTTTTCCCTCTTTTTCTACAACACTAAACACCTTTGTGAGGGGATCTTTCCAGTTGGATCAGCAAACATATTTACACCGTTTCGTTTTTTGGTACTTTTGCATTGATTCCATTGGTTTCATAACGCTGTTTACAGTTGCAAATTGGTGAAAAAAATAAGACCTGTGTCGGCAGAGTTAAATCGGAAAATCGCATTATGATAATATGTTGGACAAAACTGATATTGTACTGTACCGAGTTGACCGTCACTCAATCAGAACAACAACAAGTTTTTGTTTTCATAATAAGCCCGTTTATGGATCATAAAATGTTGGGAATGTAATGCAATGTACCATTTGAGCACATGCGTCACCTTGGATAATGTCAAAAACAGGTGCCGCTCCTCTTTCTCTCAAAAAAATTGTACAGCTCATCGCGCAATCCAATTTTAATTGAATAACGAGTTTTTTTCTGACACCGCTGACCCATTTTTTGAATATTTTGCGGCGGAATGCGAATCATTTTATCTGAAAATTTATATCGACCTCTGTCTATTAGTTCACTCGGCACTTTGTTGTTGGAATAGATGTAGATCGTATCACTCGCCCCCGGGCGTCTTCATTGTTGTTCTCGCGGCCCGTGGTATCTTCGTGAATCTGTCTTGCATACCAGAACCTTTTCATCACACTTTTATCACACGTATCCACCCCTCAGGCTCCCATTTAAATGCAACAAATATGGGTTAAATCACTTTGAAAACGAAACGAAACGGTTCGGTTTGGTTGTTATCAGTTTTTTTGCCGTTTCGCAAACACCACGCCATGAGAACGGACGACGATGGTCAAGGAGTCGCAGCTCTCCAAACTTATTGTTTTAGTGTTATTTTCAAAGTGTGCTCCCCCTCTCTTTCTCCCTCTTTTTTCTTGTGTTTGCTTCAGTTTTATCAGTGACCAGTGCAGAAACATATATCCCTCGTATCCCTTCGAACAAACGACACTCATCGCGTTCGTTTCATCAAGAGACGTCGCCAACTAATGCTTCATGATGTGGGTGTGGACGGAATCGGAACAGAAATGTGAGAAAGAACGAAAGAGCGAGGCAAAGAGGGAGAATCAAGTTTTGCATTCGTTTTATTTATAAATGAGTGGCACTGGTATGATTCACCCAACATTAGAGTTCGCTTCTCTCGTTCCAAATATATTTCCTCCCAGGTTTATCGAAAACGCGAGGTCACTTTCCGGATGTGCCATCCCTCGGGGGCCGTTGGCGTGTCGGCGAACAACTAAAGATGTAGACATCGCGCGTGGCAATTTCTTCGTTCCTTTCGTGTTTCTCTCCTCTTTTTCCATACTCTACTCGGCCGCATTTACTTTTCGGCCCTGTCTATTCATCGACTCCTTGTTCTATTTTTTAGTGCCTCCCGTGAGTCGCCCCTCGCTCATCCAATTCACTTTTCTCAGTTTTCTCCTTAGTTTTTCACAGGCTTGTCCGTCCTCCGGTGTCGAGTTGTGAATTGAATCGTTTTCTTCTCTCCCCTCTTCCCGACCGCTGTCACCTGTTTGTTTTTGATGACCAAAACATTCCATTCAACAATCCGTGTCTCGTTCGCAAACCCAGTTGAGGCAATGTTGAAAACATTTCGAAAATCTCACACTTTTCTCCTACTCAAACCCTTTTTCCAATGCATATCAATGTGAGAGACATTTGCATGAGGAACCGAGTCTTCACGTGTTTCTGTCGTCAGCGCGTAATGTTCGGTGTCGGCGCTGATCATCCTGTTCAGACATGATTGTTCGGCAATGCTTATGGGAGACCCTTCCGTCGGATAGTAGGCTGGCTTGAAAAGAGAATTAAAACATAAATCGTTAGGGTAAACATCATCATGGAGAGAAGAAGCCGCTCCGCTGCCCCCTTCGCTCTGTCTTTTCGGGTATTGTCGTTCGATTGATCGCTTTTTTCGCAGCCGAGTGCAGTGGCGTCAGTTGCCAACTTCCCCCCATGACTCATAAAATATGCCAATATTCCGGGCGATAAGCACGGCGGGCGGAGACTACTCACACATCGATTTGTCCTCTACTTACTGATAGTGTAATGACAGCATTCATTTTTTTCCCCCCGATAGGACAATGATTCATAGGCGAATTACACCGTTTGTCCCTCCAATCCTTCTTCTTCTTCTCGTTGCGTTTCATCTTGACACCTCGTATATCTGATTTCGATTGCAATTCTGAGGGTTCTGTCAAGAGTGCTGTCAAAATATCGTTTCACCCTTAGGCGGCGATCATAATCTCCGCGCGTTCTGATCTGCATATCCATATCCGAGAAGTACACGCATCAGGCGGGTCATCTTTCCGAATGCGAATGCGAATGCGATTGTGAATGCGCAACAAGAAGATGGGATAGGTGACAAATAGTTTCGTGGTGGTGTGTGTGTGTCTGTCTGTCCGAGGATGGAAAAAGTCAGATGTACTTAGAGAAAGAGAGCGCGGAAGAGAAGGTTGGTTGGCGCGCGAATCAAGGACATCAATTCTTCATACAATCCTCACACACTCGGTCCGAAGAATTCTGCCGGTCAGGAGGCAACCTCTACCGCTCGCTGATTCTGACTACCTGACTGCGACGCGCGGAGGGGCCGTGTTATCCTTGTTCGCTGTTCACTTTCACCGACACACACGGACTGCTGGGCGTTTGCGCGATTTAACTCGACACCCTCTCTTTCTCTCTGTTTCCTTGCGTCCTCGATATGTCTAGTACCACATAACAGCCGCTTAGGAGCGATTCTTGTTGAGAACAACTGGAAGCGCTGTCGGTTTCCTCCCAAAAGACACCTTGCGTCTTCCATCAGTTCTCTTTGTTCACAACCAAACACTTTCATAATCCAGTAATTTGCCTCGCCAAATCCGTTACATCCCTTGACCTCGTTTCCGTTTGTTCCCTCCGTTTCCACTCGTTCGTCCGTCGTCTCGTCTAATTCGATAGTACCACCCAAGTTGTAAAAATGCATTGACACTTGCGAGCATGTAGGGCCAAAATATGAACTCGCAAACTCAAACTTTGCGAGCGTTGACATATGTAAACAAAGTCTAGATTTTCTTGTTTGCGAGCATCACCCTGTATGGTAAATCTTCGTTTGAGCCGGATCAAAACGAGAAACGAAACTTTTGATGGATTTCTCTCCGACCGCTTGACCGCCAACTACCAATACTACTTTTTCCGACTGCCGCTGCTTACCTTACATGTCCGCATTGAAAATGAAAACAATCGTACATTTTTGGAGCAGAAAGGAAATAAATGTTTATTAAATTTGATTCGTTCTGATCGTACACATGAGTCACATATTGTTTTATGTCTTCCTTCCCACCAGACCGCCTACTTTTCCATACAACACTTTTTGTTTTCTATTTTTTGTCGGTCCGCCCCTTTTGTTCTTGCCCTGATTCGTCATCATTTGCTTGCCATTGCTGTGCTCGGGAGCGCCGTTACTTTTATTGCCTCCTCTACTTCTTCTTCTTTCTGAACTAATATGCGGTTATTTCAGCTTTCCTGATTATCAAATGAGTGACCCGCAGGCACTGCGGGCTCTGCAGGTCCCCCGGGCTGCCGTTGCCGATCCCGCCAAACTTGCCGCATGGGCTCAGAGGAAACTTTGCTGGGTTCCCGATCAGAACGAAGGATTCCTGCTGGGATCGATCAAGTGAGTTGCCCAGTCGTCATCACAAAACGTTTTCTGTTTCCAGAGGCGAGAGAAATGACGAAGTGATAGTCGAACTCTGCGATTTGGGGCGCCAAGTCATCATGAGCCGAGACGACGTTCAGAAAGCGAACCCACCAAAATTCGACAAAATTGAAGACATGTCTGAACTCACGTACCTGAACGAAGCATCTGTTTTGTACAATTTGAAGGAGAGATACTACAGCAGTCTGATTTACGTAAGTTCAACCAACACGGGATGCAAAAGCCGCAATGTCTTTGGATTTCAGACATACTCTGGACTGTTCTGCGTGGTCATCAATCCATACAAAAAGCTGCCAATCTACTCAGAAGACCTGATTGAAGAGTTCAAAGGCAAGAAACGGCATGAGATGCCTCCACACATCTTTGCAATTGCTGATACCGCGTATAGGTCGATGCTTCAAGGTAGAAGAGTTGAAATTAATTCAAGCAACTAGAAATGGATATATTTCAGAGCGAGAGGATCAATCCATCCTGTGTACAGGAGAGTCTGGTGCCGGTAAGACGGAGAACACTAAGAAAGTGATTCAGTACCTCGCGCACGTCGCTGGAGCCATCAGAAATAAGGGAATGAATCCAGCGCTTGCACAGAATGTTGTCCAAAAGGTGAGCAAAAAATTTTCTGGCACTCAGAACGAGATCAGAGTCAGAACCTAGGATGCTTTATAAAGTTCTCAGCAAAACAGTTGTAATTCTCATTTTAGCCGGATTCCCGAAACCCGATCGTAAGTGAAAACATGTGCATATCTTTGAGTCTTGATGTGACTTGTTGTCGTGACATTGTCGTGATTACTGTTATCATTCTTTGTCTCATTTCCTATTTTATTTCTCATGTTCATTCTTCACAAATCACAACCAAAAACCGTCTTTTCTAATATGTCAATACAAAACGATGTAACTAATCTTGTCAAACGTGCCAAATTCAAACTGAAACTTCTTAATCAGTGCCTCGTTTCCCATTCAAACCCTCAGCTGCAAATTTTGCTTCACTTAAATCATATTTAATTTCTCCAAAATGAGCTTTATCCGTTTCCCGATAATGCTAAAATCCTATTCAAATTGTCGTTGTCTTCACGACCAGGTTGCTTACCACAGAAGTGATCTGCTGTGTGATTCACTGCTCACATGTGCTATCATCCAACCCAACAATTGTGTGTTTCAGGGCGAGTTGGAACATCAGCTTCTTCAGGCGAATCCGATCCTTGAAGCTTTTGGTAACTCGAAAACTGTCAAGAACGACAACTCATCCAGATTTGTGAGTTTCTCATCATTATCCTTCCTATACAATGCTTTCATTTCAGGGAAAATTCATCCGTATCAACTTTGATATGAGCGGTTACATCAGTGGAGCCAACATTGAATTCTATCTCCTCGAAAAGTCGAGAGTTCTCCGACAAGCCCACGATGAGCGCAGTTTCCACATCTTCTATCAGATCCTCCGAGGATGCAGTCCAAAAGAGAAAAGTAGGTTGAGTCATACAAACGGCGGCAACGAATTGTTGTTTAATAGAATCTGTTCATATGTGAATCACATATGACTCATTCAAACATGAGAATCGGAACTGAGAAAAGAATTGCCGATGACGATATATCATTTTATTTTTCAGATGAATACCTCCTCGAATCTGTCGACAACTACCGATTCCTGGTCAACCGTGGAATCACTCTTCCAAATGTTGATGACGTGCAGGAGTTCCACGGCACCATCAACTCGATGAAGATCATGGGTTTTGTCGATGATGAAATCTCTTGTAAGACAGAAATAACCATTCCCATGAATCGAAATGTTTTGCAGCCATCCTCCGCGTTGTTTCCGCTGTACTGCTGCTTGGAAACTTGGAATTCACACAAGACAAGAAGAGTGACCAAGCAACTCTTCCAGACGACAGAGTCATCCAAAAGATCTGCCATCTCCTCGGACTTCCAGTCATTGAGCTCACCAAGGCATTCTTACGCCCACGCATCAAGGTCGGAAGAGAATTTGTGAACAAGGCACAGAACCAGGAGCAAGCCGAGTTTGCCGTCGAAGCAATTGCCAAGGCCTGTTACGAGAGACTGTTCAAATGGCTTGTCACCAGAATCAACAAATCCTTGGACAGAACTCACCGCCAAGGCGCGTCTTTCATCGGAATCCTGGATATTGCTGGATTCGAAATCTTCGACATCAACTCTTTCGAGCAGATTTGCATCAACTACACTAATGAGAAGCTGCAACAACTCTTCAACAACACCATGTTCATTCTTGAGCAGGAAGAGTATCAAAGGGAAGGAATCGAATGGGACTTCATTGACTTTGGACTCGATCTCCAGCCAACAATCGATCTCATTGAGAAGCCAATGGGAGTCTTGGCTCTTCTTGACGAGGAATGTCTTTTCCCGAAGGCCAACGACAAAACGTTTGTCGAAAAGCTACAAAAGACGCACAACAAACATCCAAAGTTCATCGTGCCAGACATGCGTTCCAAGAGCCACTTCGCCGTTGTTCACTATGCCGGAAGAGTCGACTATTCAGCTGATCAATGGCTCATGAAAAACATGGACCCCCTCAACGAGAACGTCGTCGGACTCATGCAAAACTCGACGGATCCATTCGTCGCTGGAATCTGGAAGGACGCTGAGTTTGCGAGCATATGCGCCGCCGAGATGAACGAAACCGCATTTGGAATGAGATCTCGCAAAGGAATGTTCCGTACCGTCTCTCAGATGCACAAAGAGCAGCTCACCAGACTGATGACCACTCTCCGCAACACTTCTCCTCACTTCGTCCGTTGCATCATTCCGAACCACGAAAAAAAGGCCGGAAAGATCAACTCGAATCTTGTCCTGGAGCAGTTGAGATGCAATGGAGTCCTGGAAGGAATCAGAATTTGCCGTCAAGGATTCCCCAACCGTGTGCTCTTCCAGGAGTTCCGTCACCGTTACGAAATCCTCACTCCCGACGTCATTCCCAAAAATTTCATCGATGGAAAGGAATCTGTGCGCAAGATGATCACCGCGTTGGACATTGATGCCAATTTGTACAGAATCGGACAGTCCAAGGTGTTCTTCAGAACCGGAGTTCTTGCCCATCTCGAAGAAGAAAGAGACCTCAAACTGACGGCTCTCATCATGAATTTCCAAGCGCAGTGCAGAGGATTCCTTTCGAGACGTCTTTACACCAAAAGGCAGCAACAATCCAGTGCTATCCGTATCATTCAACGCAACGGACTCGCCTATCTGAAGCTACGAAACTGGCAGTGGTGGCGGTTGTTCACCAAGGTCAAGCCTCTTCTCCAAGTTACCCGTACTGACGACGAAATCCGTGCCAAGGACGATGAATTGCGCGCAGCCAAAGAACGTCTGCTCAAGATGGAACACGAGTTCCGGGACAACCAAAAGAAGCTGGATCAGGTTAGCGGGAGATATGTTTGATCACGAAAGCATCTCAATTGGTTCATTTTCTCACGGTTCTTTTTTTCAGGTGATTGTCGAGCGAGCAGTCATCCAAGAACAACTCCAGCAGGAATCCGACAACAGTGCTGAACTCGAAGACCTCCGCAATCGTCTGCAAGCTCGGAACCAGGAGCTCGAATACGTCGTGAACGATATGAGAGAACGTCTGTCTGAGGAAGAGCAACAGAATGAGAAGAGCAATGAGGAGAGAAGAAAACAACTGGTAGGTGTTGATGTGATTAGTTAGACAAACGAGTGTTGTTTTAGGAAACTGTTCGTGACTTGGAAGAGCAGCTCGAGCAGGAGGAACAAGCCAGGCAGAAATTATTGCTCGACAAGACCAACGTCGATCAGAAACTCCGCAATCTCGAAGAGAGACTGGTTGAACTCCAGGACGCTTACGATAAGCTTTTGAAAGAAAAGAAGATCCTCGAGGAGAAGGTCGAAGCACTCACAACCCAGCTTCTAGAGAACGAAGAAAGAGCCAAGCACGGAATCAAGGCGAAAGGACGTCTCGAGAATCAGCTGCATGAGCTCGAACAAGACCTCAATCGCGAACGTCAGTTTAAAACAGAATTGGATCAGCAGAAGAGAAAGTTGTTGGCCGAATTGGAGGACAGCAAGGACCATTTGGTGGAGAAGATGAGCAAGGTTGAGGAACTGAACAACCAGTTGATCAAGAGAGACGAAGAACTCCAACATCAGTTGACGAGATACGATGAGGAGTCGGCGAATGTAGCTCTGATGCAGAAGCAGATGAGAGACATGCAGACAACCATCGATGAACTCCGCGAGGACATTGAGACCGAACGGAGTGCTCGCAACAAAGCGGAGATGACGAGAAGGTTGGTATATTTGCAAACAATTAGGCGGCTCATAAGAATATTTGTTTTGTTTTGGCACCCGTTGACAGTCCTGATTGGTTCATTCTGATCGATATGCCTGCTTATCTGATTATTCCAAAATTTCTCTTCAGAGAAGTCGTTGCCCAGTTGGAGAAGGTGAAAGGAGATGTGCTCGACAAGGTCGACGAGGCTACCATGCTCCAAGACTTGATGGCCAGAAAGGATGAGGAAGTCAATGCTACCAAGGTAACACATTTGATAGAGAACACTTTCTATATATAAATTTTTCCAGAGAGCTATTGAGCAAATCCAACATACTATGGAAGGCAAAGCTGAGGAGCAGAAAGCCAAATTCAGCCGTCAACTGGAAGAGCTTCACGATCAAATTGAGCAGCACAAAAAGCAGCGCAACCAATTGGAAAAACAGCAGAACCAGACTGACCAGGAACGTGCAGAAATGGCCCAAGAGATTGCTCTTCTGCAAGCGAGCCGAGCTGAAATTGACAAAAAGAGAAAGATTCACGAAGCACATCTTCAAGAACTTCAGGCTAGTCTGGCGGAGAATGATGAATACAAAAGGGCGTTGATTGATCAGTTGGAAAAGGTAACATTTCGAAATACCTCCCCTACTCTATTAATAAATTTCCAGAGCCGTGACGAGTTGGATCATCTGACCCGTGTTCGCGAGGAAGAGGAAGCCGCGTTCGCTGGAATGCAACGTAGATTGGCTGCAGCTGAAGGACAGATCCACGACCTGAACGAGCAGATTCAAGAAGAGACCCGCGTCAAACTCGCACACATCAACCGAGCCCGCCAGCTTGAAGATGAGAAAAATGCTCTTCTTGATGAGAAAGAGGAAGCTGAAGGTCTTCGTGCCCATCTTGAGAAAGAAATCCAAGCCGCTCGTCAAACTGCTGGAGACGCTCGCAGAAAAGCAGAGGAAGCCGTCACGCAACAAATGGAAGAGATCAGAAAGAAGAATCTGAGAGACGTCGAACATCTCCAACAGCAGTTGCAAGAGAGTGAAGTGGCCAAGGAACGCATTCTCCAGAGCAAAAAGAAGATTCAGCAGGAGTTTGAAGACCTTTCTATGGAGCTCGACAATGTCAGGAGCTCTCACAGAGATTCGGAGAAGCGACAGAAGAAGTTCGAAGCTCAAATGGTCGAGGAGAGAGCTTCTGTGCAAAAGGCACTCATTGATCGGGACACGATGAGCCAGGAACTGCGTGACAGCGAAACACGTGTCTTGGGTCTTCTCAATGATATTGACGGCATGAAGGAACAACTGGAGGAATCTGAGAGACTTCGTCGTCTCTTGCAGCAAGATCTCCAAGATTCGGTTAGTCATTCTGTTAGTTTTCGATTCAGTTAAACTTGGTTTACAGATCTCGAACAAAGATGATTTCGGAAAGAACGTTCACGAGCTGGAGAAGGCTAAACGATCTCTTGAAGCTGAACTGAATGACATGAAAACGACGATGGAGGAGATTGAGGACAATCTCACTATTTCCGAAGATGCTCGACTTCGACTTGAAGTCAATTATCAAGCGCTCAAAGCAGAGAGTGATCGGGCTCTCAGTGCCAAGGATGTCGATGCGGAAGAGAAACGTCGCGGTCTTCTCAAACAGATCAGAGACCTGGAGAACGAGCTGGAGAACGAAAAGAGAGGAAAGTCTGGAGCCGTCAGTCATCGCAAGAAAATTGAAAGCCAGATTGGAGAGCTCGAACAGCAGTTGGAAGTGGCAAATCGGCTGAAAGAGGAGTACAATAAACAGTTGAAGAAGAACCAGCAAATCATCAAGGACTACCAGAATGAGTGCGAGGAAACCCGCCAGGCCAAGGAAGACATCGCTGCTCAGTTGAGAGAGGCAGACAGGAAGTACAGAGCCGTCGAAGCTGAAAGAGAACAACTTCGTGAGGCGAACGAGGGTCTTATGCAAGCCCGAAAGTTGCTTGAGTTGGAAAATGATGAACTCGAGGAGCTGCGATCAAAGGGAGGAGGCATTAGCTCTGAAGAGAAGAGACGGCTTGAGGCCAAGATCGCACAGCTTGAGGAAGAGCTCGAGGAAGAGCAGAACAACTGTGAAAACGCGATTGACAAGCAGCGAAAGGCGCAACTTCAACTCGAGCAAATCACAACAGATCTCTCAATGGAACGTACTCACACCCAGAAATTGGACGCCGAGAAGCAAAGTCTCGAGCGCACCTGCAGAGAATACAAAGCCAAGATCACCGAGTTGGAATCGGGAGCTCAATCGAGATCTCGTGCTCAGATGGCCGCACTTGAGGCTAAGATACAGTACTTGGAGGACCAGCTGAACACCGAAGGACAGGATAAGACTGCCGCCAACCGAGCCGCCAGGAGACTCGAGAAGAGACTCAACGACATCACTCAGCAGTTGGAAGATGAGAAGAGAGCCAGTGAGCAGGCTAAGGAACTGGTATGTGACCTATTTCTGAGAAATCGTTTGGAAATTGTTTATTTCAGCTGGAGAAATCGAACCTCAAACAGAGGAACGTCCGCCGGCAAGTGGATGAACTCGAAGACGAACTTTCACGCGAGCGAACGAAACACCGCACTCTTCAGCGTGAAACTGACGATCTTCTTGATGCTAACGAACAGCTCACACGTGAACTGATGAACCTCAGGTAACCACAAACTCCTCAAGACTTTTCATTGTCAAAATTCAAAATTGTAGAGGGAATGCTAACCGGCGACGTGCTGAAAACATGCGTCTCCGAAGAGGATTCGACATTCCGGGATCAAACGATAACCTGGCCCGCGAGGATGAAGTCGAATCAAACGGTGAGATATTGTAAAAAAAATAAATTTCTGAATTATTGTGAATTTTACAGTATCCGGATCAGAACATGGACTATCGGTGAACTAATTCTGCACATGTCATTGATAATCGAATCGTCACAATGCCACTTTTCTAATCAAAATGCCTTCCGTGTTGTTTTCTCCCAATTTTGCTCCTTTTATAATGTATCCATATCCCAATGCTTGCTTTTACAAAAGACCACATAATTTATTTTTCCCCCGTCCAAATGCATATATATATATTTATTAATTCGAGAAAACCTTACGTAATGTGTAATTCTATGTGTAAGTCCAGCTATCACTTTTTATGAGAAAAAATCAAAGCTTTTCTTGTTTGGGACTTTTCCGTCATCAATAAACCCGCTTCCTCTGAATTTCAGACTCCGATTGTCCATGCTCCAATTAAGGTAATCAGCCACGTAGAATCATTGGTCAGGCAAGAACAGTTTCAGAGAGCAAAAGTGCTGCTAAAAACTCAAAGAAATTTTAGCGATGACCTTTTATTTTTTATCATTGTGAGGAGAGACAGCAGTCGGGCATCGGTATTTTGGAAGCAGAATCGGATTTGTCACCAAAAACTGCACCGGACCCGTTTTACAGAATAATCATTTTACTTGGCGCGAGACCGGAAATTTCAGCCTTTCTGTGCGATTTCAGCGCCTGTTTATACAAGAAAGTGATCGCGAACACCGCGCACATCAACGGAACGGAACGGCGGCCGCGCTCGCGCCTGGATGGTAACCACTAATCGAGAGGTCACGGGTTCGAAAATCTGTTAACACTTTATTGTAAAAATCTGTCAACACTTTATCAAAGAGTATTCCGTTTCTGAATGAACCAGAACATTATTGTGGAAATATAATAGAACAAAGTGTATGTATTTCAAAACTGCCGAGGATTCCAGAATTGGGGGTGGGAGGGGGACAAGAAATTGGTCTTACGGGACATTTACATCAAGTGTCAGAAATGAATATTGCACAAGTAAGAACACGAATTAAGAAATTATAAAAAGAAAACAGTGGCAGAAAGGGGAAAAAGGCAACACGTGTATTTTCGATATACAAAAATGGTTCTGAAACGGATATTGTACAGGAAAAACAAACAAGTTGATAGTTTAAGAAGACAGTGATCAAATGCAAGATCGATGAACAAAATGGAAGGGAGGAAATGAATAGCACAACTTGAGCGTTCCGGAAAATTATTTGAGAAGGGATCAGGAGAAATAATGGAAACAATCAGAAATGGATGGGAAAGACGATCTCGTACAATGTCACGTGGAAAATCAGCGGCCACCGTAAATTCGCCAGATTGAATTCACACGGAGAGAGTTCAGGGGCAGCGGAAGGAGAAGAATAAGCTTGTTCTGTCCTCACAAGCCCGCCATCTCGCCGAGGAGAGCTCTTCTCTGTGCCTCTAACCAGATTTTGGCCTGAAAACAGTTTTATATACTTTGAAACTTTTAATCTGTATCAGTTGGAAAACAACTAACGAAAATGATATGAAAAACTCGACATGCGAACACGAACACTCGCTCTCTGTCTCTCTGTCTGCCTGTCTCTCTCTTTCTCTCTATTCAACTTTTTTTTGTCCAACCCTTATTCATGCGCGTTCTGTATTCATTGGAAAAACTCACGGTCTGTCGGTGCTCCTGTTCGACATGCGCTGCGGCAAAATCGGTGTTTTTCCGGTGACTCATTTCATGGTAGTTTTCTGTGAAGTACTTGATGAGTTTTTGTTTAAGCACTTCCCAGTTCGTCGCCTCCGTCTCTCCCATGGTTCTCTTTCCCTTCTCCTTATAGTTTATTTTCAACAGAGGAATCCAAACAAAGTGGGGATCGTTGAGAACCTCCTCGGCGGTTCTTCTTTGAATGGGTGGACCGGCGTTTTCCTCCAGGGGAGCTGGGGCTATCACAATCTCTTCTGGAAGAACCGGCTCTTCCATCTGAACGAGAGGAAGTTCTTCCACTGGCCGTGGCTGCGGGACGTCGTTCTCCACGATCGGAATTGCAGCGACAGTATCCTCTTTGTGAACGATGCCATCGGCGACATCGGCGGCATCGGCGGCATCGGCGGTATCGGCGGTATCGGCGGTATCGGCGGTATCGGCGGCATCGGCGGCATCGGCGGTATCGGCGGCATCGGCGGCATCGGCGGCATCGGCGGCATCGGCGGCATCGGCGGCATCGGCGGCATCGGCGGCATCGGCGGCATCGGCGGCATCGGCGGCATCGGCCACCTCTCCCAATTCTTCTCTCTGAGCTTCCACTCTCTCCTCGGTCTCCACATTCTCATTCTCCTTGTTCGACGTTGCCCATGGGCACTTAGTCTTTGAGCGGAGCCGCGGTCGCTCCTTTTCGAGCTCCGCGAACATTTCCTCCTCCGCTTTTCTTTTTCTTCTGCCATTTTCTCTCGAGAACCAATTGAGAATCTGAAATCATCATATGAAGAAAGATTTGGAGTTGCGTGGTATATGTACTTTTTTTTTTTTTGCACAAAAACGATAAGATTGCTCTCTTTTCATCTATTTCTCTTAAACAACAACCTGTCCGATAACACTAATGATAATGTGTGTTTCAGATAAACGGCCCTTATCCACGACCGTCAGACTGATTCTTCAAACAAATGAACTGGAGGAAGAAACGTTCACCGATCAGTAGAGTACGTCTGGGATAAGGAAGGGAAGCTAGCGATCAGATGACAATCTGGCGGACCTGATAGTCTCTTGGTTATCAATAACAGAAGGAGTCGACAGAAGAAGTGTATCACGGAAATGGATGTCTGCCGAAATTAGAGGATCCAAAAGATGAAATCGATGGAATCGGATGCTCTTGATTGGAGGACATTTCTGGGCCGTGTTCAGACTCTTTCTCTCTATCTTTTTTGAGTAATTTGAATTTCGATTTGATGTAGTATTTGCTTATCGATCACGTCCCAATTAATTTCAACCCCGCATATTATTATACTATATCATAATATTATGCCGCAATAAATTTACCTGGTCCACGTTCAGAGCAATCGTGGTTCCCGCGAGCTGACGGGCTCTGTACGTCGTGATGTAGTCCCACTTCTCAAATTCGGCTTCGAGGAGAGCGACTTGATCCTCCGGAAGAGGTCCTCTTTTTGGTTTCTTCGCGACGACATTGTCGCCATTCATAGCGACGTTTATGGCCGGTGCTGCTTCGACTTCTCCGCTCATTTTGCACGAGTGCCTACAAACATGTATATGACTGAGGAAACGTTTAAAATAATGCGTAAAATTCAAGAAACGAGAGCGTTCAGAGAGCACAGGAAGAACACGCAGAATAACGCGGATATGCTAGAAAACAGGACGAGAATCGTTGTGTTATGCGCAGACAGCAAAGTAACCGACACGCACACATCAGCAGACACACACCCTCTCGCATACACACACTCACTCGTTTCCTCTCTCACTCTCCCCGCCACTCTTCTCACTTGCCCTCTTTCTTTCACCCCTCTCACACCCGATCAATACAGCGAAATAGTGCGGGAAGAGATAGAAAGAGGGGTGAGAGAGAGTTTAGGGGGGCCCAATTGACCCTTTGCTCGACACTCGGCTAGTGGGAAGAGAGAGAGAAAAAGAAAAAGATTAGCAAAATTAGCGATGATGTTGTCTACCCCAATTCTCCCCAGTAAGACGGAAAACTGAGAGGCCGTCAGAAAAAAATCTGGAAACAAATGAGATAATTTATGTGTTTGAATCCTAAAAATCCTGAAAAATATGTTTAAATATATAAAATACCAAAAACCGAGGAAGAAGAGAGAGGTGGTAGAGTGATTGACTTCTTGCGTAGCAATAACGTCGGAAGAAGGAAGAGAGAGAGAGAGTTCGACTTCTTGCATTGCAATAACGTCGGAAGGAGGAAGAGAAAGAGAGAGAGAGAGAGTGTTCGTGTTCGCATGTCGAGTTTTTCATATCATTTTCGTTAGTTGTTTTCCAACTGATACGGATTAAAAGTTTCAAAGTGTATGAAACTGTTTTCAGGCCAAAATCTGGTTAGAAGCACAGAGAAGAGCTCTCCTCGGCGAGATGGCGGGCTTGTGAGGACAGAACAAGCTTCTTCTTCTCCTTCCGCTGCCCCTGAAATCTCTCCGTGTGAATTCAATCTGGCGAATTTACGGTGGCCGCTGATTTTCCACGTGACATTGTACGAGATCGTCTTTCCCATCCATTTCTGATTGTTTCCATTACTTCTCCTGATCCCTTCTCAAATAATTTTCCGGAACGCTCAAGTTGTGCTATTCATTTCCTCCCTTCCATTTTGTTCATCGATCTTGCATTTGATCACTGTCTTCTTAAACTATCAACTTGTTTGTTTTTCCTGTACAATATCCGTTCCAGAACCATTTTTGTATATCGAAAATACACGTGTTGCCTTTTTCCCCTTTCTGCCACTGTTTTCTTTTTATAACTTCTCAATTCGTGTTCTTACTTGTGCAATATTCATTTCAGACACTTGATGTAACTGTCCCGTAAGACCAATTTCTTGTCCCCCTCCCACCCCCCAATTCTGGAATCGTCGACAGTTTTGAAATACATACACTTTGTTCTATTATATTTCCACAATAATGTTCTAAATTCAACTAATAATTCATTCAGAAATGGAATACTCTTTGATAAAGTGACTTCTTGCATTGCAATAACGTCGAAAAGAGGACGAGAGAGAGAGAGTTCGACTTCTTGCATCGCAATAACGTCGAATCAGAGGAATAAGAGAGATACAGTAATAGTACCATCCATTTGGAAAGAGTGGGGCTGAACTGGGTTTCTCTTCCTCATATACCCTGTAGACGTGGCCACCGAGTCTAATCGGTGAGCGTGGCAGCTTCTTCTTTCTGTGACTTTGGCAAAAGAGCGTGGTCATGACATCACCGTGTTGTTAATCAGAGGCGAATATTGCTATTCATCTCAAGGAAAGACCGGAGAAACTTCGGCCGGATTCACGTCGAATCTGGAAGAATGTAACTGAAACTGTAAGCCATCTTTAACTTTTCCTACCCGATCGCTTTCAAATGTTCTGCCAATTCGGCAGAGTTGATTTCCCGGTTGTGTATCTTCGTTGTCGGCACAAACAACAGCGAAAAGGTGGCAGGCTCATTTCTTCCGAGCCTCGGAAGTGGCTCCGAAGAATCGCCATCCGTCGCATCGAGCTGTCTCTTCTTTCCGCCAGTTTCTGTTTCGACGCCGATAATTTCCGGAATGAGAGCGATCGATGACGATTTCGCAATTGAAGGAAAAACTCGCGCCAGATCAGGAGGCGACGAGCTCAGCGAGAGAATCGGCTCCGAATTTTCAGACATGGCTTCAGAATCCGTGGGCGAACCACCTCGTTCTTCTTGGGCAACAATCTCCCCAGCGGAATCCGGAGACTTCGCGGAACCGATTTTACGTATAAAAATGTCTCTGTTAGGAAAATCAGTTCTAAAAATAGAGATTTCATCGGAACTCACTCCATTGTAAATTGCCGTCCGATTGTCACAGTGGCGGTTGCCATTTGTGACGGCTCATTCGTCGATATCAAGTTTTCGAAATACTCCCGGATTTCTTCGTATCTGCAAAAAATTAACGAAGATGCATCTACATTTCAAATGATCGTCACTGTCGTTTGAATGAATCGTCCGGGTTCTATTTTCCGTCGGTTGTTGTGTCTGTCTGCAATTCTGCATGACCCGCGCTCTGCGCCCTGTCAACGTGTCACTTCGGCGCGCGCAGTGCGGACCATCATCTCTTCCCCCGCTGTCACTCCTCTGCCATTCGTTTCAGCCGGTCGGCCGGTGCGCTCGCTCTCCTTTCGCATTTCTTTGCGCTCTCCGCGCGTTTCCGGGTAAAACGTTCTATCAAACACTGTTTTTTGTCTCAAGGCATTTGTTTTCAACTCTTTTTTGCCAAACAGTTCGCCGCCGCTCTCACCGTTTTAAAGACATGCTGCATTTGAGCCGTTGCCGAGCCGATCAATCAATTTTTCCGCATTCCTGATCTTTCGTTTTCTTTTGTCGCCGTCGCTGTTTTGCAATAATTTAAAAACTGTCGTTGCAGGTAGAATGACTTTACCGTCTTCTCCCACTACTCCTCGGAGTCGTCTATTCACCGGAGTCAATTCGTTTTCCAATCGTGTCGTCGAGAATTCTCACGCGGTAAGTTCGGTTCACATTCTTTCAAATCATTAATCAATAATCACCTATTCCAGGAGAATCCGTCGCCCTCGAAAGGCATATGCAAGCTTATGGAACTCTGCGAGTTTCGGGAGGCCAATGAAAACGCCTTTTACCACGACACGTTGTCGTCCGAGTTCTGCCGGTCGGAGCTCAGTCGCTCAACAACAAAGTCTCGCTCGTTCGGTATTCCAGGAATGTCACCTCCCGGCTCGTGCACTGCTTCGACCGGAACGTTTGCCGACAAGAAGGTATTACTCATTCCGATGCACGGCCCTGCCGATTCCCAGAAAATGTCGTTCTCGGTAAGATCACAAGAACCTTGACAGACTGATCAAACTAAAATTCAGAAGCCCGAAGGCATCCAACACCTGGCTGGAATCAACGGAATGACGGCGGAAAGCTATGAGGAATTGCTCAACGAGCTGCGTGCATACGATTCAACCATACAATTTGGCTGCCATGATATGGACTCGACTCACCATGCGGTCATGTTTCCGGGTGGAACTATCTCCAGCGCCGGCAAGAACGCCACGGATACCCTTCCGTACGTGCCTGCTGGTGAACGCTGCGAGAAAGCGGCCGAGCGGCCAAATGTGAGTGGCTTCCCGTTGCGATTTTATAAAACAAAATGAAATTTCAGATTTTCGCCAGTCTCTGCACTGTCTTCAGTCCAAAAAAGAATAACAGACAGGCTAGGATGCAGAAGATGTTTGAGGAAGCGAACGCACGACTTGCACCGAGAGGAGACAAATGGAGACAACAGATGCTTCACTATCATCCTGTGGAGATTCCTCACCTGATGTTCCGTTTGCCCGCAACTTCGTCTGACACTTTGCCACCACTACAAGAGAACATCAATTCACCGACGTTGTGGACTTCTCCCACCAAGCCACAAGAGCCGATTGTTGAGAAGGCTGAGCACACGGAAAAGCAGGACCAACAAGTTTGCGCACCCATCGAATCACTTGTCATCAAAGAAAATGAAGTCAGCCCGGCAAAGGACGACGAACTCGCTGCGATGGAGAAAAGATTGGCGGCGTTCCAGAAGCCTGCCAATAAGTTGTTCACCACGACGGTCACTGCAGTTCTGGCGACTCCCACGAAAAGTGTAAGTGCCAGATAAAAACTAACAGTGTAGGTCCTGGTTTGATACCGGTCTAGCAGTGCTTTCTATTCAACCCGTTCACTTTATTGGGTGAAAAGGTAAAGATTGATCAAACGGAATTGAAAAGAGGTAAGACTGGGACAGATCTGAATCGTACTTATCTGTGTTAGTGACCCAGTTTTTGTGTGACCATCTCAGAAAATTTGTGCCGAGGTTTTTTTCGCATGACAAATACTTATTCTCGCTCTGGCTGTACCTCCAAAATATAAGAATTCTTATCGTTAGCACTGTATTGTTTGTTTTTTAGGAGAGAAATCCAGGAAAGCAAATGACAACGCTCAAGGAGATTCGCCCCGCCAACGAAGCCGAAATTGCTGAGACAGAGCGCAAGATGGCGGCGTTTCTGGCCAGCAAGGGTGTCCAGACTGTGAAGGTAGGGCGATTCTCCGCAAAGCCGGTGACTTCTACTCCAATTGATCCTCAATCTGCGAAGAAGACTCCCGGACCATCGTCTTTCATTGTTCCGGCTTCCGAACAGAAGAACATGTCAGAGCCGAGTTCGCCGTTGTTTGAGAGAGTGTCAGAGGTTGCCCCGAGCACTCCAAAGCGCAGACGTGGAACCGGAATCCAGAGACAGCTGACTCCCTTCGCGTTTGAAAATCCGTGCAGTCCCGATCCCAAAGATGTCGGGTCGGCGTTGAACTGGAAAGGAAGTCCCATCCGGAACGGCAAACAAGCATCGAGAAGATCCTTGCTCGAGGTGAACGAGTCTTTCCAGGTATACATTTTTGGAAATGAAAACAAAATATTCACATGTGACCCGTTTCAGAGGGACTATTTCGGAGAGTCTTCAACCGTCCGTCCTTTTGCGGAGGACAATTATGACGACAGCGACGAGTCGTTCTGCGACGGGCCACTTCAGATGTGCTCGACGACTCCGCTCTGTTCCCCGTTCCGCGGACCCAGTGATCTGGTGACCGGACCGTTGAGCTCTTCGACAACCGTAAGAACCTACTGTCTTGTGCTTTCAAACCTTTGTTGCTTTCAGATCCATTCGGTCACTGAGGCTGACATTGGCCCAAGTACGGCTGCCATTACCAACGCAGGCCAGACGGAATTTCTCGAGAATGCGATGAGTCAGCTTTTCGGACGCAAGCTGACCATCAAAATGATACAGAATTTGATGTTCGCCGTGGACCCGAATGATCTGACTGCTCGCCTCGAGGATCTGCAGAAGGAACAGTCGGCCGGATCCTCATCGCCAACTCCGAAGCTCGTGAAATCGGCGTTCCGATCGTGCATGCGCCTTGGAAGGAGTCAAGCCCACCCGATTGTTCCGGCGCCATGCTCCACTCCTGCTGAGATCTCGTTGAACGTGAGTTTTGAGATGTCCACTCAATCAACCCCTATAATGTTTTTCCAGATTCGCATCCGTCCGTGTGCCATCCAGCCAATAAGCAATTTCAAACGGAGGCTCAGCTCCTTCTTCCCGAAGAAAAGAAACCGCGTGCACTACATGCGCGACGAGGAGTTGGTTGTTGAGATTCAATCGTTCGAGGAAGTGGTCTCTGCCGGTGGCTCTGGATTCCGGATTCTGTCGATTATCGATCTGAATGAGAACTCGATCGAATTCCCCAAGTACAAGTACCCCGGATGAACATCCATTGTTGCTTTGTGAAGTGTATGCATCTCACAACCATTCTGTTTTTGTACTTTACCGATAATAGTTACCAATCCACCCACACATAATTACAGTTTTATATATTTTATATTGTAATTAGTTGCTTTCCAACTCTTGTTTTATTTCTCCCCTTCCTCCGTGTTGATTTTAACACTGTTTTGTCGCGATGTGCCGTTATTCTTCCGATACTCTGTTTGAGTTTATCCCAATGTCTTCGTTCCTGTTAAATGATTGTATCCCCTAATCTCCCAGCTCAATTGTAAGGAGAAGTACATCACACTAATTATCTCCCACAATTAATATTATCATCTCATATTCATCCAGTCTTCTTATTTCCTCTACGTGTTGGTCACGAGTTTCTTTTTTCTTTCACCCAATCGGACAGACGCTTCTCAAAAGCCCATGTGCTCCTCGCGTGTATTGTTTTTAAGAAATCCCTGACAAAGTTTATTCAAAAAACAAATGCAATGAATGATGTTATGCAAAATGATATACCCGTAAAAATACAACCAAACAAAACAAAAAAGTAACTGGAATATGGAACAGGCAAGTATGGACACGACTAGCTAAACAGGATAGGATCAGAGACTACCAGTCGAACCACTGATTGATCATCTGGTAGAATTTCTTATTCTCCGGGTGGTAAAACTCCTTTAATGTAGCCAGCACTGAAGGATTCACGTCTGGATGGTGTCTTCCTTTCGTTTTCCCGAGACAATGCAGTTTTCCATCGGCTGCCTTCAAACACGGAAACTTTTTGATTGGATCCACGCCGAAATTCTCTGGTTTTGCAACTGAAAAACAAAATAAATTAGAGCATTCCAATAATTTAATACCTGGTTCCAATCCCAAAAACTGTTCCGTCGCACTGATTTCCTCTGCTGGGTTCGTGATTAGTTTCTCCCCGTCGACAATATGAATATTGTCGATTGGGAAGTTCTCCAGCCATCGTTTCATGTGCTTATGGTAGACACCTATTCTGATGGCTCCCCATCCTGCGTTCACTCCTCTTGTTTTTGTGGAGCAGTTGGCACGGAGCCAGTTAGCACAGTCTCCAATTGCCATCGTTTCAAAACTTGGCATCAAGCCAACTCGCTTCCGTTTGCTCGAGGATTGAGTGTAGTCTGGAAAACCAAATGAATTAGTTTAGTCGTAAGTTTAGTAGTTTACCGGATATTGCCCTTGTTACTGGGTCTCTCACGACAATGATAATTTTGGTGTTGGGATTGAGAGATTTTATCCTCTCCGGTGCCATTTTACTGTGGAAGTATGCTGGGCTCTTCTCGATTGTGACTTCTCCGATCCGAGTTTCCGGCATTTGATCCCTATAAATAACACCATAAGTGAGTCCCCTCATCATTATTTGCATCTAATCTAAACCGTTTCTGCCCTTTTCGCCTTTCTTTCTTCTTTTCCGCTATCTCGAATGCAGAGTTACGCAACTTCTCCCGCTTAGTCCATTGAGTGTCGGTTTCAAGGTACGGTGTGACCCGCAGTGATTGCGTATCAAAGAAAAAGAGAATCGAGGTGGAGGCACAATCAAAAGAGCCCATTCCGCCATTTCACTGCCACTCCCAATCATGTTTTTATGGATTGGCTCTGTGAGTGAGAAGTCTGTTTACGAGCTGCTCAACAACTAATAAAACGAAGTGCCCGTTGACCGGAAAGATCAAAACGAGGACGAGCAATTTACGCGCAATTGTAAACCCTTTACTTTCTTTATCTGCCACCTGTCATTGGAACGAAATCGTCTACTAGGTGTCAAGTTCCTCAATTACGGATCAAGATCATATCATGTCCCGGGAGACCACCCGGTGGCCTATCCTAGATTTATAGATGTGTTGCGCCAGTTCATTTATCTTCCTTAATAGAGTCTCAATTTCTTCCGACATTGAGGACGCACCCCTTTCTTATCCGTTCTCGGGTCATAATTATGAAAATGCAAGTGAGAGAAAATGGAAGCGTCAACAACAGCAGAATGGTGATGATGATGAGGATGAGATGCTCGTCAAGAGCAGGGCAGAACGGAACGTTCACTATCTAATTATAATCCCGTTTGTGTCAGCTCCAATCTGCTGCTCCGCCACGTGTGTCCCTCAAGAATCAGATAGTATCGCATTTCCCCTTCACTCTAATTATCGCGTAATTGGCAGTGGCAGGCGGTGACGAGCCAGTCAGTTATCGACTTCCGACCTGTTACGCCATCGTCTCGAATTTACAACAATCGAGCAGCCGCACAAAGGGATGCGCGGCCCGCCGTCACATCAAAGAAACGCGTCACAAGTTGGATATGTTACTTGGAGTGACTTTCAAGAGTCTATGAGAACGTCACTCAGAAAAACTTCATTGCTTTGACAGCCATCTGCCACACCACAATTTGGACATTTCACTTCACAAAAAGCGAGGATGAGAAGCATATCCATCATCAGTCAGTCAGTCTATTTTCTATCAGTCAGTCGATGATTGGAGTGACACCCACATGCCACGCTCTCTATGAATTCTTCGCGCACTGTACAACGTTCCTCCAGCAGAAGGCCACCCGTCGTGCACATCCTCATCACACATTCATCACTCGGAACGTGAACACCTTTTCTTCCTCAACTGACATACCCACACACTGAACGCTCAAATTTAATGATCAATTGAAAAACTGGCAGCCCTAACAAACATCATTTTCTTCATAATATGTGCGTACGGATGTACTTCCGTTGCGTGATTGGATCGTACAAGATGTTCTCCGCACTGTCAAAAGAGCATGCCGGCTAATCCGCCAGCTGAGAACACGGTGGACAATCTGGACGGGCCGCTCTTTTTTGTAATGAACAGTTCGGTTCATTAAGAAAACGTGGATGTGGTTCCGTGTCTTCAAAATAATTAATTCTAAGATAAGTGTCGGAAGATGTTTTAAGTCTAAGTACATAATATTATTAGAGCAGATCCTTTCGAAATGCGGCATTTCCTTCCGCTCCCCTCAAAACCTAATTATGCGCTAGTAATTCCATTTGGGGTCACTAGCTGACTAACACAAATTCCTAAAAGCTAATCTTCGTCCAAAGTTGAAAACGAAATGGAATTTCTTGGTTTTGGTCTACCTTCCAAGGCCAAAAGTGCATTTGTAATTTGTGGGAGAATGATGAAATGCGGAGAATTACGGATTCGACCGAATGAATAGTTTGGCGGCGGCGGCTACTTTGAGAATGGCGACACAATTGATTAGATTCCTCTTTTTCTTCTTTGCCATCCGTCGCCACACAAAACAACAGGCGCACCACGCCGCGAGCCAATTTGTCGCCACTCGTATGCACAAGATAAATGACTGAGTGGAAGGTGAGCCCCTATCCCTATCGCCAGCCGGCCCCATCACCCCGCGGGGGGATGCCGGCCTCTTAGCATTCCTGATTAATTCATCCGGTGGGACACATCTCTGGTTACCAGTCAGTTCGCCTCCTTTTCTTGGCCTTCAACGCCTAGTTTACATAAGAATATGAGTGTCCCATTAGAAATTGATGAACAACACCGCCGAGACGTGTTTGACCAGCGTTCCTCATCACCTGCCCTCATGGAAAAGACCTGACTCCCGCTAAGAACAGCTCATAGAGCACCTGTGTCCGATGTTTGTGCGTGTCTGATGAGCTTGTTTATGGACTGCCAAGGTTCGGTGATTGATGAATAACACAGTAAATACAGTATGATTCATTCACTTGCGAACCTTGAAGTTCCAATGAGGATCAGAGTAAAACTGCCTAATTATGGTGCCCCCAACTGTCAGTTGTCATTCACACTATTATGGCGCCATAAGGTCTGTGTTTTCGTTTCCTAATGACTGTTTTTTTTTGCATATATATGTTCGGTCGTTTCGACGCTCGCAGGTGGTGGAAATTTGATGGTTCAACTGAATTATCGCCTGTTTCGATCGAATGCGTCTTGATGAATTCCTAATTGAAGCACTCGATGAGCTCAGCTTGGGAAAGAGAAAGTGACAGAACAATACAAGGTGCTAGCTGACACAAAGCGGATTTTCTCGCACGGGAATAAGACCCTTAATTCAGTTTCGCGTTTTCTATACGCCGATTCGCGTTTCTCAGCAGCCACGACAGCTGCTGCCCGTTTCAAGATTCTTCGGGATTTATATTTGTGGACATACGTTACCTAACACGGAAGGTGGAATGAAGGAGAATGGCGCAATCAGCTGGAGAGGGTATCAAGAGTACATACTTGAAAGGTGTGCCACGTAATTAATCCCAATCAAAACAATCAAACGAATAAGATTAGAGACTGACCTGTACCACTCGAGTCCTTTGTTGAAGTTCTTGTCGAAAAAGTGAACTTCCGGTCCCGGCGCTTTGATGAGCGGATTGACGCGGAGGAACTCGAGAAGAGCTCGTGTTCCCGACTTCTTCACGCCAACAATGATTGCGTCCGGAAATCGTTTCTTTGTTGTGCTGGGTATTGCACCGGAGGCAATACATTCTATCAGATTGGCGATGAGGAGGATCTGATAGATCATCCTGAAATGTGAGAAATGAGAGGGAAAATTTGTAATTCAGCTAAAGTCGAAAAAGCGAAAAAACAAGATAGAAGAATCGGGAATGACATGCAAGATTTCCGCTTGAGCAAGAAAAACTGGCGACTACGAGGTTTTGCGGCTCTGTTGAATTGAAAATTTCAATATGTTACAACATTTCGTAGACAAACATCCATCCGATATTAATTTATCCGCCCGAGGAAAAATGCTGAGCAGCAAACATACATTTATGAGTTTCAAAAGTTTGAAAGAAAAAAAAGAGGAGTGAAATTAGGAAATCAGTGTATCGCCGTCGATTTAGTTGACAGTGACTCGCTAACCTGTGCCGACGGAAGGGGCGGAGTCTGGCGGGCCGGGTGGTCGGGCCAGTGTGTTCCCTCCCGCCACCCGCCCATGGGACATCAAATGGTGTTGAAACATTTTGAGAAATAGCCTGTGCTTCTCAAGTCGAAGTAAAGAATTACTGCGACATGTCCCTCGGGGAATTAGCAGAAATGTATAGGACACCAAACGGAGCAAATTGGTAGTCTTGCTGCTAAAAGGGTTAAGGTGGAGTGAGAATGGGAGCGGAAGGCCGAGTTCCAATTAGCATTTAACAGGAAGTGATACTCTCGAATGCGAGCGGACGAACGGATGCATAAGAAAAGGGTTCGGTTTCATGGTAAACATCCTCGATAATTGTTTCCTGGCGGTATCCTCAAAAGTCGCGAGAATGCGTCAGTCAGGTGGAAAGACGAAACAAAAAGTGAGACGTTGCCACTCGAAATGTCTCCATTTCTTGCTTTCTCTCCGAGCATGTCACCCATTAATCGGAGCAAGTTTCATGTTATGAAAACTTAATGTACGCAGATTTGACTGGCCTAAACGACTTGCCTAAATTGAGATCCAAAAGATGAGAAGGGAAATGCTACTGGGGGAAAGAGCAGCGAAGTGGAGTCAGTTTTCACGGATCTTCTATTATTCTCCAATTTGTCGGTGCGGTGCGCTTTGGATGAGATGAGTCTCTCATTCACTCTTCCTCTCTCCCGCAATATGCTAATTCAGCGGCAGATAATCGTGGGTCCCAAAGTTAGTTTGTGAAGTAAGTGAACCAACTCATCCGGAACGTTTTATAAAGCCAGATTCTATTCAGCGGCGTTAGTCTTCGAAGCTAACTTTGTTTTGAGGTAAACTTGAAACGGATAGTTTGGAAGACGGCGGCCATTTAAAATTTCAAATCCAATTTGAAGCAAGACAAAACTGCAGCATTTGGGGGTCAGAAGAAAGACAGAAGAAGAAAATCATTGCTTCAGTAAACGAGTCCATGACAAGGGCTAATAAAGGATATGTGGTATGAGATACGGAAAAAGGAAGCGTTGAGAGCCGGCAAGACATGACAACTTTTTGGTAACAGCTGTTGACGTGTTGTTATTCGAGCATGTATCGTCGAATTGTATTGACGACGAAAGAGGAGCAGCTTCACCAATTAGACAAACTGACACATATGTTGCGACAATTTACAATGCGTACCACGGAATAAACTACAAGAGAAAGGATGCGCGATGGTTTTTGTTGTCGACGAGGTTACGGAGCGACAAGAAAACAACTCAATTAGGAGGGGAACTGCTCGCAGAAAACGAAAATGGAGAGAAGAAGAAGGAATAAGCGGATTGGTGGCAGGTGGTGGTTGCGCGGTGAAGAAGCTCATGTACTAGAAAAAACGATAAAGGTGTAATGAAGCGTATGATTTGATTGACTGCTAATGTACAAGCAGGCATGGTCGAGGAGCCACCTCTTAAGCCTATAAACGATTCTCCTAACGAAGATGATTGGAAAACATGAGCTGACCAAGATACAGTTACAAAGATTGATGCTCCAAAGGATTGGTACGTATGTGTTATTTCCGCATTCCGCCACATGTCACATTTGGCTGATGAACACCGAGCCTGAAGACTGGGGACTAATCGGATGCCAGAATCTGGCGGATCTGTGACAGGCTGTTCGGTCGCTTTACTCTTTAATTAAATCATCGCCGTTCCTTATTGAGTAATACTTCTAACGTCATAATTATGTATGTATGAACGACATGAGAAGAGTAAAACGTGTCCTGGAATTTGTGAGTATTCATTCGAGAGCGGACAATAGAGAATAGAGAAGAAGTGCGGTCGGGCATACACTTGACAAGTTACAACATGAAACTTCAAACTGACAAAATAATTGACTACATTTGCATCAACAGCGTTGTCAATTGCACGTGTCCATTCGTGGGAAAAGGAGCTTGCCGAGTTGAGCCACAATGATGTAATTGTTTCACAAAGTGGGAAAGGGGGAAACGAAAGAAAAGAGTACTAGTTTTATGGGCACCTGGGGGATGGCAAGCCCCCACCAAAAGGATTGAGAAAACACTCCAAATTAGGAACAATCATTAGTGTGCGCGAAACCATAAACCTACAGTAGTCGTCTCATTAGACGTAGTGCGTGGGCGCCTCGCAGGGGTTCGTGGCTGACGACGGTAGGGTCTTAATACTACCGTAACCCTGCTGAATTGTAATTCATTTTACGATCGACTCGCGTGCGCGCACGCAAAGCCGCAACCCCCGTCGACCACGATCACCACGAAACTGCGCGAAAATCGAAAAAGTGGGGGGAAGATAACGGAACAATGGTGGTCATCAATCCAGCAGGATCAGGCAGGACCTTCATCATCCGTTTTATGTTCTTCTCTGTCACCTCCGTCATTTTGTAACTAAGTCATCACACCTCTCTCCGCGAGACCATCAAAATTTACGAGCAGTTACATTGCGACAAATTGGTTGGAAGACGACGGCGATCAAGATGAGATTTTATCAGATAACTCACTAGGGGGTGGCCAACGCGCGAACTTGATTTATCGGAAGCAGGTTGAAAAAAACAGTGAAATCACGGGATGAGTCCTAGTATTTGAATAGAAGGGGCTAATATATATGGCAACATTACACGATGTGAGGTGTTTACTTGACTTCCCCGGTAGCCGACACCTCTCACCACACCGCCGGACCATCAAAAGAAAAAGACGGCGGGGCGGCTCCGTCTATCTTAATCCGCTTCCGACAACCGACAGGAACCGCAGACGGTCAAGTGTGATTGCGCAATTAGTGCTGCTCTCCGGATAGTCCACAGTTGTTCTCTCTATATTTTTCGAGTTATCCACTTGACTGACCTCACGGGTTCATGCGGTAGACACTAAACGTGGCCACATAAAAACGATTCACACCTGCCAATAAAGGTGCACAGCACAATACATACATGAAGCTGTTGGATTTGACAGATGTTTACAAAAACATATAATTAAAACTGTCGCATTGTACCTGCCCATAGACTAAATTCACCCGCATGGCAAGCCTGGGGTTTGGCAATGAACACAATTTGGTTAAGTGAAAATTTAGTTTAGCTCACAAACGATACGTTGTCGGGAATGAGGATTGAAAGAAGCCAACTGCAAATAGAAATAAAAATGAGAAACGGGTGAATGACAATGTTTGTTCCACTTCCACTTACCACTGATTTTCTGTACACTCGGGACACGGGACGAAAGAAAAGTACTGTGAAGTACGTAATCAGACAATGGATGTGAACGTTCAGTTAGTGCAAACAACACGCGGAAAACGGATTTTCAGGCAGAAGTATTCGGGGATATGACTGTACAAGATCACGGAGATCGTTCTGAATCTATTATCAGTTTGACGCCGAGTCCAGACAAGTGAAAATCGGAAAATAGTTTACTTATCAGTAGTCTCACTGACTTCAATTTGCTGCGACCGACAGTGTCCATTTCTCTTTCCAGGTAGCTTTGTACGTCTTTCACCTGTCAATTTATTCTAAAGTACAAACAAGTCAAACTGACGATTCGAACAACGTTTCCGTCCAGAAATGATCAATCAGCTGTTTCTTTATAGTTTTCTCTGGTAAAGCTCAAACCTTCCATCAGACCCCTTTCGTTCCAACATCTAAACAAAACCATATTGGAAGTGTACATTCCATTTCACTTTTCGTTTTGTTTCTCGCTCGAGGTGTGAAGAAAAACGCCTTTCGAAGCGGTGTATGTTTAAGGATGGAATGGGAATGGCGTGATCAGTCATTGATAATGCTGGCTTGCCATTTATCAGTAATGGACATTGTCCCCGAGGTATATGTACGTAGGTCGCAAGTACATTCTGCTCTTTTTCCAAATCAGTTTTCCATTCTTTTTGCGGAAGAGCATGATCACGATAGACTCCGTTTTGATCTGTGACGGTTTTACTTCTCTGCTGGTCAAAGTCTTGATATTACCTCGAAACTTGTTGTGTCACAAATTTCGGTCATAGTTGATTAGCATACTGAAGTCGGAAGAATATTCCTAGTACTTTTCCGTATCGGTGTCTAGTTTTCATTTAATGGTGATAATAAGACCTCGTCACAGTTGCACGCTCTTCATTCCACAATGTGCTCTTTGATCAAAGTATGATTCGCACTCAGAGTACAAGTGTTTTGTCTGTATAATTCTCGGAAACGTTTGATGAACAAGTGACCTGCTAGTGGGATGATTTGCTTATCTTTTCAGTCATTTTCTCGGAGAAATTCAACGCCGATTACAAGGCCGATTAAAACGCCTAAAACCATTGCCCAACACGTAGTTGTGACATTTCGCTCATTTCGGTTGACGCGGATCTCACCTTCAGTCGACTGCCAATCCATTGAAACCTCATTCTCAGAGAGCATTTCGTTGATTCCGTCAATTTCTCGCATTAGGTGCTCGCTTGCTCCTCTCGGCGCCAATCACTATCAAACGTTGCGACTGATAGCCAGACCAACCCGCCTCAGCTCTTCCAGAGTTTCCTACATCACGTTTCATTTTTCTCCTTTTGATTAACCAACTTGCACCCTCTAATTCAATTCATTTGCAGGTAACAACGCATGGCTTTTCGTGTAAAAGACGTCTATGCCGGCAACTCGGTGCTGCTCACCGGAGCCACGGGCTTTCTTGGGAAAGTCATTGTGGAGAAGCTTCTATGGACCATTGACGACATTGAGAATATTTACTTGATGATTCGGACTAGGAAAGGGAAGAACGCAAAAGAGAGACTGGCAGGACTCCTTCACGATCCTCTCTTCTCTCGTCTTCGTCAACACAAGCCTGAAGCTTTTGAGAAGTTGATTGCTGTCGGGGGAGATATGATGGTGGAGAATCTGGGAATGGATCCGGATGATGTGGAACTCATAAGGGAAAAAGTAAGCTCACTAGCATGATTATCTTGCTCATTCAGATGTTCAGGTGAACGTTGTCATCCACAGTGCGGCTACTGTCAAGTTCGACGAACACCTCCGAGCTGCCGTGACAATGAACGTCATCGGAACGAAACGAATCGTTGATCTGTGCCACCAGATAAAAAATCTCAAAGTATTTTTGTGAATCATCTTTGTTGACAGTACGCAAGCGTTTTAGGTCTTGGTGCATGTATCGACCGCCTACGCTAACTGTGATCGATTCGAGACCACGGAGAGGGTGAGCAGAGGAATAAAAAAAATGACATTTGCATGAATGCTCTTTTTTTCAGATTTATCGCTCACCAATGCCGCCACAAAAGTTGGTTGATGCCCTCTCTTGGATGGATGACGAAACTCTGACTAAGGTTGGGGAAAGTGGATCCAGAGAATATTGTAAGATCAATTTCAGATCACTCCAAAGATTCTGGGTCTCCGTCCCAACACCTACACTCTCACCAAAGCACTGGCAGAGGTAAGTTTCACATTCTGTATCGCTTCAGAACAATTCGTGATTTGTAGTCAACTATCGAATCCGAGGCGAAAGGAATCCCAGTTATTATCATCCGTCCTTCGATTGTCGGAGCAATGTGGCAGGGACCGCTTCCAGGATGGACCGACAACATCAACGGACCAACCGGAATCTTTGCTGCTGTCGGCAGAGGAGTTCTGACGAACATGTGCGGGAGCAGTGAATCCAAGGCCGACATTATTCCCGTGGATATTGTTGCCAACATAATCATCACTGCTGCCTCTTACAGAGATTCCATCAAGTAACCTGCAGAGTTATGGACAAAATTTTATTTTCCGCTGTTTCCAGGCCACAGGAAATTCCAGTCATCCACTGTTCGTCAGGAGAGCTGAATCCTCTCCTTTGGGGCCACATCGTAGTGTTCTTGGAGCAGTTTTACAAGCAGTACCCGATGGAGCAATGTTTCGGAGTTCCATCGACTTACTTCCACCAATCGCGCTTTCTTTTCTTGTTAAGCTACTACTTGAAGCATCATATTCCTGCGGCGGTCTCAGACATTTCCGCCCGTTTCGTCGGAAAACGAAAGAAGTAAGTCATAAAGAGCAAGACCTACATAAAACCGGCCTTATCAGCAATGTCAAATTGTACGGAAAAGTGTGGAAAATGATCGAGACGCTGCACTTTTTTACCACTCGCGGATGGAACTTCAATGCTAGTGGAATGCCGGAGCTTTATTCGAAAATGACAGCGGAAGATCAGAAGGAATACAACTTTGACGTTCGTCAAGTGAACTGGAATTCGTATTTGTTCGATTACGTGATGGGCATTAAGAAGTATCTTTTGAAGGAGAATCTGGAGAATCTGAAAAGATCTAGAGCGCATTTGCTGAAGTCAGAGAAGAATCTGAAGATTGGGGATAACATTTTGCCATTTCAGACTGCGCCTCCGTCGCCAGCTCATTGCCGCTCTCGTGTATGCCGGGGCAATCGCAACATTCGGAAGAAAATGGAAGAAGACGACTCAGTACCTGACCTGGATCGGGGCCATGTTTGCCACGTACGCATACACCGAAGTCAGCTACAGAAGACGCATTCCTCTGAAATCTCTGAAGGACTACGTGCAATCCGTCGACTACGCTCGTTACTTGGAAAGCAGCTGAGCCGACTAGCCCCATATTTTCTCTGTGATGTCATTCAAAAAAACTTCTGGTTCAACCTTCAATTGTTAAAAATAGATAATACTCTAATGACACAAACCAGACACACATTCGTTTCTTATTTCAATGTATCAAGGTCAAAAGTGTGTGTTGATTGCAAATCGATTAACACCAGTGAACCTCACTCAAACTCTCTTATTCTGTCCTTTGTAGTTTGGTTTGAGATTTTTTCTAACTTTTTTTTGCCAAAATGTCCTCCCTCTTTCCTCCGAAGTGTTGTTATTGTTACCTTGAGAATAAGAAACTCGTTTCGAATCCATTTTTGATAATAAATCATTGACCATTTGGTAATTGAATCACCCTTATCTCTAAGTCTGAAATATAATGTTTATCGAAGCTTTTGGAAGTCGGCCCGTATAAAACAGCAGTAGCTGAGGGGGAGGGCTGAGCGGGGGGCCTAACGGCTCACTTGCTCCCTTCTTCTTCCTCCTCGTTTTTTTCAAATGCAATGCGAAAAGAGAAGACGGATGAGAGAAGTTCTCGAGACTCGATGCGAGTACGTGCCTTTTCGCAATCTCTCATTGACACCCGATGATTTTTGTTCCAGCAAAAATTTGGTTGGGTTTTTGAAATATAATCGATTTCAATTTGCATATAACGTTTTCTGGAAATTAAAGTTTTGTGATTGGTTTTCGAGCTTTTTGGAGTTTTTGTGCAGTAAAAGTCAACAAATGGACCCGATTGGCGCAATTTTTCGAAGTGAAAAGAGAACCCTTGTGATGTTTGCAATTCAACTGACTGTTTACCCGCATTAACAGCAGTCGTTGTTCTTTTGCCTGCCATTCATTTCACTCCGCTTCTCTTCTCTTTCTTTTCTCCCGTTTTCTCTCTCTCTTCCCCCTGATAAGTCTTCTCTTTCACGGGATCGAATTAGGCAAATCGGGATGAGAGAAAAACTCGGACAGATCTCTCTCCTTCCCCTCTCTCCACGTTTCTTCTCTGTCCAACATGCGTTTTGGCACGTCGAAAACATCGAGCAGTTGGGAAGAGAAAGCAGAAGGGCCGCACTCTCGTTTTTTTTTTCGTGGCCGTGTCTCTAAAACCTCCAGTTGACGCATATTCTTTCGCACACTTTGCCTCTGGCTGGCGGTTTCGAGAAGGCAGGCAAAATATAAGACGTTATGCTTCTGATTTCCGCCCGATCACTTTTTCATTTTCGTTTCACTTGAGGCCAAAAGTCCACGTCAACTCAACTAAAAAGGAAGTGTCTCCAGAGAGTTTGGCCTCGAGGGGATTCGGATATGACGATGCGTGCGAATTGCATCATTCGGGCACGACAAGGCCATATTTCGAAACGCTTCATTAAAAAACTGAAAAATGTGTCCACGACACATGCGTTCCCTTGACTATTTACACTGTTTCTCTCTATCTCTTCACAGATATCATTGACTTTTACACTCGTCCTATCTGCCTTCATGTTTTCATTGTTGAATTTGAGAGGTTTCGGTTTGAAGACCTACGTGTTGCCCGGACGTTTGGCCCGAGGATGCGCGCGGGTGTTTACTGTTTACGGTGCTGTCTGCGTCTCACTCTCTCTCGCCTGACCCTCCTCGATGGGACATTTGGTCCCTACACTGTATCTCGCGCACTCTGCCCGCAGTTGTTCTTTCCTTTTGCTTTCTCTCTGGTGAGCTCTCATTTCTATGTCGCCCTCAAACGACTTTCTTTTTTTCTACGCTCGTTTGTCATGCTTTCAATCACGTGAAAACCTCTCGCGTTTTCAGTCTACCGCATAATTTAAAATGGCGGAGGAAGCTGTGATTTCGCCGGAAGAGCTCGACTTCATCCGTCAACGTGCTTTGCACCGGTTCGACTCGATCGTTCCGACCGCCGGAAGAGAAGGAACCGAGATGGCCTCGGACATTTTCAAAGGCCGAACTCTGGCCATTTACACTTCTGGAGGAGACTCGCAAGGTAAAGAAATCAATGGAAAATCTGGAAATCATTGTTACAGGAATGAACAGTGCGGTCCGCAGTATCACCCGCATGGCCATCTACTGTGGTTGCAAAGTCTACCTGATCTTCGAGGGATACGAAGGAATGATCGAGGGTGGCGATTTCATTAAAGAAGCTACGTGGAACACTGTCTCCGACATCATCCAACAGGGAGGAACTATTATAGGATCCGCTAGATCTTCAGAGTTCAGAACCCGCGAGGGACGTCTCAAGGTAACACCAAAATGCATCAGAAATTGGACCATGTGTTAACAATCCAGGCGGCTACCAACCTCATCAACCGTGGAATCGGACGTCTCGTCTGCATCGGAGGAGACGGATCTCTGACCGGAGCCAACACTTTCCGTTTGGAGTGGACCGACCTCGTGCAGGATCTGATCAAAACCAAAAGAGTCGATGCTGCATTGGCTAAGAAAATCCCATACATCCAGATTGTCGGACTTGTCGGATCCATCGACAACGACTTCTGCGGAACCGATATGACCATTGGAACCGACTCAGCCCTTCAGAGAATCATCAGCTCCATCGACGCTGTGGTTGCCACCGCCCAGAGTCACCAGAGAGCTTTCGTCATTGAGGTGAGCGGAGGATTCTCTTTATTGCAACAGCAGACAATCTCAGGTAATGGGTCGACACTGCGGATATCTCGCATTAGTTGCAGCGTTGGCTTCTGAAGCCGATTTCTGCTTCATTCCCGAGTGGCCGGCTCCGGAGAACTGGCGTGAAGTGTTGTGCGATAAACTGGCCCAGATGAGAGGAGAGGGCCAGCGCCTGAACATCATTATCGTCGCCGAAGGAGCTATTGACCGTGACGGAAAGCCTATAACCGCGGAAGATGTGAAGACGGCTGTGAAGAACAAGCTGAAGTACGATACTCGTGTCACCATCCTCGGACACGTTCAGCGTGGAGGAGCTCCGTCCGCTTTCGATCGTCTTCTCGGATGCAGAATGGGTGCTGAGGCCGTGTTCGCATTGATGGAAATGACCGAGGTTAGCAAAAAACGGGATCGCAGTTTGAGATGGTGAAAGGTTTCAGGAATCGGAGCCCTGCGTCATTTCGATTGACGGAAACGTCATGGTCCGTGTGCCGCTGCTCAAATGTGTCGAGAGAACTCAGATGGTGCAGAAGGCGATGGCCGACAAGGACTGGGCCACCGCTGTCATGCTCCGCGGGCGCAGTTTCCAGAGAAACCTCGAAACTTACAAGTTGCTCACAAAGATGCGCACCGTTGAGAAGGACAATCTCTCCGAGGGGCACAAATTCAAAGTGGCTGTCATCAATGTTGGAGCGCCGGCCGGAGGAATGAACGCCGCTGTCCGTTCGTACGTCAGAATGGCCCTCTACCATCAGTGCACCGTCTACGGAATCGAAGACAGTTTCGAAGGACTTTCCAACGGCCTTTTCAAAGAGTTCAAGTGGTCGGACGTCACCAATTGGGCCATGTACGGAGGATCTTTCCTCGGTACCCAGAAGAGTCTTCCAACCGGTGAAACCATGCCGAAGATTGCCGAGCAGTTGAGAAAACACAACATTCAAGCCCTCCTTCTTGTTGGAGGATTCGAGGCCTACCACAGCACTATCCTCCTTGCCGACAACCGTGAAAAGTACCCCGAGTTCTGCATCCCGATGTGTGTTATTCCGTGTACCATTTCAAACAACGTGCCAGGTACCAAAATCTGTAACGTCATCATTTTTACGGCGTTTGTTCTCTTTCAGGAACTATGGTTTCTCTTGGATCCGATACTGCTCTCAATGAGATTTGCCAAATGATCGACAAGATAAAGCAGTCGGCCACTGGAACCAAGAGAAGAGTGTTCATTGTGGAGACTATGGGCGGATACTGTGGATACCTGGCAACTGTGTCTGCTCTGAGTTCTGGAGCCGACAACGCCTATATCTTCGAAGAACCGTTCACAGTTGCTGATCTTTCCGATGACGTCGAGGTATTTCTGAAAGTGCGTGTGACCCGATTACACTGATATTCTTCAAGGTGATTCTGTCGAAGATGGAGGTCGGAGCCAAGCGCTACTTGGTCGTCCGCAACGAATGGGCCGACAAGCACCTCACCACTGATTTTGTGCAGAGCTTGTTCGATTCGGAAGGAGGAAACAGATTCACCACCCGTGTCAATGTTCTCGGACACGTCCAGCAAGGAGGATCTCCGACTCCGTTTGACAGAAACATGGGAACAAAGCTAGCCGCACGTGCTTTGGAGTTCTTGCTTATACAGCTCAAGGTATGAAAGAAAATTACTGTTTTTCGATACCGGTTGTTCCAGGAGAACTTGACCGCTGACAACAAGGTCATCGCCAAGGCTCCTCGCACTGCTACTCTACTTGGACTGAAGGGGAGAAAAGTGGTGTTCACTCCAGTGCAGGAGCTCAAGGACGAGACTGACTTCGTGCACCGTCTTCCAAGCAACCAATGGTAGCTAATTAAAACATGATAACGGGGTAAATTAGTCTCGACTTTTAGGTGGCTGGGACTCCGCCCACTTCTTCGCGTTCTGGCCCGTCATCGTTCGACCGTTGAGAGCTCGGCTATTCTGGAAACTGTCGAGGAGGAGAGTGTCGACGACTCGCACATGTTCTAAGAATGTACAATCATTTGTGTAATTACATCCTGCTCTCTGTTTTTGGTTTATATTAAGCCCTGTCGCTTCGCCCTCTCGGTCATTTCTCAAAGTATAAACCCAGCTCGTTTTACTCGCCATATTGTGTACAAGTAGCGCACGTTGTCTTCAATTTTCTTGAAAATTTTATATAAAATTAGATTCGTTTAACAATAATATTTTTTTATTCAGAGTGAAAGTTATGTACATTGAGATGCATGTTGAAACTAAGATTTTGAGAAAGATCACTTTCTTCCGGCTGCAGATGATTCCGAGACGCTGTCTGTGATTGTAGCTCCTGCTGGTTTCGCATCGGCTGCCAGAGCAGGATCGTCGAATCCGGAAGTAGCAGCTCCTCCGCCAAAAAGTCCGGAATCTCCAGCTCCTGGAGCAGCAACTGGAGCTGTTTGGCCAACTGTGGAGTAGTCAGGATCTGTTGGAAGTGCTGGTTGCTGTCCTCCGGCAGTTGGAACTGATGGAACCGGCTGAGCTGCTTGGAATCCGGTCTGTCCACTTTGGAATCCACCTCCTGATTGTCCTTGGAAGCCACCTGCTGCTCCTTGTGAGAATCCACCCTGACCACCTTGGAAGCCACTTGATCCTCCTTGTGAGAATCCACCCTGACCACCTTGAAATCCACTTGATCCTCCTTGTGAGAATCCACCCTGACCTCCTTGAAATCCACCTCCTCCAGGATATTTTCCTCCTTGTTGATATCCGCCTGGTCCGTACTGTTGTGGCCTATTGTATCCACCTTCGGGGCGTCCGTAACTGCCACTCGGTCTTCCATATCCTCCGCCGCTCCCGGCGCCAAAATTTTGTCCGTAGTTCTGCTGCTGCCCATAAGCTGATCCAAATTGCCCTTCTGGTGGGCCATAATTACTTGGAGGCCCATAAGAACCACGTTTTGACCTAGAAAGACAAAGCAATTGAAAATGTTCTTTAGCAGTGCAAGTTACCTCAAAACTGGTGAAGCACTAATGAATGAGATGAGAGCAATAGCAGTAAACGTTTTGAGAAGTGAAGACATTGTCAAAAACGGAATTGACTGATGAAATTTGAAAAAATCGCACCCATTTTATAACGACCATGATATCAAAAGGAAGGCGGAATCAATCGCGATCGTCGAACACCATATCATCATCAGCACTCTGTATCAAATGCGATGTTTTCATATCATCAATGCGTGGGCGATTGGTCATTTCTGACTTGTCTTCCTCAGAGTCCCGCATGTTCACCAAACTGTCTTGATGAATCATAGCACGAAAAAGAGGACAAGAGGATGAATGATATAAATCCGAGACGGTAAGCCGATGACTTGGACACACTTAATCTGTAACATAACCTTGACACAAGCGTGGTATTTTCTCCGAAATTGCCTTCTCTCACAATTGGACACCCATTTTATTCAGACACACTCCTGTAGGTACAGGAAGTTTTACGCAGACTAAATGTCGAAGATTATTGCTGTTCTGAGCGTGTTTTTGGCTGTTGCTTTTTCGAATGTAATTCCAACTCGGTAAGTGTTCTGCCAGACAGAAGTTAATTTATTAATCCTTACACGTACAATTGTTATTATTCATTTTTCATCAGAACCGGTTGCCTATCAAAAACCGAAGATTCCATCGAATTCATTTTTATCTTATCAAATTTCAGATTCCGAAGACAGTATGCGTGGGGGACGCCTTACTACGAAAATACGCAGTATTACGAAAGACGGCCTCAGCAGTGGTCATCTCAGGTATACGCGAAACAGCCGATCAAACACTCATGACCTTCGGTAATATTGCAGAACAACCAAAACTACTACTCGCCATACTTCTACGGATACCAGCAAACGTGGCAACCAGCGAATCAGCAAAACGTCTACCAATCATCCTACAATCGTCCGTCATGGATCTCCGAAAGCGGGAACGGATACGCTACTGCGCCTCCGGATTACACCCAGGGCAGCTACGCACGACCTAGGTACCTTGCCACAATGCAGCCGAAACCAACACCTTTGCCTGTTGTTCTGGAAAGATCCACTTTGTTCGTCACTCTGCAGCCTGAAGTTCTAAAATCATCGACAAGTGGGAGACATCCAACGTTCTTAGAGCGACTCGGAGTGGCCACTCTTCCCGTTGCGCCAACAGAAACGAGTGGATCTGATGAGGAAGATGATAGGGAAGCAAAGATTTTGAAAAACTTGGCGTCATTGGAACATGAGCAGTTGGGCAACGGAGAATTGCTGCCAGAAAGATCAAATGAAGGTCATTCGGCCGAAAGCAGCTCGGAAGTAGAGACAACATCAACACCAGCGACGACGACTGAAGAAGAAAAGAGTACTACCAGAGACACGGAATCTTCCTCCGTCGAAAAAGATGAAATTGCGTCAGAAGAGATTTTCGGGACACTCACAACAACTACTCCAAGTGCAACAACAGTGACAGAAGAAGAAACGACGGAAACAACAACTACGGAAGAGTCTGTTGAAACTACTGAAGAAACAACGACTGTGCCAACAACCACGACAACTACTACAGAAGCCCCAACTACAACCACAACTAGTCCAACACTGGAAACTACTACCGTCACTACCACTACCACTACTTTGCCGGAAACCACCACCACCACATCCGTTCCTTCGTCGACTGCTGCCAAAGATGTGAAACCAGTAACTCTACTGGCATTCCAGGAAGTGACCGACGGTATGGAGTCAATCGTCCGAAATGTTACTCAACCGACCGTTGATCACAACGCAACCGGTGCTGATTTGAATGAAACCGGAGAAGGGTCCGGATCGGAGGCCGCAACAGCAGGAAGCGGATCCTCTTTCTCGGCTGGAACCGTTGGACTACGCTCGCCTCCGCTGCCAAAAACAACTGAACCGGAGAAGGTCGGAGTCGAAGTTGTTGAGTGGACGGATGCGGATAACGAAGTTAGAAAGGTTCTTCTCACTCACTGATTCTTTATTTTGTTTCGTTCCGTACAACGTGTTCTAAATATAAATGCAACCGATATATAAAATATTCTCTACCTCTATCTTCTTCTTTTCTGTGAGATTGAAGAGTGCGACGCTTGAAACATGTGAGCGTTTGTTTTGCTGACGGGTGTGGATCGCATCAATCTAATAATCAAAACACATCAACGTGAGTCTGCGAGACTGATTTTTACAATTCCCGGATTTCTTCTCGCTTAAACCATCTCTCACCTGCGTCGGCTACGAATTTCCCCAGCGCGTCTCTCCATTCACCACTCTCTTCCTCGTGTTCCATTATTTTTGCTGCTACTCTGGCTCTCATTTCCTTCTTCTCGTCCAGGGGTATTATCATCAGAGGATGCTTCGCTTTTCCCTTCCAACAGAATGAACTCTCACTTATTTCTATTGTGACATGTTTAACCAACACACACTCAGCCCTTTGGACAACTTCTAATCTTTTCACGTTTAGCCACTCTGTTTTCGACAGCCGTCCTCCCCTCTTTCCGGGTTCTTGTCTATCATTTCTTCTTCCTGCATTCAGTCAGATGTTCAGCAACGTATACAAAAAGAGAAGAGCTGCCAAATGGATTTAGCGATGTAACCTAATTTTGCTTTGTTTTTATCTAGTTTGGTGCACAATTCCACTTGTTTTGCATGTAACATTCCGTTAGATGACTTTTGAAAGCTAATGTAGCAGAAGCACAATAGCAAAAAGGGGGACACGACGAGAATAAACAACTCAACTCCATTCTGGTTCCGCCACCACTCTATTTTTTCTCATATTAAAACTCCGAGCGCTCCCAAGACAACTGATATGATACACAATAAACAGATGTAGAAGTTCGATAAGAAATCGACAAACGACACACGAAGCGGAATGAGCAAAAAGTAAGTGATCGCTGCTCGAATAGTATCCGGCAGCCCTCGCTCGTGTCAGCTGTTGTCATTTTCCATCGCATCGTTTTCTATCAAGTTCAAATTATTTCATCGCACCAAGAGAGAAAGAGTGCGGACCACGGCCCCCGGCAAATTAAATATTCTCTTTATTTCAAGAGAGCAGTGCACCTTATTTCTGCCCGTCGTACTTTACTTCCGAGTGCCAAACACAAAGACGTCATCCGACTTTTCCGCCCGTCTTTCACAGTTCTCACTCTTATTTCGTGCCGTTTTTTTTCTGGAAAAGAAAGACGGATAAAATAAGAGAAATGAGGATGGAGAGGGTGTTTTCCACTTCATTCGCGCGTATGTGAATCGCATCGAAACGATGTGAACTAGGCGCGCGCCCCGAGGGCAATGCTCTTCCAATTCGCGCAGTTTTTCTTTGCGGCCATTCTTCTTCTTCTTCTCCTTCATAGTTACACTCGGCACACTCTTTATACACCGCCCTCTTCCCATCACTTCTTCAATTTTTATGCAAGAGATGCACAAAACTGCTCCAATTTTTGTGTCGTCGTCCTCTCTGCCGGCGGCTCTATTGCTCCCACGTTAAGGCCTGCGAGGTTACTTTTGTTGCGCCCACCCCATCTTCACTCGATTAGGCCCCACATCTCTTTTTTGCTCGCGCTTACTCGCGTCTGGGGTTCATGCCAACCACTGATCATATGCAGGCGACTCGCTTCATATCCCTCCAATATCCCTTTTACATATTCCAAATTTCATTCGAGTTTGATCACACCCTCTTTCGAACGAAGTCTTTGTCGAACTTAGTCTTCTTCTTCTTCTTCTTCACCTGCTTTTTTTCCAACTCGAGTTCTTACTCTCATCATTTTTTCCAGCTGATAAGAGATATTTTAGAATTCTTGTTTCAATGATATTTATTATCAACATTCAATGCTAAGAAAGATAAGACGTTAAGAATAGTAATAAAACCCGATGTTTTGGTTGCATTTTTCTTCCAGAAACTGAATCACATGCATCGTAGAGCTGTCGTTTTTCGACTGCCGCAGACTGCGGACAACATTCTCTGATCGGAGATTTCCATTTTTTGCGCATCTCATCATAGAAAAAAAACACTGAAAAACACACATTGAACGGCTCCTTTCACTGCAGCGGTGAGAAAGAGAGCACTCCGTCTGTTCATTAATACACAATGACTCGATTCGAAAATGAGAAATTCGCCAGCTCATTCTCTTTCTCATTTTTCCCATTTTCTCCCGTGATCTTGTCATTCAATCCATCAAAACATTATGATTGGTCCGTCTGGGATATGACGAGTCGAAAAATCGTTTTCTGCAAGAATTTTTTTCTTGTTATATTAGGTTGTTCGGAAAGTTCCAGTCATTTTTCATAGTATGTTTTTGAAGATTGTTTTTTCTATCGGGAAGCAAGCGACTCAGTTGTCGTTTTATCAGTATGTTGGTAGGGTATTGAAGTGTCAACACAGCAACGGATATCATTCTCGTGTTCCCGAGGAGTGAGATATGCCGAACGTTTTCGTCCCTAACAACTTACATTTCCGCAATGTAATCTTATTTCTATTCCTATCTGACCTGAAAATGCCGACATTGATCGCCGTTTCACGGAGGTTTACAACAAAGATGCACCCACTCGAACTACCATTAGCACTTGGTTTCATCGGTTCGAAAAAGGAGAATTTTCGATGGATGATCTTCCACGTTCAGAAAGACCGATATCGTTAGACTTGGAAGCATTGAAAAGCGAGATTGAGAGGGATCCTTTTCAATCCGTCCGTGAACTATAAAGGACACTTGGGGCGAGCCTATCATCAATTAGTCATGGACTCGAAGCAATTGGCAAAGTCAAAAAACTCGGAAGATATGTTCCGCATGTTTTGACTCAACACAACTTGGATACACGTGTGGATACCTGCTTGAATCTTCTCACCCCGCATCGCACACATGGATGATTGGATCAAGTCATTACGGGAGACGAGAAATGGGTTATGTATGATAGCAGTGAGCGACGTGCCGAGTGGGTTGACAAAGAAGCTCAGCCAGCTGACGGGCCAAAACATGAAATACACGAAAAAAGGCAATGTTATCAATATGATGGTCTGTCCGTGCAGTTGAGTATTGGAAGCTGCTTGATGACGGCGTCACTATTACGACCGATGTCTACACTGGTCAGCTGAGAAAACTCAGACTCCATGTGGATCTCCATTGGGGGAAAAATGCGAAAGTTTACTTTCTGCATGATAACGCTCATCCCCATGTCGACAGAAAGGCCAAAGCTGAACTCGCTGGATACGGCTGGCCAATCTTGTCTCACCCACCGTACAGCCCAGACCTGGCCCCCTCTGATTACCATTCACCAGTCACCTCAGACGCCATCTCAGTGGAAAAAAGTTCAACTCAAGACAAGATGTCAAAATCGAGTTGGCTTTATTTTTCTACTCCCAGCCGCAGGAGTTCCGGAAGGAAGGTATCCACAAGTTGGTGACACGTTGGCAGACAGTCATCGAAAAACATGGGCAATATATCTAATTAATCGGATAACTCTTTGACTTGTTTCACAATAAATTTTTCTGAACCCAAAAATGACTGGAACTTTCCGAACAACCTAATACTTTCGTAAGGTGGTATTTTCTATTTTCTAAGAAAAGAAAAGTAAAAGAAAGACGTAGATGAGGATGAAAAGTTTCGAAACTTTCACCCTTTGTGAATTATTCAGAGTTCAAACCCAGTCCACCGGAGTACCTTCTCATACATATCCGGTCACATGGAATCAATTGGTGACCAGATATTTGGGGCACCTCCTCCCAGTTTATTCTGTTGTTGCCCGTGAAAAGGTCTTCTGGACTTCCACTTGCCTTCACATAAACAATCGGCGCGTTTTTCTCTCCCACCACTTGGTCCACTCCATTTTAATTCAATCACACGACAAGAGGAAGTTTCTGATGGCCGCGAGCAATAATCAGTGACGTTTCATTGCTCCCTTATACTGTGCGAGCAACAGCGAGTTATGCGAGTTCTCAGTGAGCACAACACTCAAGCCCCCTCAATTTCATTACGAGTTCAGTTTTGATTGCGAACTCTCTGCAGAGACTTTCACTTTTGCGTGATGCCCTATTGAACTCCCCCGAAAGTCGCAGCAGTTGAAGAAAGTCCGCAGCGACAGAAGCAGGCGGCGAGCCGGCCAGAATTGCCCCCCACAAATGGGTTTTTGTGGCTCCAGAACTTCCTCAAAATCACTTTTTTTCACACACCATCTGCTCCCCCGAGGCAGTGTTTCAATCCTCTTTTCTTTTTGTTTAATTTCGATGAACTACCTCCTCGGTACCAAAGTGTAAACTGTGGTCGGTCCAAGTCGATTCATTCTTTCTTTCGTTTCATTTGGCTCACAATATAGGCATAAAATCTTGTTACAATCCCTTGAGCTTATTGCTCACCAATGCCACATAAATCTTCTTCTCCTCCTTCTTCTTCTTTTCCCTTCTTCGTAGGATGCCCCCGCATATTTGATGTAACTTTTAGAATGTGTGGGCCGGCTGGTTGCTGAATCAAGGTTTTGCCATCTTCGGCACGGTCCCCAGGGAGCGAATCGTGTCGCACTGGCGTAGGCGATGTTATACATGCGTTTTGCCAGTCGCCGCAATAACAACGTTTGCTCATTTTACCCCCGCGTACAAGATCTTTGAGCATAATGTTTTTCCGTCCCATCCTTCTTCAACTTTTCTTCAAAATATGTATGACCAACTCGTGAGAATTTTATTCAGTTTCAGATATGAAATAGATGTTCGTTAGATCATCTTGGTTACTACTATGGGGCAGTATTGCGTGGCTTTCCGCCGAGCCGGTGACTCTCCATATAGGTGGAACGTTTCCGATGGAGTCTGGTTCCGGAGGATGGGCTGGTGGCGAAGCATGTCTTCCGGCTGTGCAAATGGCTCTGGAAGATGTGAACAGTCGGCTCGACATACTACCCGGATACACACTCAATATGACTAATCACAATTCTCAAGTAGCTAAGAAGTACATTCTGAATGGTAACTTCAAAATGTCTTTTTTCAGTGTCAACCTGGTCTCGCTATGCAACAATTATACGATTTTCTATATAAGCCTCCAACGAAACTCATGCTTTTGACCGGATGTAGTCCGGTTACTACAGTAATTGCAGAAGCAGCTCCTGTTTGGAAGCTGGTAGTGGTGAGTAACTCAGAACATCATTCTTATTTAATAAAAAGCTAACAAAGTCTGTTCATTTCTTTCTTTCTCTGTTTTTCTGGCCACTTTTTCATTTCTAAAACAAAAATAGCTGTAACGGAGAAATTAGGAAATTTACACGTGAATTTTCAAACGGTTCTAAGAATCCAACAAACGGCGAAGCCGCTACAGAGCGTTACCTCGGCCCGCGCAGCTGGCCGAAGTTCAAAAGTCTTGTTAAGTATAGTTTTATAATCATTATTATAGTTATCGTATGGGGGCAGTTCTCCGGCGCTATCAAATAGGAATCGGTTTCCCACGTTATTCAGAACTCATCCATCAGCGAATATGCAGAATCCTACTAGGTTTGTATTGAACAAAAACATGAAATTTTATAAACGATCATTTCAGAATTCACATAATGGACAAATTCAAATGGAAGAGGTTCACTATTCTGATGTCCGTCGAAGAAGTCTTTGTGACAACTGCGAAAGATCTTGAGGTTTTCAAACATTTTTCATAATATAGATTGATGTTTGGCTTACAGGCGATAGCACGCAAGAAAGGTATCAAAGTGGACCGTCAGAGTTTCTATGGAGATCCGACGGATGCAATGAAAACGCTACAGCGCCAAGATGCAAGAATTATAGTCGGATTGTTCTATGTAACAGAAGCCAGAAAAGTTTTGTGTCAAGTAAGTTTCATATTGTTTTCTGCACAGTGTTAATAAACATATCAAGGCGTACCATAATGGTTTGTATGGCCGCCGTTACGTTTGGTTCTTCATCGGATGGTATGCGGATACATGGTACATGCCACCGCCCGATGAGCACTTGAATTGCACGGCTGAGCAGATGGCAGAAGCAGCCGAATACCATTTCACAACGGAAAGTGTAATGCTCTCTCGGGACACTGTTCCGGCCATTTCCGAAATGACCGGCAAGCAATTCCAAGAGCGTCTCACTCGATATTTCGAAAAGGACACTGCAAATGTCGGAGGCTTCCCCGAAGCTCCATTGGCATACGACGCTGTTTGGTGAGTCAACTTTCGTTCGCAAATTGATAGGAATGGAACAATTTTAGGGCGCTCGCGTTGGCGTTTAATTGCACTCGTAACAATTTGCCATCGAATGTCCGGCTGGAAAACTTTTCGTACGACAATAAGGTCATCGCGGACACTCTGTTCCAGTGCGTTAAAAACACTTCTTTTAGGGGTGTGTCGGTGAGTTATGGTTCAAACGAAATCATGCATCAAAAGTGTGTTTGCAGGGAAAAGTAATGTTTTCGGACTCGGGAGATCGTATTGCTAGGACACAGATCGAGCAAATGCAAGGAGGAAAATACAAAATTATGGGATATTATGACACAACGACGGGCGAGTTGGAATGGTACAACAAGGAGCAGTGGTTGAATGGAAGGGGACCTCCACCAGATTCTACTGTCATCAAAAAACACGCCATGACTGTATCTAATGAGGTATTCAAGCACGTTTTCAGCATAATTCAATTAATGTTCAATTTCAGTTTTATTATCCGACAATATTCTTCGCAATTCTTGGAATCGTTTCTTGCTTTCTCATTTATCTTTTTACTCAAAAACATAGAGAACGACTGTAACTATTCGAGAATTCGAAAAAAGTGAAACACTGCAAATTTTCAGTATAATATTGCAATCTCAGCCAAAATGCAATAACATGCTACTTCTCGGGTGCTCCCTCTGCCTTTTCTCGCTTCTACTTATAGGATTACCTTCCGATGACATCACCATCCCGGATTCCATTTTCTCATTCCTTTGTCATGTACGTTTATGCAATCGTATTATCCTTTTCAACGTCACTTTTCAAGGCTCGTGTCACAATTCTACTTTTTGGGTTCACTTTTGCGTATGGGTCTATGTTTGCAAAGGTGTGGATTGTCCATCGAATGGGTGCAACCGAGAATCAGCAATTGGCAAGTCGACAGAAAGACGAGGTGAGCAGTTGGACCCTCGGGCAGATTTACAGAAAAAGAAACGTTTTCCCATAATCCTCTTACTTCACGGTTTTCTGAATTCCAGTTAAAGCCCTTACTGAGTAACTTCTCCGATAAGGTAAGTGGAGAATGAGAATGAGACCGATTTTGAAAAGCAATCAGCAATCAGAGAATGATAATCGGAGACCGAACGCTTTCTAGAGTTATTTTCTATCCTTCCTGCTCCAAATGATTTCCTACCCTCATTATTGCAAGACATTCGTCTGTGTTTTCAAATTTCAATGATTTCAGTAGAAAATTGAGGAGTATACATTGAGAATTAGCAGTGGAATGCTACGGCTGTATGACGGCTGCATGTTGGCCTGGATTGATTGAAATCCTCTTAATTTCACTTCCTCCCAACTTGGCCCTTTTTCACAATCCGACAGTAACGTTCCCTCATGATTCTTCACTCCTCCTCTATCATTTGATTCCAATTCCTTCTCTAATTGTATTTCATTGAATCGTAACAGGAAGAGAACACCCCGTGGGAAGGTATCCGCACCTTGATATCCACGATGGTCGGTCGACAGGCTCTAATGCGCAAATCGTCAGGACAAGCGTACGGTGCACTGCTGGAAAAGCGGAACACGGTCCTTAATCAGGTGCTGACAAGAGACATCTCTTGCCGATTCTTTTTGGCTGTGAACCACTACTTCTACATGTTTTGAATGTAGTACTCATATCCTTTTTATCACAGTTACTCACACAGCACTCATTAACAACTTCTTTTCTGATATTAACACAATCACACACACTTTTTTCATCACAGGACGTAAGAAAAAAGGTTCTTCAGGAGATTCAGATAATCTAATGGTAACAGAAACCTATTCCGACGATCCTTCCACTAACGCCAGTCATTTTTTCTTGTCATGCTTCTATTCTTCCGGATTCTCCTACAACTTTCCGACTTTTTATCGCATGTCGTCTGCCTGTACTACTAACTGTTTTCTCTTTCTTTCTCTCTAGAAAACACCGCCTGTTTTCCACTCACTTTAAAAGTTTCGAGTTTTCGTTTTTTCCTTTCATCGCATGGGATAATGAGCGAAGAATGCTATGCTGCTGATTCATAGCTAGACATTATCCGTCATTTTTCTGTCTCTTGACATCCGACACTTTCAGCCCATTTCCGCGTCCAAATTCTACGTGATCGTCGCCGCTCTCACTGCTGTTGACGTTTTTGTCTGTGCTATTTGGATCCTGATAGACCCTCTGCAGCTTACTGAACAAAAATTTCCTCTTCTGGTGAGAAAACATTTTTTTTTGCGCCGGCAAAACATGTTATTCTGGAACCAATGATTGTAGGCGCCAGCTGATAGTGAAGAAGACGAAATGATAATGCCAGTGCTCCAACAGTGTCAAAGCAATCAACAAGAAGTCTGGATAGGTACACAAAAACAAGAGACCCAGAAAAATTATTGATTTTCAGGTATAATTATGGGATTCAAATGCCTACTTTTAGTCTTTGGAACTTTTCTGTCTTATGAAACACGGAATCTGAAACTTCGTTTTATAAATGACTCCCGGTTCGTGGGTCTTGCCATCTACAACGTCGCCGTGATGACTCTTGTCACTGCGCCCGTTGTGACTCTTCTCATTCACGGCAAAGTGGATGCCAACTTTGCATTCATTTCATTGACTGGTATGGTAAACAATACATTGAAAGTTTAACCAAATTTCTCCCAGTCCTTATATGCACCTACATTTCTGTTGGATTAATCTATGGTCCCAAGATTCGGCACATCATCAAAGTACCTCCGAGTGCGGATGAAGTCCAACAGAATGGAAACATCGGCGCTTGTGTTATGTCAAAAGTGGATCAGAAGAGATATGACTTGTTGAAGAAGGAGAATGAGACTCTGCAGAAGCAAATCGAGGAGGTAACACACCAAATTCAACGGTTCCTTTCAAATCTCGCATTTCCAGAAAGAGAAGAAGATTCACGAGTGTAGGGAGCGTCTGGACGCGTTGGCGAACAATTCCGAGACCGACGAGACGAACGCTCAATCGTACAGCGGCAATAACAAACAGCTTACCGGTAAGGCTTAGCGTTAAGTTTTTCCTGCCAAAGACCTGTTGTTCAGAAGAGAATATGACGTATTCAACGGCAACCACACTTACCACAACAATTCCATTAATTGATTTGCAACCGAATGGAAATCACCCGGGTAATTTAGAAGGAAATATGACTTTGAAACTTTATTCATACAACTTTGCATGCAGGTCAAATATATGAGAACGAGAACGACGATGATGATCGCTCCTCAACGTCATCCGATGAAATATTATTATGAAATTAAATTTGTGTTCTACTCTCTATGTGTTAAATTGTGATTCGGAGCAGAGCTTCGGCCTTAACCCATTTCTGTTCAAGACGATCTCACTTGTTCCTTGTCGATGATTTTTGCTACAAATAAATGAATTCCAAATGAATCAAACCATTCTTATCTCGGTCCATTTGGTATTTTTCCGATTTGTGATCACCAATCAGAATCAGATCAAATCATTACACAGTGCGGGGAGAAAAAGGTGTGGCTGGGCACTCTAGATTAATCGTTCTTGAAATTGTCGGTACTCGAATCGGAATTGGGTGGAAGAAACAAGCAAAGAACATTCCGCACTATCATTTCCCGACGCCCACCTCCGTCTCGTCTCGCAAATTGCCTCCATCAGTACATAGGCAGGCAGCAACAACGTTTCTCATCGACATTTATGGCAACCAGCAAACAAATGCAAACTATTGTTTACAGTATTTTCGATGATCGACATTTCGAAATAGGGAAAAAGTGATGTGATAAATGGAAAGCAGGCAGAGTGATAATTCCGACCAAACATTGAGTGTGTTCGTTTCGTTCTTTCCGAACTAACCAACAGTCGAACAAAACCAATGGGGGAAAAGAAAAACGAATAAAGTACGAAAGCAAATAGGCTTTGCCTTGCTTTCTTTCTGTCTTTCATTTTCTTTTTCTCGTTCGTTGGCTGCTCCAAGAAAAGGTTCAGTTTGAAGAAAGAGAACGACAAACAAGTTTCATTCTTCTTTTCTTCTTGAACCAGAACTTTCTCTCTTCGCTTCGCCCGCCGCCTCTTGAATAACTCACCAGTGTTCAAAGATGGACAACATGATCGGGATGGCAGTGAAGGTAGCCGTTGTCAATGAATCATGCAACCAGCTAACCACACTGCCTCTCGAGCACTGTCCGCTTTCAATAGAACAGAAAAAGTAGAATGGAATAGAATAGAATAGAATGGAATGAAGCGTGTTTTGAGCAGGACGGGAAAGGCGTGTCGCTAGGAAACCAGTGAACGGCGTCTTTGTGAGAGCAACCGGCCAAGCTCACCAGGGGACGGGTCGTTCTGAAAAATAATGAGTTGCTTTATAACAAATGTATGGTGGAATTTGAGATGAGAAGGAAGAGAGGCAACAGGTACGGTTTATATATGCGCGGAAAACAATGAGCGCCGGAGTGTAGAAACTAGTAGACATTACGAAAATTGGCATATTCTTCACACAACTTTCATTACGCAGGAAGAAGAGAGATATGCAGCTTATACACACCCACATATTCGAAAATAGAGCAGTCTGACTAAATGTTGTTTTTTCTGTCATTTCTCTACTCTCCATCTCTTCAATAAATGCCGATGGACGTATGTGGAATGGGGAGAGAAAGAAAGAGAGCCCGCGCACTCTCTCATCTGTTTTTTGCGTTGTTTTCTTTTTCTTCGGTTCGACCCATGTTCCATTCATCAATAGACCCCGTGACTACTGGGCCAACACGGGACAGTGGTGGAATTCGGCGACGATTGAGGCGGGAAATGAACAGAATGGTGATGACAACACATTCTCGAATGACGACTCTCAGCGAAGAAGTGTGTGGGCGAGGAACAAAAAGTTCTGTCATGGGGTTTCCATTGCGAAATTGACCACCAGAAGATTCCGAACACAAGTGCACGCAACTGACCTCAGTCTCATGACGGATAAATGTGCCGCCTCTGTTGATCTCACCCATTTTTCATGTAGATTGAAAGGTGATCAAAAACAAGGAAACACAGGCAGTCATCGTTTTGGGGGGAAGGGGCAATCTCGTCTGTGTGTAACTGAAAATGGCCGACGACATGGCATAAACAGAGCGAGAGATTGAAGACGGGCGCACCACCCAGCCCGATAGCGACAAAAACAAGAAGAACGGACAGCGGCCGGCGGGCGGGCGGCCGTGGGAGAGGGGTGAATGGCTGAAAAATGAAAAACGAGGGCCTCGCTGACTGCCACTTTCAGCAGGAGAGAGGCGGCGCGCCCATCCCAATGTTGCTTACTCACAAACACGTACACGTCACAATTTTTGAGCGCTTGGCAAAAAAGAGGTGGGGAGGCGGCACTTTGTCGCTCGGAACTCTATCGAGAAAAAGAGAACAGAGAAGAGAAAATAGAATGGATTCCAATTTAGGTGGCGCTCGCTGACAGGCAAAAGTTGCCGCACTGTTCAAACACTAGAAATCGACGTGGAGGGGTGGGGGGGAGCGGAGGGCCTAAAGTGTGCGGGAGGCCCAGGCAGCGTGTCTTTCTCTATCCTTCCTCCGCAGCCGCCGTTTTTTTCTAGAACCGACGAGTTTGTGCGTGTGTTCCTAACCTCGTGCCCATCGACAGTGTGAGTGTGCGTCGGAAAGAGACTCACGTGCCTGGAAGGGCCGTCGGCTCATGCCGCTCACGCTCACACATCTCGCCAATCAATGCAGAACTCATGACAAACAGAAAGAAGAAGCAAAAGAAAAATGCGAAAAGATTGTGACGAGTCGAGTGGTGTTCGGTTTTCGAATTGTGAATGGAGACGGCTTGTTAAGCAATTGAGTTTGAGTCGGTTTGTGTTAAAACTTTGAATTGACCGATGAAAGATGAAATGTTTTATCATCAGAAAACTGATAACATATTTTCCATTTCTCCCCTTTAATTGATCGACTTTCCATTCAAACTCACGGCTCTTCCATTGAATTCCATAGCAAGAAGGCGGAGGTGTTACGCGGGCGTGAAAAGAAACTAACAAGGTCTGAAAAGAAGTGGAACGAAACGACATAGCGTCATGTGGACGCCTGACCTCGTGGTCATATTTCACATCAACATTCGTTTCCATGAACACAAGACATTCCCGCCTCTCCTTCTAGTTTGTGACTTTGTGACTCACAATTGGAACCAAACAAGTAGAAGAAGTAGTTGTAGACGAATTGAATCAGGAAAGGAAGTGAATGGCCAAAAAGCCAAGATGATTAGCTCCACCTTTTTTGTTGAGTAGAGAAGAAAGAAAACGAAATGTACCGTTTGGGTGTGGTCGGAGATGATTAATTGGTGGGTGTTTTTCTAGGGCGAGAATGAAATATTCATGTTCCATTCGGTCTATCTCTTTCTCTCTCGTCCAAGGTCATTAGGGCAGTGTTTCATGTTCAAGACACGGTCTTTGATACTCCAAACGATGCGGGGGATTCGATTTGGGCAAGGAGACCACTTGAAAGGGTTTCCAAAAACTGGATTCATTTGTATCATCCCTTTACTGGATGAGTCATTCGTCAAGTGACATACAAATCCTTCCGCATTTTGGGTATTTTCGTGGTGGATAATGTCATATCAAAAGGATTTAGGAAAAAGATTATATATACAAGAAATCATTCCAGAGCTGTGGATAATTCGGATTTTATCAAATGCGCACACACACAAACAAATATCGAGTTCCAAGAAGTGGGAGAGCAAAAATTTCATTTTTTTTTTCAATTGATGAAAATCCACAAAAAAGAGCAAACAAGAAAAAGAAGCGAAAAGGTTTCAATATTAGTTTGTCAGCAAAGCCCAGGCCTCCCTCTCAGAATCGAATGCAATTTCGCAGTTTCCAAGTCTCGAGGCGCTTCTCTTCTGAAATCCGATTAATTCGCACTTAAAATGCGCATTTCGCATTTCGCGCTTCCGGCTGTCAACAGAATCTTGAATCGTCTATCAAGATGAAAATCTGAAAATCTGAAAATCTGAAGTACCGGCTCAAGTCATGTTTACCGGCTTCATTTAAAAAACCGAACGGAAGGGGGTGTAAGCATAATGTGTGTGTTGGTTTCCTTTTGGTTTCTGTTATAGTGGTTTGCAACCTTCGATATCCGAGTAGGTAGGAGTCCAAAGCAAATAAAACTTTGCGAGCCCTCAAATTTTTACGCGTTTTTTGTTCTCTCTATCTCTCCGCGAAACAAGAAGAAATTGACTTTCTCTATCAATTTCCGTCTTTGAATACTTTCCCTTCTTCTGGTCTTGCACACTTCTTCATTATGCTGTGCCCTTTTGCAAGAAACCAAACAAAAACTTCCGAGTGCACGTAAGGAAGGGTGCGTGTGCGTGTGTCGGGAACCTTTTCTTCCTCCTCTAATGCCTAATAAATCATTGTCACACACATAAATTGGAGGAGTATACTTTCGGGTGCAAGGAGCCCCCTTCTCTCTACTTTCTCTCTCGTCTCATGTGTAAGACGATTGGTGTCTTGTCTATGAGAAGCAGGTGCTACCTAATCTCAGATCTTCTCCGAGCTCCCGCTCTTCTCACTGAAATTTTTTGCTCTTTGTGTTAGCTGCTTTATAAAACATCCTGCTTACACCACACCCTCTCTTCTTTCTGCCTTCCCAAAACATTGTATAACATTCATAATATCGGGCCGATTGTGGTGGCTGATTTCCCGTCTCTCCAATAGAAGCTTCTCGCCTTTTGTGCACACGTCATGTTTCTTTACGTGCTGCCACTGCTTTTGAGAGTACTCAAACTCGGCCCGCATCTCCGGTCGGGTGCAAATTCTCAAATTCTTTGAACCGTAGATTTGTGCGAGCCGCAACAGGAAAGCAGCGCCGTTTCCTCATTTTTTATGCGCGGTTTCAAATCTCATAAAATCCTCCTGTTCAGCTGCACAAAAAGCGATTAATTGCAGTCACAGCCAACCCTGGCGCGTGAGAGGGTTTCAATGTCCTCCCGCATTCTCGTCGTTTCTATCCGCCTTTTTTCAATTTTCGGTCAGAGCCCTCGGCGTTATCCTCTTTCTCGCAAGCATAGCGACGAAAGAAGAAGTGTGCCAGCTTTTCTCGTCTTGACATGTTTTCCTGCCTGGGAGTTTGTTCTAACAATTCTTTCCTCTTTTTTTGCAGAATACCTAATGAGCGAGTATAGATGAATGACACGACGGGAAAACTCCGGCGCAATAAGGCCACAACCTTTGAATCTCCAAGCATTCCAAAAGGTTTGTGAATGTTCTTTTTGTGATACTAAACAAAATACTTTTTTTCAATTTCCCATTCAGCATTTTTTGATCTCCAACATCATTTCATATTCTGCAAGAAAAAAGCCCCGGTAGATGGAATTGAAGCCATTCAGCGAGATGGAGCCGCCATCAGGTCCGTCCTCATAACTCATTAAAAAGAGATTCATATTATGTTTTGCAGCGAGCATGCTGTTGTCAAATACGCCAATGACGAACGTCCGGACGAGAAAGAGAAACAAGATCTAGAGAATATGTTCAAAACGGTTCTACGGATAGGAGTCCGTGAGTTCACACATTCATTTGAGAGAATACTCATAAGGGAGCTCGGAAATTCAGATAATTTTGACATGGTCTACACACATCTCCTTCAACTGTCGCAATGTTACGAGGCTATGGCAAGGAACAATAAACTGATTGTATTCACAAATGACATATCTGTACGGAAAGCATTTAATGGATTAGTTTACAATTGTAAGCTGCCTGACTCTTGCAAAGATCAAACCATCAGATTCACTTTTCAGGCATGCGCACCGGATTAGTCGCCGATTCGAAAACATTGGAGATCACCGGTGTACTTTCGGTCACCGATTTCATCATGGTAATAGTCGGCAAAACCTTATTCAATAGGCTTAACTCTTGAATTTTCCTAGATCCTAATGATGTTGTGGAAGTTCCGTGAGAATCTCGATGAGCTCAAAGGCACACCACTAAGCCACGAGGATTTCCGGCAGATGGATGTGGCTTATATGCCCATCTCACGATGGAAGGGTACGAATTAGGACACCTCAGTCAGTGTGGATTACCAATTCGTTTAGGGTGTCTTGAGATGAGAGGCCAATTGAAGCCATTCATCAACATTGGCCTGAAAGAGAGCATTTTCCGGGCCGTCGAGCTGCTCACTAAATATAGAATTCATCGGCTTCCGGTCATGGACGAAAACACTGGCGATTGTGCCTACATTCTAACACATCGTAGGATATTACACTACATTTGGAAGCATGTAAGAATATTTTAGCGATAATTCAGAGCAACTTTTTAATTTTGATTTCAGTGTGCTCTCCTTCCGAGACCGACTTGCTTGTGCCGTAGAGTGGCGGACCTGCAGATTGGAACTTGGAAAAACTTGCTTTATGTTAGTTTTAAATGAACAAAACAACTAAAGAAGAACATTTTTAGGCGGATGAACGAACACCACTGATCGAATGCCTTGACATGTTGATTGACAACAAAATCAGTGGAATACCGATTGTACAAATGAAAACAATGAAAGCAAGTTTTTACTAGACAGTTAGAATAAAACAAAACAATCAATTTCTCGACAGGTAATCGAAGTTTATACCCGATTCGATGCTGCTTCAGCCGCTTTTGCCGACCACATAGATCTCAGTGTTCCCGTATCAACTGCCATTAAAGAGAGGGACACACTTTGTGTAAAAATCAATACATAGTTTTTGAAAGTATTTATTGTTTTTTCAGGGAATACGACGTGATGGCGTAGTCACCGCTCATTACACAACGACTTTATGGTCTCTGATCGAGATTTTCATCGACAAGAATGTTCATCGGATTTTCATGGTCGACGAAAGATTGATTCTGAAAGTGCGTCCATTTAATTTCACGCTTCAATACGCTTTTTAAGGGAATCATTTCGTTATCTGACGTCATTGAATTTCTCGTCCTGCGCCCTTCGAAACGATCGACTGGAGGAGATGTGCAATAGCTCAGGAATGCGACTTTGTGACATAATCTTTATCATCTCATGATTACAAAAATGGAACAATGCTTTAACTTTTGTCATTTTTCGTATTCATAAGCTTTATCGCCCGGACCAGCATAAATAAATCATCATCAACATTTTTCTTGAAGTCAGGGAATGAAACTGATGTGTCCGAGGGTACAAAGAAGATTTCTAACTATGCGAGCTGCGGGTTCACCAAAACGTGATCTTCATTGACATGAGTACACAATTGGTATGTTCTACAAAGCGCGGATATTTACTTTTGTGAAGCGAAAACTACACGGGAAGGAAGGATGATACGCTTTTTGACACCCGGGGCGGAGGAACCGTTCGACAAGTGACAGTTTATACTCAGCGGTCTTCCGTGTCGCAACCATTCCGCACTCCGCTCGCTCCACAACCAAACATGTTCGCGCTAATTCCTTTGGCTCTACTCCAAACAGCAAATGGTACAGTCAACCAGAAGTGGCTCTTCTTACCCACTTTTCCGTTCCCATTTCCAGCAGTCGGATACATTCCTCTCGAAACTAACAGTCTTATGAGAAACGTCGTCAGTTATGGATCTACTTGTGATGCTCAGGCGGAGAACAAAATCGCATTGTGCTCGGAAGAGCTCACCAATATGGGAGTGTTCAGTCAGGACGGAGCCAAACAGACAACGCTATCCGACATGAAAACTCATTCTCAACTTCACTTTGTGCAGATGTGCGGGTATGTTGAGTTGTTTTTTAAGAAATTTACCAGGCGCCGAGGTAACTCTGTTTTCCAGCGCGTACCAGCGATTCAACAACTGTCTCGGCGGAAGTTATATCAAACAGGCGTGTTATCCGCATGAGCCGCTCAAGTCCAGATACTCGGTCGTCGACTCTGTTCTCGATTACGTTTGCGGGGAGGGATATCAATGTGAGAGATTTCCATACTGAATAAAATAATCCATAAAAAAAGTTTCAGCGATGCTCAATAACTGGAACTGCTACCTTTCTGTTGCCGAGAGTCGAGAGATTGCCATGTGCGAAGCAAGTTTTACTCAATTGGCCCGGAACACGGAACAGATGTACAATGATTATTCATCCGGAGCTGGAGCTTGTTTGTGAGTATCCACTAAATGTTCCAGTTTTTCCCCGTCGAACGCACATTTTTCAGTGCCCTCCAATCGTACACCGACTGCATTCGTCCAGCCATCGAAACTACATGTGGATTGGGATCCTTCCTGACGGTCATCCAAGCAGTCGAACGTCCCATTCAAATCTATCTTCCATTCTGTACACTCTCTTCCTCCATGATCTCATTAATTCCATCACTTATAATTTCTTTGCTTTTGTTTGTCTTTCATTTCTAAAAGTTGATGTTGTTCGTTGTCAAACCCCTCATTTTTTTACATGTATAAAGTATTGCATCTCAGTGAGAGTCGTGTCGTGGGAACGGGAGTGCGCGTGGTTGGTTACCACGGAGACCACCGACGCGAGGGAGGACGAGAGCGGCATACTCTCCGCTCGTTTACGTATTCCTGCAGAGTCAACCGATCGATATGCAGAAAATGTTGTCTCGTGAGGACGACGAAGACTTTTACGGTGGATTCGACAGCTATGATAGCGCTTATGATATTCAGGTAACTATTTAGAGTGGAATCTGCTCTCATATCATTTATTTCTCAGAGTATCACTCAAAATCCGCAATTTCAACAAGCCGTTGCCCGATCGAGTCATGGAAGACGTCCGGTAACTGATTCTGTTGATTTTGAAAGGTTGACGTGTTTTTTCTAAGTGCAGACTGTTTCTCAAATGGGATTCCGCGACGGAACATCGTCCTATGGAAAACCACCGCCAACAATGTCGAGTAAGTAACCAGTCATTTTGTTTCGCAATCGTTCCCGTTATGCACATTCAGTTCAAAGCCGAATGGGCGGAGGCCGAACTGCGATGGCGACTAACAACGAGCCGGTGAGACCGATGACCGCGGTCCGTGCAGCCGGATACACATCGTTCGCAAACAAAGGTAAGACAGATATCCAAAAACTCGCGCGCCACAAAAACACACTCACTTTTTTTCAGTTCAAGCTGTGGAGAGAACGGTAGACACCGAAAACGTAGGCGAAAGGTAAATTTTCTCGGAAACAACAAGGTATTGGTTTTCAAAGAGAGTCTTGTAGTGGCGAGGACAAGTGTCAGAAAATGGAGGCAAAGTGTATGGATATGCTCCGTGAAAGTATACTGGCAAGTGAGAAAAAGAAGTTTAAAGAGGCAAGAGCAAATTTCTGATTGTGCAATAGAACAACAAAATTTTCAGGCTCTGGACAAAGCCAAAGAAACTGGACGGCGGGAGAGGGCTGTGATGAAGTACAGAGAACAGCATAATCTCACGGAGCAAATGAATTTGGACCTTACTTATACAGTCCTCTTTAATTTGGCAGAACAGTATGAGGCCAATGAGATGACAAATGAAGCTCTGCATACGTACGACCTCATTGTGCGCAATAAAATGTTTCAAAACTCGGGAAGGCTCAGAGTGAGTTTATAGGTAACTTGAGGAAGTACAAGTTCGTTACAGGTCAACATTGGAAACATTCATTTCAAAAAGAGAGAATACCCAAAAGCCTTGAAGCACTACAGAATGGCTCTGGATCAAGTGCCAAGCATTCAGAAAGATACGAGAATCAAGATATTGAACAATATCGGGGTGACTTTTGTTAGGATGGGAAGTTACGATGATGCCGTGAGCACATTCGAGCATTGTGTCGAAGAGTCTGCCGATTACACAACTGCTCTGAATTTGAGTGAGTGAAATCAATGATTCTTATCAGATTGTGTTTGAGTTTACAGTTTTGGTATGTTTCTGTGTCCAGGATGCTGAAAAGATGAGAGAGTCGTTTATAAAACTGATTGATATTCCTTCCTATCCGGATGATGAGTACAGAGAAAAAGACGACGATGATGTGTTGTTGAACCAGACTCTCAACTCTGATATGATGAAGTCCTGGGAGAAGAATAAGAAAGCAGAGATTGAGAAGGCAATTATTACCGCTGTCAAAATAATCAGCCCTGTTATTGCTCCTGAGTTCGCTTTTTTCTTGTTTCTGAAATCATTGTCTTTTTCCAGCTATGCGATTGGTTACGAATGGTGTCTCGAGTCTCTGAAGCAGTCCGTTCACGCACCCCTTGCAATTGAATTGGAGATGACAAAAGCAGGGGAAATGATGAAAAATGGAGATATTGAAGGAGCCATCGAAGTGCTCAAAGTGTTCAATTCGCAAGATTCAAAAACAGCCAGTGCAGCCGCCAACAACCTTTGCATGTTAAGATTTTTGGTGAGATTGGTCCCTCCGGGTTCTCCTTCAGCTTTCCGTTTTTCCAGCAAGGCGGTCGACGTCTCGTTGACGCGCAGCAATACGCCGACCAGGCGCTCTCCATGGACCGCTATAATGCGCACGCTCAAGTGAATCAGGGAAACATCGCCTACATGAACGGCGACCTAGACAAAGCCCTAAGCAATTATCGGGAGGCTCTGAACAATGACGCAAGCTGCGTTCAAGCATTATTCAACATCGGACTGACTGCGAAAGCACAAGGCAACTTGGAACAAGCACTTGAATATTTCTACAAATTGCATGGAATTCTCTTGAATAATGTACAAGTGCTCGTGCAATTAGCGTCTATGTGAGCATCCGAGCTGAGCGAACTCTTTTCAGAAAATTATGTTTCCAGATATGAATCGCTGGAAGATTCTGCTCAAGCCATCGAGCTGTACAGTCAAGCAAATAGCCTGACCCCCAACGATCCTGCAATCCTCTCCAAGCTGGCAGATCTGTACGATCAAGAGGGTGACAAATCTCAAGCATTCCAGTGTCATTATGACGTCAGTGTTGATTTACCTTCAAGTTGGTTTAACCAATTTTTTTCAGGCCTATCGCTATTTTCCATCGAACCTTGAAACTGTGGAATGGCTGGCATCGTATTATTTGGAGACGCAATTTTCCGAAAAGTCCATTAATTATTTAGAGAAAGCGGCTCTGATGCAGTAAGATTGTTTCGTAATAATTGCTATTTTCACACTTCCGCATTCAGACCGAATGTTTCGAAATGGCAAATGATGATTGCGAGTTGCCTTCGGAGGACTGGCAATTACCAACGGGCTTTTGAGCTCTATCGCCAGATTCATCGCAAATTCCCGCAGGACCTCGATTGTCTCAAGTTCTTAGTGAGAATTGCCGGAGACCTTGGCATGCCCGAGTACAAGGAATACAAAGATAAATTGGAAAAAGCGGAGAAGTACGTCATGAACTTCCTGAAAAACATAGAGACCTCATTCCATTTTTCAGAATAAACCAGCTACGACTACAACGAGAAAGCGATTCGAGTCAGGGAAAACGGCATTCTGCGAATTCCACGCATTCTCTACCGCCAAGTGGTCTGACTGGTCTCGGATCAGGGTCAGGTGGCTCGAGTGGCGGTGGTGTTCGCCAATACAGCGCACATGTTCCCCTTCTGCCGGAGACTAGCGCCCCCTTCACCGTGACTCAACGAGATATGAGTATGAGCAATTGGCTGAGAGGATTAATCAAAAGCAAATGGTCCCTTTTCAGAAACCGAAGATTTCTCGTACGATGACCCTATGGGCACGCCATCGGCTCGACCAAAGACTGGAAATCGTAAACTTCACACTGCAAACAACGACGACTTCGGAGAATTTGATGATAGTCTCCTTCCCGATTGATTGTGAACGTTATAACAATCAAACATCAATTTTCATTGTAATAATTATTTTTTGATAAAGCTATAACCTCTCCATCATTTGCTCCGCCTGACATTGAGAGGCACTATCAGAAAAGTTAGAGCCGAGTTGTTCAATGACAGGTGACGGCGAGAGGAAGGTGCTAGTGCCATTCGGCAGTTGGATGCTGTAGAGATTCAGATGTATGGTACCCATTGAAGTCATTATGCTCGAAGCTTGTCCGGGATAAACTGGTTGCTGTGTCTGTAGCTGTGGAAATCCTGGCTGGCTTAGGAACTGCTGGGGAAGAAGAATCTGTGGAGGAACAGGTGGAGGTGCGGGGGGCTGCGGGGGTGCTGAGTTGATGTTGAAGATCGGTTGCACCGGGGCGCCTTGGTTCTTATCACTGCAAATAAGAAGAAAAAGACATTTAACAATATAAATGCCACGAGATGTTTGGCTTCTCGGTCTCACCCATCTATGTACACAGATGATGACTTTCGGGTTGCTTTGATGTTTCTCCAAGTATTTTTGTAGACGGGCAACAGAATTACACTCACGAAGAAAAATATGATGAAAAGGACTCCCCAAATGAAGGAGTCTAATTGAGTTCCTGAAGTTTCAGTGGTCATGGTTGTTTTTTTCAAATTTGATAAACTTACTTCCATAACAATTGGTATATTTCAACTTATTTACACAAAAAGAGTAGATGAAAGCTTGCGTTGGATCCAGAATCCAGGATAAAATCCAAACAGCAAAACCCAGTATTGTGAATGCAAATGTAATCTGAAAACAAACGCTGTAAAAAAATTCAACAGAGATGGCCAAACCTCAATTCCACTGTAAATTGACATGGAAATTGTCGATTGAAATTGAGATATGGTTATCATGAAAAACAAATGACTTGCAATAGTGAGCACCAAAGGAATGAGACCCCAAAGCTGTCCATAGATTAGGAAGAATATGGAGAATGCTAGCTGTGTTCCGAGTGTTATGCAACTTGATAATATTGCGAAATACTGAAAATCTGTTTTTGAACATGTCCAATGGAAATCAACAAACTTGAACACTAATGCATCCGAAGTAGGTCTCTTTGACCCGCACGTACTTGGTCATGATGAGAACCTACGTGATAATTCGAGTACGACGGCAAGCATAACTAAACAATAGACATTTTCGAAGTTATCTCACTTTCTTATCAGTTTTCTGTGGGTGGAAGAACAAAAAGTGTTGATAAATGTGTTGAACTATAATGATGTCAAAAAGTGACGATCATCACGGGAAAGGTGGGAAAATCGGATTATTGTTTGAGAAGTTTTCAGAACAAATGTCTGACTAGACTGTGATTTCAAACCCTTCACTATTCCAAAGATTCAAGAATGTCACTCAATCCAAACTGCACAATTGTTTCAGGAAACCAAGCAGTTGCAACAAAGTGTCCCTGAAGCTCAAATTACCGCGTCGAGCTCAATCTTGGCTCATTACACCCCATTCGTCTTTGGCTGACTGCTGTTCGCTCCGTTGCACCTGACCGTCGTCGCTTGGCGCACATTAAATTATGAGGAGCCCTCCGGCTCGATAACTAATCGCAGCTAGTCATACTCATCATCATCAACGTCAAAAGTGTCACAAATCCCAGCTTGTTTAATATTCCATCCCGTTTCTCAGCACAAATATTCTCCTTTTTGTTTTCTATTTCACCTGCCCCAACTTTTTCAGAAGTGTCCGAACAGCTGAAATTCTTTTTAGTATACGAAAGGCGTCCACGAAAACAAGTTTTTCAAGAGCTTTGTCGCGTCAAAACTTGCATGCATTCTTAACTTTCATCAAGTTGGTGAATGAATTTGTGAAAAGACTTTGACTGGTCCCCACGATTTGTTTATTAAGTGACCACTACTTCCGTAGTCGGTCACCTCAAAACAACTCGTGTTGCAAAAAACGGCGTTGTGGTGGTCTGTAGGTGTTGACTAATTTCGCAATTTTTCAATACGAAAGTGTCGGGTTTGTCTATGTGTCACTTCCACAAACTTTTCTGCAGAACAAATGGAAAATAGGAGAAAGCAAAAGCCACAACTTCTAACAACTTGATTCTTGAATCAAATTCAATTTTCCTCAATTTCACATCAACGCAACCCGCTTCTTTTTCCAGTTCCTTCTCTTTCAAGTAGTTTCTTCCAAACGACAGATTGTACTTCGCCACTCAACAGATGGTGCTCTTCACCTGACTCAGCAATTAGTGCATTATTCATAACGGGCCAGACAGAGCCCACACCGCCGCGGGTGCTTCCGTCTCTTGCGGTCCCCAAACCCTTTTAGCACCTTATGTATATTTCCTGTTTTCACATGCCACCCCACAACGGACGACCCTCATTTGCACACTCTGCCTACACAGAAATATCCCCGCAAGTAACAATTGTAGAGCTCCGCTCACCTATTCCAAATATTCTCTTCATCTTACACTTGTCTTTGTTTGGCCCAAAACAATACTCCTCTGTGCAATGTGATTCCACTCCGATGGTATCTAGTATCACTCGAAATCGTCGCTGAAGTACGTAGAAGGTTAGGTTCTTGAGGTGTGTTCTCCAGGTTGTATCACTAGACACCAGCACTCTTATGTTATTCGATCAGCGAAGAGCAAACCTCTTCAGACGGCTGTTTACGGTGGTATGAGCCAACAAGCTTCTAACAGCTACCTGTCATGCGCGATAATGCGCATAGTGGTGCACTTCTCAATGTTTAGTTTAGGTTTCGAAAGTTTGCGGATCGAAATGAACGGAGTTGCACTGGAAACAAGCAAAAATAGAAAAGGGGAAGCCATCAATAATGTTACAACCTCAAGCTGTCATTTGTGAATGATTGAGCACATTGAGTTTTTGAATGATCACACTGAATTTCCGGATTATCTTGACACTTCCATCGCTCCCATATCTTCTTTTTTCCCGCTTTTCCAACACCCTGTATTTGCGACATCCTCTCCGGCCAACTGTACATCTCCTTATTGGTATTGTCTTTCGATTCCTTGCTTGCTCTCCTTCCTTACCACCACGGTGGCTATATTTGCGCGCCGGCTTAAGTTGTCTATTTGGATTACAGTTTTGTTAACATGTGTCTTGTCTCAGGAGCATTGGAGCTCCGGTCAATATGATCTAACTAGTCTTTCCCATGGCCAAAGTCACTTTTTACTGGAATCAGGTCACACCTCATTGTCTAGGATTAAGAAAGAAAGAGACATTTCAAGAAAGGAGAAAGAACCACCTGCTCTGGTGTCAAGGGACCACCTGTAATCCCGGGGCTGTCACTCACCAGATCCTAATCTTTACTTGTTCTTGTGTCCCACACATGGAAACTCTCCCCGTAGCCTTCCGTTGACCACCCGAGAGCAGGCCATCTTCATTAACCACCAGTGAGGGCTGTCCTTTCTCTGCGTCTCCGCTATTCGTGCGCATCTCTCGCTCGATCGCCCTCCGGCCACACCACGAGGCTCCACCCCCTCGCAGATGTACGCACATCGTAAATCAAAATTTCGCCAAGTCGTTTCGGGCAATAGATCATTCTGCGTGTTTTGCGGCATCTTCTAATAGATTAGCCGTGAATAACCGGAAATACTGTAAATGATATCTCCAGATAGCTGAAAGATCCTCAAGTCATGTCCGGTGAGTATTTTTTGCGCTGATTCCAATTCTTCGAACTGTTTTCTACGCCATCGCCAACGTTTTCTTATCATTGTTAAGCGGGTGAACATAGATAAAGCGATTACCTAGGTGTTGAAGAATTGAACCTCGTCGCATTCCTTATACATTATTTTATTTGACTCGCATGTGTTTTGAAATCTTTCAACTGTTAATTTTCAGAAATCTTCAAAATGGGTGCCATATTCCTGCTGATCATCACAATGGTCAACTCTGCTATCATCCGACCAAATGTTGTCGAGGCTGCACGTGGAGGTACGTGAGAAACGAATTCAATTAAAGTGCGAATGCGGTTGAAAACGTAGATTACGCGCGCTCTTGACCCTCTAGCATGTCAAGGGCTAATTTGCCATATGCACAGTTTTTCGTTGTTTTCCATTTGTCGTGCCTAAGCTCATCTAAGCAAATGACAATGAACAGTTAGGGACGGAAGAGTATTTCTCAAACTAAGGCAAAAACCGAGTCAAGCCAAGCATTTTTGATTGACACTCCAAATCCCAGGACCTATGGATGGAGTCGCCCGTCTCCAATTCCGGGGACTGGTGGTGCAAACCGAATTTGAATGAGACATGTTCTTGTCATTGCATAATTCATATTCTGATTGGCTGCCAAGATTAGAATTTCCGTTCTCTTTCCCCCTTCCGTCTGCCTTTTGTCCATTCTCCCAAGACTTTCTCCCAAGATGATACGCATTTCTGATAAGTGGTAGTGATGGGGAGAGACGATATGTCGTTCACCTTGCCGTTATTATCTAACTGTGGAATGGAATAGAGAATACATCTCAAGGATACCAGAGCATGACGGAATAATAACGGGGCGAGAGGTTCCCCGCACTCACATACTGATATACGATCTGTTAGTTATATCTGAAGGGGGTATTTGAGGAGAATTGAGGGCATAGGTAATTGGAGTGTATTACGGAGTACTATAGAGCCATCGAGCCATAATTGCGCAACGCAGTCATTGAAATTGCGCCACACCTCTCACCTCGAATAGTCGTGCTCCGCGGCAGCTGTCCAACACACATACATACTCCTAACCTATTGTTCTTGTTGCGTCGAGAAAGAGAAGAACGCGACGTTTCCATCATCTTGTCCTTTTCCCCACTTAATTACAAATTTGAATCAAGTACGAGCGAGCACACGGTTAATTCGTTAAGTGCGTGTGCGGCGTCTCCTAGCGTGTGACAGACGTTCCGAATATTATTAACAGCTTTGCGGGGCTTTGCCTAATTGGTAATTTTCGTTTGGCGGAGAGGACGCTTTGAGGAACACTGAATACACTTGTCAGGGGACTTTGAAAGCTCGGAATATTAAAACGTTTTTAGACCTTAGTTTATTCTCCGTTCGCATTTGGCTTAGACTTTTGACAAGAAAGGAAGACTTCAGTGTTTCCGGTCCGTCTCAGAATCTTCATTAGCATTCCATGGTGTCTTACTAATTGCAGTGGAAGGGTCTCCATTTTCAAATCTAAAATAAATTCATGTCGAAGGAGAGAAAGAAGACACGGACCAGTTGCCCTGCCCTCTCTCGAGATGATGGTCTCAAATTACCGGGAGCTTTCCTGGCAATTAGCTGCCTTTTCATTACTTACTGCTCCCGCGTGCGCGAGCAGCTGCATTGTGCTCAATGTTTACCATTCACGTGTCCATTGCACATTTCAAGTGAGCCTAACACCATCTCTCGTTCCTATATCCCCCAGCACTAAAATACAATCCAAACAAATGAGTGCGAGATAAACACAGATAGATCGGAATCGGCTATATGCCCCGCACACACATGTAGGTTTGGAAGCGTCTAGTGTTAATATCCAGCCATGCATATACATTACTATGAATTGAAATGCCCTCAAGCATAGAATTTGGTTGGTACTTCATTTGTTGTAGAGTTATGAAACACTTTTGGGTAGTGGACGCAGAGACGGAAGAGAATGCGCGGAGGGGGATGGAGAATGCCCAAACGGTACGGTATGTCAATCACGAACATCACCTGTCGTGCCGTTTCTAGACAGGACAAAGAAACGATATAAGATACTCTCGCACAGTCGGCAAGTCAAACGACTTCTTCCGAAAATGTAATTTAATCCTGGCCACCTTGGTTCTGCTCATTAGACACCTGTGCATCTTGGGTTCTAATTATGAGCTGTGCTTGCCTAGAATAGAACAATGGAGGTGCTAATGGAGGGGGTAACAGAAGGGTGAACAGCAGTGGGTAGTAGCCAGCAGGCCGCAACATGACACAATGCTTCTGAAATTGCACCCCATTCCACTTTTCACAGCGGGAGCCATAATCAAATTCTATTTTTTTCAGTGCCTCCTCGAATGCGCAACGCGGAAACAAAGTTTCGAATTCCATTAGGTCAGAAACAATTCAAGTTGATCTGTCCGATCATTGCCACTGATAAGGACAACACGATGATTCAATGGTCCAAGAATGGAGAGCAGGTAAGAACACACAACTATCACTGAAAGAAAAAAGTATGAGTTGCCAACCCGATCTCACACGTCCACTTTATCCGGTTAGGTAGTACTACCTCATTTCGATTATATGTTAGTATGTGGCAAGGTCATCCATCATTGTCATTTGTAATGCCGAGTGTGATGGAGTGCGGCAGTGGTGCCACACTTGGACGGCGATTGAATCAGAGTGGCCGCCGGAGAGGGGCGAGTTTCAAAAATGGATGTACTACTAACACACTAGTTTATGGACTTGCGCGCGCCGCATCATTTGCTCTTAGTTGAAGTCTCTTGGGACCATACCAAAACATAATCAATCATACAATACGTTTTTCGATGCAAATACGACGCACATGGGGAGATGCATAATAAAGTCTATTTCTGTTTGCAGCTCGATTGGGACAGCCAATACAAACTATCCAAAGATGGGACGGAACTGAAGATGAAATCCGTGAAGTTCGAGGACAGTGGAAGATACCAGTGCCAGGCCACCAACGGATTCGGCCACAAAACCATGGAATTCATTGTTCACGTTCACGACCAACATGACCGCGGAAACTCTGTCAAAGACTATCTTGTTCTATCCAATTCAAGTAAATCATTTTTGCAAAAACCGGTTCAACAAACGCATTTTTTCAGCGGCCAGTCCAAGTTGGTTGATTGACATGAACTCGGAATGGCGATCTCCTATCAAGATCAACACGGGAGGCAAACTTGAGTTGCGTTGTCCGGCCCAAGGAAACCCGCTGCCGGAGATTCGATGGTATCAGAATGAAATGGAAATAAGCGAGAGTAAGAACAAAACCAATCGGATGAGTCCACTATTTCACCAAATTTTTAGAAACTCATAAGCACGTCTCTTCAATTGTCATCGAGCCAGTGGACAGCTCTCAATCTGGAGTGTACCGATGTGTTGTGGAGAACTCGCTTGGATCGCTGTCATTTGCATTCGACGTAACCGTTGGGGACTTTTTCGATCCACCAACCACTGATCCGACCGAACACCAACAACACTCTATGGAACCGGTGATTGACCAGCCATACAATATCAGTGTTTATGCTGGACACACTGCTCAATTCCAATGCAAAGTCAAGTCAAATGAGAATACTCTTATCAAATGGCTGAAAGAAGTTTCGGACCCAGCTGCAATCCGTCGCATGGATCCAAATGCCACTATTATTCATGCAAATGGAATGAACCTTCTGGTGCTGGATCACATTCAAACGGAGAGTACTGTTCCACTGGAAGATCTGGAGAACGTCTACACAAACCGATTGACAATCACCAAGGTGGACTATCATCACGCTGGAAAGTACATCTGTGTGGTGACCAGTGCACAGGGACATATTGTCTACAAATCTGCTGAACTGCAAGTTCTTTCCTCGTCTCTCATCACGTTCCCGTTCACATCTGACGGCTTCCTGGTTGTCTTGGGTGCCATTGTAACTCTTTTCGTTTTCTTTGTCGTGTTGGCCATTATTTGGCTCAAGAAAAACCAGGAATCGTCATCTGCAAAAGACCTGAAGCCGCCACCACCACCGAGGATGCCCCCACCAGCTGCTCCTCAGGAAAATGATTGGAACAGTGACAGAACCTTGCATTCATCAAAACCGTTATTGCTGCATAATGCGATGTTCAAGCAGACGACGCCACTTAAGTTCCACGCGGCTACCATGGATAGAAACAATCTGCTGAGAGCGGAAAGACGTGAGTTGAAATTGAAATCAAACTGTTAACATTACATAAACGTTTCAGGTTTCGACGAAGTCTCAAATGTCTACGACAACAGCACAGTTCACCCGTACTGGACTCAGCAACGCAACAACAACTCGATCTACAACGGTGGATACAGAACTCTGGAAGTTCAAAACCACAGGAACTACCCGACTTCGGACGAATACACCGACCAGGACATGTTCTATTACAAACGTTAGGATTAGATCAGCAACTGAAATAACTTCAATGCGGGTGGACAAGCATCTTTGCCACAAAACTCCCTGAACTCTGACTTTTTACCTTCTTTTTCACGGGTCATGTATAATATTTACTGTTTTTATTGGAACGTTTGTTCTACAATCCGTCCTTCTGTTTAATCGAGCTTCATTGTTTTGAACCGGTTCCTTCACATCTTGTAGTTTGTGTTTTCATTTTCAAACTTTTTATTGCACAAAATAAATTATATTTCTATTGGTCTGTTCGAACAAGCAAAACAAGTTACATGTTGGTACACAATATTTTTGACGGCCGGTGCCTGCATCTTATTTGCACTTTTTGGCGGGCAGTTAGCCGGCTCGATTATCAAGCTTAGCGAGCGCGAGCAGCGAGAAAAAACCATAATATTGCGCTGTTCACACAAGCAATCCTTGGCGCTTTGCATGAATACGGGCGCGAGAGACCGGTGTATGACGACACAAACGAAATGCGCGCGGAGCCTTGCCGGCAAAGCATGGGCTCCCCCATTCCGGTCGGAAGGATTGGTTGCGCCAGTCGTCGCGCCGCTGCCGGTCGGTACACGCCCAACGTCTGTCTGGCACTACTGAATAGAGCCGTATTGTCATTCACGTCGATGCACTTCTGAAAATGAGCACGCTCAGTTTATGGAGCCGTTGGGACTCTCCCGATACCGGTAAGTCAGGGCTTGCTGTTAAAAAAATACTGGGTATATGCACTATTTACTTACTTTTTTATGTCAAATTTCGAAATTTTTTGTGTCCCAAAAAACTCCAAATTTCTACGCTGCCTACTCATTTGTTTTGAAAAAAGAAATTCGTAGATAATCCGTATGGTGCTTCCAGTTAATATGTATTTAGCCGATTCCGTAACTGGACCCCTTGCGCGCGTGCCTTCCCAAAATAGGTTCACAAAAACAAACAGAAAAAATAATCAGCGGATCAGATGACTCTGCCTCTCAGAACCAAAAAACATCACCTCTCTTCGAACAATCGAGAAACTTCTTTCCGACGCCATCGAAGCTCCTCGGACTGTTCTATTCGAGAAGAGAGTGAATGGTAGGCATTTCAGAAATGAAGAGAATCACAGAAAAACAAGAAAGTTTCAGCGTTTGATCCCTCGTTTTACGATTGTGTTTACTCAATTGCCGACTCTTCGGAAACTATAACCGAACGATGCTATAGAGATATTGGTTGTTGTGCAAGCGGATGTTGTACGAATACTGAATGGTTTCAGACTTTCACGACAGGTTTTCATGAAACATGCATTCTTTCAGGCAAGAAAAGTACGGATGGGCAGTCGCACTCATCTGTATGTTTTCTCTTGTTGTCATTACGACTGTGATCTGCTGGATGGGAATTTGGCTTTGCAACCGGAGAAAAGATAAAAATCAGAGAAAAGAACTGCTCAAGTTCGGAAGCTCTTCTTCTGTTTCCAATGTAAGTTCAGCGAAACAATCCTTCGGGAAAAATAGAAAATGTTCAGATGTCGTTCGCGTACCCGATTGCCAACGGACATTATCATTTTGGAACCGGACCATTCCAATCTCCACCTCTAAATTATCCAACCAAATATTGATGCTTCCTTTTTTGTTATTTTCACGTTAGATTAGTTCCTATTTGATTTGAACCTAACATAACAAACACCTCGACCCGCTCTCCATGTATTTGTGAATACTTGAACCGCTTCCCTTAAAATTCATTTTTAAGATGAATAAAATTTCTGACGCTGTCTCCCTGAGAACAACTGGATTGTGGTTTCCCATTGCAACGTGCGGAAAAGCACTCAGTCGCCCCGGGAAAAGAGCAACGAATCTTCCATTTTACGGCTTCCGTCTCTTTTTTCATTGTTTTATTCTTCATTTGCCCTACGGGCTGCTCGTTGACCATCACTCTAATCGATTGATGGCAACGCACAAAAATGTGGCAAAGAACGTAGACGCTCTCTCTCTTTCTCTTTCACAAATCCCCGACGTGTGCAAACTCTCGACGTCGTTGTCTCATCAGATCGTACACTGTCTCGGTCAAGTTTTTTGACTATTTGGTTAGCCAAACCATTGGGCACCAGCAATCTGTTTGCCACTCTCCGCTCATATTGTATTGCAATCTAGTGTTCCTCTTCCTCCTTACGGATATTCGTTTTTTCTAGGTTTTCGATTTGGCAGCAATGCTGGACATTCGGAGGTTTGTACAAACAACTTGAAAAAATAGATCCGTTTTGTTGTTCTCTCTAGGTTCGACATCTATCGGAAGGTTCCGAAGGATCTCACTCAACCGACAACTGTGGGCGCGCTCATTTCCATCTTCTGTGTTCTGTTCATCTCATTCATGATTTTTAATGACGTCTTAGCCTACATTTTCATTGACCTGTAAGTGAAACTGTGCATTGAAAAGTTCACTAAAACTGAATGTTCTGAAGAAGGAGCGAATTTTTCATCGACGACCCAGGCCGGGAAGGCAAAATTGATGTCCAAGTGAATGTATCATTTCCTCATATGCGATGTGAATGTACGTGAATGTTTGCACGTAATTTTTGACCGATTTTCGTGTTCAGATCTCGGAGTGGATATACAAGATGAAAACGGCCGTCATGAGGTCGGATTTGTTGACCATACCAACAAGGTTCCCATCGGAGACGAGGGATGTCGCTTCGAGAGCAAATTTGAGATTAACAAGGTCCCCGGCAACTTTCATCTCTCCACTCATTCGGCAGCATCACAACCGGAAAACTACGACATGAGACACGTTATTCACTCGATCAAATTTGGTGATGATGTTTCGGTAAGGGCGAGACAAATCGCGAAAACAAACACAACAGTGATTATTTCTAGCACAAACGATTGAAAGGCAGCTTTGACCCGTTGGCGAACAGGGACACTTCTCAGGAAAACGGACTGAACACGCATGAGTACATTCTGAAGATAGTGCCTTCGGTTCATGAGGACTACTCGGGCAACATTCTCAACAGTTACCAGTACACTTTCGGACACAAATCATACATTACTTATCATCATTCTGGAAAGATCATTCCTGCAGTTTGGTTCAAGTACGAATTGCAACCGATCACGCTGAAACAAACTGAACAAAGGCAGTCTTTCTACGCATTCCTCACTTCCGTACGTCATTTCTACTCGATTATCACTGATTGTTTCATTTCAGATTTGCGCAGTCGTTGGAGGAACATTCACAGTCGCCGGTATTATCGATTCGACATTCTTCACGATATCCGAACTCGTCAAGAAACAACAGATGGGAAAATTGACTTAAGAGCGCTTTCTTGCTAATATAACTTCAGTATCGATCTAAATGTAATCATGGGTGATCCATTGAGCTTCTATAAAACTTTTATTTTTTGGCTCCTCAATTAAAAAGGCATACACTAAACGTGTTTTACGGGGTCAATACACATTACAACAATACGGGCGATATCCGTGAAAACAATTTTCGTTCTTGCTAGTCAACATCAATCAGATCAAATCTTATCGTTCGGAAGGACTTGCTTCAATCGAAAGTTGTCCGCCCCGTGACCTCTATTTCTGGGATATCTCATAAAAGGCAGCAGAACAACTGACGGATAGGTTCCAAAATGAACTCGTTTCAACTTCTTCTCCTCGCCGCCTTCATCGGGATTGCCTCGACCCAATGGAACCTTGACTGCAAAATTCAAGTAAAATTCCGTCATGATGGACATCAGAAGGTACGTACTTCAGGAAAATACTCTTCTCAAATTATATGTTCACTTTCAGGTCCGTGTGGATCTTCTTGTCCCATCTCTCTCTATCATGTCTGACCCAGTTATTCTGAGCGAATGGAAACAGGAAAAGACTGTTAATGTGGGTTACATTTGAGTATGTTATGTCGATGATATGACTGTATGTTCAGATCAAGGGAAAGAACTGCGAGAGAAAGCCGTGGGTGTTCATGATTTACGGATGGCAGAACAACCAATGGGTGCTGAAGAAGAAGACGTCGGCCAAGTTCACCGGAAACGGATGGTTCATGACTTCCATCCAGGAGGACTACACTCTTAACGTGATCGATCGTCACGGAATCGCATGCTCCGAGGGAAACTGCGGAAAGTAAACAAATACTTAATACTCAAACGGCTATAATAACGCTAATAACGTAGAATGGTTCATTGATCATTATCAGTCATAAAAGGTCGTATCAAAAAAGTGTCGAGTCTGCGGTTTCGTTTTCAGCAGAAGTTCTCGGAGTGAAAAACTGCTTGGCATTGTCGGAAAGTACGTAATACTTGTGTGTGGAATCATTGACATAGAGATATTCCTTTAAAAAAAGTATTTGTTAGGGCTTATCGGAATTATACACTCACCTCAAACGCTTCTTTCTCCAGTTGGTTAGCCATAAGCTTCACGAAATCGGTCTTTTCCAGACAAGAAAAAACATTATCCACCAAGTCGTGGATATAGGAGATGACACTTTGTTGCAACATTTCGGTCTCAAAACGGTCGGCATAAAAACTTCCTCAACTATTTGAAAACTTACTTGAGGATCGTACATGAGGGTCATATTGAGAGACGAAGAATCGAGGTCTTCTTCAGTGACAGTAGAAAGGAATGATTTTATGCTTGTCTGCAATCGTTAAACTATACGTTTTCAAGCAAGCGCCAGCAATTACCGATGAATGGAGTTCGGAGTCATCGTCATCAAAGTCGTAATAATGTTCGGCATACTTTTGACGATTCGCGTTTTGATCGGTTTTCATATTTTTCTGGAATTTTTCTGATGCAAAATGAGAAACGGGTGGGAAAGTTTAACGTACAATGCGCTCGAGAAAATTGCACTCCTCCGAGCTGTCGGCGCCGTTTTGTGTAGCCCCCTGGAAAGGCAAAACGATAAACTGACTTTACGACACTAAACCTACCTGGCCAACGCCGTCGTGTCCTTCAAATTCTTCTTCTTCTTTTTTTTCATTCTTGAGCGCATTTGTGAGACTTTCCGCAATCGCGGCATGCTGAAAACAATTTAGGCGTTAACAGTTTCTTGGGTGTGGAAACCTGACCACCTACGTTCTGACTGTGATGGCGCCCTACTAGAGCGCCTTCCCCGTTTTTTGAATCGCGAGAATCTTTGATGCGTTGTTCGAGGTTTTGAATGAACTTCTCCACTTGTTCATCGTCATCAACTGATCGTGTTCTACGGTCTTCTTCTGCTTTCCTCGCCGCTTCCTCCTTTTTCTGGGCTTCCTCGCGTTTCGCCGCTTCCTCCTCTGCCTTTCTGGCTGCTGCCTTCGCCTTTATTTCAGCTTCTCGTTGTCTGACTAGTTCAGCATGCCAAGCTTGAGCTTGTTCGATCTGTTGTCTATCGTCGGCCGAATATCCAATATTCAACGTTCTCGAACGTCCTTGACTCAATGCCAGTTGAGAATTCAAAGACTGAGGCTTGGGTGCTGGTGTTGTGATAGAAGATTGACGGGCAATTGGAAGTGGAATGAAATGAGTCGAAACCGGTGGTGGAACGATTTCTTTCTGGATTGTGGATCTTTGATTGCTATGGGGCAAATAGTTGCGATCAAAAATAGAAGGAATTCGAGACGCCCCATGAGTAACATGTTGAGAAGGAGCTGGATGATTGCTTTCCAAATGCATAGGAACTCGCGGAGATCTATCTGCCAGTTTTGCATCATAATAAGAAAATGACGGGTAGGACGGTGTTCTCTGATAGCTCATCGGCAATTGAGCTCCTACGGACGAATGCGCAAGTGGAGCTGCTCGCTCTTCTGAAACTTGTGGCTGCGAGGGGTGCGAGGAAGTTGCTAAGGTGACGTCTTTTGTGTTGTGGGACACGCGAGGAGAAGGAGAGCGTTGGCGAAAAGAAGATGAATATCGATAGTGGTTGGAAACTTCGAGAAAGGCAGTGCTGGCTGATGAGGGCTCGTATGAAATTAAACTTTCTGCTTGACTCCGTTCCTTTGGGTTGTACTGATCGTAATTTATCCGTTTCGGAGAATCGGAAGAAGTTGCCACGACGACATTTGAACTAGAAACTGGATAATCGACGGTGTGCTGTTTCTGCAGGGATGGATTCGTCCTCGAAAGTCTTGGAGTGGCCGATTGTCCCTGCGAGCTTCTGATCTTGGTTTCCTTTCCACTATAGTTGAAGTGTAATTTTGCTCCAGAAACTTAAAAATAAGAAAAAACAGACTTCTTTTGAAATTGTTCAAATCTTACATGACGTCGATCTCTGAACGTTAGGACTTCTGGATGGAGACCTTGGTAAGTGACCCCCATCTGCCATTTTCGACAGCCTGAAAGTTTTGCTTAAACAAGAAAATTATGATTACCAATGGGAATTCTCCGGAATAGGCAGTAGGAAGAGTAGACTATATTTCAAAGATGGCAATATCGATTGTCAATTGCATTGTACGTATCAGAAACAAAGTTGGCGGGTAAGGCTATAACAATATGACACACACTGGCACATAAACTGCTGATAACAAATGGTGTCCCACAAAGTGTGAGCTATCGCCTTAAAATTTTGGCTAGAGAAAAGGCGGCAGAGAAACAGAAGAAACTGATAAACTTGAAAACTTGAAAAGAGTGCTTTACTCGCCCACCTAAATATACCCTTTACGAGTGGGTGGTAGAATGATAATCATTGGAAAAGAGGGTGATTCATGAGCACATTGGAGCAGGAAACATGGGCCTGGGTGGTAGCCAATTGACAGCACAAATCGACATCAATGATAGTCAAAATGTTTATTGAGGAAAAACAATACTGCAGAGTGAAAAAACAAGAGAAAAATTATCAGATTGTGTTATCATCGTCGTCCGTTTTTGGTTGGCTCGAAAAGTATTTTGACGCGTCCTCAATGATGTCAGCATTGAATAATGTATTTGAGCTGGAACAGATATATTTACAATTAAATGAAGCGGAAAATGTAGTTTTTTGGTGCACATACCTATCTGACGGGGATGTGAAAACCATAGCTGCTACACAAACGGTCGAGAGAAAATATGAGACTTCTTCCAAGACCTAAAAAAATTGCCTGATAAGTTGTAAAAACATGGATTCTCGAACCGAAGAAGTTTCTGAATGTTCCGATCGATTAAAACTATTCTCGGTGGATGAAGTCTCATTTGGAAGATTCGGAGAAGGTTCTGTCGGAACATGTTCATTTTCATCTGCGCAAACACTGCAAAGACTCGATTCTGCTTGCAGTTCACAACTGTTGGAAGTCAACGTTCCGCCATATGTTGCTCCGTGGAAGGTGTCTGTGTCCTCGACGCGGATCATTTCTGAGAATTTTCATTAAGAGCGAAATGTATAATTTTCACACGCACCTGACTCAGATTGTTTACGAGCCGCGTATGGGAGCAGAGTACATGTGAAACTGCTCGTGGATTCGTCGCATTCCATGTGCTCACTTGGGGAACTGAAACGAATACGTGTTTTGATGAGTGAATAACAAATTGCTGAATACCTTGAGTCTCTTTGAGCAGATGATTCCTCATCAACAGTCATGCGCGATGGATTGTGTGTTACACTTTCGTCAGCCGTTGGCTCATCGAAGGAATGATCATGCAATACAGCAGAAGTAGCTGTTGGAGAAAAGTCTCCCGCACTTTCAGAGTCGTCAGCTTCTTGTTGAGAGCAAGGTTCAAAATTTTGATTGTGCAAGAGCAGGTCGCCGAACTCATCATGTGGTATAACTGACAAAATGTTCGAATTCTCTCCCGTTTGGTCTGAGCTGGTTTCTAGCAAGATGTCCTTTTCATTTGAAGATATTGCTGCAATTGGATTGACCACTTCATCATGATTCTGGTTGATGTCGAAGTTTCCGCTTAATTGCTGCTCTTCCAAGTGCACGACGAAACTCTCAACATTGCTCTGGGTGGCTGACTCAACAAATTCTTCGGACTCGTCGCTTACCACACTTTCAGACAATCTGCTTACTTGACATTCTTCCATTGCAGAGTTGCACGAATCGTCTCGATCACTATTCCTGTTCTCCAAAATAAGTTCTTTTGGGTTGAAATCAATTGGGTTTGAAATGAGAGGCAATTCAACAATGGGCGATAGTTCTTCCACGTGAATAGAGGAGAATGGCGATGTTTCTTCGATCAGTTCTTCAGAGGCTCGCGGTAAAATTTCTAAGAAAACGCCGGAAGAGTGATGGTTACTTTCGTCACGACCATTCATAGGTTTATCGTCTTCTTCTCTTTCATCTTCGCCGTCGTCGTCGCTGTCTGCATCCTCATATTCTTCTTCGTTTTCAACTTCAAGTATTGGAGACAGATCGGTCGCGTAATACTCTTCGAGGTCACAGACAGAGTGAATTTCCAAACTGCCAGGCGGCTCAATAGAAATAGTTCTCAAAAATGACGGAGGAGATAGACCACCGTTGATTTGCTCGACTTCGATCTGGTTAGAAAGAGCACTCTCGATTTCAGTATCAAAATTAATTGGTATCCAGTCCGCACTGTTGTCATCATCACTATTCCGGCAGCTCTCCATGATGTTTTCACCGAGTTGCTCCGCGACCTCAATAACGTCAGAAGTCAGCTCCGATGCTTCGATGTCCATGTTCACTGACTCTTCTTCAACTTCTCTACCGATACTTGCAACATCACTTTCACAAGTCCCTTTGTCTTCGGTCTCATTTCGAACATCTGACAATACCGAAATCACAATTCTCCCGGCAGTTTCATCAGGAGATGAATCTGTCACAGAACTCAAGCTGATTTCTCCTTTGGACTCGATGTTGCTTCCTGCGCCCTCAAAACTGTGTGGCGCAATCTCCTTGTGCTGCACTGGGCAAACAATGTGCGTGGAACTGTCATCTGAAAGTTTGAGTGAAAGAAATATTAAAAATATAAGTTTCAGGTATCTTTCGTACCGCACAATATCCGACTGTCGACTGGAAATGAGACGGATTGAGTAGAAGCTGAGACATCTTTGAAATCTGCAGTTTGTAACTGAAACTTCCTATAAACTATCGTTGTTTACCTTCTGCCATCGTTGAAGCGATGTTGTGATAGTTTTCCACCGTTTTCAGATCCCCACTGCCGCCTTTCTTGTTGTTTGAACTCGCTCTCTTGTCCAGTGAGATTTCTTCATCTTTTTCCGTCACTTCATTCAGCATTTCATCCAGCAAAGTGCTTATTTTGTCATTGCACACCGTTTGAGAAGCCATCTCAACCTCGACCTCTTCTCCATATCTTATATCATCGGTTTTGTCTCCGTCCGTGTTTACGACTTCAAGAAGTCCATCTGGACTGCTCCTGATGTCCGCGCAGTTTCCCTCTTCCGATTCCTCTTCCTTTTCTTTTTCCTCCTTGAATGAAGCAGCTTCGTCAATTTCATCGTCATGGCTGTTTGCTGATGGAATATCACTGCTGTCGACCTCGATTCTTTTGGAATCCATTTCGACAATTTCCTCCTTCCCTTCTTCTTCTTCCTTTTGATTCGTCGGATCCGACAGATTCTCAAGATGTTGATTTTCAACACAGACTTCTACCATGCTGGTTTCAGACAAGGATGTTGCGTGTTGATCTTCAGCGACTACTACATCCTCAATGATATTCTAAAGTTTGAACGAAGTATAAATTATTTCCAGAGATCATAATTTCACCTGATCAGTTGTTGATTCCAAAAGCGCGAGGTTCAAATCTTCAGCAACTTGCGGAAATGTATCAGGAGCATCTTCTTCAACCTCATCTTTCTCATTAACATATTCAGCGTCTTTGTTAGTAGTATCAGACTGTTCTCTTTCCACTGACGGTTTGCTTTCTACTTCAATGTCATCCTCGTTTTCTTCCTCTCCTGATTGATTCAAAAGCTCGGAAAACGGGGCACTTTTCAAAAAATCGTTCTCCTGGTCTGCTGATGAGAAGTCGGTCACGTGCACTTCAAACGGATCTTTGCTCTCTTCATTCTTCTTTCTCAAACAATTACCTTCCCGGGCTACTTCCAATTGCACTTTTTCCAGCGCGTTGTCGTGATCTTGTTCTGCAATTTTTAATGAATGAGGAAGTGGAAGCAATATGTTACCAAGGCAGTTTGTGGAGACGAGCATTGCTGGTAGTGTTTCTGACGCCAATTCGTTTTCTGCTGAAGTTTTGAAGGAGTGAACGGTATCGTGTTTCTTCGATGATTCCAAATAGCTTTCCAAATTAGGTGAAAGAAGGGTGCAATCAGTAACAACCGGTGGCGTTTCTAAATATTTGGCTATATATTCGCAGAAACTAAGAAACTTCTTTTACCAAGCTCATCTGTAAATTCCGTTGAATTAGTTAATGGGTTCTCAACCGCCTTGACTGGAAAATAATCAACCGTCTCTTCTTCAACCGAATCTTGCTTATTAACAAATTCAACGTCTTCGTTAGAAGTATCGGACCGTTCTCTTCCCTCTGACAATGTGTCTTCGCCTCTGACAATGTGCTCATCAACTGTGAATCCCGTTGAATTAATCAATGCCTTCTCGACTTCTTCAACCGGTGAATGGATAACCGGTACTGGCGAGTACACGCGGACAAAACTGTTGTCGTTCAACAAATCCATCGGATCTTTAATGCTCATCACAACGGCGGAACTTCTCGTTTCAGAAGAATTGCCAACAAGGTCCAAACTGTGATTTTTAGTAGAAGGAGTTGGCAAATTCTGTGTTTCCAGTGTTTGAACATAGTCTGAGACTCTTTCCTCTGAAATATCATCATTTAAAAACGACCAACGAAAAAATACTATTACCGCATTCTGTTTCTGAATCCTCTTCCACAATCTGATATTTCCCTTCTTCATCGGTAAACAAGTGTTCTCTCTCATAACATGAAACAATACTGACGTTCTTATTACTATCTGTCTCATTGGTCTCGACCATAGCAGAAACGATCGAATACTCCATTTGATCTTCCAAATGACTTGAACTTTCCAATGCATCTTTGGATTCAAAAGTATCCTGAGAACTGTCGACACTCAAAGTGTCAAACAATTCTTCGCCTTCCTCATCTTTCTTGCTCATACAACAATTTTCCTGGACTTTTTCCGATAACACTTCTTCCAGCGAGTTGTCGTGACGTTGTTCTGCAATTTTCAATAAACGAGTAATTGGACACAATACTTTACCATGACAGTTTGACTCAAGTGAAGAAAGAACTGCTTGATCTCCTTCTTCTTCTTCTTGGTCAAATAACGACGACATAGCTGGTACTTGTTCTGATTCGTCCCAACTTTCTTGAGTTTGAGGAAGGACTGCTCTTGTATCTCCACCGCTCACACTGGGAAGGAAATGCACTTCTGCTTGCTGTTCAACTACCGTGTCATTCAGTTCGTGTTCGGATTTCAAGGTACTGCTCCTTCTCCATTTCCTCTCCGACGTTCCAATATGCCATTCGTCAACAAGCCGATCTTCGGAATCGTACAAACTAATGCTTTCGATAATGTCATCGTTTGATGGATTTGAAACACTTCCAGTTTCATGATTTTGACTGACAGCAGACTCGTTCGATCCTGTTTCAAACAGCTCACCGTTCTCATCAAAAGATGTATCGTTCTTGTTTTGGAAATCATCAGCACCTGACCCCTCACATTCCGTTTCCTTTTCCTGATTGCAAACTGCTTCTTTTGTTGACTCCTCGTTTTTATCATCTACTTCATCGTGCATGTGAGTATCACGAGCAGAGGAAGTGTCAAGCACAAAGTCTACAACATGTTTTGTTATTTTACATTATGAAACAAAACTCTACCTTGAAGGTCTTCAGACTGGATTATTTCTTCCGGGGCATTGCTCGCTAAATCGACGTGATCATCAATAAAATCCGTTACTGCACTGTTGCTGATGTCAGATGGAAAAACAATGTATTCACCCTCTCCAGCTGAATTGGATACAATCGGTACTGGTTGGAGATTATTGTCGAGAAGAGGATCCGTTAGTTCAGAAGTTATAGTGGACAATTCTTCGTTTGCAGTTTCACGGAAAGACTTGTGATTGATGTTCTCATCTAGCTCGATTCCAGAGACATATTCATCAACGACTGTACCAGAAACCCATTCAGAAACTGAAGTGTAACTCGGAATCGGCATTCCTGTGAATGTCTCGTCAGTTATTCGTTTGTGAGGTTTTGACGAAAATGGACTCTTGAACACTATTGGAAGGAATCGAACAAAAGGAACAGTGTCTGGTATTTCATCACGTTCTTCCTTGACTTTCTCAACGATAGAGCTGACATCTTCCTGGGATATTGCATATTCCTCCAGAACCTCTGTGAAATCATCAACTTCTTCAAACACCGATTCAGATTCTTCTAGAACAGTGGCAAATTCTTCGTTCACAGCAAATTCCTCGTCAACAACGTCTGCCAAGCCTTCAACTTCCAAGTATTCACAATAGTCTTCAGAGAATTCCTGCTCCAAACACGTGTTGTCAACGCTTTTTTCCTTCTGCTTCACAAAATTTTCCAAACCGAAATGTTCCCTTTCCCGGTATCGAGGCGTACGGGAATGGAAATAGCAATTACTCGTCGTTGGTGTTGTTGACAATGAAATCTCATTGCAGGATGGAACATTCCCGACATTCCCTTCTTTTTTACTTTCACTTTCCGCTGTCGTTTTGTCCAAAAATGTTTGATTAGAGAGGCTAGAGATGCTACTGATAATTTCCGATGAAGAGTGCAAACAATCACGCATCCGAGCTGCAATTTTTTATGGAGTACCCGTTTTGTTATCAGCAACGATTTACCTTCAATTTCTGATGGTAGTCGATGACACAACCTGGACGTAACAGACGTTTCGGGAGATTTTGACCGGCGGACGTCAACATGATGTTCTGTTTTCGTGTGGAACGTTTCAGTAGCACAACTCTCGCTTTCAGATGACAATGGCGAGAGTTTGATCCCGTAGCTTGACGTGTTTTCTAGCTCATACACTAAAGTTTTGCCACTGCCAGTGTGATAACGTATGGAATGTTCTGTGGTAGATGTCACTCCTAAAAACAACCAATCCCTTCCAATTTTTCTTCTTGCACGCTCACCGGGTGACATGTTCGAGAAACGATGACTTTTGCCAAAAATAATTATCCGAAGCTCTTCCAGATAATTCAGATACTCGTCGCACTGACGCGACGTATACACATAGTTGAGTTTTGAACACAATTCTGAATGATGATATCTACTTCTACTCTGAAACGTAGTTTGTGGGTGTAGGTAATCTGGAAATGTCTCTCGTTACCTTGATGGTGTTCTCACAGCACGAATTCATGTGAGCAAGTCAAGTTATCATCTGAAATACAACCTTAACTTCAAAAAACCTGTGTGAGAAATGAAAAGGGCGCTTGAAACGGGAAAAGGAAAACATGAGGTTGACCCGTGAGAGTACAAATATGAAGAAGATAACATGTTTTATAATTCTATACGTGGAAGAACATCAAACCGAAATACCGACCATGTTTCTGTGATCAGGAAAGGTGTGGCATCTCTGCTAAAACCGGAAAACTGCACGGACTGACTAGTGAGAACAATGTTTAGTTGGACTGATTGAAATAAAATAGAACAGTGCAAACAAGGCGTATTTGAACACATTCTTGCACAAATTTGATGACGTGCGACTTTTGATAGCTCTAAGTCATCGTTTTTTACTGTGAAGCATATAACTTTAGGACTTTTATTCAAATAAACCATTGGGTAAATAACATCTTTATGAAGAGTGGAGAAACCAAAGATGGTGGAATGTTGAAGAAAAACTAATGATCAACTGTGAAGAAATATGCATTTTTATCAGCAGTTTCTTCCAGCGCGCTCTTACTTTTTGTGACTGTTTTACAACCGTGGCTGCTATCAAATATTTCATTAGGCATAAATCAATTTCATAAGGAATAAAATGCAAAATAATGACAATAATGATTTCAGAAAAAAATTTGATGTTCACAAATTGTGCGAAAGAATGATTTGAAAGAGATAATGAACCAGTGTTTGGGATTATCACATTAAAAGGAAGAAGATAGTATTTGACAGGAAAGGATGGTGAACGGATAAAAGGAAAGCAAAAGGTTATTGTTGGGTGATCAGCTTCAATCTTTCGCAATGCGCTCCTGCTAATTCTGCGAGCGCGCCCGCGAGAAGACTGTGATCAAACTCAGAAACTCCCGATGATAGACTTCGGTCGGTGCTTTCGTGCAGCGTACCATTCTCGGTATTGTCAATATCAGTCATGTCGAGACGCGGAATACTGAAACGACGAATTGTCGTTAACGATAACTAATTGGATAGATAGTTCACTTGATAGGAATATTAGGTTCGTAATCTGGCTCGATGCGAAGTTTTCCGACTCTGGACTCTAAATCGATAATATTGTCCTGAAGACTCTCATTCTCCATTCTGAAACTGTTTGTGAGCGGACAAACTATATTAATCTCACTTTAAAGCATCTATTTCACCGTGTGCCTCTCTCAACTCTTGAGACAATATCATCAGTTTCTCCTCATTCTTTCTCTTTTCCTCCGTCAAATCTTCTCTTTCCTTCTGAAGCATTTCTAATGCATTCGTGATTGCAACGGTCTTTTCCACGACTGAATTTAATTGAATCTATTGGCATATTCACCTCGGAAACCTCTCATTACCTGCTTTCGAATTCTCATTTTGTCGTACAAACTCCTCTCCTTTCTTCTTCGTTTTCTCCATCATTGCCACGTAGTTCTCCTTCACTTCTTTCAGTCTCTTTTTCAGAAGAGCGTTTTGCTCCGCATACTTTTTCGCCAATCTGAACATGACGTGTCACCCACGAGTATTTGGGGCACTCAACTTACGCATTTCTTTCCCTGCTTTTCTCCGTCTCCTTGACTACTGGTTTCACAAACACTTCATCACCGTCCTCATCCGCATTAGCAGAGCGACTTTTCGGCAGCTGATCGGTTTCCTTCACTCTCTTAAGGATTCCGTTGCTTTTCATTAGATCTGGTTCTGGAAATAGATAATACTCCAATCATTTTGTGAATCTTAAAGGCAGACCTTCCGGATAATCCGACTCTTCCCCGGAAGCTGATTCGGGAACTTCCGACAGTGCCAAAGGTGACATTGGCTTCTGCTCCGTGGGAATGTCACTCACTTTCAGAAGATTTCGAAGACGTCTGCAAAAATAACACTTTCTGCAGACCGAGCCCATGTCGTGAACTCACTCTAACTCTTTGTACTGAATGTCAATCAAATTCTCCTTGGCCATCTCTTTCCGCTTAATTGACGTTAAAGTTCGAGCCAAATTAGTGTCGTTCAATTCCGTTGGGTGATACTAAACGTATGATTTTAAAACGTACTCTAGTCTAATTGGCACCTGCGCAGTCACAATACGCTCCAGAAACGTCTCCCTTTTCTCAGCGTCTCTCTTTATGCGCTGCATTTCCGTATTCAGCTTCTTGAAGTTGATTTCATAGTCGGCCACTTTCTGAGACAAACAAAATTCGCATCAATAGTTAATGAATCATTCAGAAACGTTTACCTTCTTCGTTTGGAACAATTCATCGCGAAGATCCGCCAGTTTTTCTCGGCTTGGAGACCTGCCGTACTCAATCTTCGGCAGTGGTCTCGTTTCCGAATTCGATCGCTTCACGTTCAATCTGATGTTCTTAGAAGCGGTGGGAAGGCGCCCATTTCCGAATGATGGCAGAGCATAGGCTGAAGGTTTACAAATTAGAAGGTTTATTATTCAACAGGCTTTTCTTACTCGATGTCAGTGGTCTCGAGTTGCGATGAGCGGTCTTTGGTCTGTCGAATGCCTGGAATACGCGTTTGAAAGGGCAAGAATGTGAAAATTGGACGAATACCTTTTTCACAGCTTCCGCTCGTTCACGCGACTCTTGCGAAACGACAGGTGGTAATTTTCCTAGAAATAGATGTCGTCTCTAACTCTTCTTTCATAAGAATTTCGCAATAGCCTGATCATCATATCTGCGCTTGCTAAGATATATGAGTTCCTTTTTTCCTTGGGATGAGATACAAAAAAGTTGGGTTTGGTCACTCAAATGAAAAAATGAGAGCGAAGGCATCCTTGAAATAGAGAACGCGATAGGAAAATTTCCAGAAAAATCAGCACAGACAAAATAAGCAAAAAAAGCGTACCTGTCACCGACGACGTCGATTTGGAGCGGCCCGGCTTTGCGCTCGTCGTTCTCCCGTTTTGCAATGGCATCAACTATCAGCGGGAAGTCTACCCAAAGAAAAATATAGTCAAGAAGCGAACGAGTAAGTAAATCGAGTTAGAATTCGCCGAGTGCAACAACGTAATGTGGGCTTGTCGCCGTCTCTGCGTGTAATGAGCCTGGTGCTAGTGGTTGCCCGGGCAACAGCGTTTGAGAACAGAACTCCGCCCTCCCACCCGCTCTTTCTCTTTCTCTCTTTCTCTTCTTCTTATTTCCTATTAGCTCAAAACGCTGCTTTTAATTAGGTGAACCTTCCGCTCGGAGGGGTTTGCGCTTTGATGAATGTTGGCTCAACTGACAAACGAGAAAGTGCATTATTCTGTAAAACTCATTATATTCCACAAGGACACGTTTTATTATGTTTCGGACATTTTGAACACAAGAAAATTTATTTGAAATTGAAACACATACAGAGAACAATTGATTGTAAACAAGAAATCACAAGATAAGTAAACAAACATTGACGTTTCTATAGAATACTATTGAAAAACATTAAAGTTAAAAAAATTATTTCTGAAATGTAATCAGCAATTGTTTTTACATATTCATGCGTGAATTGAATCATTTCACCTACTCATCGAATGCTTTCCTCCATTTCAATCAAATGATGGGTAGTAATAAGGAATGCGAACATCACGGCTCGGTGGCCGCAGAAGAGGAGCAGTCCATTCATTCAGTCGCTGGTGCCGCCAATTCAGTTTCGGGTATCGTTCATTCAGACCTTCGCACCACCCGTTCAGCCATGCTACCGTCCATTCCGCCATAGTGCCGCTCATTTCACCATGGTACCGCTGGTTCCCCCGTACTACCTCCATCTCTTCTTGGTACCGCTGATTCCGCCAAAGTACCGCTCGTCCAGGATATAGCCCATAACCCCATAGTTTGCTTAGAATCCACAAAACCTTGACAGCACTCACACTTCTGACGTCTTCTGGAGCTCCTGATCTACGAAATATGGGTTTTTGTATTGGCTCATGAGAAGAACTGTAGAGAAGCATGAAATCATGATTATCATCGACATCAGCTCATCTTCCCTTATTTTCACACCCAATGCAAAAATGCCGTTATCATCCGAGTGCGCATGATAGATAAGAGAATGATGTAGGAAAAAGGAGAAAACGGCGGACGGACGCGCCCCTGGAGCAAGAGCAAACAGACGCCGGAGAGACGGTGGAGAGCACAACAAAAAACGAGCTCGCAGTTGCTTTGTTCATCTCATTTGCGTGTCTCAACCGACCATGTCACGCTTCCACGTCCCTGTTCCCGACTACGACTTCACCGTTCGACAGAAGAACCCTTATATTCCAACTCCCGACTATACTTTGAAGTACAACAAGCAGAAGAACAGACCTTCTTTGAACAATATCGGTTCCCAGTATGCTCCATCGAATGTGCCAGTTACGATTGAGACCAAACTCCTTCCAATCACGATTCCCGTTGAAGTTTTAGTACAAAAAGAACCTAGTTTCCGAAAACCGATGAAACTGGAGCGTAAGAATGTTCCGAAATTGTCTGATGAAAACTCCAACTATCCAGAGGTGAGCCCATGAGAATGAGCAATTCACAACTAATACTTGGTTTCAGATAAAGAAACACTCGTATATCGAGGACCATGACCCAGAAGAACGACACATTACGACAAAAGAACATATCAAGCAGATCGGAGTGCCTGTACTCCCCGGAATTGCCGCTTCCGTTCAACTTCTGAACCCATTTGAGCTTTCCGGTACGTGTTTGGTTTTTGAACCTCCTCTTGTACATTGTAGTAGTAATCAGCAGACAAGCGGAGCATCGGAATTCACTTCTTTCAGGAATTTCTATTCTTTCTTCTCATCTGAAAGTCTTCACGTTTAGTGGCCGTAAAAAGTCGAAACTAGTGATAAGAGCCCGCCGTCACCCTGGCGTCTACTTTCTTTCTCTGAATCTCCTCACTTCGCATAGTCTTGCTGGAAAGTAGCTGATTTTAATATTTCGTCTAACTAGCAGTTTGCTGACATTTTCGTAATTGTTTAACCAAACAGGTTGACTAAGAGTTCAGCAATTTTTGTGCACAATCAATCACTCTAGCATATTGTCAATATTACGTATAGTTGCAATGAAACCAACACTTTTCTAAACACAAAAACAAGTTTTTGCAGCGGCTCCAGTGGCGTCAGATCAGAACAGAGCGTTTCTTCGTCACTTGGAAAACCACAAAAAGTTTGACACTGTTCGCGGGGACCGCGGAATCGAGGATTGCGAAATATGTCAGATTATGAGAAAACAACTGGAAGCGGAAAAGTTTGATAATCATTCGCATTCCGGGTAAGAATTAGATTATCATCTTATCAACATTCCTTCCGCTCGATTAATGTCAACTAGTCGATGAGTCAAACGGGAACGATCATGTTTCAGTATTTGCATAATTTTTCCACTGGCCACCTCCGGAAATTAGACCGGCAGTGGCCAACACCTATAATCTTTAAAGAAAACAATAGAATTCCGCTAAGAAAATGACGTGCTTGTTGTAATCACATCTTGTATGTAATTCCTGTTTCTCAGAAATCGGTCCTGGGAGAAGGATAGACATGCAGTCACACCGCCGAGTCAGAATTCGAACCCGGGAAGTCGCAGAAAGCGTGGAGATGTGTGAGTTACTCTTCAAATCTCCCAAAGTTTAATGCCGCTCTGATAGTGTGCATTTTTCGCGAGGTTTACAAAAGATAAGGGCCAGAAAGCTATCATTAAGGTTTGAAATTTTTATGACATTGTAAAGTCAAAAATTCGATAACGAAACCGGTCCAAGGTTTCTGATTCGTTTTTACGAGCTGAGAATGTTTCATCATACATTCCATTTCCAGCCGCGATATATTCTCTCGGGTCGAAGAACAACGTGAACCTGAACCGTACTTTCGTGCAATCAGCGCCCGCGCACGTCACAATTACGAAATGAGACGAGAGGGAGAAGTGAGCATTCGAGCGATGGAGCAAGTTGATGTCCGTTTCCACTTACCTAAGAGCCTTAGCACCTAAGTTCTTAAGATAACGCCGTAGTTCTTGCAGATTCTCCACATGGAACGAGAGTTTGCATTGTGTCGCAAAGCGGATAACACTATTGGATGGATACCTTCTTCTGTCTTTGAGCTCTGATGCCTTCCTTCTATATCTTCATTATCATCATGTTTTTATTATTTTTCAAGTTCAATAAACACAAGTCATAACAATGTCAACTTTATTTGCGGACTTTGCAATATATGCAACGGGTTGCGAATCGGGTCAGGATGGCAAAAATGATAAGCACTTTCTCACGCGGACGATCGTGGATCAAACTACAAACAAAAGTATCGGCGTGTCAAAGAAACTAAAGAGATCATGGGGAAAGGAAAATGGAGAGGAATGAGTTTGGGCAATCCATCAGTGGTCCCATAGTCCGCCTAAAACGTGGATGATGTGGGAGGTCTCTTAGATAATAGACTCTTCACCGTTGATCGAGAATAGTGTTGGCTCCGCTTTCGAGCAGTCGATTATCATTTGAGGAAGTGATGTTCTGAAATATAATAGCACTCATTAGATTTTATTCTGATTTCATTATTATTATCACTTACCGAGATGTTGTTTTTGGTGATCCTGAGCTCGTGGATTGTCCCACTTGATTGTCCTCAATCACAATGACGGTTTCCTGAGTACGGCGGGGAGATCGGCGGGGTTTGCGAGCAGGATGACGGCGGACTGGAGAAGGGCTCCGGACACGGATAGGAGAGATCGGAATGGGCGAAGGAGCAATGCTCTCGGACGAGAGGTACATTGTGGAGGTCTGCACGGATGTTGCGAAGAACGGGCTGGGCGGACGGTAGTACGGGGGCGGCGAAAAACTGGCAATGTTATTGTCATCTCTGAAATTTGTCCGGTTGTATGCTGGCGGAGCATTGGAGTTTCTGAAAGAAAACAGTTATTGTGAACTGACAAAGTTTTAGTTATTACTCGGTGATGCGACGATCTTCAATGACAGCGCTTTCTTCGTAACTTGGTGGGTTTCCATGGACCGGACCAACCAGAATGCTGGATTCTCCAATGATTTGAGGCGGAGGAACTGGGAATGGAGGAACGAAGGCCGGAGGGTCTGAAATCGTTACTCCCTGTCTGTTCATTTGTGTGTCCGTCTCATTTTCCATCTCTCCTATCCACCAACAAAACTAATTAATCCACTTAGCTCACTTATTAGAATCAAATAATTGCTAGGGTAGCAGACGGGGGTGTCAGGTTTGGGTGCAAGATGTCCATTGTTTTATCCATCCTTTTCCCTGGCAAACACTTGTGCTCTCTCTATGCAAAGGGATGATCATTATATAGGCAATGATGCGGCCAGATGTCCCACGCGTTCGTCCAAGGTCGGGAGAGGCAACCATTTTGTGCGCGCGAAGATGGGTACCGATGCAAATAGTACAGTCTAGAACCGAACAGATGTCACCATCAAATGTTGCCACTTGGTGACCCCTTAAATTGCTTTTGGGGCCATGTGTGTTTATAGGAAGATTAAAAAAGTCATAAGGACTGTGACGGCCAGGCAATTTGATATTGTATGCTCGGTATTTTGCCACATGTTGGATTATTTCTTAGAGAGAGAGAGAGTAAAGCACAAACACAAGCTTATTTAAATGAAATGCCATCAATCCTCTTTTATGGTGCTTTCCCCTTCTCTATGTCCCCTTTTCCCCTCCGTTGGAACGGGCTCGTCTCATTATCTGATTCAAAATTCAGAATTTAGTATGTGACGTCAGACCGTGTCAAGGACAGCGTGCGCCGGGAACAGCCCCTGATGAAAATGGCTTTGTGAAGCGGCACAGATTTCCGACATCTTAGTACGCCGACAAGCAAAGCGGAGGGACAGATGTTAGAGTGTGCATTGTGGTGGAAAGGATGGAATTACTGTCTTCGACATGCCTACTATGCAATTTTACAATCACTCATCCACCGGTTCTCGTGTGCAATTCTTGAATGGGAGTTTTTGTGGGACAGCGTTAGAAATGAAAATTGAGACTTCGATGAACCCCCAATCAACGTCAACTCTTCCCTTTCTCTACGCTCTGAAGCTTCAGTGATTTATGCAGAGAACACTTTTCAGCGTGCTCTCAAAGGTTTTTATAATTTGTTTAAGGAACTCCAGAAGTAGCTGAAGTATAAGTTTAGAAATCTTTCTTCCACTTACAAGGAGGAAGAGGCGGGCGGTCCGGGAATAGGTTGGCACGGTTAGGGCGGATGGTGTTTAAGACCACTTGCGATGGTGCAGGTGTTTTGGCGTCTCTCATAAAGATCATGATGAGGATGATTCCAATGCCGGAGAGGACGATGCCAGTGACTGCAACTTCAAAGGAATATTTTTAATATGTTCTAGATGGGAAGCATTTCTTACTAGCAAGAGCGGCTACTGTAGCGTCTCTTCCCAGACAGACGACGGAGAAGGTTGTACACGTGACTGCACACATTGCCACGATGATCAAGGAAGCGGTGCGGGGAGACGGTTGAGCCAGAGTCATGATCTTTGACAGACTGGCAATGAGGGCTTTGGAAAAGGGTGCGGAGCTCTGAAGTAGGCGGAGTTTAGAAAAAGGAAAGAAGGAGATGGAAAAGGAAAGGGGAACGTTAAACAAAAGCCAACCGAATGCTCATCAAAGAGCACAGACGGAAAAGGGCTCGAAAATCGCCGGCTACGGTACTCGCTCGTCAAATGTCGTCAGCTTATGCAAGGTTTGGTACAAGGGGGATGAATTTAATTTGGTAGAATGTATCGGGTGTGTCACACCAAAATGTCTTCTATTCAGAGGCACGAGATGGGTCCCACACTTGATAGATTGTTCAATTTCCGAAAAAAAAAACGAATTTAATCAAAAAAATGAATTATTCACTATGCAAAAGCGAGAGGTCAATGGTAGTGAAAAATGAACCCAGAGAAAGCATGCAAGCAAAGAAGAACATAATACTGAAGGTCCAACTATTGCGGACTGACGTGAGGACCCGGAGGATCGGACACTCAACTAAAGAGGAAGAGGAGTCTCTCCGCGCGATGAGCAACCCCGCGGAACCAAGGCGCGTCTGATGACAGATGGTCCAGCAGGTCATAAAGAATGTGATACCGAATTCTTGACGCAAACAGTGTCATTGTCGTTTAGGAAAAGGGGGATGAACACGAACGTACACGCCTGCCTACAGATACAATCCATCATTCAATATGATGCACATCTGCCCCTCCTCACCCTGCGCTCGCCTCTGCCGATGATGAATTTCGAAGCATCTTTCTTTCCGCTTCTAGGCTTTCAAAATCCCATTTATTCAGTACGCATCGAAATGTCATTATTCCATCGTTCCTGGTGCACTAAGAGAGCAAATCTCAAAAAGCACATTACAGTAAATGCGCCCACAGAGTGAGCTAGCAGCGAGATCTTTTGTAATCCCATTCCATAAAGAGCAAACGAAGCAGCTCTTCGTAAATGTCATGGGATTGAAGAAGGGCGATGAGCTCCTATTTTGGTTTTGCAGCTGGTAGCGTTCTGTTGTTCTCCTTCGCACTTATTTCGTTGCACAGATTGATGCGGAAACGAGAGACGATGCATTGAAGAATGAATGGACAAGGAAGCGGCGGGCCACGAGAATTTTCACTTTTCAGAGAACACCCAACGGCACATGCATTGCACTTGGAAACAAAACAATATGAAAATAATGATTTTCCCCAGCTCTTATATTTTCTCTGATTCATATATTTTTGCACCTTATTGCCTGACACACCAGAAAAAACTGTAAGACAGTTTCAACATCAGCCTTCTCAATTCACACTTTATTTTCAGTGATGTACTTAAAACTTATGGAATCGTAAAACTCGAAAATGTATTGCTTGAAAGACATGCGACTAGATTGCTCGACACACAAAACATGGAATTTGTCATTTGGGAGGAAAAATGAAACGATTAAGGAAATGAAGAATCAGAAGTGACAAGGGGGAGGTGGAATTCTGGGGCTTAATGATTACGGTATATACAACAAAGCTCGATACTACCCTCGAAAAAACCGCATGGAAACTGCTAATGGGAAAGAAAATGCAACATTGGGATTTTAAGTGAAAGCGGCCCGGCCTAAGGGGGTAAAGACACACTTTGTTAACCATAGAATTCGGATTGGTACCACTGGGTTAAAACTGTTTCGAAAAAATGCTTGACGGAGTGAATTGAGACGGGTCGATTACGCAATCACGGGATGATTCAGACTTTTCGGATAATGGCGTTCGTTCGCGAAGATCGGCAAATGATCGTTGGTTTCTGGAAATTGAGAAATGAGTCAACTCATAACCGCCGAAGAAACGATCCTCACCGAATTGAAAACGGTTGCGGTTTAGAGAAGTCGCTGGCCGCATGATGACGTGGCACTGCTACAGGTAAAGCCATTATGGCCACTATTTCTGACACTTTGCACTTTGCAGAAGCCAACCGACTCTTCAGCCTTCCTATTTCGGTGTGGAGATACGCATGATCCTGCAGGAGCACAAACTTGTTCTTCAACTCTTCTTCTCGACTCACTTGATTCATAATGGTAGGCACCGGATCCTCAATGGTCATGTTCTTGATAGTTCCTCCTAAGATAATGTTGAGGTCATTTATCTTGGGCTCAATTTTGACGCATCGTGCGCAGAACGTCGTGGCGATTCGGTTGCGAGACCCGTTTTTCTCTACACTGATAGTTCCCGGCGACTTGATTTCAGTGTCATTTGTTCTGCAATTCATTGGTTCGTTATTTCCTACCAAAAAGTTTGACTGCTACCTGTATTTTTCAAAGAAGGAGTAAAACCGGGTGGATGATTCCTCACTGTTTTGCAGTTGGGACACTTTTCTGGTCAAGTTCAGAATTTGACCCTCGTACATTTGTTTTTGAGCGGCTAGTGATGATTGAAGCATCTGCAAGGGCGATATTTTGAAAGTTTTGAGACAAAAGCGTACTTTGATCTCAACTTCATAGCCATTCACGTGTGGGAGTTCATCGAATGCAGTTGCGGACTTTTTTGTTCGGTCCGAATTCTGAAAATTACTTATTTTTTTGCAAAGTACGTCAATCCGATTGGTTAGCATTTGGGATTCTACATTTTTCATGAACGCAACAGCAACTAAACGCCGAAACAAAAGCAACGAGGGAAAAAGTAAGCGGAACGTTTTGAAATGGAAGTTTGCCGAGCTCGTGCGGAATAAAAACCATAGTTGACTGATCTCACTGTACGACCTCAAACAATGACAACAAGCGGACCAACGACTTCTACTTTCATCACTTGCCTCAACCTACTTTTCGAGTAAAGACTGAAGATGATTCCAGAATTTCAGTTATTTACAAGTTTTCAAGAGTGGTTTCCTACCTTTGCCCTGTTGATGAGCAGTCGATCACTGGACAAGTTTTGATCATTGTCATTCAACGATATCAGCATTCCTCGATTCCTTGGTGACAATCTGCTAAGATTAAGTTTTCTGGGTTCTGTTTCCGATAAGAACTTACATTGAACCCCTACTATTCTCACTGAACGTTGTTATTGTACCATCGTCGTTTTGACCTAAAATTAGATTTGTCCACGAGAAAACTTTAAAACACTCACGATTTGAACCCGATTGTAAGTTATGGATACTTTCGTATCTACGCATGCGATCCCGTTTTTTGTGCAGCCTTTTCCGTCGTCGTCTATAGAATATTGACTCCGGTTCACTGTCCATCTCTGATAACGTGTCTCCTTTTTGTATTCGACGCTTCCGGATCAACAGTAGCTGACTGCGGAATGGTGGTGTCCATTGGATGTACGTATCCGAAGAGTGATCGTATTTGGAATTTTTCGAAATGTCTCTCAGCTTCTCCCGTAACCTCTGAGAATAGTAGTCGTTAGGGGCTGTGAAGATTTCAAAATGCAAACCTTATTATGGGCGACCATGAGTTCCACTTTCTGCTTCCAAGCCATAATCTTCGCATTATCCTCGGACACCCGGAACTGTTGCTTCTTCCTCAGTTCCGCTCGAAGCTCTCGGTTTTCCTGCTCCAAAACGCTGACTGCGTCCGTTTGATCTTGCAGTTCCGTGCTAATACGCTTGTTGTGCCGTTCCACCAGTTGCAGTTTGTTCTTCAGAGATGTTTCATTATGTCGCACAAACGACAGATCTTTCTCAATCTAAACGAAATTATGTTTTCTAAACATCTGCAATCAGCTTACGGTCTCCATTTCCTTTTGCATCTCTAGCCTTTCCATCCGGAACTTCTCCTCCATCGCGGCAACTCGTCCCCTGCATCGCTCTTCCATTTCTCTAAAGATAATTAAGATAAGGAATTTAATAAAAAGAAAAAGCGAAACTCACTTGAGTCTGTTGTTGTAACTCGCTTCGATGCTTTGCTGATTCTGATCAAGTTCTTCAATGAGAAGCGTTCTTCGTTGATTGGCAATGTGAATCTGCTTTTGCAAGTGCTCACACCGCATTTCAAATTCCCGGACAGTGCATCTAAAGAAAACAGTAATTTGTTGTTGGCCAGGGGCAAAGTTATTGCCTATAGTTCTCCAAAAGAGATTTCATGCAGTAGAAGGCTGCTCTGGCGGCAATCGGAGAAGAGTTGAGAAGATGGGATAGTGTTGTTTCGAGGTAGTTTCCGAGCCCAACTAGTCCAATCATGGCTGATGACGGCTGCCCGAAATCCTGGAACAAAGAGTGTTCAGAGAAGCATAAAATGTGAGCAGTACCTTCAACAAAGAGATGGCTTCTTCTAACTTGAGTCCGGAAGTCGTTAGATATTCAATGACGGCCGAATGATCAGCTTCTCTACAAAATAAAGGAATAATTCATTGCATTTCTCCCAATCGTTGGCTCTTTGAAGCACAATTGATCGGCTATAGCGGCTGCTCACCCAGTGTTGGAAACATCAAGAGATTCAAACAAATTGACTGTTGATATCCGGTAGGAATCGGCAATAAAGTGAATCTGAAGGCATAAAATGACTGATGCCGCAAATTATCCACTCTCACTTCTTCCGACATCTTTTGACGTGCCCTGTACTGTGACACAAAGTCGACCAGAGTCACTTTGCCCGATATTGCGCATTTATCGAATATCCCATTCACATCGCCGACCGACAGAAGATCCAGCTCCGACGTCGACTCGCAGATTGTGTGGACGTCATAACGTGTCAGACTGCAACAATATCGCTCATCAATCTAATGGCAAAACAATTACGCCACACACCGTTGCGTGTCTTTAATGCCAAGCGAGGAACTGGATTTGTAGGCAGCAATCAGCAGTTCATCTTGGTTTCCGGACGCCAAGTCGATGATTTCCGGCAGGAATAGTAGGAAGCGGTCTTTGAATTGCTGCAAATTGAGGTTTTTGAGGCTAATTCAGGAAATGCGGAAGTCAGCTCACGTTAAAGTTAATAGCATGGTCCGTTAGAAGCACTCGTTCGATTATGCTTCCCGCAAAAACCGACAAGCTGAGTTTGTCGCACAAAATGAGCAGTCCTTCCTTGTCTAACAGCCCATTTCGTTCCGAATTGCAGGAATTGAACAGCTGCAAAATAGTTTTTTTATGAAGTGAATCGATTTTTTGAAAAAAAACTCACCCTTTTTAGTTCTTTTACATGTACGTTTTCGTCGCCCAAACCGTCATCTTGTTGAGCCATCGACTGCATTCAAACCATTTCGGTAAAACTCCTGAAAAGAAAATGGAATCAATGATCATGCATGAAATGACATGTTTGCGGGAAAAGCGCCGGGTTTCTTAATGTGTTTTTCTCGGAATAATTTGAATATGAATCTCATTTAAAAGTCAATTTCGAACCGAAAGAGTGGAAATGAAACGAAATGACTGTCGGGAATGAAACAGAGAGATTGTTGATAGAAAGAAGTGGGCGGAAAAACGGCGAAAAGAAGGAAGCAAGTTATGTCAAATGGCGAATCGGAATATATGGTCCCAAGAGATTGACTTAGAGTTTGATGAACGTACCCAGACGCAGAGAAAGATGCAAATGAATGAGAGATGACTGGAGTGAGGAGAGCGCGACAGAACAAGCAATCCCCGTACACCACTGGACGAGTGCTAGTGTGTTGGCTGTGCGTCTTTGTGGGCGGCAGGATGAGTAGTCAAAACGGGCCAAAAAACTGAGCTGTAAAAGGATCACCTCTCACAGTTTGACAGGGGTTCCAAGTATGTAAACACTGAATCTTATTAGCAAAACGTTTTAAAAGGACATGGAAAAACTGGTCGTCTTACTGGTATAACCACTCAAATCGCTTCGGATCCCAGCAGACAGCCTTTGTACGGCCATAAAACAAGCGCAGAGAAAACGGAGGAAATGCTAGGTTTTGAGGTGAAACGAACAAAATGACAGCTTCGTGGGGCCAGTGTGTAATTACTACCACCACCACTCCGGAGCGCTTTTGAATTATTCTGTTCGAGGTCAATAGACGTGAGAGACTCGCTACTTCTTTCCAAGTAAAAAGAAACCGAAAATCTCTTGTTTTCCATCTTTCATGCTGAAAAATGTTTCAAAATTTTCTGTGGGAATTTTTTATTTTTTCTTCGGGGCTACCGTACTTGGCTGAAAAACGATTAAACGAGAGAACGAGGGCCAATTTGATGACTATTTTTGCTAATTCACCAGCAAGACACTTGAAAGTTGAAACAGAACTAGTTGCGTTCTTGTTTTTTTTTCCAAATTGTTTCAACCTTAAGAAGAAGGAAAGTTCTTAGATGCCAACAGATAACGTAAGAAGTGAAATTCCCAGAAAAAGTAGAAAGTGGACGAGTTTTTTATTCTCATCTGCCCATGAAAAATCGCAAGCGATGTCTATCAAGCGAACGCGAGGAGGCAATCGGTCGATTGGGGAGAAAGTGCTATTTTGAACCTGCCGAAACGTTGGAAAAAAGTGAGAGAACTAGTTTTCGCGCGGCCGCTGACTGACAAATTTGCTCGACATTGGAAAGAGCGAAAAACAGAATGACAAACGAACGTTTGATGTTGGAAAGATCAGTAAAGGAAAGGAATGACGGTGAAGAATGGGTGGGGGGTGTAATACATAAAATCGAGTGGACATTGCAATCCAAGAGCACAGAGAGCATCATTCTTTACACATCAATCGCGCGCGTGTGTATGTGTGTCGTCGTTCCTAGCCGATTTGTATCAAGTTGAAATAAAAATTTTGAAGGCTCATGTTTCACATACGTCCACAGGCCAGCTGGGCCAGGCCAGGCGCCCTGGGGCCATGCGATTAGTTACAACGGCTGTAAACCGATTGAACGGCGGAATGAGTCAGTGAAAGAAAGGAAGGAAGGCTAGTACGAATATTGTGGAAAAAGGAGAGTGTACAAAAGGCGATGTTTGGGCTGTGCGGCAGAGATGAAACACAACAAATCAGTGTTTTGAACGGAGCGAACGGCGAAAAAAGGGAGAAAAGGGAGCACACACCAGTGAATGGCGCCAAAAAAGAGTGAGTAACCGGAGTAGCGAGTGCGGCAGCGGACATCTGCCTTTCAAAATGAGAACGTTTGTTTGATTCGGTACAAAAGATCCCCCGACTGTCGGTCGGCACATTGTGAGCCTTTGCTTGCACTTATTCTCATGTAAACACGCACGGAAGGGTGACCATCACAATGAGTGACTACCCACTTTAATCACTGACAACGGCAAACATTGTAGTGATGAAAAAGAAGAGAAAGGGGAGCTCAAATGCAATACAGATCTGTGGCATCGGATTATCAGCGCCTGCTCGTCATTTCTCCAAGAACATTATTCTGATGTACGGCCAGTTGATGCGCAAGCAAGACGAATGGAGGGCAAGAAAAGTTATTGGCGAGAACAAGACACGCAAAGTTTTGTCACTTCGCAATGCATGAAGGAGAGCGGCGAATGAGGTTAGGACTTTGTGAATATAAATATGAATTAGTCAAGGACGCATGACACGCTGAGATTGAAACGGTGCCAAGGTGACATGCGTTTGTTAGTGTCCGATGTTGCGGAAATTAAGATGCATTTCATTTCATCTCCGTTTTTCCGGTTTTCCATACTTATTGTTTGACTTTGTCGGGATTACTTGCCGAGTATATCGTTTACTTTCTTTGTTTGGATACTCTTCAAAGTGACTTTCTTCACAACAGAAATAGAGGGCGCGCGCACCGCACCGCAAGTGCGCAAAAGGAATGGTGGTTGGCGCATTTTTTGTGCGTCAATAACGGTTTGCCGCAATTGGAACGCTGGCCATTCGATCAGTCCATGAGTGGCTGTATTTCTCGCTTCCCGATTCAGCTGTTTGCTTACTTGTTTTTGCTCCGCGTTCGCTTTTATGTGCAGAAACCATCAGCGCAACGGTCGAGAAAATAATCTGCAATAGTTTCTTTCTTTTTCTCAAGTGATGGTTTGATCGCCATCGTGCAAACCACGTTTTTCAACGCTTCTTCTCTCAGTTTGCCCCCTTCCAAGCTTGCCAAACAATAACCCTTAACAAATAGAGTAGCTTTGGACAGATTTGCCTCACCGCAGAGGCAAAAAATAGAGTCTTCTTCGCTCTGCTTGCATCACCACTCAACCGCACGTGGCGGGAAGGGAGACGAGAGAAAACATCTACAAACTATTTCTTCCGTCATCTTCAGTCATCATCGCACGTGGCCCTCGTTGCCACCTTACCTCGTGTGTTGTAACTTGACATTGACTCGTCTGCTCCTTCACTCGGCTCAGTTTTTCCATTTTCAATTTCAATTTCACGGCGCTTTTCTCACGATTTCCCATCTAATCGCTACTAGTTTCCGCCGTTTGCCTTTTCTTCCCTATTCCCCCAACCTATTTTGCGGTTTGCGCCGTCGTTTTATTCCCTTTCTTCCTCTTCCGAGAAAGAGACAGTGATAGGCCCATCGGTTTTATGCCAGTTGATTTTTGACTCTTCTTCGATTCCTGCAGACATTCCCACAGACACAATTTGCGATTCAATAAGGCTCGCTTCAAATAGAGTCTGTCAAACGACGCCCACGTGCTATCTCTCTTTTCGCTGCGTCGTCGTTATGTTGCGATTGTCAAGTGCATGAAACACTCTTATCATATTACATCACTCGGCCAGGCTAGTGAACACGCCATCGACGACTATGTCTTCGACCCTTATCTCACTCGCTCGCCTTGTTTTCTTGTCTCCGATTCTCAGAAACTGACAATGTTTGCAGAAAATGTCGGATCTGGTCAAGACTCTTGTGCTTCGCCCGGACATCTCCAAGCCCAAGTGGGATCAATCGACTTTCGAGGGAAGAGCCAAGGTACCTTGATACTTGATCTTTCGATCTGATTTGACATATCCCTTTTTAGCATTTCTTCGCCATCACTAACCCACTGAACCTCTTCTACGGCGGAAATCAGCTTGACAACTTTAAGCAGATCGTCGAGGAATACAGGTATCTTTTTGACCGAACCCGCCAGGCATTACTCCTAAAATATTCAGAAAGGGAAATGTCTCCAATGATCTCACTCTCAACCAACTCTGGAAAGCGAAACACGTTGTCGACTCGGCATTCCATCCATCCACCGGCGAGAAGATGTTTGCAGTCGGCAGAATGTCCGCGCAAGTCCCGATGAACATGGCCATCACCGGAGGAATGCTCACTTTCTACAAGTCCCCAATGGCTGTCATCTTCTGGCAGTGGCTGAATCAGTCGTTCAACGCCGTCGTCAACTACACGAACCGTTCGGGAGACGGCGGATCCGTCAGCCAACTGCTCGTCTCGTACTGTGCAGCCACTGGTGGAGCACTCACAGCTGCTCTTGGATTGAACTCTCTCGTCAAGGTGGGCAAGTAAAGATGTCTGTCTATCCGTTCGGGTGTAATGAATAAAAATGAACGAACCGACAACAGATGTGCAAGAGAAAAAACTTGAAATGACATCATTGAATTTTAGAAAGCGCCACCACTTGTCGGACGTCTCGTGCCATTTGTCGCCGTCTGTGTGGCCAATGCTATCAACATTCCGATGATGAGAAGAGGGTTGGTGACTGATCTATGAAACGATATAAAACGGGAAGTGAGCTTATGAGAATATTTCAGAGAACTAACGGAAGGAATCGAGATACTCGATGAGAATGGTCAAGTTATCGGACAGTCTCCAAAGGTTGCCACTTCGGCCATCAGCCAAGTCGTCATCTCCAGAGTTTTCATGGCTACGCCCACCTTTGGTAATTAAACGATTCAATTAATTTGTTCATAAAATTGATGTTTTCAGCTTTCATCCCAATTGTGGTAAACGCTCTCGAAAAGAGACCGTACTTCAAGGCGAATCCCAAGATGTTCCTCCCGCTGCAGACGATCCTTTGCGGACTGGTCCTTTCGGTGTCCACGCCGGTCGGATGTGCTCTCTTCCCGCAGCTCACGCCCGTTTCATTCGACCAAATCGAACCGGAGCTCGCCCAAAAACTCAAGAACTTGCCGAACCCGCCAAAACAACTCTATTGCAACAAAGGATTGTAAACAGAAAGTGGATGGATTCTATTGTCTTGTCAGATTTAATTATTTTTGCATTTATTCGGTTTCTTCAAACATTTGCGCGTACGTGTGTTTTATATTTAACTAAATTCGTTCTTGTCACATGCTCCTTGATGTGCAATTAATGAAACGGATATTTAACATGAGTGGACGCCCTCTCCTTTTCAGAGCACTGAGAAGAAAAATAATTCAGCGGAAAGTAGCAGTTTTCACTCTGGAATGCACATGAATGGTGGCTAATTAAAGTGATGTCTCCTTCTCTCCTTCGAAATTGGCACAATTCCCTATGCCACATCATTAGTTCGAGCAGTCCCTCTCACTCTACAATTTTCCCCGTCAAGTCATTGGAAATAGCAATGTAGCAGCTGACAAGCTTTTCAGCTGGAATACAGAAAGAAAACTTAATGGTTCCATGTAAAGGGTCAGGTCAAATCGTTGGAGTACAGATAGAGAGAAGTGTCGTTTTGAACGGTTCAGACAACAATGGTAGTTGGTTGGAAGCAAGTCGGACCGGCCGAATCGACGTCGTCCTCGTCCTCCTGCTTCGTGTAGATGGTGTCGAATGTGACCTCCATCTGCAATGAAATAAGGAAACCAATGATCTTTGATGAGTCACTTTTCTTACTCGGATTATTTGTTCGTGTTGAATGCCCATCGAACGGCAAGTGTCGTCGTCGAAGACCTCTTTGTCGTCGAAGAACATGCTGGCAAGGTTTCAATTTCAGTCAAGGCTATGCAGTTATTTTGAAACTCACTCGATTTCGTGCGGGAAGATATTCCGCTTGCAGGCGTACTTCTCTCGGAGCTTCTTCAGCGGCGAGTTCATATGGATGGTGAGAAGAGAGGCTCGGATTACCTTCTGAAACACACATTTTAACTGGAAGTTTGACTTGACTACTGTACCCCTTCGTGGTCAATCTCGTAGGCGTAGACTTTGATATGACTGTCGACGATTGGGAAGCACTTGTTCGGCTTGTAGACAACGATCGGAACCCTCATTTCTTGAAGGAAAATCATGAGATAAGAAAAAATTGGGAAAGGAAAACTAGATAGAGCTTGCGGGAAAAATGAAATGAGAGCAGAAGACGCCGGAAATGAAGCGTGCAACTGTTTCTGTTTCAAATTGAGCCGGAATCAGCGCCTAAGGCCAGCACGCCCGCAGTCTCACGTCTCTTCATGCTCCATATAATCTAATGAGTGGTGGTAAACTGGCCCCAAAAAAGGATGCGGTGCTCGTCTGCGTGTCCAGAACGCGCCGTTCTTTCCAGCGGCGCAGGGACCGCCCCTTGTCGCCGTTAGGGGGCGCCACGAGAGCACCGAATCAATAGAGAACAACGGAGTCGCAGCTCGTGCGGCTCCGACGGCGCGTGCTCGGCAGGAATGGGAAAGGGAGAAGAGAAAAAGAGTGGGAAGCCATTTCTGGAAATGAAAACAAGAGGGAAAGCGAGAGAGAAGAGTCATGTGAGCCCACGACGGCGTTGATTTGTTTTGTGGGAATGTCTGAACAATTGGCGGGTAACACGCAAAAAGGACGTCTTGGAGAGTATAAGAAAAACGCGGTAGTAATATTTCCTGATCGAATTAACCGCCGGAACAAGCTTTTCATTTAAGAGACTTTCGCCGATGTCAGTTTTTCCAGGTTATTTGCAGAACTCGTCCAGTAATTTTGTTTTGGATTTATTTCCCCTCGGGTTTCGAAAGTTTCGGTGTCATGATATTTTTTTCCGGTCCTTAAAGACCCCTTTGAGCTTTGCACGGCTCGGGTCCAAAATTTTCAGAGAATATCCGCCAATACCACTGACTCACGTGAGTCTGTGGCTCAAGAGATCATCCACATTGGTAATTGAGTTTCTGTTATTTTTTTGTTCAAGGAGTCTTTTTTTCTCGGCCTGCTGCAATGAAAGTATTCTTGAGTTTTCACACTTGCAAACCATAAAACTTTGAAAAATTCTTCATAAATCTCAAGGTGCCGGCCAAACTCTGAAAAAAATGAACGTGACATTTATAATTTCTCTGGTTTTTCGAAAACATTCCAAAATTCTCCAAACATCGCCTTCCTTTGCAATATGATACAACCAATCACTTTTCTCCCTTGCCAACGAACTTTGCATTTTCCCTTTTACAAGATAAGAATCTATAAAAGTCTTTTCGTGCTTCAATGTCAATTTGAAGTTCAGATACAGCGGGAATAGTGAGACAAGTCATTTCATTACACAAGACGCCTCTGAAAAAAGAGACAACACACACAAATAGTGTAAACGCGCTCTGTCGCATTGTAGTGCGTTGTCTGGACCTCCGCGAGTCGCCCGCTATTTCTTTCGTATTTCTTGAGCCCTCTTCTTATTTCTGACTAATTTCTACTCACAATTCGTTGTCAGAAGGCAAAAATCACAGCTCAAAAGGTGTCAATCATTTTTATTGACACTTTTATGAATAGGTTCTGCCCATTGTCCCCATTTTCACCTTTTGTGTGAATTTTTGACGCCTTTTTATTACCAATTCGTTTTTTCGAGGGGTTTCGCATAGAAATCAACCGTCTTGGTTTCAGAATGCCAATGACATGATGAAGGAATGGATTTGTGTGCTGCTGTTCCTCCACGTGGGAATAGAAATCACCAACACAGCGCACATACAAGGTATTGCTTTTTGCTGGTGTCCGATGACTATTTTATCGATTTTAGGTTCTTGGAATCCGTCAGAACAGAAGGTGCTCGTTGTCACAAAATTTGGGTATCAACAGACGAAACAGAAAAATGAAAAAGACTCGCGCGGATTCCTTTATGGACATTTTCTTCCACAAGCTGCCTTCAACTATTCAAGTGAGTAAAATTTATAATGAAACAGATAAAAACAAAGATAGTTCAGAGCCGGTTCTTCTTGCCATAGTGTCATCCGAGCACATCAACATCTTCCGCACAAATTCCGACTATGGAATGTCCTGTGGTTCAATGCTCCGTGTATGTCACTCAATTTCCGGATAATTTCAAGCTCAGCTTCGTTTAGAACTTATCAACGAAAGGATTCGAACCGCGATGCTTTCCGAATGGAACCAGCGACGTTTTCCGCTGGATTCCGTGTCCTGATGGTCATCTTTGTAAAGGAGAAGACAATGCGGCCAACGTGATTCCGGGATATCAGATGACAATGCAAATACAAGAGCCATACAATCCTGAGCATTGGTAAGTTGGTGATAGCGAGCAAGGCCACGAAATTGTTGAATTAATTTCAGGTTTGTTTTGTTGATCGCTTGCAATCTGGAGAGCAACTGCGAATGGAAAGACTCGGCACCGAATGTTCCCATCAACTACGACATCTGGCTGACGAACGGAAGACCGAACAGTGCCGCTGTCAGCTTTTTCACATTCAACTTCTCATTTGATGAGCAGGTCAGTCAAACCTTGGCTGACTGATAAAAACATTGCAAATCTATTAACAGAGTACTGTCCAACTGTTCCTCATCACCGTTGTCGCCTACGCAATCTTGTCGATCATCCAATCAGGTGCAAACTTCAAGAATCGTCAAGTGCCACCACGCAGCATGTAAGTAATTTGAGCATTCTGTCCGGGCTCATAATAGTTGGTCTTCAGAATTCTGTCGCGAATCATCACAATGAAGCTGATCGGCTACAGTCTGCAGTGTTTCAACGTGTTGCTGTTCGCGTATGACGGACAAGGATTCTTTTTGGCAAGAATTGCTGGCGAAGTGCTCAGGTGATACATTTTTCCAAATCTTCTTCAGCTTTTTCCAGAGCTGGGCAAAAGGCTGGCCCAGGCTTCTCGAAGTCCTGTCGAGACCTTGACTTTTGGGTCATTTGGAATATTCAGATCGGATCCAAACTGTGCAGGCAGTTCGTACTTGGATTGAAGCTTATTGCATCCAAGATTCAGACCGATTGAATACTCTCATCCCGAGATATGTGGATCAGAGGCCGAAAAGTCCGCAATATTGGCAAGGACGTGGCTTTTTCGGTCAAAAACCAGTGTATCTCCGGACCAGATAGTCCAATCGGTCTGAAACTTGGACCCAAGATACTTCAGTCTAAGTCCAAGAAACCTAAAAATTATGGATCCGATCGGATTTTTGTAAGTGGGTCAGAAGTACACGTCTCGAGAGGCCTTCAAAAATTCTGGCCCATCCCTGGGTTTTTGCAAAAATAATATTTGCAGAAACACGTCCGTGCAAGTTCATTGCCTTCTGCTCATAATGCTCGCGAAAGGATGGGATATTACGTACCCAGGAACCGAGTACCCCCGAAAGTGCCTCATCATGTGGGGCGTGCTCGCGGGCCTCGACACAATTCTCTTCTTCTACAACTGCGTACGTCATCAGAACTTTGTTCACTCAATTTGAAATTGCAAGGCTTCAGACATTTGTATACGACGTCCTTCATGACGTTGACATTTACTCAGCATGGCCGGGACATGGAATGATACTCATCAGAATTATATACGCAATTTGGTTTCTGATTGAGATTCGCAGACTCATCGATAGGTAATGAGAATGGGAGTGAAAGTGAGAGTGGCAACTTTCTTTTCGTTTCAGTGAGCAAAATCGTCAAAAAGCAGAATTTCTGGCACATTTCGGGGCCGGTTTCCTTGTCTGGTTCGTCTCTCTGCCCAGTATCGGAATTGTCGCCTCGTTCGTCTCACAACTCTGGCGATTCTCGCTCATTCTCGGTAACGTTTTGCAGAGAGATACGTTTTTAGATTGACGTATTTCAGCATTGACGACTTTCTCCAACTTTGTCGCGCTCTCCTGCTTGGTTCATCAGTTTTGGCCAAAGTCCTCATACCGAAAGTTTTTTGCGGATTATACCAAGTGAGTACAGACCTTATGACACTATACCAATGATGAGTTTGAATCGTTTAGCGGTCATCGACGGCTCGGAAGAGACGACTCTCACGAGCTCAGTGACTACGACAACTTTCTGTTCTACGACAATGATGACTCTGACTCCGATGCCGATTTTCCCGACTGTGAGGACATCATTCGAACTCAGATCTAGCAACTCCGTCACCACAAGATTCTCGCCTCTCTCTAGGTCTTTTTCCTTACTTTCTTGTATATTTTGCTTTCTCTTTCAGCCATGTATCATTTTCTGGTAACATATCCAACTTGTATCTGAAAATGACCAACCTTCCATTCTGATAGTACAACTATCGCTGCTTCGCTTCTTCGAAACCTAGGACTCTGTCGTAGCGTTTTCTGCTTTTGTATAAGTGATTGACTTTACATCCTGTGCTTCACGGGATCCCAATGAAAAATAAACCAACATGCCATCACAGTCGAATTAATAAATTTTGTGAATCAACAGACTACTATCCTTTTGCTTTGCTCATTAACAAATCGGGATAGGATATACGCTTCAAAAGGTAATCCGTGTGCCCCCCGAAGGACTGTATGCACCCCCAGCACCAGCAGATGTTTCAATACAAGCAGGTATAATTGACAGTGACATGGCTGACCATACAGAAGGGCAGGCGGCAACCTATTTACCTGGCGCGCCGGTTCGAACAGCTGGCTCTGCGCATTCGTCCGAGCAGCTCTCTCTTAATTGACATGACACAATTCGCATTCCCTTCTGTGGAGTCGTGCTTGGCCCCCGTCATTTTTCTGCAATGAAAACGAAAATTTCTTTGCCATCTTCATCCAACCGTACCTTTATAATTCGTTCAAAAAGTGTCCCATGTCGTGTACTTTTCTAAACATTTTCACTTAATTACACGTTTCGAACAAGTCTGGAAACACACACGAATCCATTTTGATACCGTCCGAAAAAAGTTCTCGCTTCGCTGCCCTTCTGTTTCCACGGATCGTGTTTCCATTAGGCTTCTCCTGCAACCATCCGATGGCAGCAGGTAACTTTTAGCAGGAAGAAAGGGAAATGTACAAATAAAGTGGTGATGGTTTTTTATTTTCTATTTCCTATTTCTTATTGCCCAATGATGTCCATCTAGTTGTTTTTCAGCCCAATTATCGCCTGGAAGTTCTAGAAATGTAATTTTGATTCAGGACAGACCTGAAGTTTGTATTTTGAATTCTGGGAATCATTCGGTGTCACTGTCACCCCAATTCCCATGAACTTGACATATTTCTTTTTGTAGCGATCGCTCACAAAAAGTCCTTTCTCCCTTGCGAATTCATAACACACTCCCATTCCCCGCGCGTGTGCCAATAAGTCAAGTGAGTGTGCGCATGCGCTAAAAACCGTATGCAGCAATTTGTTAGCGCTCATAACCTTTCTTTGTCGTGCCCATTTTCGTAGAAGTTTCGGCCACGGAAAGGGTCACTCACTTTGAACTTAATGACACCACACTCCCGTCGTCGCCTCTTCACCTTTTCCGCTCTCGGCGCAAGATTCGCCCTCTTTTCGATTACATAATTGGAACACACTGAAATTCAAGCCTCTTTTCCGCATGTTGTAGTATATATTCTGTTCCTGTATTGTTACTTCTCGCTCACAATGCCACTTCAACCCGGCCGGTGTCAACAGGGGACAAAGCGGTTAGCTTGACTTGTAATTGACACCATCTATGTACAGGCAAGGTCCGTCCCCCCTCTTAAGCGGGTACCGCCTTCCGGTTTACACTACTCAAAAACCAACAGATTTGAGGAGTTCGGGTCATAACTTGACCGATTCCGACCGTTCCGTGTTCCTTCTAATCCACGTTGTAAAACCATTTCCGTCTCTAATCCCTTACTACCGAACCTTTTGTCTCGAGCCATAGTAACAATGGCCCACGAACATATTGAGACCTTCACGCCTTACCTTGTCTTCTCGCCAACACTACCAATTTTACCGCCATTTCTTCCTCTAATTAGCCGTGAACACGTTCAGCCTTGTTGATCCGACGGCATTTCGGATATTCCGCCGACTCTTTTATACTTCCATTATACTCACTTTTTTTGCAAAACTTCTTTTCAGAACCCGATGATCACCCGCTTTGAAATCGTATTCTTCCTGGTAAGTATGTGTCTTTTTTTAATGTCAAATAAGGTTATGCGTTTCTCTAATTACTACCGTCCATCATTGCGTAACCGTCAATTTTTCGACCTCTAGTCAGTTCGATTTGATTCTCAGCTGTGAAATGTGGAAAATGAAATCCAGCCAGCGTTTCGTTTTGCAGCTGTTCGGATATACGGTTGCCATACAGGACGACAATGAACTCATAGGTCAACCGGAAATCCAATGCAATGCGGACACCATCGACATGCAATTCCGGACTCGAAAACAGTTCAACGGTTTTTGAAATGGGAAGTTGTCATCCATGAACAGCGGAGATTCTTTCAGGAAAAGTTTATGTGAAAGGGAGTTATAATCGACCGGAATGTCGAGTGGACTACAGTACGAAAGATCAATTCGGCAGGCCTGTCGGAGGCATCAAACTGAATCATGGTGCATGTAATATGGACAGACAACGGATGGTAAGAAAGAAAGGGAAAAAATTGACAAACTTGAGGAAAATTTTACAGATTGCGCCGGAAGGAATGATGTTCTCTACAGTCCTGATTATCAGTTTTCATCCACTTTTCCTCACCAGAATGGACAAAGCTTACCATATCAGATGCATGTACAAGGAAGCAGCCAGAACAGTCACAGCAGCCATCGATGTCAGGTGAGAGTATGAATGTGAAAGACTAAAATCTAGGATAGACAGTACAAACTAGTTAGCACAACTTGATTACTTTATAAATACCATAAACCTTTGCGCAGCCTAACGCAAACCGTCATAATTTTGTTGTTTTGCCATACATTGTGATGAAATCTGGTTGGTTTCTAGTTCTTTTTACTGTTTACAGGTGAAATTACAGTTTTGCATCAAACGTGCTTACTTATTGTTTTCAGTAACCTTCCAACCGAGGCAGTTCAAGCTGACCTGCCCATGCCAACATGTAGCTACACAATCCGGAGAGATCAGCTCGATGGTCCCATTTTGAAGTACGCGAAGGTCGGCGATCAAGTCGTACACAGATGGCAATGCGATTCAGGTAAATTGAATTCGATTTCATCATCAAAAGGGTTTTTCTTCAGAAGATTACGGGTTGCTGGTTCACAGTTGTTATGTCGAAGACGGTCAAGGAGAGAAACAAATGATAATTGATGAGAGAGGGTGAGAGAGAGAGAGAGAAAGAGAGAAGAAACAAAGATCAAACAACTTTTAGCTGTCATACCGATCGACTTCTTCTTGGCGATCCAACCTATGTGGAAGCTCTAAACATGGCATATCGAGAATCGTTCGTTTTCAAGTTCGCTGACAGAATCGCGGTTAGATTCCAATGTGAAATCCGTCTTTGTCTCAAAGATGACGGTGGATGTGATGGCATAACGGTATAGAGAAACAAAGGAAAAATAAAATAAACGAAGCGTTTTCAGCCACCAATGTGCTCCTTTAAGGATACGAACAATATCGAAAAACCAATTGTAAGGCATTTGAACTTGTACCCGTGCTAAATACATCATTCTTGCAGGTAAAACGTAGCGCGAAAACTTTCAAACCAAAGGACGCCGACATGTATTCGCAAACTGTCTATGTGATGGACAAAGACAACGAAGACACCTCCTCTTCTGCCCATCCGGCAGAGCTCAGGGAGTTGGATCCTCAGTCGATTTGCATTGCGCCCAAGGTCCTGGTGGCTGGGGTCATATTCTTCACTTTAATAGCTGTGCTTTTTGTTACTACAATGCTTGTTATAGTTTATCATCGTTTTTGCAAAACTGAGATCAAGAATGTAGTCCGTGATTACTACTGATCGGTGTATGGAATTCTTCTTCTTCTTCGTTTTTCACTCTTTCGGGTTCTGACGTTTCTTGTACTTACTATCTCTAGGTACGAATTCTTTCCTCTTTTCCTTTCTGTCTTTTGACTTGTGATGATCAATGAACATTTTTCATGGTGAAGTGATTATACAGAAATAAAAGAAAATGATATTCAAAGGAAGACGATGAAGTCAACAAAGATCTTTACTTTCCGTATGGTCGCACATAGCTGTTTGTCGGTTGCGCGTAGGAGTTATACGGCTTGACAACTGGCTCTGGCACCGGTTCGGCAACTGGCTCAGGTACAGGTTCTGGAGCTGGTACTGGTTCTGGGACTGGCTCTGGCACTGGCTCCGCAACTGGCTCCGGTACTGGCTCTGGTTGTGGTGGCGGCGGCGGTGGCGGTGGTGGTGGAGCTCCGTATCCGGATGGTCTTCCGTATCCACCTCCTCCTCCTCCTCCTCCGTATGGTCTGTTGTAGCTGTTGTCGAATGGTTGTGGTCCGTTGTTGTAGTTGTTTCCTAAAATTTCTTGAAGTTCAGACTCTGATGATGAAATAGTGTTCATTTACCGAATCCATTATTGTAATTGTTGAATCCACCTCCGTTGCTGAAACCCTCATTGTACCCGCTTCCATATTGGTTCGGTCTTCCGTATCCGCCGGCTCCGTAGGCCTGAGCGCCATATCCACCACTGAAAGAGAACTCGGATGATGACCTCGGGCTCATAATATTGTTAGACTCACCAATAAGCAACTCCGACCAAAGCGGCCACTCCGAGAAGGACAGTTGTTCGCATTTTGAACTAGATCAAGGAAGTACTAACTTTCAAGATGGCAATGACCCTTTTAAATACTTGGTTATCATCACTGATTGATCCCGCCCATCTCGACCCGCGAACGATATCAATGCGGGGGAGGGAAGTGGCCGTATCAGCGGTTTTTCATCTTCTCTCCGAATTGAATTGTAACAGTACGTCGTCCAGTGACCGAGAGATTTATTCGCTTAATAGAAACCGCGTATAGAAAAGATGGGGGTTTTTCAAATAGGTGTTTCGGCTAAGACAATGCGACTGAGTCATATAAATGCATTGCTTGAAGGTAGTTTTAAGTAAAGATCTGGGCATATACGAAGGTCAGTAGTGGGAAAAATTCACAGGAGAAAAAAAAATAAACTAAGAGAACGCCAGTGTCTGTTTATTGGTCGAGATGTTTGGGGGAAGAGTTGGTCATCACGAGGCAGCAGATTGACAGAACTTCGCAATCAGTTCGGTTGGGAACGGGAAGATGATTGTGTTATTCTTCTCCGAACTGAAAACAAAAATTGTTGGAATCGGAAAAAGTTCTGTTCAAGTTTTACCTTATGCTATTCAATGTTTGAAGATATCTGAGTTGAATGGCGCATGGCGATTGTGCAATCTGAAAACAGAAAAGAAAATTCAAGACGCATCCCCGAATGATTAACGCGTACCACATCGGCGGCATCGGCCAATGCCCTGGACGCGAGCTGCTCTCCCTCGGCAGCGATTATCTGCAAACAAATAATTTTAAAGTGACACTTATTGTCATAGGATACTTTTGCGCCGGCGGCTCTCGCTGCTTCGGCCTCAGCGGCCATCGCTCTCTGAAGTTGTATTGGAAGACGAACATCTTTGATCTCAACCCTCTCGACCTGGAAAACAATAATTGTTTTCGAATTGTGAGGATAATCTCACTTTTACGCCCCACGGATCAGTGGCTTCATCAAGCGCGGCTTGCATTTGCATAGAAATGGCATCTCTTGAGGATAGCATCTCAGCCAACGTCCGAGTTCCCAAAAAGTTACGCAATGTGGTTTGAGCGAGTAGTTTGGTAGATCTGGCTGCATCTTCCACGTTGATAACCTAAGCAAAATCATCGATAAGATACACTTGTTTAGAGGATGCAAAAAAGTTTCGCTCCCGGGTGGGCTCGAACCACCAACCTTTCGGTTAACAGCCGAACGCGCTGCCTATTGCGCCACGGAAGCACGTGAGAGGGGTGCCCAGTTGGTCAGAGATAAACAGAGAGGGAGCGCGGCAGAGAAAGAGGACTGCGGCGTGGTCGCCCAACAAACCGATGAAGGGGAGACGAGCGCAAAAGTATATAGTTGCGTGAAAAAAGAAGGAAAAGAGCGAAGGAGCAGGACCGAGGAAATTTAATGGAATTGTGAGATGAAATGGTTGGATTGAATACTCATTTTTTTTAGATGGAATACCCAAAAAAAGAGGAGAGACAGACGACTCACCGAGACGGTGGCATTGGATATCCTGAAGTATATTACAGCATCCACCGAAACAGTTACCGAATCTTTCGAGAGAATCTGAAAATTATGAAAATTACACGTGAACGTTCCAACGTTTTTCATACTTCCTGGGGAGGAACATCGAATGACACAACACGAAGATCGATTTTCTTGAACGATTCTATGCATGGAATAATGAAGAATATGCCGGGTCCTCTTGCTCCGCCGTGTTTCAGACGACCCAAACGAAATATAACTGCACGCTCATACTCTTGAACTACCTGAAGCGTTTTCTTAATTTACAGCTACTTACTGAGATTCAAACTTACCTTAAGGCAAAAAAATGCGGAGAGGGGCAAAGTGAAGAGAACGATGAGATAACTGATAACCGTAATAATCCATCCACAAGCAGTGTAATGAACTTTCTGGTGAGCTGCAAACCGAATCAATTTCTCTTTCTCTTTTTCTTTTTTTCCCCGGACATATTCCCATTTTCGCTATTTTCCTTCGCCTACGATTTGTCTACCCGACACAAGAGCACGACATCCATCTTTTCTCGCCGGGCAAACACTAACATTTGGGAACGGCTCTATCTAACATAATTACGAATTTGCGACGACGACGAGAATTCTGGAGCACACAACATTTGGCGGTTTGTCGCTCGCCAGGCACGACCAATTAACAGGCCATTCTTGAATAGCTAGCTGCTGACGTTGAACGAATACTTGTTTTTGACACCGAAATGTATATTTTTCGAACGAAACGACAGACGACGACGACGTCTCGAGACGAGAGAAAAGAAAATGGGATGAAGGGTGGATGGAAATCACCGAATGCACTTCTGTTTCTGACAATTTGACGCATGCAGAAAAAATAACAAAGCAATGCGCATTTCCGGCAATTACTTACGATCAACAATACGGGAAAGCGGAGCTCGGACGGTGCCTTGACGGTGCATGTCGTTTTAACGGCACTCAGAGCTGACAATCAATCGACTGCATTTTTGAACAGCTGAAATTCTTTGATTTTTGAACAAAATAATACAAACAAGTTGAGCAAACGGGGGGCTGTCATAGAAAAAACTGATGAAAGAAGCCTCAGAACTAGTATGAAAACACTTTGTGATGGCTGGCTGGCCCCGAAAAAAAGGCGAGGAGCCGGAGAAGGCGCAAGATGGACTGGGAGAGGCAGAAGGTGTGCGGATATTTGCGAGGAGCCGCCGCGAGTGCCAAGAGCGAGAAAGAGAGAGAGAGAGAGAGAGAGAGAGAGAGAGAGAGAGAAAGAGGAAGAGCGAAGGACCTTTTGGATATAATTAGAGCTAACATGAAAAAAGGAGAAGGGTGGCCCCCTCATGACTTTGCCTTCTCTCCCAGTTTTGTTTGTGTGTTTGTTGCTATTGAGCAATGCGCAGTAGGCGAGAGTTTGACTTTCACCATCCAGACGCAGATGTTAGAAGAGGAGAAAGTAATTGATGATGAGACCGATGACCGCGAGAGAGAGAGAGAGAGAGAGAGAGAGAGAGAGGGAGAGAGAGGGACGAATAAAATCTGGGTGTAAAGTGCATGATTGAAATGAGAGAGTGGGGCTCTCCGAGTATTCTCATTGTATATTAATAGTTCATATAAAATTCTTTTTTCACACCCCACCACCGTCATTCTCTCCTTCTCGTTTTCTATTCCGGCGGAGATACACGGCCGGGCCGGGTCTTTCAAAACACAAATTCTGCCCCAAAATGTTTTTTCGAAAATTGTGACTTTTTGTAATTTTGAATTGCGTTTGCTAGTTTCGATGGTTCTGAGTGAAAAATGTAAGCAAATTTTTAAAAATTGACCAACAGGGCCTTGCCAATTTTTGACAACTTTGCTTATAACATGATGAAAAGCACAAAATGAAAGGCTCAAAAAGTTGGAACATAGACGAGAAAACGGGATGAAGAAGCGAATGGTGGTCGTAGAAAAGAGGGTGGTTCTCGATTCGAAATCTCAAAGGGAAAATTGTGTCTATTTATTGCGATTTCACTCGTTTACCACATCAAATTGAGCGAGCGCAAGCGCGAGAAGCTGCCACACTTCTCCAAATGGATCTCTGCGCGAATTTATTTCGCCGATTACTCGAACTGACCAAACGGAATGTAGCACGTAGTTGAGTGAGTCGCCGGGCGCTGTCAGTCACAATGTGCGGGCGGTTGAAAGAGGCTCAAATAGAATTTGAAGGGGGAGAAGGAGTGAAAGAGGCAAAAAGCACCAGTATTATCTTTTTTGTGAACTGAATACGGATGCCGAAACGAGAGGCTGTCCGCTTGCATGCGTGTGACGGAAGACGCGCGCAAGAATTTGATTCTTGCCTCCTAGAGCACATGTGCATTCGAATTCTAACTCGACAAAACTCATTCATAAAATTGCCGCCTTGCCGCCGCCGGGTTTCTTTTCCATTGCATGGCAGAATGTGTGACACTTGATATTTGGAACTTGGCCCCTTTTGTTTCCTCGCTTTTCCCTTCTATCTGTTTTGTTTTTCAGCAGTTTTTTTTTCCATTCACGGAAAAAACATGCTGTCACTCACGCGAAGCACAGAAACTTGTTCGAATCTGTAATCGCAAAGTTACATGAACATTGACAAACTCGGGTATCCCTTCGAAATAACGGACCAAACGTGTTTTTCAATTTCAACCACCGGAGCTTTTTGGAGAGAAAAGAGTGAAAAATTGCGTCCCGGAGGCGTGAGTGAAAGAATTCTTTCGCGCGACAGGAATAAAAGTGCGGTAAATTGAATTGCATTTTTTGCGCACTTCACCGCCGCAACTCGTAAAACTTCAATACATCAAGCAACCGAAAGCAATAAAGTAAGAGAGTGCGAGCGATGGAAAAGAGAATATATTTTCTGTCACATAAACATTTGATGTGACGAAGTACTTCTCAGAGGGGAAAGTGGGAGAGAAAGAGAGAGAAATGAGCCATTCCGTGGATTGCTCCGTCAATCAGATCTCTCTTTCTTCTTCTCCAAAAATGTCAGAAGATCGCGCCGCGCCACTTTTCCTTCTTCATCATCTTTAATCGGTTTCCCGCGCTGCGCCGCAAAAAGTAAAAGCTCAGGTCACATTAGAAAGATTAACTTGACGGGGCAATCCAGAAAAACACGGGCACAATGAGACGCTTGTAAAAAAAAATAAAAATGGAAGGAAAGGGGATTAGGATTCAGCACACATTTGGTCTTTACAATCAGGAGGGTGACGCACGAACACAAGTGGGTTTCGAGAGAAGAAGCGGCCGCAACGAATCGGTTTTTGAAATGAGAGACAGAACGTTAGAAGGTGGTCCTAGAGACATCATAAGACGGCCAGTACTTGATGAGGTTATGTGCTCTCCGATGAGCGTTACGGACAAGAGAAGGCAATAGGCAAAATGTAAATTTCTTTAATTGGATTGTCCAGGCGAGCAGAAGAAGAAACGGACAGAAAAGGGAGAAGTGAGTGGGGAAGAACAACAAGAATCAAGGGCAATTTGTGAAGGGACCAAGGAAAGAGCAAACGTGGGCGGATTGGAAAAGTTATATGAGCACATTGGAAAAATATTGATAATGCACAGAAAAAAACGGCAAGTCAAGTGACACAAGTTCAAGAAATAAGTGTTGACAGCTCGTGAAAAATGATATGAAAAGAGATTGTCTTGCTATTTCACACCTTGTGTAAGAAAAATCTGAGAAGATACGCGGCGTTTTAGTTTCGAAACGCGAGAAGTTGACGGCTTTGTGTGTGTGCCCCGACACCGCCACCAAAATGATTTCTTTTTCAGAAGCAAACGACGTCACGACGATGGCAGAGAAGCAGTAAATAAGCACGTTCTCAGATGTTTATCGTGGTCCGCCTGTCTAACCAAAAAAATACTTGGCCACATGAATTTTCGGGCTGAACGACGACGACAAGCTCGGAATGCCTGATTCTGGGCGACGAAGGCGGCAGCTGGCAGGCGTCGAATTGAATTTTCAATTAATCAACAAACAAACCGAATGAGAGCCATCCAGCCGGAGGAACTACTATCAACGTTAGCACGGATTTCTGTAAAGGAGCATAACACATGCTCTTAAATCGATATTCGCTGGGAATAATTTTATGTAATCTAGGCAAAAAGAACCGGGATAGAATAGTGGGGGGAAGGAGGGACGACTGAATACATTCGCACAAAGAGTTTTGACAGGAAGGAAGTAATAAGATTGACACATTCATTGAAGAAGATGGCGTGTAAGCGCTTCAGAGTTTCATATTTAGCTGTACTTCAGAGCACTTATTCTGAAAAGAATATTGGGAAGGTTAACACGACAATGCCGGAGCTTTTCACCTATTCATCACGTTCTTCTTCTTGCCTTTTATGAATCTCGACATCATTTCCATCGGGAATGGGAACACGATTGTGTTGTTTTTCTCGGAACTGAAAGAAATGTGTGTTTTCTGTCACGAGCTATGCTGAATTAGTTACCTAATGCTATTTAGAGTTTGTAAATACCGCAATTGAATCGCACAGGGTGAAGTCGAGATCTGAAAGGGATAACCATGATTCGATTCTGTGATTTTGTCCTTTTCATACCACATCAGCCGCCTCAGCCAGTGCTCTTGACGCGTTTTGCTCTCCTTCAGCAGCAATTATCTGGAAGACGTGTTCCGGCATTTTGTGTGAAAACTATACGATCATGCCAACTTTAGCCATTGCATCCCTGGTCGCTTCTGCTTCAGCGGCCATTACTCGTTGCAATTGGTACGGCAGTCGAACATCCTTCATTTCAACGCGTTCCACTTTCACACCCCAAGGGATTGTGGTTTCGTCGAGCGTGGCCTATAAGATTGATGTTTTTTTCTTGTAGGGGCTTGGGGAGACGTTAGTGTCGGTGTTAGAGACGGACCTGCATTTGGAGAGATATCACATCTCTGTCGGAGAGCATTTCTGTCAGCGTTTTTGTACCGAGGATGTTTCTGAGAGTGGTTTGAGCGAGCAGTTTTGTGGATCTGGCGGCGTCTTCAATGTTGATGACCTGAACAATGTAGAGGTCCAAAAATGAGAAATTTTCGATACTCCAGGGAAAAACTGTCAGAAAAAAAAACGGCATTTGTCAAAAAGGAGCCATGAGAAATATTTGAATCTCGAGATTTGCACTCACCGAGATAGTTGCGTTTGAAATTCGAAAAAATACGACAGCATCGACAGCGACCGTCACTGCATCCTTCGATAGTAATTCTTGTGGGGGAACTTCAAATGAAAGTGTACGGAGGTCAATTTTCTTGTACGAATCTATGCAGGGAACTACAAAGAACAAACCGGGACCACGGGCCCCTCCCGGCTTCACCCGTCCTAGCCGGAATATCACAGCTCGCTCATATTCTTGTGCAACCTGCAAGTAATCTCGTCGAAACGAATGCGAAATTCATGACATGGGAAACCTTTACACATAGAAATATCGATACTGGCAGTGTGAGAACTGCGAGGACATACGAGAAGATAGTGAGTATCCAACCGCACACCGTGAAGTCCACTTTTTCAGACACTGCAACAAGAAGGTTTTGTTTCCGAGAAAAATATGGAAAACTTTACTTACACTCCATGAATCTGGGAGCCGTGCGGCCTCTTGTCGGTTTACGAGGTTGTGGTTGGTTAGGCATGTTCTTCAGCTGGAAACGGGCGTTTTTTGACGAGATAAATCTTCCGAGACAAGAAAATCGGAGAAGGTCATTGAAAGAACAAGCACGACATTTATCCTTTTCTCTTTCTCTCGACACCAAACTCTTTTGGCTGGCTGACTGACAGATTCTGTTGAATGACTTCAAATTCAAACGACGGAAATGCAGGGCGAAAAATGAGATGAGTGAGAGATAAGCGCAAGTTGAAGAGGATCTTCCCAGTGGTGCAACAAACAATTGCGTTGGAGGAGAGAAGACAAAACTGGCAAAAAAGAGTACTTGAAAAGAATTTCGTCTATTTATGTAATTGCAATTCGCACGTTTGCCCACTCGTTTTGCGGACCTATTCATTCAAAATCGATGCGGATGAGGGCAAAATTCTCATTAAAGAGTTGAAGGCCAATCCGTTCTCATCAGAACATCTGGGAACATTCCGATACGCATGTCACTCCACTCAATTCTATTCCACTCAAAGAAGAGCGCGGCAAGTCTTTTTTCTGCGGTGAAAAAGCATGATGCATAAGGAATGATTACCATAAAGTGTTGAAGGTCACGTTTTGGAGTGGGAAGACAATTACGAGCATCACAGAATGTTTGAATGAGACAAAAGGAAACCAGAAAGGCGAGAAGAAGAAGAAGAAGTTGGGGAAGCAAGTTTTGAAAGAAACAAGAGCTATGTGCATAAAAAGTTCAAAAATGCTCATGGTGAGCAACTGCTATCAGCGCATCAGGGACCATGGAGAGAGAATGGGGGGAGAAGAGTGGGCATGCGTCGACTTCCGATGCGCGGGTGCTTTCTGCAAATTCCTAAGGGAGCCACGTTTCACAGCTCCAACCATGGCTCTTTTATCTTTACGGCCCTCCCGTTTCAGCTTATTGACATAACATACACATAAAAGCGCACAAAAACTAGGCAGACGTATGTCAGGGTATGGAATGTAAAGCTCATCCAGCGACAATGAAATAGAGACACACAGAGCACATACACATACAGAATCGAACGGAAACAAAGCGGAGATCTAATTATGCTCTTGACGTGTGAAAGAGTGCTCGAGAGCAGAAAAAGCGAGACAGAATAACTGTTTTTCGATAAAAGTCCGTCGCACTCGGCACACTGCGTATCTTGCCCGCGGATGCGAAATACATTTCCGAAACGGAGGACGGACAGTGAAATTCGATAGTTGCCGCCACAATTCTGAAATTGAAATGCTCGCGGGCGGCAGAGGTCGGGTGGCGTGGCGGATGCGGCTCGAGCACGAGTAATTTGGAGTTAGAAACAGAATGCAACAATGAAACAGTGGAAATTAGAAGAGAAGATGGAATAAGATAGGGGCTCCGGTTGTTGTCGTCGCTCGAGTCAGTTGCATTTCAATTGACAGCCAAGTTTGGATGAAAATGGAGAAAAGGGAAGTGATTCGGATTTGGATTGGACACGTTTTTCCTGAATTTCATTCTCATCCGATTACCTCGAAAATTTTCTGTTCTTTGTCCCCTTTGGAATGTGTTTTTTTCATAAACTGACATGTGCAACACGATATTATTAACATTAACATATTTCATTGAGCAGATTCCAATCCAATCGAATCAACGATTATCTTTCTCTCTCTTTCTTTCCCTGTCAACAGCAACTGTGTGATAAACGCGTTCATAAAAGAACTTCTGTTCCTTTTCTCTTTTCTTTGCAGTCCGTAACGACTTTTGAGACATTCACTTTTTATGAGATGAGAACTTTTCCTATTCTAGTGCTCACGGTATTTCTGGTCGTTTTTGAGGTAATGTTTGTATTGGATATCAGTTTCAGCTCTGATTTCAGCCAGGGCAGACGGCTGGCCAGGTAGACCGATGTGAGTTATGCATGACAGTCCTTCGGTCGGTGTACGGACATTTTGGGAAAAATGTCAAAAGCAAACGAATGTTGGCCAACCGGCTGGAACACACTTGCAAGAGATATCCTCATGTGAGATGGGGGACTTACAATGAGGAGTTGGATACTATTTTCTAAGAGACATCCAATTTTCATTTCAGTCATTTGAAAGCATTTGGAAGACATGAACCGGTGTAAAAATTTCAGAAAAATGTCTTTATTTTGCATTGATTTATAAATGAACTTTAACATGCTTTAACAGTATATTTTAGTACCGTCGAACCTGTCTCCAAATGACCTCGGATCACCATCTTAAGATTTATGAAGATCTGAAACCGGACAAATACGATCCGAAAAGAACGTGCATTGACGTGCAGGTGAGTGATAGTTTCCGAATGTAAACCAGATGTGCTTTGTGGTTGGTCGCAAGATTGAAAGTTTCAGGAATGCGTCCAGGATATCTCCACTGCTCCTTCAACTCTTGCTACTAACTCCGTTGAAGAACTTACTTCATCAATCAAAAACGTAACCACTGAACCAATACCGGATGATAATTCAGTCTGAAAATCGCAGTGATACTTCTTAGCTCGCCTTCAGCTTTATTCTTTTTCTGCTTCTTTTTCGTTTCTTTCATTTTGTCTTGTCATAACGCTCCCCACATATTCCACTTGAATGTGTACAGATAGAAAGAGATGAGTCGCCCAATAATAAAAATGAAAGCCTTCTAAATATAATTATCAAAATAGAGCACAATTCTAGGGCTCGGAGCTTGCCACCAGCCACCCCGGATTGAGAATTTCTCCCATTCTCTCTAATGTTTTTCGTTGAGCACGTGATCATAGGATTCAAAATGTTGCGCTTATTCACTAGACTTCAAAATGTAAACATTCTTGTTTCATTTTTTGCAAACGTTTGCTTTTTCTTCCATTCAGCGCCCAGCTCTTTGACCTAACTCTCCATACACTTCACAAGATTACAGATATACCGCCAGGTAAGAAAAAGCAAGTGTCTTTTTCGGTGACCAATGGGAAAGATTGTCCACCGGCAGTTGTTGTTGTAGACACTTCAGAAATGAATGGTCCCGCACAACTCAGTTATCCCTTTGTACGCCGAAGAGATACGATTGTCGACGAGAATGCGATGCAGGTTGTGTTGGTGGTGTGTCTGAAATTGCATGGAAAATCCTATTTCTTCAGCATCTTCTTTTGCACGAAAGCATTTGGAGTCATGCGTTCCGAAAGCGACGGAGAAGGGGATCCAATGAGAACCGACCATCAAAATTGAAACAGTTTGTAGCTCTTTTACAAGTCGGTGATCCATTCCAGTATCATACAAACTCTTTACATTTTAAGATTATCTACGACAAATCTCGTGTACATTACATAGTTCCAATTATCTTGCTCATTGCCTATTCAGTCTTAGGAGGCCTCATATTTTGGTCGATAGAACGGCCGAATGAAGAGATAATGTTAGCTGAGAAGGTGTTTTGAGTGGTTTTATGTTGCAGTTTTCATCGAAACGGTTCCAGAGAAACTATATAGCCGCACTGACAGATGACTTGGTGGAAGTGTTAATGCAGATTCACAACCGGTTGATAGACTTCAACAGGGCCTATGGAAACAATACGTACTTGTTGATGATCCATTATCGAGGATATCGAAAGTTTGCGTTGAATCAAATTCACAAGGTAGTGTAGTTTGCTGCAAATCTTGTAAAAAGGAATAGAACTTGCAGAGCGTGTACTGGTACACATTATCAACGTTCTATCTAACTGAGCATGAAATGCACAAAGTTGTTGCTCTGCGCCCGCGGAATCCCGAGCAGTTGTGGAAAAGACACTTTGAGAGCAACTTTGGGAGGATTCGGGCGCTGAAAAACTACACTGAACAAGTATCAAAAACTGAAATCAGACTAAATGTTTTAAACTTTTCAGTTGTGTCTTCGATGCTGGGAACTAGGTGTTGAAGGAGCAAATCACGGATGGTCTAGGTACAATTATAGTTTGATGGTACGTTTGAACACAGTTTCAGATAAAACATAATAGTTTCAATTAAGGTTAACCAGAGTGTTGAAGAGTATAATAACTCGGTCGGACTTGGTCACGTATTAACGCCTGTTTGGACTTTTTGGAATGCCATGTTCCTCGCCGGTTTCGACGAATCTCCTTGTTCACCAACTAACTCATTTTTTTCAGTGACCACGTACACCACAATCGGATACGGAAACATCACCGCAAAAACAAAACTTGGCAAGCTCGCCGCAATGTTCTATGCGGTGGTGGGGATTCCGTTGGTCCTCATGATTCTTCATAAATCAGGTCGAATATTTTTGATGGGATTGGAGCACATGTGGGATTTCATCTTAAGGTGCGTGGGCGTTTCTTCCCTCTTGATTCGATTCTTGTTGTTCAGAATTGCCGACAATTGTTTGGGCTCTGGGACGAAACGGGTACGAGTTGCTGGTGAGGATAGGATTAATGAAATGCCACTTATTTTGGCAATAGGTACTGAAAATGAACAAATTGGAGGTACCACAAGTTTCTGTTCAGGTGTTGCATTTGGCTGGATGTTCTTGTGTGCAGCGATCTTTCTTAGATTTGAAAAAGATTGGGATTACTTTAAGAGTTTTTATTTCTTTTTTTGTTCGCTAACGACTATTGGATACGGTTTGTGATTTTGACTTTGCCAAGAAATCATTAGAAAAGTGATTAAGGTGACGTGACACCCACTAACAGTGAGGATATGTTCATCATTTTCGGACTCATCATCATAGGTCTTTCATTGGTTTCAATGTGTATCAATGTTATTCAACTAAAGTTGGAAAAACTTTTTGAGGTGAATCTTTCATTGTGTGACTCTTCAATGTCTTGAATTCCAGGAACTTCTTCTTACTTTGATGGAAGAGTACAATGCAGATCCAGAAGGAACTCATCTGAAGGCGGGCACCATTGGTGAGCGAGTGTACATAAAGAAGACTGATGCGTGTTGGTTTTTTTCTAGGAATGCGGGAAATGTGGAGAGCATGGAAGAAAAGGAAAGGAAAACTGGGCGATGGGCTCGGAAAAGCGAAAAGCGCACGAAGCGCGGCAAACAAAGCGAGCGAGAATTTTGTTAAGGTTTGCGTGAAAAACAGGAACTTGACCCTTCTGTACCCAAACGCAATTTTCTTCAGATGCTACCGTTTTCTCGAAAAAGAGAACGTCAGCACTTGATAGCCGAGCTACAGAAACAGTTACAGCGGAAGGAAAAAAGCACACAGACAGACTTTGGCTATCCAAACTGTGAGGAAGCTTACACAGAGACCAGTGATGTTGACAGCTGTGTTACAGATTTCCGGAACTCGGTCATTTCTGATAAATGTGAATGAAAAAAAAGGTTTGCACACGTAGAATAACCTATCATTTTTCAGCACAAAGTCAGCATTTGCTGCTGATCCCGGATGGGCCTATTTGTGGGCCTTCTCGTTGCGAAAGTCGACCTGTGGTTGCGATGGCAGAAGCTTCTCTGTGCTCTTCGTCATCAGTACATCCTTCTTCGTATCCATCTTCTCATCGTCCAAGTTCCACCATTCCGTCGTCATCGCCTGGATCTCGAGTCTCAGTGCCGTCAGCTGCCAGTTCAGCCAAATCGGCTCCGGCAGCAAGTCCCAGTCGGCAGCCTCCATTCGTTGATTTCGATCCAAATCGGAGATGGACATTCGTAGCGACCAATAGAGTACGTGCTCCTTTCCAACCCACAATTTGGAAATTTCCACGACAACAAGAGAGTCACATGTGTATTCATACATGCTTTCCGTCGTATCTCTTTCTTTGTTGTGTGTCGAAGCCCGTAAAATGTCGGCTGCTCGCAAGTCGACGGGTATATAAGCCAAAGGCAACTTGCTCGGCTTCTGTTCTCACCAGAACATATACGGAATGGGAGCCGGCGGTGTCGGCCAGTCTTTCCTCGCATTCCAATAAGTATTCGAGCAGGACTCGGTAGTTATGCATATATCCCCCTAACATAAAAATAGACAGATGGATGCGAGGTTGACCGGTCAAGGTTCCTCCTAGTTTTGGTTTTGTAAATCATTTTATTTTCAGAATCAACGCGGTTACCCGCGCGGGCTGGTCGTCCCATACATGTACACCAGACCAATGGTTAGTATTTGACAGAGATGCGCTATATAATTTTGATTTTCAGAATTCGGTAGTTCACACGACTGAAATGAGACGACTCATAGCTGAAATCGACGTTCGCCTTCAGGTATGTGTCCTATTTTCAGTAGAAAAAATATTTTTTCTCAGGACTGTCGCTCACTTGCAACACCAGTCAATTCCATCAGAGGAACTGTTTCCGGCAGTTCATTTTCTCGATCTGTCATTTCGGACTCTTCAATTCCAGAAGAATATTGAACTAATCGCTATACATCCATCCTTCAATAACTGTTTTACCTCTTATTATCGTGTCTTTCCGTTTTCTGAGCTTTCGCGTCCATAAAATTTTCGAAAGAAAGCGATTATGAAATCCGGGGAAGTCTGGGTGAGTAACAAACTTTCAGGTGGACGGAGACGACTACTTGGACAGAACAAGTGGGGGTACACCTACAACAAAACCTTATTATTTCATCATCAGCTGTAGCAAAAGTGTTTCCGGCGAATGCAAACCACCAAATATGAAAACAAACTACCCAAACCTTCTAAACGGGCTTCCGCAGTATTTGAAGAACTGCTTCTCTTTTTTGCACTGAAAACGAAACATGTTTCGTGGGTCCATTTAGGTTGTCGCTAGGGTTTCTCTGTTGTAACCAAGCACCTCAGCCCACAAACCACTAAAAACTTTGATGTGTCTGCAGTAATAAAACATTTTCTCATCCCAGAGTTAAACCCTAAAAAGCCGTCTTTTGCTGAACGTGTGTATTCAGCCCGAGGGCAACATTCTGTCTTCACAAGTCCGTCTTTCATCAAATTATTACTTTTTGGCTCTACTTTTGTTTTGTTTCGCTCTTCCTGCAAGCGCACTTTCTTCCTCCAAACTCGTGCCGAAGGCGCCAATCTATTATTGGGGTATAGATTCTTTCCGATGCTTTCCTCTCTATTCTTAATCTATTGTTCCAGCCGAGGCGTGTGAACTATCCATCAAGAAAGGAAAGAAGAAGGGGAAGAAGAAGAAGAAGAAGAAGAAGAGCGACTCGTCGGCGCTGCGAAGGACTTTCATTGAATAAGAATAACACACGTCGTTTTTGGTCCGGTTTAGCTTATGATTGGCAGAGAGTATCAGAAATACTACAATCCCACTCTTTTCGACTTCATCGCGCTGATATGCTCCTGGGCTTTTCTTCTTTTCACTTTTCCCATTTCATTGTTCTTCTGCGTCAAAATTGTCAAAGAATATGATCGTATGGTGAGTCTCAATGTTTCCCTTTTTCTCTTCTTTCTTTTCAAATTCCTTGTTTCAGGTGATTTTCCGACTCGGTCGATTATGGCAGGAGAATCCTAAAGGTCCCGGAATTGTATTAGTTTTGCCTTTTATTGATTCTCATAAAACAGTCGATTTGAGGTAATTTCTTTATGGGTAATACGGGTTTCGGAAGCAATATGGAGCAATTTGTAGAGTTATGTCCTATGATGTGCCTACGCAGGAGATGTTGACAAGAGACAGTGTAACTATTGGAGTCGATGCAGCCGTATATTACAGAACCAGGTTTTTGGCTCGAATTCCTCATGTATAGTGGCAATTTCAGTGATCCCGTTGCAAGTCTTTCCCGTGTACATGATGCACACATGTCAACTCGTCAATTAGCCCAGTCTTCTTTGCGAAACGTGCTGGGAACTCGAACTTTGGCAGAACTCATGACGGACCGACATGGTATTGCCGTGCAAGTAAAATGCATTCTGGACAGTGGTAAGTGGTAATCTCACATTTACACTCAATATCTTCCTATGTTCTTATAGCGACACTGTTTTGGGGTATTCATGTGGAGAGAGTCGAGATTAAAGACATACGTCTTCCGCGAGAAATGTGCAGAGCGATGGCAGCTGAAGCCGAAGCTCAGCGCGAGAGTGACGCAAAAGTGGTGACCGCCCAAGGAGAGCTTGACGTAATTTCCTTTCGCACGAACCAACTCATCTGATAGTCGGATTTCAGGCATCGATGGCGTTTCAAAAAGCGGCCGATGAGCTGGCCGGATCACCGACGGCTTTGCAGTTACGGTATCTTCAGACTCTGGTCAAAATCTCGGCACACGACAATCATACCATAGTGATACCTTTTCCGTTAGAATATCTCAGAAAAAAGTTGAAAGCGAAATGAAGTGTTTTTCGAATATCAAAATGTTTATTCATGATAAACGTGGAAAAATAACTGTAATTTGAAGAGAGATCCCATAAAAAGAGAGAGTGAGGGGGGAAGTGTAAAATATGAACAGAGTAATCTATCTAGACAGAGTGAAAAAATGAAGAACAATTTCAATTACAACAAAAAGGTGTTTGTGGCAGAAAGATTATTTCAATGGAAGTGATAGTTATTATCGTTTCCTAGACGGGGTTGGAAGTGGAAGAGGGCATCATTGGCTGCATCTCGAACGCCTCCTCCTCTGATGACTGATTCTCGAACTCTGGATCCGGAATCAGCAGAAGTTTGTCTCCAGCCAGAGCTTTTCCGATGCTGAGCACTTGTTCGGCGTGCTGAGCAACAAGTTCGCGGTGCCGTTGGCGGATTCTCTTCAGCCTAAACCCCAAAAGTTTGAGTTTTTATTTAAGAAAATGCCTTCTAGTCGTACCTCCTAGTTTCGAAAGCCGATTTGACCACGACAAAGACGAATGAGTTAGTGGCAGAATTCAAAAGAAGGCAGAATTGAGACAAATATACTGGCAAAAAGTGGGACGAATCGGAGCCATAAAACATCTGGAATAAAATATTATGAAGTTCATGCTCAATAACTCTTACCTGGATTGTCGCCCAAGCCGTAGGGAAACAACGCAAAAACAAAAACTTTCCTAAAAGCATAATGGAGATGTACTGAAAGATGAATTTTGACTCATTCAACTCTCAACCGTTTTCAAACCTGCAAACTCTTCGTCTTGTCCTTATCTGCTTGGAAAAGATGGTTTTGTCCTTGAGCAATGAGTATCGACGCACGACTGTTCATGCTTTTTCTCATACTTTTCAGAGTGGATATTGTGAGACAAGTGATGACCAAGAACGGCCCGAACGTCTTGACGATGGAAAGGAAGATTCCGCGGTAGAGCACTTTGTAGAAAATGTTTCGCATCAGAGAAGTCTCCAGCATCTGAAATCTTTCTATTTTTAACTTTAATTCTATTTTCCGCCGTAATAACCTGATACGACTCTTTGCCTTTATACAAACAAGGAGCCAACTCAAATTCTGCATTGCACGGCAGACAAATGAGACAAGCAACGACGGTCATCATTAGCGGAATGCGTATCAACCCTGTCAACTTCTCAGATATACGATTCTCCGCTTCCGATTAGTCACCTCCTACAACCCGCGCATAGCTTTTCCTCCGTTGTTTTCTGTGTGCCTGTGCAAAATGAAACGGCCTGGTAACTGCAAAGAACCTTTCCGCGGTCACTTCGATGAGCATCCATGTCTGGAAACTAAACGTTTAGAAGAAATTTGCGTGGGCGGAGGTGCTACCGATGTAACGTGCCCACATTCCACGAGCCCATTCGAAGCGACCATTTGAGCATCCCAGGGCTCGTCCCGGAGTGAGAAGTAGTGCATTGTCGCCCACAACGAATGATGCCATAGGGCACCGATCAAAAGGACCTGAAAACAAGGAGGAAAATGATGTGGGAAAATCATTAAACTCACAATATCCCAGATTGCGAGCCCCGTCAACGAGACGAGCATCGATGTGTTGATGGAACGCGAGAAAAGTTGTTTGAGTGAGTAGAGGTTACCCAGGATTCCTCCAAAGATGACTGCGAACGAGATGGGTCCATCGAATGCCAGTGCCCATGATGACGGCGGGTTCGGACACTCGACTGACATCGATGGCAGCCACTGAACCAATTGAAACATGAAGGCCGCTCGGGAGACGTTTGGCGCGAACATTCGCACGACAGAGTGACTAAACAGAGGCCGGTAAAAAGAGAGAGGCTTGATGTATATTTGAATGTTTTATGAGTCTTTTTCAGGGGGAGGAGAGAAGCGAAAGGACGGGGGAACTGGAAATGACACGATGTGTGCGTGTGCTTCGTCTTTCTTTTTTTTTTCCTCTGGTTCTGACAAAAACGAATTGAAATGAGATGAATGAGATTGACCTCCAATAGATATGAATGCAAATTTTTTGAACTGAAACGAATGACGTGGATTGGTGACACCAATGTTTGAAAATAGACTTCTCAGAACTCTTGTGATTCATACAAAACAAAGACACAAATTTTGTAATTCTTAGCATTCCGTGACGCGAAACTTCAATTGTCCGAGACCGGCCAAGTGTGCACTTTCAAGAGAAATTCTGCGAGTGCGCAGGCGGAAAAGCCTCGAGAAAACTTGGAAAAATTCAAATTAGTTTAGCAGACACGGCAGGAAAATGAAAATGAGATAAATTTTCATTTTGCTTCGCCGCTAATGGATGTTCGCTCAGAAAGTTGTGGATGTAAAAAAAAACTAATGAGAATGATAAATAAAGCGGGGGAGTATGTAATGAACCCAAAGATGAATGACTGACTCCGTGGACGAGGGTGTATGTTATCGGGTAGGATTGTTTGTAATTCTAGAAAATTGAATAATCTTGGGTTTTGAGCAGATTATTGGCGACTCAATCGCGTTGACATTCGCTTAGCTCGCATATGACTCGTTTTTTAGAGAATGAGATGAACAAAAATCTGATTGACAGAGAACAATAACCATATCAAAGGTTGTCTGAAGAAAGATTCCTTTCTTCATAAGACATAGCTCAGAAGAAATGAGTTCCCTTGTTCATGCGCGTCTTTTCGTCTCATTTCCGCATTCTGGTTCCGTGCTAATCAAGAATTGGAAAGAAAACGAACGTCATCCAGACGTTTCCGAAGAAAATTCCGAACTGACTTGTAAATTCCAAAACGTGTGAGCGAGCATCCTACGCACAGAGTGCAACAGAGGGGAGAGAAGCGATGTTTCATGGCAGTAGTCATACATCTCAAACTTAACGACCAACTTTGAAAACTTTGGAAGGAAAACGCGAGAGGCAATTCTCCACGTGGAAAAACTTGAATAAATGTAATGTGCAGACAAGAAAAGAAGAGAAGGAGTCAGAGTTGTTTGAGTGGGAGCGAGCTCTTCGTTGCTTGGCAGGCGAGTATGAGTCGAAAATAGAAAGAGGACTTCATCAAAATGAACGAAGACTACATAACATGAACGGTGTACGACTACGATTAGACTCGTCTTTCAGAAAATGTTTTTTTGTCAAACACAAATCTAAACTAATTTCTGACCAGCCACGAAAAGATTCGTCCGATAAAAGGCTGATGAAGAATGATGGAAGCCGCAGAGTCCAACAAGTCAGAGAAGCCCGTTCTTTTCCTCTTTCTCACACTTTCCCCGCACATTTTGTCATTGGACTGGAAACGGATTTCAGCTCCGGTTCAGGAGCTTCGAAAGGCAAAGAGTGAGTGAAAGAAAAAGAAATGCCAAATGAACAATCGAAAATGAAGTAGATTGGGCAATAAAGTGCTGGCAACGAATGATGAGCTCTTGTATTGGTTCAAATAATCCAGAAGAGCGCAAAAGTCTCTGGATAAAACTGGATAAGAAGTGCTCGGCTTGAAATCAAGGCAAAACAAGAGAACAGAGACGGAAAACTCGGATATTAATCTGAGAAATCAGAAAAAAAGCAGTTGTGCCGGGAAAGTTTATGAAATCATCCAGAAGGGATACGAGAATCAAATAAGAATTGAAACTGTTTTCTTTTTCCTTTTCTTTCAAGCCTAGAAATATGTATTTTCCGTGGAGAAGCCATCTGATCGGAAGAAAAATGAGGAAGGGGATGGCATCTAATAAATTAGTTTGTTTCTGGCTCTCCGTTCAAATGTGTTATTATATCAAGAAGACGGAAAAGGGAGGAAAAGATGAAGGAAGTGGACTGATTATACTTTATTAAAAATTAATCTCCAGAATTAGATATTTCTCGGCCGTAGATCTTTTTCCCAGCCTGACCAGCCCATACCACCTTTCAGATTTGTCATGGTGTGAGAATTTTCTTGGAAATAAAAATGGACAAAATGAAAGAAAAAGCTGAGCTGCGTTAGTTGACTTGAGTTGACTTCTGATAACAAAAACAAGAAAAATATGTTGATTAGACAGACGACTAGTAATGAAATGAAAACGCCTTGAAGCAGAAATGAGAACAAACTTGATTTCACTAGAACTGATACTATGATTCACTAAAGAATCGAGCATGTTATTGGCAGGGAAAAAGTAGAATAAAATGAGAGTAGATCAAATTTTCAGATCGCAGAAAATTCGATTCAATTTCGGCTGACATGTGGCGCGACGAAAACCGTGAGTAAACGTGTCGATGTTAAGGAAATGAAAGATGCTTCTTGTTTCTGAGTCTGGTGGGCAAATGATGGAAAATGATGAGTTGTCCGTCTAGTAACGTGCGGAGAGACTACGAAAAACGGAAGATTGGATGCGCACATGCACATCTTCCTTCCACCACACCTCGATAATCCTCTCCTCACACCAAATCCCTATCAGTTCCTTTTGAGAAACAAAAAACAGTGGAAAACACGGGACGAGGGTTGTGAGTTTCTTCCGAGAAGAAATCATTCGGAAGATCATCTTTTATCCGTTCTTTCCGAGCCTTTCTGAGACGATTTTGATCCGTCTTTATGGGGATTCTGGTAGGCTCAGATTATTATTACTCACTGCAATGGTTTTTGCCAGCCTAATCCATCTCATCATGGAACACAAAAAGCAAAAAAATCTCGATGAAAGCACAAAAAAATGAGCAGTTGTGATGATACATTTTACTTAAATTCGATTAACACAGTTCCGGTTTACGACTGGATAGGAAATAAAAAATAAACGTTTAATGGATGGTGACGTCAAGTAAACATGATTGAAAAAAAACTTGATAATGTAATCTATAGGGCAAAAATAACTACTATCCACGTTTTCTCTTTCTCGAATTAATGAAAACTATAATGGAGGGATCGGATCATCCCGTCATTTTTAAAAATCTTTTCACAAACACAAAGTAGAACATTATTCCCTTCTTCCAATCTATCACTGAGCAATCAGACAAATCCTCACGTTTCGTCCGGAAATCCCGGAAATCCCAGAATCTGTTTGAACTTTAGTGACAATCACGAAAAAATCCGAATGAAAAAAGAAATCATTTAAAGTGAGACAAGAGATCTCATGTAGTTGATTCTTTATTATGCAAACGAGGAAAACACAGGAATAAAAGAGAGAAGCACGTCTAAAGTTCAGCGCGAAGGAGTATCAAATTAGAATACGTGACACTATGCAGTTGTAGGAGGCCGTTTATGGGAAAAATAGCTTCCTGGAATCTAAGAAAACATATGAGTCGGGTTGAATACAATCTGCAAAAAAGGAAGAAAATAAATCAGAAGAAACTGTCAGAATATTACCTACTTAACGTCATCATTGAGCCTGATTCAAATTAAACTCTGCTTCCAGGCATCTACCGGAAAATTGACAATGACCGGTCAGAAATGTTCATTGTACCACTAATTTTAACATTCCAGCCGATTCCTCTTATTTCAAGTTTTCAAACATCACTTTCCAAGCCCTGGATCTGTTAAATTTTGCAGTAAATTGTGCTCCAGCTGATCCTTGCAGATAAGCATGAGATAAAAATCACTTTTTTTCAAAACCCTGTTCGTTCCTTCCAGAAATCAGAAATGTCTTTTATATTCATGATATCGCCTGAAATCATCTCTGCTCGGAAGAATATTCGGTGGGAAACGTGAGTTTTATTCAATTACAATTGGTGTAAACGATAAAAAGTTTTCGAATAGTATGCAAACAGTCCCTTTACTAAAATGTCTTTCAAATTGTGCTCACTCTAAAACATAACTCCCTTTCTCAGATACTACGTTAATGCCATCCATCGCGATTCTGAAACTTGTGCTCAAATCCTTTGAGTCACTGTTTTATGCGTTTGTAATAATATAATCCTCTGTCAGGATTGAGAATGTGTCCGTTTGAGCTCGTTAGGATCAAGTGACGGTTCATAATTTGAAAACGTTTAGAGCCCCTGGATGTTCCGGCTGATCCTTCTTTCGTCGCCACATTTTGTCAGAAAATTCGGAAAGTTTCATCAACGACGTAATGGATCCCAAGGTTCATGCCAAGGTTACTAAATTGGGTATAGTTTAATTAAAGTCGGCAGCACACAAAACAATTATTTCGTCTCATTTCGTCCCTTTCGAAGTTTGAATACAAATTTTGAAGTTTGACTGAATTAACCGAGTACATGTGAAGTATCCGGAGCGATTATCTCTAAATCTGGAATCTGTTCTCTGATTTAACATGAAAAATACATAACAAGCCAAGCTATGTCTATGGAAATAAATCAGACAGCGATTCTGAAAAACAAAACGAAAAGAGGAAGCTCTGGGCAAAACAAGAGCTGTATTCCACGAATTTCGTATTACTTCCGGTGATAAACCCCTCCGAGTCTGAAAAATTCCAGAAATGCAATTCCCATTTGATCAACGTCTGCCAACTATACGATTTGATTGGCTTGCAAAACAAACTTTGTACACCGTTTTGATGAATATGTATGAATCATCGTAGTGTGTAAAAGCAACCCGTCAATTACATAATGTCTGCCTGCCCGGTCTTATCTGGAAGACAATCGCACCAATACCTTATCACATTGCTATTTTTACCCGCTTCCCCGTCCGTGTGGTATGCGTTTCCATCAATGCTAGCGTGCCGGTTGATGCGTCAATCATATTTTCAATTATGCAGCGCTCGCTCGTTTCCTTCAGAATTAAAACCCCGCGAAACTAAAAATAAAGCGATGGGCAGTGAGAGATGACATGTAATTGGAGCACGAAATGTCACTGCGCTGACATGATTCGTACAGCGGTGAAATCTTATCAAGCCAATTAGCCAAAAGAGGCCGTGCGCGCGCGCGTCTCCTCAGTACACTAATCCGACCGAAGCGCGGAATCATCTACTGGAGAGCCTATTGTAATAGGAAGACAAACAACGACAGAAATGAGCTTCGCTAGCCTCCTCGAGTGTTTCATTTCGAATTCTGTTGAGTATTTGTGTGAAGGACGGTCAGCAGGCACGGTGCAGGTGGTCTTCATCTCTGTTTCCGGGCGTGATTCAGTCAACATCACACGACCGGGGAAGACCTTCTTTTTTCAGGCGTCGCCGACAACACATGACGTTTGGTAAATAAGACAAAAAACTGGAAGTGGCCAAGCCAATTTAGATGAGAACCATGACTGGGAACTGACTTGAAATTGGATTATTTTGAAGAATCAACCTGTATTCCTTGGTCATTGTTCCCATAAAAACACAGTATATGCATCGATCTGGTATACTATAGCCAAGCAATCTTTAGTTTCCAACATGTGATATGGAAATGCAGTGTGAATCAACGATTATCCTCATGAATATAACATTGAGCACGAGAACTCAGGCTATGTGGTGTACTTTGACTTTATGATCCTATTTCACGGGGTATCAGGAAGTGAGCGGTGTAAAGAGTTTGAGTAGAAATGCAGAGCCCAATTGTAAAGTCGACGTTATCCTTGCGTAAACTGCAAATCAATCTTCTCCACCGTTTTCTCGCAGGAGCTCAGGCGGAAAGAACTTTGAGAAATGGACGAGCAGACAGGTGCCGTCGTGTTGTCCACAACGATTAAGAGTACGAGCAGAACAAGACGAGCAGTCCGACCAAACACCGACCAAAGTGGCTCCCACGACTCATTCCATTGGTCCGTCGCCAATTCTAAAGACGGCTTGAGATTTCGTAATTACGTTGGACGTCTGCGGGCGACAGATGGTTTCGAAATGGAAATGGTTTTTGAATCTTTGCGCTAAACATGTCTGAGAGAGTGTACCACCCAGAAGATACCTCACAAAGAATGGAAGACGGCGCGGAATAGATAAGACGTAAATTGCGTTGAAGGTCTCCGTATAGTCGGACGGCGCACACCTGTCCTGGTAGAGAATTCATTCCTAACCGATGAAGAGTCAAAATTAAAAGGAAATCCACTTTCTGAATAGATCCAAAGTGGACCGCGCAAAATGATCAAACAGCAGTTGTTGCTTTCGCTCCGGGGTGTTCCGTCAAGATATGATAATCATGACTAATGATGCGGATACATATACAAGTTCTCTTCCGCCAGCCAACAATACAGCCACTAATAGAAGGAAATACTTGAGTTGCTAAATCTGGGAAAGTTGAAAGTCTTCAGGTCCATTTCACAGTGAATTTCTTATCAGGAGCAAGTGACCACCATCCTCACTGACCGTTTTATCATCCAAAGAGACCGATGCTCATCGTAATCGGTTAGTGCACTATACACGATTATCAGTCTATTTCTGCCATCATGTTTACGCGCCCTGCATATTAGATCCGAGGCTGTTGTGGAGAGAGCCAATTCTTCGTTCGCCCCATCAGCTCCGAGCCCTTCGCCGCTGGTCATTGATTTAGAGCAAGTCTGCAGCCGCGAGCTCCCATCGGCCCCCAATGTTCTGCCGCAATACTTGGAAATGCTCCAAATTTTCAGATCACTTTTTAGCAACCGTCAGAATCGACTGTAATTTCGTCCACAGATAGGCCACTCTATTATAATTCGGATGACACCAAGAACGTGTGATTTGGATGGTCCTGAGCCATTTTATGTGCCGATGAGCAATGGTGTGCGCTCCTTCTATTTGAATAACAGAGCGACTTCAAATGACGGCCGAGCGTCCAGTGGGTGGAAAACTGACGGCCCCTGCAATTCAGCCGCAAATAAAATGTTTTCCAAAATTTTAGCACTGAAAAATTTTGGATTTTGGCTCGATCAGGCCAAATTGGACACTGTTGGAAAGCCCAGCTCATTCCAAGTCTGAAAATATAACTTTCAGATCCAAATTCTCAAAACCCATGTAGTTGTCGGCGAGGAAAGTGTGGTGCGCGCTCTTGTTGACGCGGGCTGTGGGCAGCCCTTTATGAGTCGAAAGAGGCGGGCTTTTTGCGTTAGACAGCCCCCAGAATTCTGCCGTATTTGTCTGATCGTCGTGCGTCTCCAAGGGGCAAAAATTTCAAAGTCATCCTTTCATTTTCACCTTTATATCATTTGATAGCGCCCAGCGCGACAAGTACAGTAATATAAATTTTTATCAACGAAATTTACTTTTAACACGTTTTATTAAGCGATAACGTGTGGTGCGCGCTCGTGGGTTGGGGTGGGCAGCGGCCCACAGAAAACGAGAGGGAGGGCTGAGAGGGGTGCCGCTCACTCTGTTCGACATTACTCGCTCGCAACGTCCTTCTCGTTTCTTCTTGATGCATTGTGTATACATCTACAAGAGCTCACAGACGCACGTACACTTGTGTTCTGCTGCCGGCCACTTCTATATCAGAAGAACAGCTCTCCGCTCACCACTCTTTTATCGCTCCGACGCCTCTTTTCTCAAGCACTTTCGCTGTGTCGCCGAGACTTGAAGACTAATTTGATAACATTTCAGTGAGTCAACCACTTAAAGCACACAAATCAACCATGTCTGACGGAAAGGAAGAACTAGTGAACCGCGCCAAGCTCGCTGAGCAGGTAAGATTTTTTATTTTATACTGTTTTAGCATGTGTTCAATTTTTTTTTCAGGCTGAGCGTTACGACGACATGGCCGCATCGATGAAAAAGGTCACCGAGCTCGGAGCTGAGCTCTCGAACGAAGAGCGCAACTTGCTCTCGGTCGCCTACAAGAACGTGGTCGGAGCCCGCCGTTCCTCGTGGAGAGTCATCTCCTCGATCGAGCAAAAGACCGAGGGATCCGAAAAGAAGCAGCAAATGGCCAAGGAGTACCGTGAGAAGGTCGAGAAGGAGCTTCGCGACATTTGCCAGGATGTGCTCAACCTTCTTGACAAGTTCCTGATCCCGAAGGCTGGAGCCGCCGAGTCGAAGGTGTTCTACCTCAAGATGAAGGGAGATTACTACCGCTACTTGGCCGAGGTTGCCTCCGGAGACGACAGAAACTGTAAGTGACTGGGTCGATGACTGAATTGGGACCTAACTTTGCACTCGTTTCTAACAGTTATTCGTAAACTATGCATCCTTGTGTGAAGTGTGAAAAGAACTCATAAGAAGACAGAGAACGAGAGCCAAGGCGCGGTCCCATTTCCCACATCGATGCTTAGTTTCAGAATAGGCTATTTTCCGAGTTCCTCTAGGGACCGTGGGGGATTGATGAGGGTGCCCGAAAAGAAATTGAAATGCCCACTTTGCAGCGGTTGTCGAGAAGTCGCAGCAAAGCTACCAAGAGGCGTTCGACATCGCCAAGGATAAGATGCAACCGACCCACCCAATCCGCCTGGGACTTGCTCTCAACTTCTCTGTCTTCTTCTATGAGATCTTGAACGCTCCGGACAAGGCTTGCCAGCTCGCCAAGCAGGTGTGTTTGATGTTTTTCTCTTTCTAGCCGTCGCCAACATCGGACAATCGGCCTACGCGGAGGCACTTGAAATCGCCAATAGAGATTTGTCGCCGACGAACTGTGTCCGCTTGGGGCTGGCACTCAATTACTCTGTCTTCTTCTATGAAGTAGCGGCGAGCCCTGACAGAGCCTGCCAGCTTTCTAAACAGGTGTCCTTCGAGGCTCTAGCCAGCGCTTTCACATCTTCCAGTTCAAAATTGAATTATTCTTTTGCAGGCTTTCGATGACGCCATTGCTGAGCTCGATACTCTGAACGAGGACTCGTACAAGGACTCGACACTGATCATGCAGCTCCTCCGCGACAACCTCACTCTCTGGACGTCGGATGCCGCCACCGATGACACTGACGCCAATGAGCCAGAAGGAGGCAACTAGACCCTCCTTTCCACACTGTTAACCCCCCACCACTCAACGCGATCTGAAAATGATAAATAATACTATTTGTCATAACCTATTTATTACCATTTATGACTAGTAAGCATACTTTCACCTGTTTTACTTCCTATCCATTCTCTTCTCACCAAATTCAGAGTCAAGACTACTGTCCCCCCTCCCTCCCCGCCCCCAAACAATCTAATGTTCCGTTTTGTTACGGCTTTTCCCTTTCAAATCTCGAGAATTGAAACTCCCCCTCCCCAAGCTTTTGAAACACATAATAAAGTTGCTACTACTTCAAATGAAGAATTCGATAAATTTGTTGAGTGATCGGAAAAAGCTCTCCGTGTAAACGGATTTGAGAGAGACACCAATGAAAAAGTTTGTTTGAACGGCGATCGAATAATCCGACAGATGGAGAGAACATTGCGACCAAATGCTTCGTATACTGATGTCTTGAGCCGGAAAAAAGGATTTCAAAGGAAGAGGGACTGCATTGAAACACTGTTCGTGAGCGAGGGATCAAAGAGAACTAAAGTAAGCCTTTTTTATTTGAACTGTGTTGAAGAGACCTCTGCATACGGAACAACCGACAATTTATCGGTCATTTAGCAAAGTGAAAAATGTGACAGAATTTAAAAATTTGAAAAAGTGAAGAAAACTCAAAAGTTCTGAACCGGGCATAAATTTTACTTTGCGTTAAATCTTACTTTTGATGGGTCTATCGAACCCGCATAGTCTCAGTTTCTGGCAAATATAATATTTCGTGAGCATTCCTTGTAAGAAGTTTTCAAAAATCTGACTCACAAAAAACGTTTTGTACTCAAAACCCACGTCACAGATGGGGTACCTTTCTTGTCTTTTCCTGTTTTGACTATTAGAAGTGGTAGTAACTCACTCTTACAGCTAGTTAGCTTTTGCAAAACAAATGGTAGTTAATTTATTGCGTAGGCCAATGTTTTCAGGTAATTATTTGGTGGACCGCCTGTTGAGAAATGGAGCAAATGGATGGATATCATCTCTTTTTGATTTGATGCTCGTGGAACAAATTGCGGACCGGAACAGTTTTCGCCGACGGTTTTGTTTTTCACTGGAATAGTATTTGTGATGATGAATTAATGCAATTTGAAACTGAACAACTCTGAAGCACATTCTGAATATTACCAATTGGATTTTGCATTCTATTCCGGACGGGTTTATGCTTATGCTTGACGTTACTTCCAGGCCGACTGAGCCGGACCGGCTAGCAAAATCTTTGGGGCGGCCCGAAACTTTGTAAGGCTGATAGGAATAAACCTGAAATACATAAAATCATGTTAGCAGGCAGAAGGGTTACTTTTTGTTTTGGATTGTCCGAAATTTTTTAGAAACAAAGAATTTGCACCTTTAGTTATTTCATCTCTTTGACCAAGATTATTGCTCGTGACAATCCAATCAAGGTAGAAACTGGCTAGCAGGTTCGATAAAATATCTGACGTGTCGAATCTAACTCCGTTCCAGTGATAGTCGGAACAATTCTTGGCGATAGTAATCTTCATGGCGTTGTACAGCAGTCCTCTTCTCCCATGCGCCCATTTGTAGCACTTTAAGTTGGTAGGCGCCGGCTCTGTAGAAAAGAACAAAAATGTCGATGCGAAATCATCAAGATTCTCTCATTTCTTCAGCGATTGGTCGCATTATTCCTCAAAAAAGAACTGTGATCGGTCCAGTAGAAGAAGAAGAAAAGACCCACAGACATGCAAACACACATGCTTCAACATATATAAGCAGTAAAAAACCGTAAGCTTGAAAATGCCATCACGCTTTTACGGTGAAATTAGGGCAACAACACGCGCTATAAATAGTTTTCAGATCTACCAAAAAGGCACAGCTCTGTGTGAACGGCTTGAATAAGTAGATCCTGCCGATCGAATATGGTGTCGTCTGAAATTTCATGATCATCGCTTATCAATACCCTGTTAACTATTTTTCAGTATACAGACTTTAGAAAAGTAGTAAGGACTGATTTTCAAATGCCCTCACGCTTTTACGGTGATTTTTGGCAAACAAAATAATTGTATGGAACAGTACGTTACCTCAAGAACACGGCGTAGAAAGCAGGAGGACGAGGACAATAATGTCGGAAAGAGGAAAAGAGAGATTTGGAGAAGAGTTTGACTTCTTTCATATCAATAATGTCGGAGAGAAGAAGAGAGAGACTGGTCATCTAAATAGAAATCAAAAAGATTCAGAAGTCATTTGATGCATCAGATGAAACACCGAAAAAAAATTGTCGAAAGTATGACTTGATGTAATCAAATGAATGACAAAAACACGAAGATTGTATGTCGTTACAAGGAGCTGCCTGTTACCATTGAACATACATGCAATACTTGTAAAAAGAGGTGACTCAGGTATTACGGTGTGAAGACCACAGGATCGAGCTTTCTTTCTCTCAAACTCACTCTAGAATTCTTTCTTCAACCTTCCGACCGCAATCCTTCTTTCTGTCGTCCGTCTTACCTTTGGGTTTGAACCGTTTACACACTTCCGGAGTCGCCACGTCCTTCAGTCAGGTCTGAAAGTCGTCACGATCAGTGTCTAACCGAGGCAAATTTCTTTGCACTCGGCGGGGCTCGAACCTGCGGTCTTCAGATTGCTAAGCACAAGCTTAACCGCCTACACCACCCTGGCCACGCGGCTCAATCGCCCATAGGGTGTATATATAATGGCGACGGATGCGGTTGGGCGCTGTGGTGTCGGTGATATCTCGAGAACGGTTAGTGCTATCGAGAAGCATCCAAGAGAAAAGATGATCATAAAAATGTGCTCCGTTCACCTAAGTAGAAATCATAAAGATTCAGAAGTCATTTGCGGATTCAGATGACACCGAAAAATAAAAATGACAAAAATATGACTTGATGTATATCAAATGAATGACAAAAACACGAAGATTGTATGTCGTCACAAGGAGCTGCCTGTTATCATTGGACATACATGCAATACTTGTAAAAAGGGGTGACTCAGGTATTACGGTGTGAAGACCACAGGATCGAGCTTTCTTTCTCTCTAACTCACTCTAGAATTCTTTCTTCAACCTTCCGACCACAATCCTTCTTTCTGTCGTCCGTCTTACCTTTGGGTTTGAACCGTTTACACACTTCCGGAGTCGCCACGTCCTTCAGTCAGGTCTGAAAGTCGTCACGATCAGTGTCTAACCGAGGCAAATTTCTTTGCACTCGGCGGGGCTCGAACCTGCGGTCTTCAGATTGCTAAGCACAAGCTTAACCGCCTACACCACCCTGGCCACGCGGCTCAATCGCCCATAGGGTGTATATATAATGGCGACGGATGCGGTTGGGCGCTGTGGTGTCGGTGATATCTCGAGAACGGTTAGTGCTATCGAGAAGCATCCAAGAGAAAAGATGATCATAAAAATGTGCTCCGTTCACCTAAGTAGAAATTGTTGTGTACGTTCCGTACACACAAACATTCTTACTTTTCTTCTTCTCTTCCCGGGTACCTCTTTCTCTACGCCTCCGTGCGCACACACTCTCTCTCAGTGTCGCAAACACCTGAGTTTACGACACTGAACTTTGTTCTCGCCCTCGCTTCTCCGAAGCTCGTTTTGTTTTCTACTATTCTTTTTCTACTGCTGGTTATTCAAGTATATAAAGTGTATCTCAATTACACCCGCTTCCGCTCGTCCATCATCATCGGGTTTTTAACCCATAAGACATATCAACTGGCGATCAGGATCACGGATTTCGGCAAGCAAATCGGTAAAAACTTCGTTTTTACGACTCAGTAGAGGCCGGCTCGGATCAAGCCGCGATGGAAAACTTAAATCCTGACGGGTTCGCTCGTCTCTCTGCTGAGATTGCTCGCGCCGTCGCGGAAGCTGTCAGAGAAGCGATGACTCCACAAGCTCAGCCAAATCAGCCGCCGCCGGAGGAGGACAAGTCGGTGAACAGGTCACGCATCATCGACTCACTATCCGCACGTCTCTCGATGTTCAAATACGATCCGGAGGAGGAAATGACGTTCGAAAACTGGTACGTCCGCTACGAGAAGCTCATCGACGAAGAAGGCGGGATCCTGGAAGACAAGGCGAAGGCCCGCCTCATTCTCGCGAAGCTGAACGCCCGGGAGTACGCGCTGTTCGCAAATCGACTTCTGCCGAAATTCCCGGACAGTCTGACGTTCGATGAATTGATTCCAAAGCTGAAAGAGACGTTCAAGTCGACGTCGTCGGAGTTTCGCCGCCGCTACGACTTCCTGCAAGCCTCATACAATGGAGGAGCTCTCGAGGAGTATACGGGAACCATTCTCCGCCGTTTCACCACTTCAAAGTGGAACGACATGACGGACGATCAGGTCTGCTGCCTGATCTGGATCGTCGGTCTGCGAGACGGTTCGTTCGCCGACATTCGAACGAAGGCACTGCAGCTACTGGAGAGCAAGCCGGATACGACTCTTCTGGAACTGGAGGCGAAGATCAAGCGACTTCTGGAGATTCGAGACGATTCGCAACGACTCGGAGCGTCGAAAGGAAAGCCGGAAATCAACGCCATCAAGGCAAGGAAGGCAAGTACTTCCCAGAAAACCGCACCATCGCCATGTCCGAAGTGTGGCGGAGATCACTGGGCTCGAGACTGCAAGCTCGAGAACGTCACCTGCAACGTCTGCGGGAAGGACGGCCACATCGCTAAGTTTTGTTTCAAAAACAAACCGCCGACCAAGAAATCGACGAAGAAGTTCCAGAAGAAGAAGGTGAACGCCGTGGCAGTCGCGCAACTTGCCCCGACGCGGCGGAGGATCTACCTCAACGTTCCGATCAACGGCACCAACGTCAAAATGCAGCTTGACACCGGATCCGACGTCACCGTACTCAACATACGGGACTGGAGGAAGATTGGAACGCCGCCGCTCACCAAGTCGACCGAGAAGCTCCTGTCTGCGTGCGGATCCGAGATTCGCACAAAAGGAGAGTTCCGCTGCCAGTTCAAACTGCACGGAAAGGAGTACGAGGGCTCCGCCCACGTTGCCGAGACAGCTACACTTCTTGGCATGGATTGGATGTCCCTCAACTCGGCGCTGCTGCACTCGCTGATCGATTCGCCGGACACTCGCGTCAACAGTGTCCAGGTGACCAACAAGAAGGCGCCGCTCAACATGTGCCGCGAGGAACTGCTCAAGAAGTTGAAGAAGAGTCATCCAAACGTCTTCACAACTGGATTGGGCACGTGCACCAAGGGCCGAGCGACTCTTCGACTGAAACCGGACGCGAGACCCGTCTTCCGAAAGGCTCGCCCGGTTCCGTACGCGAGACTACCCGCCATCACCAGGGAGATTGAACGGCTCGTCGCCAAACGAGTCCTGGCCCCAACGAACCATTCGGAATGGGCCGCTCCCATCGTCGTCGTCATGAAGAAGACTGGAGAAATCCGGCTCTGCGCCGATTTCTCGACCGGACTCAACGAGTGCCTCCAGCAACATCAGCATCCGTTGCCAACACTCGAAGACAGTTTCACAAAACTGAACGGTGGATGTCTCTTCACGCAAATCGATCTGGCGGAGGCGTACCTGCAAGTGGAAACCGACGCCAAGTCGGCCGAGTTGCTCTGCGTCAACACACATCTTGGACTCTTCCGCTACCAACGCCTTCCCTTCGGAGTGAAAAACTGCGCCGGCGATCTTCCAACAGATCATGGATTCACTCGTAGCTGGAATGGAAGGGACGACGGTATACCTCGACGATCTTATGATCTGCGGAAGGACGGTTGAGGAGCACAACCAACGCGTCGCCGCCGTGTTCGCCCAGCTGGATGAGTACGGGTTCCGCATCAAACCGGAGAAATGCCATTTTCTCATGCCCAGAATCAACTTCTTGGGTTTCCAAATCGACGCAGAGGGACGCCGCCCGGATCCAGCCAAGATCCAAGCGATCATCGACATGCCGCCACCGAAGAACGTGACGGAAGTGCGAGCGTTCCTGGGAATGATCCAGTTCTACGGATCTTTCGTGCCAGCTCTTCACTCTCATCGCCGACCGATCGACGCTCTCACCAAGAAAGACGTCAAGTTCGAGTGGAATGCCTCCTGTCAAAAGGCATTCGAAGCCGTCAAGCGGATTCTGAATTCCGGTCTTCTGCTCACTCACTACGACCCGAGTCTGCCGATAATCGTTGCTGCCGACGCCTCGCAATACGGCATCGGTGGCGTGATTTCCCACCGTTGGCCAAACGGAACGGAAAAGGCGATCTTCCACTTCAGTCGTGCTCTGACGGACACCCAACAACGGTATAGTCAGATCGAGAAGGAAGGGCTCGCTCTCGTCACCGCCGTGACGAAATTCCATCGATACCTGCATGGCCGTCGATTCACGCTTCGTACGGATCACAAACCGCTGCTCAACATCTTCGGAGGATCCAAAGGAGTACCGATTTACACTGCAAATCGCCTCCAGCGATGGGCCACTATTCTTCTTAACTACGATTTCGACATTTCGTACGTCAAAACGGAAGATTTTGGCCAAGCCGATGCTCTGTCTCGCCTCATCGATCAGCAGGCCCGCCAAGCCGAAGAAACCGAGGTGATCATCGCTCAAATTGAAGTTCAAGCTTCGCCGGAACTCGACAGCCAATGCCACCAACTCCCCGTCACAGCCGCAATGATCCGTAAACACTCAAAAACGGACCATCTCATCCAAAGAGCCATGGCGTGTGCCGAACGAGGAGACTGGCCGAAGAATCTCGAAAAGGAGCCGGCGCTTCAGCAATTTTCGAGACGTCGCCAACAGCTGTCGATCGTCGAAGGCTGTCTGATGATGGCTCATCGTGTCGTCGTTCCGGAACGTCTCCGACAACGTGTGCTCGGTGCGCTGCACAAGGCACACCCGGGAATCGTCCGAATGAAGGCGCTCGCGCGCAGTTTCGTCTTTTGGCCGGGAATCGACAAGGATATCGAGCAGATTGTGCAAAGCTGTGACAACTGCGCTGCCGCTGCAAAGAATCCGATCAAAAACGTGCTCTACTCGTGGCCAAAATCGTCTGCTCCGTGGACACGCGTGCACGCAGATTACGCCGGGCCAATCGACGGAATCTACTACTTGGTGGTGGTGGATTCGTTCTCCAAATGGCCCGAAGTGATGGCGACCAAATCGATCACATCGACGGCAACCATCAGGCTCTTCGGGAGGATTTTCGCGCAGTTCGGAAATCCCGAGACGCTGGTGACGGACAATGGAACACAATTCTCCGCGCAGTTGTTCCAGTCTTTCTGCGAGGAACGTGGAATCAACCACCTCTTCTCGCCGCCCTATCACCCGCAGTCTAACGGCCAGGCCGAAAGGTTTGTCGATACGTTCAAGAGAACAATGAAGAAACTACAGGGGGAGTCGGAAGGGGACGACGCTCTCAACGTCTTCTTACAAATCTATCGATCGACTCCGTGTGCAGCCGCACCGCAGCAGAAGTCGCCCGCCGAAAGTTTCCTCAATCGACCGATGCGCACGCCACTCCAGTTGATCCTGCCCACGAAGAGATCCGCGGATTCTGACAGGAATCGTGACATGGAACGACAATTCAGTGTTCATCACGGAGCTCGCCGACAGGATTACCGACCGCATCAAGCAATCTACTCAAGGGATTTCCGCAATCCGGCCAGACCAACTTGGAGTGCCGGGATTGTGATCAAGAAGCTCGGGAACACCGTCTACGAGGTAGAAGTAGACGGATTCCGCTGGAAGAGACACGCGAACCATCTGAAGCCGAGGATTCGACGCCAACCGCTGGAGGAGCTGATCGACACGTTCGGATTGGGACAATCGAAGGATTCAACGGCGCCGAGGGATATGGACGACACGAAGGATGTGACGGACATGGACAACTCGGAGAATCTGGATCGGGACGACGTGATGGATACGGACGGTTCGGACGACCCGAAGGAGGACCGAAGGGATGCCGAGGAGTCACAGGACGCTGAGGTTACCGAGGATCCGACGGACGGCCCTGGATCGGATGCCGTCGCACCTGCTCAATCGCCGAAGCCTCTCAGACGTTCAACCAGGAATAGGATCGCCGCAAAGCGATTCGAGATGAACCCGTCGAAACAAAGTTACCATTGATAACTAGGCTTCTACCCCCGCTTATTTTCATTTACCCGGGGGAGATGTTGTGTACGTTCCGTACACACAAACATTCTTACTTTTCTTCTTCTCTTCCCGGGTACCTCTTTCTCTACGCCTCCGTGCGCACACACTCTCTCTCAGTGTCGCAAACACCTGAGTTTACGACACTGAACTTTGTTCTCGCCCTCGCTTCTCCGAAGCTCGTTTTGTTTTCTACTATTCTTTTTCTACTGCTGGTTATTCAAGTATATAAAGTGTATCTCAATTACACCCGCTTCCGCTCGTCCATCATCATCGGGTTTTTAACCCATAAGACATATCAGAAATCATAAAGATTCAGAAGTCATTTGCGGATTCAGATGACACCGAAAAATAAAAATGACAAAAATATGACTTGATGTATATCAAATGAATGACAAAAACACGAAGATTGTATGTCGTCACAAGGAGCTGCCTGTTATCATTGGACATACATGCAATACTTGTAAAAAGGGGTGACTCAGGTATTACGGTGTGAAGACCACAGGATCGAGCTTTCTTTCTCTCTAACTCACTCTAGAATTCTTTCTTCAACCTTCCGACCGCAATCCTTCTTTCTGTCGTCCGTCTTACCTTTGGGTTTGAACCGTTTACACACTTCCGGAGTCGCCACGTCCTTCAGTCAGGTCTGAAAGTCGTCACGATCAGTGTCTAACCGAGGCAAATTTCTTTGCACTCGGCGGGGCTCGAACCTGCGGTCTTCAGATTGCTAAGCACAAGCTTAACCGCCTACACCACCCTGGCCACGCGGCTCAATCGCCCATAGGGTGTATATATAATGGCGACGGATGCGGTTGGGCGCTGTGGTGTCGGTGATATCTCGAGAACGGTTAGTGCTATCGAGAAGCATCCAAGAGCAAAAATGATCAGAAAAATGTGCTCCGTTCATCTAAGTAGAAATCATAAAGATTCAGAAGTCATTTGCGGATTCAGATGACACCGAAAAATAAAAATGACTTGATGTATATCAAATAGAAAAGAAGAACATTAAGATTCAAACTAACATCGTCAATACAGTCCGTTTCATAAGTATAGGGCCACCCCTAAAATTGAATATATTGTGATTCCCGAACAAAATACTAAGACAGGACCTTGAAAATCGAAATCAGCATCACAAATAACCCGCGGGAAACAATTTTGAGAGCAGTGTATAGGATAGTTGGGGAATGGTGCTGAAATATCTGAAAATGTTGCAACTGCAAGCGTTTCATAAGTATAGGGCCACCCCTGAAAACACTCTGGAGGCCTCTTAAACTGATAAACATGATCTTGAATGGGGTTCTTTGCACCTTTAGGATGTCCAAAAAGCCTTTTTGAAATCATGTGCAATGACCCCGGGGCCACTCTCCCAGGTTTAGCCTCATGTTCTGCGTGGAGCTCGGGAGTGGAGCCGGGGGACTCCGATGATCTCAAATGAGTCAAATCTTGTTTGAGACAAGTTTTTTGAGCATTTTCAAGTCAGTCATTGCACATGATTTCAAAAAGGCTTTTTGGACATCCTAAAGGTGCAAAGAACCCCATTCAAGATCATGTTTATCAGTTTAAGAGGCTTCCAGAGTGTTTTCAGGGGTGGCCCTATACTTATGAAACGCTTGCAGTTGCAACATTTTCAGATATTTCAGCGCCATTCCCCAACAATCCTATACACTGCTCTCAAAATTGTTTCCCGGGGGTTATTTGTGATGCTGATTTCGATTTTCAAGGTACTGTCTTTGTATTTTGTTCGGGAATCACAATATATTCAATTTTAGGGGTGGCCCTATACTTATGAAACGGACTGTATTGAAATGTTCGTCCTCTGCTCTGAATAACGAATAATCTCATTAAACTCTTCAGTTCAACGGAGATCCAACAATGTAATAAACGTCACAGGAATCCCTTTAGAAACGTAATTATCGAGATTTTTCACAAGCTACCGGATATTAAGTTTATCTGTAGAGCTGCACATTTTCTGCCGTTTCTAATACACTCTTGCATACATATATAGAATAGCATGGAACCATGCACCATGGGAACGTCCAGTTCCGACAACATTCTTCTATTGTCACAAGCTATTTGTTTTTAAATGACAGTGGTCCCAATTTCACGACAGATGAATGCGCAGGGGTATTTTTCATTCACTTCCCAATTCGAATTCGTCTTCCACTTGCCATGTCGCATTTATGCAAACAAAGAATTTCAATACTGAGCACAGAAATAGCGGGTTAATTTCGACGGCGGGGTCGAACGTAGCGGACGGCGGCCGGCTCGTTGCCTGCTAGAGCGTATGTCGGACCGCGCGCAGTCGAGGGTGTTTTGTCCGTGCACAGTGTCCCTGCAGCAGCAGCAACAGCATGTCTGCGTCTCGCCCACCTGTCTGCTCTTTCCCCCCTACTTGCCCACCTCTGCACAGTCCGTTCGTCTCTCTGCGCACTGTGTCCGTTGCACTTACTTTGTCTCTTTCTTCCTTTCGCCCTTCATCTTACCCATTGCGGGCGGGCGCATAACAACGCATTCCGTCGTCGTACAGCTTTTGTTTCATTTTTCGCTGCGCACGCTGTCTCAATTTCAATTTCGAAGCCAATTTCGTTTCTGTACAGAAAGCGTTGCATCTTTTGTGCCACTGTTTTCGTATTTA